AGAGAAAATCTGATCAATTCGCGGGGGTCATCAGCCACTGCTGGGCCTTCTCTGGGAGGTCTATCTCCAGTTGAGTTCCCACTGTTAGGAACTGTACTCGTAGGTCTGAGAATTCGAGACCGTCTCCCAATATTTCGATCCCCATTGACTCCAATACCTCCCTTAGGACCATAGCTACATCCTCCGGGATACACTCCTGAATTCGAATGACGTCTTCCAGACGCAATGTCATTTCGGACAAGGGTTGTACGGGGAAGTTGGTCCTGCTATGGTGTATTGCGTGTGTACGCTCCCAGTTGGGCGTATTCATAGCTGGGCTCTTCAGGAGACTGGAGAGTGAACTTCCTCGTCTCGGGGGAGGAAGGTTAAGGGACTGTACTGGAGGTGTTGGTAACCTCCGGGATGACGTCCGAGATTGTTCGGATACGGCAGGGGATACCCTCCTCTCTGGAAGTTTCTCCTGTTGTCGTACTGTGAGAGGGTCAGTACTCCCCCCTTGTATCCTTTCGATAGCGGCTACTTGACCGCTGACTCTTCCACCCGCGTTCGAAGCTGACTCCATGTCTAGCTGCGGTATCGGTCCAGGGGGAGGTCCTCTCGTTCCCCAGGTAGGGGAGTATGTGAAACCTCCCATGGGACTACTGGCAGGTTGGGCGTAACCCATGGAGGTAAACCTCCGTTGTGGTGGTCCCATCCCAGGTTCCACTGGAGGGGGCCCCTGAACCTCCGGTTGACGTCCCTCTGGGGTCCGGATGTTGCTGGCGGTTTCATCCCCGAACGACTGTTCTGGGATGGACATCAGGCGTTGACCAGCTGCCACCGTGATGACAGTGGAGCTAGCAGCCTGGTTCGATTTTTGAGCTTGTGTCGTGTTTCCACGAGATAAGGCGCTCTTTTGTTTCTTTGATTCGGTCTTGGAACTAGAAGGTCGTTCCGTTGACGTCGCGACGAGTCCGTTCGGTGACGGAAGAGCTTAGTATAATGTAAGACCTGGGTCAAAATGAGTCTTAGGGTAGGTTTTGGTATGTGGAGGTTTATGTTGTAGCGTGCTAGGAGCAGGCTGGAGCTCGAAGGGAGCTACGAGAACCGCGACCGAGGACGGGAATGACCTAGTAGTGGTTGGAATGACGAGAGGGTGACCCTTGAGGGGTTCCTAGGAGGTCCAGGGAGGTCCCTAATGCGTAGGGAGGTTCAGGAAGAGTGCGGGACCGTACGATATTGCGTAGTAGGAGTTGTACTCGCTGGAACGTCAATATAGGATCGAGTAGGTAGTTTATGCAACTGGGTCTCGAGGGTGTAAGCTCCCGAGAAGGGATACGCCAGGGAGGGTAGGTCCCTGGGGGCTAGGTTTGAGGATGGTCGTCCTCGAGTGTGGGAGGTGGTAACGGAGGAGCAATACGTAGTTCGACGTGAGGGGTAGCTTCGACGTTACCTAGATCGAGGTCCCGAAGCTTACGAAGTAGCTAGGGAGCTCTGGGAGGTTTGGGGAAGGGTAGCTCACCAAGCGGGTAGGCGTTGGGGAGCTTTAGTAATGTTCGAGGGAGCTCGGAGACTCACTTGGAAGGCTTAGACTTGAAGTAAAAGCATATATTCGATCGTATAGACGATCAGCGAGACAATAGACAGTAGTAGAGAGAAACAGAGGTAGAGAAACAGAGAGTAGAGAGAATTCCGTATAGGTAGCAGGTACAAAGGGACAGGGACTGGACCTATGTAAAGGGTGTGTGTTCAAAATATACCAAGCTGGCGCTTGGGGACGTTACGGAGCTACTTAAATAGGTATGGGAAGTGAACAAAGGAACATCAGAGCCTAGGGGACATGAGGCAGTAGTCGAAGGAGACAGGTGATCGAGATTTGTACTTAATGGGGCTGGTGCTAAGGAGTTTCGTACGCGTGTCGGGAGGTTGTCAGGATAGTCTTGGGGAGGTGCGTATTACCCGTGGTCCTGTCTTGGGGAGGTGCGTAGTACCCGTGGTCCTGTCTTGGGGAGGTCGGATGTCTTGGAGAGGTGTAAGGAAGCATGTGGGATGGTGCTGGGATTGGTTGGTTGTGGTCAGGGCATGACAGTTTCCTTCATTTTCAGATTACCAAGAGAATCTTCGGCCTCGCCTTGGGCGTCGTAAACGCCGAAATTGTCCTGTAGCTCCTTTACAAGGGCTTTGAAGGAGGACGTCCAGGCCGGCAGCGAGTCGAGATCCGGGTCGAGGATATCAGGGACAAACCATTCTTTGGCTGACCCACTGAGATAGGAAAGGGTGTAGTTCACCTTCCGTTGGTCGGTGAAATACTTTGGACGGTCATTGAAGACCAGGGCGAGATTGACGAAGAACGTTTTGAGTTTTCGGGGGTCCGAACCGTTGAATACCTCGGGCTCCTTGACCTTGCTCTTAGATTCAGAGCTGTCAGAGGGACGGCCGAGAGCGGCGAGAACGGTACCAAGGGTCTCAATGGAGCCCTTGAATCCCGAGAGGAGTTCCAACATAGCTCGTTGCTCGTTGGGGATGTCAGGAGAGATAGGAGAACGGGGTCCACCAGGTCCACCAGGACCGCCGGGACCGCCAGGACCACCAGGACCACCAGGACCACTGGGGTCACCAGGCTCACCACGCGGTAAACCGCCGGAATCGTCATCCAGATCGTCGTTGTTATTGTCGGCACCCGGATTGTCGGGGTCGACAGGAGGGTCTTGATTGTTGTGATCACCAGTGTCCAAATCGAAGTGAGGAGGTGGATCACGAGGAGATTCTGAAGCAGCGCGACATTGGGGTTGTTTCCCCGTACGGCGGGCTATGGCTTGGAGAATTGGAGAATCAATTCGAGTAGTAGACCGGCCCCGAGCCGGAGCGACCACGGGGGGTTGTCCACGGCGAGGGGTCAGGACTTGGACAGGTTGTCCATCACCAGTGTACAAGGTGCTGTATTCGAATTGTTGTTCTTCTTCCATGGCTTCAGGAAGAGTCGACGTAGTAGGAACTGTAGCTGGACCGAAACCGCAATTACGGCGACGTGGTTGACCAATAGCAGAGATAGAGTCGGAGAATGGGGCAAATGATTGAGCTGTGGTGAAGAAAGTGTTTTCTTCGGAGTTAGCTCTAGATTGAGCTCGAGTTTTTGGAGGCATAAAAATGATATGTCAGTACGACGTTAACGGATTGAGTTTAATTATACTGTTAAGATCATGTACACCGTGTAACCGTGCCAAAGCCACAAGGTGCCTAAGTGCGGAAGACGAATGGGACAGTAGTGAAGTTATTAACAACACCGCCGTTACGCCGTTAGTCCCCGGAGATCAAGAGTAGAGAAGGGAGGAACTGAGGAGCAGCCAAGTCGGAGTGGCGGTAACGCCGGTGACGAGGAGCGAACCAGAGAACGTTTAAGTCCTAAGGTTATAGTAGAGAGTACTTCAAGGCGTTGAGCCTGAAGACTTAGAGAAGAGTTAAGTTGGGAAGGGAGATCTAAGTTGATCTAAGTTGATCTAAGTCGATAATTAAACTGAGGAACTACAGTAGCGTACGGGCAGTATTTATATCTACGGAGCGGCGCAGCGGTGCGGAGCGCCAGACTAACTACTAGGAGCTATACGAGTAGTACCTGCAGGGTAAAGTAAAAGACAATAAGGAGGGACTAGAACGAAAGAGTAAAAGACAATAGTGAGAGACTAGAACGAAAGGATATGTGTAGCGAGAAAGAACAATAGGAAGAGATTACAATAAGGAACAGATCTTCGGAGTACCGAGCGGCGGAATGGAGGCCCGCGGCATGGACTTGACAGTTCCTAAGCAATGGAGGTAACAACGGAGAAGCAATACAAGAGTGAACAATGTGGAGAGCTTCAATGTTGCTTACAATTACATCTGCAAAACCTGGATATTCGGCTAAGGGCTGAGAGCAGATCCCAGCAGATCCCAGTGCTGAAAGCACCGAAAGCAACATGCTCTGGGTGCTTTCACTGCTGGGAAGTGCTCTCGACCGCTTTCGGACCCTTAGCCGAAAATACAGGTTTTGCAGATGTAAGGTCCCAGTGCTTGGGAAACAAGTAAAACAAGTAAGGAGCTTAAGGGAGGTGTCGAGGAGGTTGGTTCACCAAAACAGTAAACATTTGGGGAGCTTTAGAATTGGTCAGGGAGGTGTACTCACTTGGGATGCTGAAACATGGTGTAAAAGCATGTATTGGATCATATAGATGACTGTAGAGACAAGAGACAGATGTAAAAAGAGAGAGAGTAAGGAAACAGTGAGTAAGAGAAAATCCATACAGGCAGCAGGTACAAAGGGACAGGGACTGGACCTATGTTAAAGGGTGTGTGATCAAAATATACCAAGCTGGGGCTTCAAACATTTATAAGGTTGCTTAAGTAGATATGGGGAAGTTAACAAGATAACATTGGAGGGACTGGTAAGTATAAAGTAGGTGATCAAGATTAGTTACCAATGAAGATAATGGTAGCATGTGTGCATTGTGGGAGGTTCTGAACCTGTAGGGTGGTAGGTAAGTAAGGTAAGTAACCAGTGTTGCGGGAGGTACAGTGCATACTGGAGGAAGGTGGTCATTCTGGGGACTCAAGATGGGGGGTCCAGAGGAAGGTCTGGGAGAGATCCCAAAAGGGTAGGGGAAAGGTTGAGGAAACAATGGTTAACTGGTCAGGGCATGACAAATATCTATCTACTGAAATAAGTATTCATTATCTTTGTGTGAACTTACAAATTTCATGAAGTCAAACTGAGTAAAGAACATGATGCAAGCAAGGTGTATGTCCCCAATGGGTACAAGGATAGGGTTGGTAGCACAAAATAACAACAGCTAAAGCCTTATTGATATACAGCGCGTTTCCAGCTGCTTACCTTCAGCTCTGAAACAGCATACATAGAGAGCGCCCAAAATTAAGAAATCAAAGATGAATCGCCTCAGTTTGAGCCGCGCCATGATTCACGGCGACACATTGCCGGGCGGCGGGCAGAGAGACATTTTGTATGCACGTGCCGTCAATGTGCTGCTCCACTCAGACCGCTACTGTAACTTTACTTTTCCTTATTCCCTACTTCATATTCCCTATCGATAAAATCATCGTCTATCTCTTATACTGGCTTCGCGCCCATCAAAGCGTTCTCTCTGGCCTTTCAAGAAGCGCAACCGAAGGAATTCGTTGAACGTAGTTGATCGCAGTACGACAGCTCCACTTCCAGTGTCTTCACGCCATTCCTCCCCTCATCCATCCCCGCAAATGGTCCCGGAACTCACACAAAGTCCACCTACGAAAGCCAATCTGAGAGCTTGGTGGAATACTTTCACTTCGGCGCAGAAAGCGAAGAGGGACGGCGAAGGCAAGGGTAAGTCTTCAGCCGATGACGTTCGGATAGTTCATCTTAATCTGTAGACTGAAGATGAGCCGGAAAACGCAGTCTTTGGGAAGCCTTTGAAAGAGAGTTTGAGATATGCAAGTGTGCAGATATCTACAGCCAATGCGAATGGTGAACTCTACGTCTGGGGATACATTCCTGTAGTTGTTGCCAAGTGGTATGTTACAGCCCGTTACGCTGATTGTAGTAGGATCTGACGAGCTCTGTTAGTGGTCTCTACCTGAAGGAAAATGGTACTTAATGATCCCTTCTCGCGCTCAAACAATTACTTGATATCCTGTGTAGCGACAGAAGTTGAGGGCACGTTTCGTGTGAATGGTTCTGCAAAGCGTATGAGGGAGCTTCAAACTATATTTGAGACACCACCGCGGGTATGTAATTCTTTCTTTCCATAAGCTCCCTGATTGAATGCATCGCATGCAGTACGGCAAGTCCTTGGACTGGAAGCAGTCCCCGTATACAGCCCATGATGTTGCAAGCGTATTCCGGCGGTATCTGACAAGAATGCCTGTGAGCGCGCGCCTTGTTGCACTTTGCTGCTCTTGACTGTTCATGACCGTCTAGGAACCAGTCATACCCTACGAAATGTACCACGGTGTAAGCGGTCGCTCTCCTGTTCCTCCAATATCAGCTCAAATTCCCACTAAATCATAGTTTCGAGATGCATTAGGCACGTATCCTGTATCCATACACCCACAAAACCTTACTTCCCCCTTCGCGTAGCCAAACAACCTTTCAATCAAGAAGAAGTTATTGCGACCTATAAACGACTAATACGGCAAATGCCCCGTGCCAACCAATATCTTCTTCTATATGTTCTTGATTTACTATCAGTCTTTGCACGGAAATCGGACAAGAATCTAATGACTGCTACAAGTGAGTATTGTCATATCCTTTGTCGTTCTTAAGTTCATTTTCTGTGAAGATCTCGCCGTTATTTTTAGGCCTGGTTTAATGTCACATCCAGACCATGATATGAATCCAAAAGAGCATGCACTCAGCCAAAAAGTGCTGGAATTCCTAATCGCTCAACAAGATTGGTTCATGCTAGACATACCCCCTCCACCCACAAACGAGTCAGGATCGCCAACTTCTTTGGTCTCAGAGGAGGATGTCACGGTCTTTCCTAGTTCTGATGAAGAACATCAGGTCGGCGGAGGGTGGAAGCTGGTCGGGAGGGAACCAAAGCTCTCGCGGCGAAAGACGACCATCGGTAAGTAACACATCTTCATTTGAGACGTTATCCGTAACGCTGATTTTTCTTCAGAGCCCCGGAGACCCACAACTCAAGAAGGGAATCTATCTCCAGTAGCCGAGAGTCCTCCTGCGAAACCTGCTGATCCTGAAGGAGGTGCTCTCGGTGTCACACGAAGTCGGACGCTCCCTTCAGGACGAAGGGGTCCTTCTTCTTCTTCAGAGTCCACGAATGCAACGGAACGGGAGGCTCGACGTGTTCTTCGCAAGCAGAAACGAGCCTCGTCATCACAACCGAGTCATAAAGGAGGGACTTGACATACATATACATAAGATTTTTTTACTGGTAAGGAACCCTTAATCGTATAATTTGACCTATCGTTTTGTGTACTTTATTCTACTCGTCCTTCATACCCCTGTCTGCATGGACTTTATAAGTTTAGCTTTTATATATTACTTCTAGATCTCGAGAACTATTTGGATGATTGAACCTTGATGCGCAGTCTACGCCGCGACGCGAATATCGGAATATTGCTGCGCAGCTCGACGTACAAATATAGATTGAGGAAGTTATTTATTTTCCACACTCTTCCTTATTCTCTCACCGACAGGAAGGCTGATCAGCTCAGCTTCCACATTATTTCAACAGCCCAACGTGTCCTAACTCACCATGTCGAGGTACAGAGACTCTCCACAACCTGACTTGCAAGACTACTATGATTCTGGCTCAGTGCGTTGAGGATTTGTCTGTTGGTCCTATCTTAATGAAATCACTGGTTGTAGCCTACACATCGCCTATCCGGCAACGCCATTCCTTCACATTCTCCTAGAACTACTTCCAATGATATTCCATCGAGTCCCCGCCTGGGTGGTAATTCTGCCGGAGGGGAATCCACAACGGCGCTAAACACCCCTTACACAGACGCTCCCCGTCGGCAGCACTTTGGCGACAGACGAGGAGAATTTCAAGCAACAAACGACACTTGGATGGAGAAGGCTCCGGCCAAGAGTAAGAAGACACGTTATTTGGTGGGTGATTTTGACAGAACATGAAAATGCTTCACTGAAACCCTCTGAAACCCTTCAGGTTATTGGTGGACTTGTCCTCGCTATCCTGATAGGCGTCGGTGTTGCACTTGGTGTTGTTCTCTCTAAGAAGGACAGCAGCACGAGTACCTCATCCTCTTCATCTGTCGTCAACCAAACCGACGCAAATGACCCCAGCTCATTCGAGAAGGATTCTAGGCTGAAACAATCTTTCTATGGTATTGCGTATACGCCTGCTGGTTCTCAATATCCTGATTGCGGGAACTCATTGGGTACTTGATCTCACATCGTCCGCTGTATGCGCACTGACTGTTGTGTTTTAGACGATGTCATCACAGACATTCAGCTACTTTCTCAATTGACCACCGTAATTAATCTTAAATTAAATCTATCTTTAGCTGTTGCGCCCCAGCTGACAATTTATAGCGTGTTCGTCTATACGGGGCTGACTGCAACCAATCTGCACTGGTGGTGAATATTCGTGCGATGGTAAAAATAGTTACACACCTCTAACCACTTGTTTTAATATAGCTCGAGGCCATCAAGCAAACGAAGGTAAACATGTCGGTGGTTATCGCCAATTATCCTATTGCGACGGATGACGGCGCCGCCTATGAACGACAAGCGTTGGTCATTGAGGATGCCCTCACCACCTACGGTACGTTTATACTATACGTACTTGGGTGTTCGTGTTACTCAAAGCTTTCTCAGGTACAGATAATATCATTGGCGTTACGGTCGGTAATGAATTCATTCTCGAGTGAGTTCTCCTCCGATTCGTGTCTTCCTGGGTACTAATTACTTTACATAGTTATCTGGATGATAACGGAGCCACCGATCCCAACTCGGATACTGGAAATACTGGCGCAGAGATTCTTCTGGGTTTCAGTCCGTCTGCTTCACTCCATCGCACATTTCCCTTAGACGCTAATGGCCTTATAGTTAATGATACGAAAACCATGCTTTCGAACATGAGTATCTCCCTCCCAGTCGGCAATGCTGATGCAGGGTCTTACTTCAACGACCTTGTCCTCGAAGACGTTGACTATGGCGCAAGTCCTCCCTTTTCAATAATCTCTCGAATTCATCAACTCAAAAACTCTCTTCTAGATGGCTAATGTTCATCCATGGTTCGCGAATGTCAGTGTGGACGATGCTGCTGGCTGGACATGGCTATTTTTCCAGGATAACGATGTTGAGCTAGCCGAGAGCTTGTCCAATAATCCAAGCATGTCGATTGCTGAGACTGGTTGGCCGACCGTTCGTTTCTTTGTTCTACTTTCCTGGAAGCGTGTGTTGAATTTATACTGAAACGGTAGAACTCGACCGATGCCGGGAACGAGTCCAATGGACCGTCTACTGCTACAGAAGCAAATCTGCAGGTACATAACCTCTCAATACAATGTACATATTATTCACCTCAGGCTCTTCAACAGACTTTTCTCGACACATTTGTTTGCCAGGCAAATACGAACGGTACAGAATATTATTTCTTCGAAGCCTTTGATGAGGTATGGAAATTGGAGGAGTTTGGCGGTGTCGAAGGTTACTGGGGTCTATTCTATTCTAAGTGAGAATTACAAATGTATCAATTCCTCTCTTGTTGACTTCATTTGCACCTCTACAGCAAAACCCTCAAAGACATCACCATTCCGGACTGCTCCTCTTGATCATGATTGACATCATGCTGGACATTCGAACCTTCTATGGACTACGGACAATGGATTAATCTTTCCCAATAAGACTCTTTCATCTTATTTTTCGCCCTTCTTATGCTATTCCCCTTTCCATTGTTAATACATGGAGTCATGATACTATCCATACTCAAACGAAGTTGAGGGTAGATCTGTCTTTGCATTGAACTATGTCTGCTGGCAGTGCAATGCCCCCCTTTTGCGTGTGACAATAAAATCAGCCAAATTCATACCATGCACCCAGTGCAGTGGCCCATAATCCCATTAAAGCCCATTTCTCTGATGTTAAGAGATGGTACCAATGGTAACTTATTTTGCATTTCTTTCAATGTCTATGTAACTTTTTCTTTAGTATTGACATCGTACGTTGTCAATGTCTAGCAATTTTTCGTGAGAGTTACTCAATTTTGAAAACAAATATTGGAATATTAACTGTCACTCTCTAAAAAAGCGTATGTACTACTGGCAGGCCCACCTCCACTTATAGCTGAAAGATGATGCTCACTCGCTGTCAAACGTCATATTGGAATGATCACTGCTGTCTGATGGTTCTAGCCACTGACTGGCCTTGCGCTCCTGTTATTCTCACTCAGTCATAGTTGGGTATTCTCATCCCGAGTTTGGGATGATCACTGCTGTCTGATGGTTCCAACCACCAGCCTTGCTCTCTTGCCATTTCTACTCAGCCGTAAGTGGGTAATCTCATATGTGCGCCATTACTCTATGATCCCTGATTTTTGTAGAGCAGTGGGCTTGGCTGTCCAGCACAAATTGTCGTCGGTAGTATTTCGTGCTTGCTATGTTCCCCTTCAATCTATCATGTATGAATGACTTGTTCGTACACACCGGTGTCATCCAGGCAGCGACCGCTCCATTGAATTTGAAATTGACGCAAATAGGTTGGAGATTTCAAAGAAGGGATACCTCGAACCTAGATTTTATCGATGAAATCAACATCAACCTCGCCCTTTCGCATATGCTATTATCGCAATCGCTTTACAAACATCCCAAGGATGAACTTCACCTCCTCGGAAATGAGAAGGCGGTATCGGGCGCCCGTTCGTGCACGGTGCACTTTTGCTCATTCACACATGGTTATGACATTTCCTCCGTTGAGAGCGACGACGCTATCCATTCGGCTTGCCAGATGGTGATGGTTCGCTATGCTTTCGTGAGGGTGAACCATGGAAGCATCGGGGCCTTTCTGTTAAAGTATGTACTGACTTTGCCTCCTTTATGGAGTAGTAATGCATACGGGATACGAGTACTGCATGCATCCGTCGCTCATCACAGCTTCATGACAATGTAACTGGCCAGACCACAGTTTCTTCAGCTTCGGGTGCTTTTCCTCACTTCTCTTCGAAAGCTCAGGATTCTTGGAATTCTACCGGAGATAGATTGAATTGAACAGAAGACTCATCCACAAAAGTTAAAAATCTGCCGCTCATCAAACCAGCTTGAGGCACAGCATGAACCGTCCAGCAAGGGCGAGCTGAACCCTGCTGAACCGCGCAAGCTCTGATGAACACATCGAGGAAGCTATGTCTAAATGTCGAAACAGGGCTTCAGGAGAATCCAGAACCCGATGTATTAGATATCACACAACCACCGCCGTGATTACATGCCTGAATTACCGTTTAATGAAACCCACAAGTTCCTTCTGAAGTTCCCGTTGCCTGCGTGTCTTTTCCAGATCGTCTAGACTGCGAAGGTCGTATATAATGTCTCGTGTCTTCCCAAAGTATACCTGTAAAAACGCATGCGAATTAAGACGATGAGGGATAGACATAAGGCACACCTCTTGAAGCAGATTACGCATTTTGATTTCCATCTCTTCGATCATTTTGCCAGTGTTAGTTATATGAGAGGAAGAGTCGTGAATAGGCCAGTCTTGCTCCGTCTGAAAGAGAATTGGTCAACAAGATACCCGACTTCACTGCATAGAGCCATAGACATTAACCTGACGTGTCATACTACCTCCTAAAGTAACCTCGCCATCGCGCTTCCAACCTTCTTTTCCGTCTGCTTCATTGTCCTTTTTCTTCATAGTAAGTTGCAGCATGACAGTGGAGGTAAGTTTGTAGTGCGCCTGGCGGCCACGCTCCGCGGTCTCAAATACATGGATAGAGTCCCAGGATCCCGAAGGTTCGCTCGAGGCAGAAGGCGCCATCGCTGTAGAGCAATAGTCATTAGTTGTGGAATGGCGTCGTCAAACTCAAATCATTGCCAAAACCCACTCTTCTTCAATAACACCACACCTGCAAAGCCGCCATCGTCCAAGTCCCACAGATAGACAGAGGATACACCGCCTTCATAATACCTAAGCGACTCATGATGAGCGGGGATAATCTGGGGTGTCACTTTATTTCCTACATTTCACGATACGTGTCGAAGGCATCATTAGCCGCTATCTCGAGCTTTCTCAGCCTGGGTGTTGGAACCGTTCCGTCTTCAAGCGGCGGGTCATATTCGTTTGACCAGGGTGATCTGATCCAAACGATTCATCACTTGTAAGCTGCTCTTACGGCGTGGAAGAGCACTGTTTACACACACGCATACCTGTAGCTCTCACCGTCCCGGTTGTAGTCACAAGCAAGATATTCCTTCCCGGTAGCACGATCAGTCTTGAGTTGCAAGGGTTGGTCAACGCTTCCTAGCAGATCATCGGCGTAGTCTGGGCAGATTCCAATTAATGAGGCGACATTTTCTTCAGTTCTTGTCGGTGGAAGCCTCCGCATGAGATCTAGCATCGAGTCAACGAGATCAGCCATGGCGTCGGGCGTCGTAGAACGAAAAACAGAGGCCAGCGCTTATAACTTGGGGAACATGACAAGCGCCCAGCGGTTGTATCCGCGATCAACAACAGTATTATTCTATCCTCGCGACGTGAACACGATGTTCCCTGTTAACGCTGTCATGGCGGAGGCCCCCCGCTCTCCGAATAGTGAGTTCTAATTATCGCATGAACATCTACAAAGCAGCTCCCGCATTACTTAGTTTCCCACTTACATACGTAGAGCACAAGCGTTAGGTCTTGCCGATTACAAAACCTTCTCACCTACTAATTAATAGCACTCTGCCTCTCAATGTGATGTGTCGTTGACACCTTACATGCTTGCTTTAGCTCCACAGTCAGAGAAAATTCTTCCCTCAGATTTTCGAAAGGGTGAATAAATCCTTATGGGTCAACGCCGATATGACTTTCAACATGGTTTGCTACGTCGACGTGATGGCCCTTGGTACATAGGCATCGAATATCAAGGAAGTTGAAGCTTCGAATGGGGTTCTGGTAGGGTGATAGGACAAGAACTTGGACAGCTATTTGGACATATTAGGTTGATTAGTGTTCTATTACTCTGAATAGCGACCGTTCGTTTTGCCATCCCTCACTGTGTTCAAGGGTTTGAATAAGATGCGCGTGCATGCGTACGGGCATATATCCCAGGGCGTTACCCTTCTATGACTTGTGCTCGGACCCACGTTCGACTCTGAAGGAGAGAGTTGACAAGGTATTGATGAGTCTTGGAGGGGATAGATAGAGCCCATACCCATACGCAATAATCCAGTCATGTACACCTCGTGGGGATAAGAGTAACCGTTTTAACATGATGTCTCAAGAGTATCATTGAAGCTTCCTAAATCCAACCTATTTCACAGAACGGTTATTATATCAGTGAATGAGCAATCACTCCGAATGTGAAAGACGTGTTAGTGCAGGTGGTGACAAGCGCGAAAGCATGACTGGCGGAGAGCTTGGGCTTTGCAGAATGTCAGTATTTTAGACCTGCGTCAAAAATTCAACAAGGGGCGGTCACTCAGCTCTACTAGTACTAAAGGATATAAGCAATTTCACCCCTTGTCTAAAATATTTGAAAGGAAGTCAGTAATAGATATACGAGACATAGTCCGCCTCCCGAAGAACACGGCACGATCTACATGAAATCGTCCGCATTGGTACCAAAGTCATCTAGCACCTCATCATAAACGCCAGTATCAACCCTGACAAAAACATGAGAAGGACACCGAGGCAACCAGATAAATCAGGATTGACGTACTTGTTTGCCACTTTCGCAGAGCCCAAAGTAGGTTTGGAGGCAGCTTTTTTCTTCTTTCCGCTAGCTTTATCCCTCGCCTCCTTCTGCTTCTCATTTGCTAAGGTCGTTAAACCACTCGCAGCTTTTCGCACCTCGACATCTTTAAGTGGACCCGCCAGTTCCCGCACATGATGCTCGACGAAGGCAGGATAGAGAGGTTTGTTTTGATGTCGTTTCATCACCAATTCGATTATCATCGTTGATAGTTTAACAAAGTCTTCCTTTGTTCGAGGCTGGAATGAGAGTAAAGAATCTAAATCTTTCGACGTTGTACCTACGATAGAGTCGAGGATTAGATATCCAGATATGAGTAAGATGAACAATGATATTGACCTCCAAGGGCAGCAGCGCCAAACAGATCCGCTGCATTGTTGAGGTCCGAATTCAGCTCTTTCTCTTTCAATCTTCGGGCTTTTTCTCTCGGATCCAAGACTGCGTCAGAATCGTAAGCATCGGAGTCATCCTCGTCATTCCGCAAAGCCTTCATGGCTTCTTTCTCCGCCAGCTTCGCCTTCAAGGTACCCTTTTTCTTCGGAGGCGCAGCAGTAACAGCAGGCGTTGGTTTGGCCTCTTCTTCCTCCGATGAATCTTCCCAGTCGCTCTAGATACCTTATTTCATCAGAAATATCCTCTAAAGTGCGAACTAGTGACGCACAGCAGGTGCTTCATCTTCCTCGTCCTCTCCCTCCCATTTTCCCTTGCTTTTCACTGGGACAACCTTTGGAGGGGGGTTCGTGACTTGTTCATCATCGGATTGCTCTGTATCCAAGTTGTTCAGTCTTGGCTTTATCTTACCCTTGATAGCTCTTGAACGCACCCCACTCAGACATTCTGGATCGAAAAGATCTCGATAATCTGAAGGAGAGTAAGAGATCAAAAAGGAAATTGAAAACGACCAGCGCTTAAATTACTTCCCGCCCATATGGCCATGTCCCCCTCCAGGTACACACTATGTAACACTATCTCTGCAAATTAGGTCCCTAATTCACAATTGAAGGTCTCAGCTACTGAAGATAGCAACTTCGTTGGTCCCGACGTACGGTTTCACTCGGGAGACACTCTCGCGTTCTGTGCTGGAGTTGCCAAAGGACAGGGCTCATTCTGAGCCTCTCTCAGAAAACGCAGTATCTTCGTTGTTCGGATCAGGGGACTATGCTAAGAAAACTCTGATTGAAGCTTGGCTGAGTGAAGGTATAACTCAGATGGCGTCCGCGCCGTCCCCATCCTTGGGCCATGTCCTTCATGCAAGGTTGAGTTATAATGAACCCGTGCTCCATTTTCTTCCTGAGGTGAGCTGCTCTAGCTATAAATCTGACGGCGTCGTGGAAATGAAGAATATCCTACAGGCATTCGCTTTGCTGGCCTCGCTAGAAGGCGGTCTACCACCACTTGATCCTCGACCTGCTTTGAAACACGCCTCGCGGATAGCCGATGAAGCTTCCTATATCTCAGGCGACGCTTCGACTCAGGTATGACTACATACTTCATGTACTGCGGCTTCAACTGAAATTGGACGCAGCTCTCTTGGTATACGCGTAGGGCATCGCTAGCGGCGATATATTCTGCTGCAGGTACACTTCAAGCCATAATGGTATGAGTATGTTACTGACTCGCCTGCTTAGAGCTTCATCAATTTACATCTCCCAGAACCGCTCATGCATTCCTTGATTCTCTGTTGACCGGCTCTTCTGCTCTCAAACAATCTGTGGACGAAGTTCAGCTTTTCTCAAGTTATGTCTTGCAAAGTTGGAAAGGGATACTTCAAAGTAAAGGAATTCTGTAGATTAAATATTGGACGTGTATAGACATTGTTGGGAAACTCTTCTGGCCTCCATCTGTAAATAGCCTGGGGTATACCGTATAATGGCATTGGTGTAGTGTGTATCATTTTGATATTGCGCCATGGCGCCACAAGCTTGCCTTCTACCATGACCGAAGGCATTGGTTTCCAATCAAATTTCTCCTGTAGCCACTCGGTCGTACTCCCTCATCCTATATCTGAAGTTTTTACTACTATCGGAACGACGCAAGGCCACGAACGCGTTTGTCGCCTATCTAAGCTATGCACCAACTTCGAGCTCTTAAACTCTGATACCGTCTCGCTCCCTGCCAAAGCTGCTCTTTCCGATAGCCACGTCAGGACACTGCCTACCTCTGACTCTAGAACGGCTGAAGCACAAAACGCGTCGGAGGATACACGTACGCTTCCCCGTCAGGCCTTTACTATGACCGAGACTATTCCGCTAGTATTTGGTCTGTTCAAGAACGACGTGATTTTGAATGGAACTTTGACCTGGGATGAATCTACGAAACTGGCGCTATACGAAACCGAGTCCAACAATGGAGTCCAGGTCTGGAAACTTCGGACATTTGAAGAGGTCGACGCGAATTCCACTAGAGTTTCTGAGCGTATTGAAGGCGTTTGTCCGCGTTGGCTCAGGGCTATTGTTCAAAGGGAGGCTTCAAAAGGACATATGTGCGTTGAATTTTCGGCATTGTGTTCCTGTAATGCTCAAGACATTGTGACTGTTCAGTGCGCATATGAATGAGTATTATACATTGTTCTAAGAAATCTCACCATCGTCACGTAGCTCCCTGTAGCTGATCCACGTCTTAATGCATCTCTTGTGGTATTTGATGCGCGGCACAGTTCATCTGAACGAAAACGATCATAGTATCATCTGCTTGGATTATAACAATACAATTGCAGGTATGTATATACAAATATGAAATACAAAATGTACTGTCCGTTCATAGAAGGACCTTTTTCAATCCCGCCTTCTGCGACGATGTTAATCGATCTGGAAAGACGACATTCCATTTCACAATCAAATCACCCTTTTTCTTCACCGTGCCATCTTTCCTGATAGGCATACCCTCTCCATGAACAGTTGTCTCCTGCCCGGGTTTGATGACACCAGCAGGTAAATCCACTTGTATCTTCCGCCCGTCCAGCGATTCCACCTGCTTCTTGCCACCTTCGTGGGTCAAAGCCTCCAGAAGGGGTATTGAAATGTTACAGATAAGGTCATTCCCTTCTCGCTTGAAGGTATCATGTGGTTTCTCTTCTACAACGAAGACCAAGTCTTGCGCCTCGCCGCTTGCCTGCTCATTGCCTGCGCGCGCAAAGCGAATCTTGGTCCCGCTCTTCCAGCCAGGGTGGACCTGAATGTCGAGCACCTTGTCCTCCGTCGAACCGTTGAGTAGTCTTCGCCCGACTTTGAGATGCTTGACAGCCCCGTTGTACAGATCCTGCAGTGATACTTTGAATGGACGGGTAATTTCAGAGGGGGCTGCTGACTGTTTAGAATAAGAGTTGGAACGAGCAGGACGCGATGGTCGACTTCGTGGTATACCACCTCCGAAACTGGGGTAGGAGCCGTCCATATCGTCGTCTGCATCAGACATTCGCATGCCAGGCCGACCACCCATACCACCCATGCCGAACGCAGAGTTGAGTCCAACACCGAATATTTGTCTGAGGAAATTCAAAGTCAGTAACCTGAGAAAGGCCAATTTGCGATATGCACTCACTCGAAGATCTTATTAGGATCAGATGGATTAAACGACCCTCCGGAAGAGCTGAAACCTGAGGGGCCTGAGCTGGAGAAGCTAAATGTAGAACCACCTGGGAATCCACTGAAGCCGGAGAACCCGCTGGGACCTGCACCGGTACCTGCACCAGGTGGCGGGCCTCCACCGCCTTTGAGACCCTCTTCACCGAACTGATCATATATGGTTCGCTTCTGTTTGTCGCTCAGAACTTCGAATGCCTCGGATATCTACGGATAAGTGAGCATCGTGTACAAGTACACACAACTTGCGATTCTCTTACCTCTTTGAACTTTTTTGATGCTTCTTCTGAGCCGTTGTTTCGATCAGGATGCCATTTTAAGGCCTGAGGAGTAGTTTGTAAGTCAAGTAGGACAGCAACCCAACCTATCAGCAACTTACCATCTTCTTGTAAGCTTTCTTAATGGCATTGTCGTCGGCGTCTTTGTCGACGCCCAAGAGCTTGTAGTAGTCAGTACCCATGTAGTTGGAAGTTTAGGGATTTTGAGGAGAAGAATTATTGTGTTGGACAAGAAGTGCACGCGAGAATGTAACGTATATGTTATATGTTCGTGGAGGAATGACAGATGGTTCCTCTCCTTTCTAGACGCTTCGAGAAACCTGAATGTGAGAATAATGACGTCGATTCCGGGAGTGCGGACCGATGAATGGCACTTGGCTGAGTTTATGTATCAGCTTTCATTGTGCGGCGGTATGTATAGGCGATGTTGAGCTATGTTAAGAGGCCTCGCTCTTCCTGTTCCTGTTCTGCAGCACGATTTCGATTTTTGTGTTCAACTTTGCGCGCGAACTTGCATGGCAAATTTAAATTGGAAACCCTAAGTATGTAACCGTTTGCCGGCGGCCACAAGCCTTCCCAAGCCCTCCTTTTCAACATCTTCCACCAATGGCTGCGCCTTCTATAACCCCAAGGCCTCCAAAAAGACATCTCGACACTGACCGGACTGACTCGCTCATCCGAAGATCATGGCATGCAATGTCCGAGCGACTTTCTCCCTTCTCTCCTGCAGCACTGGCTTCTCTCCCAAAATTATCTCGTCCTTCACGATACACTCGAGCAGATGCTATTCCCACTGCAGAAGAGGACCATGACGGCCAGCGACCGACTGTACGGGACTACCATTCGATAAGCCACCTGCCCCCTCAAGTCAGAGTTCCGAAGAAGATAAAGACACCGGTTAGAGTGGAAGGAAAGGTCTGGTTTGCGAATGAGCGAAGTGAATCGTGCTTTGTGACTTTTATCTATATCTGCGACCTTACCTATGCGCCTTATTTCTTAGCATGGGTTTCCTGGCTTAATCTTGCAGTACTTTTGGGAACTCTTTCACTGGCTCTTTTCAACGCATCCAAAGACACTGTAGCCCGCAATTTTGCCTATACATATGCAGTGATTAGTATCATCGTGATGGTGTGTGTGTGCTCCCTTCTTTTAATAAGATCAACTTATCTTGACTGTCCTCGTTAGATCTACGGCTACGGGTTGTATCAGCATCGTATTACGATGATTCGGAGACGGGATCCTGGACACTTTGGTATGCGGCATCATTACCCCATTTTCTGCTTGATAACCTCTTCTCAGACGCTATGGCTGGTCCCGTTCTTGTCAGCATACTGTTGTTCTTCGCCATTCTCGCCAACTTCATCATTCGCGGTAGGCCGTTCCTTTTTGATATTTTGTCCCACTCTTACTAATATTTTCCTCAGTTCGTGAACTGTAAGTTACTTGACCATTTCCGCGTCACATTGTGTACATTGACTGCGTTTATAGCCAAGAGAAACATATACCTATTCCCGGGGCGGACTTCATTGCCTCATTTCGCAATCTTCGCAACACGCAAATTTCCATGCCCAACGTCACACCCTCATCATTACAATAATGGTGTATCACTTATACAAGGATGTTGTACAATTGTGTCGCAATTACAGTACATGGAAGCCCGAAGACAGACCAAGATTTCCAATCGAATGCTTCATCTATGCTTTATTTAGTCAAAGTCACGACAAACACCCGAGTCCGACTTGTGCATGCGCACACGTGAGTACCTCTGAGTAAGGTTTGACAGTTGGGATGTGCATTTATTCTGCCGGTTTGTCTGAGCCCACAAACACGAGCTCTGTAATCTTCCGGCTGTCATACGACAAGTCTTCGGACATGGACTCGATCCTTTAATGTGGAAAAGAATGGTCATGGTCAAAGTAGTGAGACGAATTGAGTCATTCGTTCAAGACCATACTCACTTGACGGTGACTGTCTTGTATCTGATAAATGGAACAATTTCCCCCGTATCCGGATGTGGTTTCCTGATACCAGTGATGTAGTAGAACCCGCCAAACGCCCCGTTCTGAGCACGGAAATTACGAAGCGTCAATCGATAACGATTGGGATCTGGAAACGGGATCAATGGATACTTACCCGATGACTAGGATCCTTGGGTACTTCAGCCTGCTCTCTCCAATGCACTTTTAATCCCCCTTGGGGACCAGGTCTCATCATCAACACCAATTTATCGATCATCGGCCGAGGGAGAGGAGAGCCATTCAATGTCGCGCGAACGTCATCCGGAAATGTGTCTGTTATGGCTTTTAGAGCGTCCTCCTCGGTGACTGCTTCGAAAATCGCAGCCATATGTTCCTCTGACCATTGCGCGAGGGTGGAGAGCTTGATGGCCTGCGGCGCAGAACCGTTGATTTGTTCGGGCATGATGAGGGGAAAGCTCGATGGAACGAAAGTTTTGAAGTTTGAAGGGATGAAATAGGGTCGATCAAGGCTGATTGCAAAGGAGTGCACAACCTGTGCACAACAAACCCGGGGCCGTTTTCTTATCACGAACTACATATTGGGAAGGCACACAATTGGTTGTTTCGCCGCCGACGACGCCCGGATAGCGCGCATTACAGTACATAGCCGGTTATTTTTTACAGTGGTTGCAGGTGGTTGCCAGCTGAAGCTTCTGTATATATGTCACGTCGAAAGTTGTTGTGTTTACTGTACATATGTAACATATATGCACTGGGCTCTACAATTGTACATACATTGAAATTTGGCGCAATATTTCGACGGTGAAGGCACTGCAGCGTTCTGCAGTGTTCAAGCAAGCCACATGTTGGAACGCATTGTGTCATACGTCTTGAACAGTTCATTAGGCTATACGAATATTGCTGGTTCCTGGGAAGTATACATCGTCTTGAGAGTGATACAAAACAAACTCATAGAAGACATCCGCCAGAATAAGTAATCACCGAACAAGCTGAGCATCGGCTAAAGGATTCGCGTGAATAGTTACCTAGGTCGAATTCATGTGAATCGGCCGGTAATAAGAAGAGAAAATAGAAAAAAGCATACGTGAGTTAACTTTATTTCAGATAGAGGTCGATTTTTAGGATTGACAGGTATTCGTTCCATGGAATCAAGCGTGGAGTCGGCACCATCGATGACTTTACCAATGATGGTGTACTTTCCGTCAAGATGAGGTTGTTTGGCATAGGTTATGAAGAACTGTGATTTGTTCGTATCGGCACCAGAGTTTGCCATCGCGACTACGCCGCGGGCGTTAAACTGATGAAAAGGTGTGAGATTAACAGAAAAAATTGCACAGACACGGCGAAGCTGGAACAAACCTTTAGGGTTGACCGTATCTCGTCTGCGAATGGTTTTCCCCATATACTCTGACCACCCTTACCTGAGCCAGAGGGATCACCGGTCTGGATCATAAAGCCCTTGATATTGCGATGAAAGATGCATCCATCGTAGTAATTTGATGCACATAGCGCAAGGAAGTTCTGTCAAAAGGGAAAGGATTCGCAGGAGTCTTGATATAATGATTCGTGATGACCATACCTCTGCGGCTTTGGGTACAGCCTCGCAGAATAACTCGATCTAGGCAAGGAGCCGGTTAGCTGCTGAGATAGCAAGAGCCGGGGAGAAGGGCTTACTTTGAGCTCTCCGTGAGTTGTATGAAGTGTTACTGACTGTGAATAAGAAATGAGTGTACGCCGGTAGTGTAAATGAAGGAAGAGTGCGAACCATTTAGCCTGGGAAAATTGTATCCAGATCTTGATTTCGACCGACTACATCTCCGTTTCGAATATATCTATACCCGTTTCAAATATCTTTTCGCTACCACCATCACTCAAATTGCCTTCTGCCTCTCTTTTTGTCCTCCTTCTCTCTCTGTACCACCATGAGGACCCCTTCAATCTACAGTCAGGATGACCCCCTCACTGAGGCCCTCAAGCCTCCAGAATCTGAAACTGAACTCGAAAGACGAGCTCGCCTTGAGGAGGAAGCGGAAGCCAAAAGAGTGTCCGAGCAAATTGATGAGGAACTGCGATTAGAAAGGGAAAGTATGAAGAGGAAGAGAGGCGATGTCAAGGTACTTCCGCTCATCGTCGATTACAACACGTTCCGATACTATCCTATACAGCTTCTGTTGCTCGGTCAAGCGGAGTCTGGCAAGAGCACTCTGCAGCGACAATTCCAGCTTATGTGATTCCAGATCTCTTCATGCATTTCATACTGTTACGAACTGAAAATGACAGGTATAAACCGCATTCACTCGAGCAGGAGCGGGCGTCCTGGCGCACAGTCATCTACTTTAACGTCGTACGCTCAATAAAGCACATTCTCAATACATTAGAGTCTTGGGATGACTATATAGACGACGATATGGCCCTTGATAGCCCTACCTCGAAATACATGGGAGGTTCTCGATCCGGTACTTCTTCTCCAGTTATAATGAATCCTCCTTTGGAAAATAGCAATGCTCACTCGCGCTCAGCATCTCCGTTTCAGGGCAACGCAGCAACCTCTCGCTCTACTATTGCAAGCCTTCGGAGGCGCCTTTCCCCACTGGTAACGACTGATACAGCACTCGCTGATAGACTTAGCGGAGGTATCACCGTTTCAGGATCTGGGAAAGGTGGTGTCTTCGTTCGAAGTGGTTGGCAGGCGCGCACCATTGAAAACGCATTGGGACGCAAACGTGGCCGGGTTTCAGATGAACTTAGTCCCAAGAAGCCTGATGAAATCCAAGATGTTCTTGTGCAGGATGTCAGTCGTATGCTCGACGCATCGAAGGATGACATTCGTGAGCTGTGGGCTCATCCTACGGTCAAGGGATTAATTGTGAGAAGGAGATTGAAATTGGACGAGTGGTCGGAATTGTAGGTATTCCTGCCAATTCATTCCTTACTCCTTTCGCTGAATACCGTCAAAAGTTTTTTGAGGCACATAACCCGTGTTGCAGCCTCTGACTACGTTCCTTCCACCGGTGTGTCTTTCTACATGATGCATATATACACATTGCTCATAAATCACATCGCGCAGATGACATTCTTCATGCTCGTATTCAGACCATGGGTGTCGCAGAGCATATTTTCGATGTCAGTAATACTCGATTTCGACCTTCTAGCAAGCTTAACCCGGTTGGTCCTCACATAGGTCAACATTCACGGAAAATCCGTTTCCTGGCATCTGTTCGATGTCGGCGGTGCTCGCGGACAACGGCACACTTGGGTCCCGTATTTCGATGATGCAAACGCGTGAGTTATGAATGGATTTGCGAATTCAGAGACATTGGAATATTGACATTTGCATCAGGATTATCTTTGTAGCACCTGTTAGCGCATTTGATCAGGTACTTCAGTTCCCCTCTCGCATGATTGGCAATAGCACCGACACAGTTTTTCTTTTCCATCATTACGCAGTATCTCGGTACTTGTTTTTTCGTTCTTACTAGTGGTCGTGTCTCTGATTTCAAGCAGAGGAAGATCCTAGAACAAATCGGATAGACGACTCTCTCCAACTATTTACTCAAATCTGCTCCAGTCCCCTTTTGAAGAACGCACATCTAGTACTTTTTCTTAGTACGCGGCCTTCTGTATCTGTCTCCAAGGCCTGCTAATCAAATTGGCTTCGCCTTCTCAGATAAGACAGATCTTCTGCGAGCCAAATTGGACAACGGACTCAGAGTCCAGAAATAGTTGGGTGCTTCCAGAACTATTGATTCGATATCATTGACACGATCCTCAGCATCACCTCTTTTGGAGAACGGGCCAATGACTACGAAACTGTCGTCCAATACTTCCGAGCTCATTTTCTTCAGGTACACAGGCGAAACAACGAAAACCGCAGGGTTCTCTATACTCATTTTACCAGCGTCGTGGTAAGTCGCCTCTTTTCTAGACTGCTTAGTCTCATATTCGTCTCGCTCCCATAGGACACCAAGGCCACGCAGCGTATCATTGGAAACGGTATGTGGATTCATTGTCAAGACTCGATGTTGAGCTCAAGTTTTCTTATTCATATAGTACGCGATTCCATTTTCCGCGGATACCTGCAGTCAGCTGCACTGGTATGAAATGCTTTCGTCAGTTTTTTCTCGTGCTTCTCGCGAAGCCGGAGGCCCACATCTTTCTACGAACCCCGTCTCTCTATCAAGCTGTCGTTAATCGTAATTGTCTTCTCCGCTCCTCGCAACGGAGCTTTCTTGTAGCGATATTTATGTCTCTATTTGCAGTCTGTCTCTCGTCGCGCTTTGTTTTCCTGTCATCTCTGTCTTCTTTAGTAGTCATGTTCCAAACAATTCCGTAATTAATGTGTTTTGATACTTATTCCTCATGATGTATACCTCACTTGTACAATCGTACACGCATTACTGGATCGATTACATTATATGTTTATGGACTTTGTACCTAATGTTTATTTCTACCCCGCGATTGTACTGTACACCTGCCGTGCATCCCCACTTCTCTTCATCTTTGGAATCCGAGTCCTACATAATGGATATAGATGATTCTCACCGCTCTCGGCGTCTTGAATGCGCCTCAAAACGGCTTCTATCTTTCATTCGCGCGACGCAAGGAGAAGTCTTACCTGAAGGACATCACCATTTTCAGGAGGAATGAGTCCGGGAGATAGCCTCAGAGACGTTAAAATTCAAGATGCTTTCGTACCGAATATGGAAAGATGTCATCTTCCATTGGCCAACTCTGGCAAACTTATGAGGGATGACTTGGATCGAGCAAAATCCATGGGAAAGTCGAATTTTAGATTGAAACTATGCATGAGAAAGCAACAGATTTGAAAAGTAAAATTTCAAGTGCGGAGATTTTCTAGACTGAGGAAAACAGTACACCAACGGTGAAAATATAGAAAATATACAAGGTACATCCAGATTCAGTCCTCAATTATGCCTTCAAGCAGCATCGTTCTCTACGAGCTTCCCGCAAATGATGTACTTGTTGGAAAAGTGTTCAACCCAACCTAGAGAGAATATTGGGACTGATATGAAAAGCAGTAGAAATGAACGAACCCTTCATGTTTTCACTGAAGTACCGAAAAGACGGTCAGAGTAGTACTTCCTTAAATATATCGGATACGTACATCTCATCCTGCTGTAGGTCTGCAAGCTTATCAAGAGGTTGATCGATGGGAGTAAGCATTTCTGTCGAGCTATTAGACACGCCGAGCATGGGTAACAGAAAATGGAGAGTGACTCACCGATGTCAAAAGACTGCTTAGCCATTCCCCTGGAAGCATCCCTACCAGCAAAATTTCCATACATGCCGTCTTATTCCAAAGTTACAATCAAGGTCGAGCTTGCGACGAGCGTACTACGCACTGGGTCCATAGAAGCTTCTACCTGCAGTCACATCGAACACTATACCATTAATCGCAAGCAAGATTCTCCCGTTGTCCTTGCCATGGAAGGGTTCCAGAGTTTTTGGAGTATAAGTCTTGAACAAAACTGTGGGCTGGTGAGATTTAGGTAGCCACGAGTATCCGCTTCTGAATTCGTTGGGAATTTCCTTTGGAGGTGAAGTCGAAGGGAAAACGATCTTCTGAACTGAATAGATGATGAAAAGCAGGAGAGCTGTGTTTATGGGTGTGCCAACGTCAAAAGCCATCTCTACCGTATGCAATGAACGATGCGTGCTGGTCTGGTGCTGGTGATGGGAGACGGGTATTAACAATTGGACTCGGTCGGGCCGGTCCCGCTACTTCGAATATCCGGCGCTTTACGCTGTTGATTCAAGTCCAGTGATACGGGGACTTGTATGTAAGTATGCTCTTCATGCTCGTTAATTTCGTCCGAGAAAAAGGTCTCATGATGATATTCACTCTGTTGACGGTCCGACTTGTGGACGCAGCTTTTATAGGTATTGTAGAGAATCGAATACTCCTCGCTCTCTAACTCGCTCTCTAATCCATGATTTCGGTCGCTAGGATTATCCTACATGTTATTAGCTTTGGTCTACTCTCTGTGCATGCCATACAAACACTCAACATAACAAAGCTTGGTGATGACCCACACACAATCAATCGATTGAACGGAGAATCCTTTCAGCAAGACGCGCTTGTAACATTCAACGGGTTTCAGTACGCTGTACTTTGGGTTCCAACCGCCAATTCGTCCGTCAGAAATGCTGCCATCAGAAGACGGTCTCTCCCCGACGGAGACTGGGAGGGTTTCGTATTCACAGACTATAATCAAACGGACGATGACGGCCACGATATGTATGTAAAATGAAAGTCTCAAATCTTCGCCATAAAAAATCGATATCTGGAACGTAGTATCTCGTTAGGAATTTCCCGAGGAGACGGGACTATTCACCTGATCTGGGACCAGCATGATAATTCACTCAACTATCGCTCCTCCTCAGCGGGTGTTGCGACGAATCCGTCTGCAGTAAACTTTACAGCCCAATTGTTTTCTCCACTCAGCGTGAGTGCACGTGTTCACTCATTCCAAATTCATTACTCAGTGCTGTGATGATGCAGGACTTTCTGCCGGGCTTGGAATCTTTGGACAAAAATGTGTATTTCATCAATGTCACTTATCCTCGGTGAGCAGCCTTGCAGTCTCGTAACGCTTAAACGCGTCAACGTATACACTGCGAAGGTTCCTTCGAATTCCAGTTTTGGAAGATACATCAGCAGATCTGCTCTTAGAGATGCGAGTCGGACAAGCTGGACAGGGCGACGACTGGATATATTACTACACACCCGAGAAGAACTGGACTTTGATTGGGCGGTATCTAGAGGTATGTGTGAAATGTTATGAACGTATACAACCTACGCTAAGGACTGGCTCATTAGGGTGTAAACAGTGTGTTACCTTAACTTCTAGATGAACCCATTCGAAATCAAATACTATATGTCATTCAGATAATGCCTACATCAATGGTTTGGACTTTTCTACCGATGGTGTATTGCAGACTACATGGTGCGGACTCTGACTCACAAAGTGACGATGTTTTCCATTTGAATCTTGATCAGGACGTATCGTGACTACGTCAATACTACTGGTCAAGATGTCGCTGTTGAAGCTGGTCCTAACGGGCCCGAAAATGTATGTGTGTTCTGTCCTATTGGGATCTGTGGATGAAGTAAACTTTCCCTGGTAGAACCACGATATGGACTACGCGTATAGCCCTGACCTTGGATTCACTTGGCATAATAACTGGGGACAGATTATAGGGAATCTTAAAGTTGAACTACCAATCGTCCCTGCTTCAGCAGGGATTACAATGTTTGGGATACCAAAATACGGGTGAGTTTTGAACGTTTGAACAATTAGTACGTAGGATACCGATCTCATAGTGCTCCAATTCTACATATTCATAGGGGAATTCTAAATCAAGAAGCGCAAACACTAGACGGGAAAAATAGAATGCATGTCTTGAACAGAGAAAACACTACGGGCATCGAGCAATGGTCAGTCCAACCTATCTTGGCTCTGCAACTACTGTGCAGAACGTTCCTGTTTCTAGGTACCACTACTGGCGTAACACTGACATTGACTGGACACGGACCCCTTTCCCGTTGTCTCTTGCTGCTCATTCCATCAACAATATAACCCGAACTCCAACTGTCATTGGCAAGCGAGGGAAGCTCGTCTCGCCTCCTGGATTTGACATTCTGTTGGCTATCCTGCCTTCAAATTCTCCAAACTCTACCGGGCTCAGCATACTCAGCAGCACTCCGGAAGGTCACTTTCAAGATTGGAAGATCTTATGGGAGATATCCAGTGGATGTGGGTGGGAACCCTTGTTCGACCGATATCGACTGAACATGGAAGATGGAGGAGATGGTGTATTGAGCTTGTACTTAATAAATGGTACAGATGTGGTTGTCATGGATTTGGACTTACAGCTGAAACCCATGGGTGTATGACTGGTATTAACAAACGTCTTCGGGCTCGATTTGTTCAAATGTGTAGACATTGAGTTGTGCCTTCAAGAACTTGAAGTTCTAAAACCAGGTACTCCCAAACCAATGAGTCTGACCTATCCTGGTCTATCTCATCTGCGTCTGATGTCTGACGTCTTCAGTTGGTCGCTAACGACACTCAATGAAGATCCCAGGCATCAGTATCATGTGAAGTTCTTCGCAATACTTGACGCTCCCATTGGCACAAATGTTCGCGGAACACTTGGACTTGCTGGTTGTTCCGGTTGATGCATTTGGATTCCCTTCTCCGAATGGAACGATCTGCAAGGTAGCAACGCAACATATTGTTAGCGTTCTCAATCATGCATGGTATTTGGCTACATAGCCTTAAAATACAGATTGAGAAATAGATCAATGGGAGGGTAACCAGGACTGTTTAGCAATATTCATTTGCTGAGCCAAATCGAGTCATCCTCAAATTTTTGGCTCAGGCCCAGGCTGAAGGTTATTCACAAACCTCGATTATAGGGACCAACTGCCGGTTCCTTCTTTCCTTCCCTCTACATGGTCGGTCACTTACTATGACTACTATGACAGCGTTCGGACCTCTGCGACCTGTTAAAGCCAGTTTGTTAGACCTCCGGTATTGAACGAAGATGCTAGCTTAGCCCTGATGATAATTGTAAGTACAATAAAATCTGTATAACCAATTGTGATCAATATCCAGGACAGTGAGAAATTACTATGCAAACAAGGAAAGGGTGTAGTCATCTGGGACAATGAGAAGAAATCAACTGGAGGAAAAGACAAGTCCCAGTAAGCTTGTGACTCACGTACAAATCATGAGCTCAATCAAGTGCAAGAGGTTATTATCTAGTGAAAGCATAAGGAAAAAAATAATTATAGCATAATGTAACGAATATACCGTCCTTAAGGAAGATGATTTACACAGACACATGTAAATGAATGAGAGACTCGGATCTTAGAAAATTAAGAGACGAATATAAACTAGAGAACGTTATCGACGTTTAACTTCATCGTATTTAGGTGGACCACGCAAAAGGAACGACACCTGAACAAAGACCAAAGTGTATTCGTTAAGAAGGAAGGGATCGCATTCAATCCTCGTCCTCCTCTTCTTCATCCTCCGCATCGCCTTCTTTGCCACTACCACCCTTCCATTCCCTCTCCCACAACGGAAGTGGATCTAAGGGTTTTCCGGAAGGATGGTCAGGAGCGATCGAGGACCGGGCACGCTCTAAGCGTGCTAAAAGGTCTTGACGGTCATGCAAAAGTTCTTTGATGTATTCAATAGCTGTGACATTATGTGCATTATGTGAACAAACCGAATAATCGTGATATCGCAGCAACTCACTCTTTCCGAGCACGATGTTTTCACTTCTGGGGCCTGCCCGACCGTCGATTTTCTCTCCAGTCCCATCATCAACCTTTGCACGTTTGCCTCTCTTTGGCTTCTTTCCGTTCCCGTTCGAATCCAAGGCTAATTGGGCCTCTTCTTCTAATCGGATAGCCTCCCGAAGAGCAGGGACCGTATCACATAAAGCCTCATAGCCTCGACGAATATTAGCTCGTCTTTTCTGCTCAGATTGAATGTGGTTAGCTTTTTTCTGCGATGGAGAAAGTAGCGTCGTCTTATTTGGCAGTGAAGAGGCTGGTGGGGAAGGACGAGATCGCTTGTTGGGTGATGGGTACGATAAGGCATCTAGTTGGCGTTTATTGGAAGTATTGCCACCAGGCGATCCAGAGCGCTGTAAGGATTCGGATGAAAGGGTTGGAGAAGAAAGGGTCGATGTACTCGGAACTCCATGACGACTAGAGCTGGCGACAGAAAACGATGCAGATGAAGTCGTAGTCGGTGGAGAACCCATAGAATTGAAGGAAGACTGCATATTAGACCCGATACGCGGATCTTGGGAGGGACCAAGTGTGCTTGGAGGCGAGACGGATATCGGCTGAGATAGATGACCGTGGTTCAATGAGTGTGAAGGAGCGGAATGAGAATGGGGAAAAGGAGGATGAGGTGAATGAGAACGTTGTTTCGAGAGAAGAGGAAATGCATCGTTTTGTTGGTAGACATTGGAATGCCGGTGATTGTGCAAATTATAGCCGTACTGAGACGACTGGTGATCCATAAAGTTATAGGAATGTTGCTGCTGATACGGATGCATCACGGGCGCAGAATTCCAACCCTCTGCGTCCAGAGACATTAGGTCTTTGGTAGCTTTCGCGAGAGCTTCGCGTCCCTGCAGCTGAGGGACATCTGGCATGGAGTGCCCATTAATGTCGTTGTTGTAACTAGTCCATTCTATGTTGGCAACGTTTCGCATATCGTTCGATTCGTCGTTATAATCCATAGAAGATAGAAATGTATGAAAATTTTGACTTTCGGAAGGAGTCAAAAGATCAGACATTCTAGATGACAGGCCAACGAGAAGAGCCAGCCTAAGAGATTAAGGGTTTCTCGAAGCCAAGGACGATGGAGAGAGAGAAAGATGCCAACAAGGCAGGGAAGGTTCGAATTTAGATAGTTGCGCTTGTGCAGCTAAAATACATTACCCCAGATGGCACATGACTTCGATCAGCGACATATGTCCGTATCCATCCGGGTTCACGCAAACCATTCCATGAGAACTAAAAATTTAATTTCTGTTTCTGGTTGTCATGCTATGTTGTACTCAAACTGTACCTCGCTCTCCATGTCCAATGCGTTCAATCTACTGTTCAGCTGTTGTTTCTAGGTGCATAGGTCTACACTCCGGTTTTTGATGTCCTGCTCCTGCTGGTACACTCTCTGCTTGGCAACGTCTTGTGTAAGTACTTCAAAAAAGAAATGAACGCTGAGACCGCCTGCATCACCGAAATCAAAATACGTAGATGTGTCTATATGGAATGGGCGTTCGAGGAAAACGGGTACGACATTCATTCAAAGTGAGATGCTATGTTTTTGATAAATTGCAGAAGTAGCTGCGGCACTCTGCAACTCTGCATATCCTACAGCAAGTCCAAGTTCGCCTGTACGTCGCGAAGTGCCTCAGAATAGTCTCAGTGAGTCTAATATTCGGTTGATTGCTTCCTGATATCCGTTTTCGCCGATTCTTCTCTGTTTGGATAGCTCGTGTGGTTTTGGTTCCTAGACAATCGTTTATAGGAATATTCTCGACCCGTGGTACAACGAGGATCAAAAACTCCGAATCATTATCTGACAAATCTTTAAGTTGGAAGTTGACTCAATTCAGTTTGTGATAGGAAGAACCCGTGGCAGCGTCTTTGCATCTTGTGCATGGGATTCTTGGAGACTCTGTATCCGCTTGATGCCCCAGTGAATTCCAACCTTGAGGACGCTCTAGGATGCCCCATGAGCACCATTGCGGGGAGGACTACGTATCCCCATTTGCACCTGACGCGATGTGCTTTTGGTCCAAGTTGCTTGGGAAACGTTGAGATATGTACATAGATGTGGACCCGGTTATACTCCCAGTCTATACCCCATCGTAGAAACTCGGATTCGAACACCAACCCCAGGAAGCTTGCGTCTTTGGAATAGTTCCAAAATGACATCTGGTGAGAGTCGATGGCACAGTGCACATGGCTGGGAAAACCTTCCTCCCAAATCTCAAGCTGATCTATGTACGGGTACCAAGTAGGCTTAACATAGCTGAAAATACGACGCGACCTCCTTGACTTACATGAGCTGATATTCTATCACCATTTGTATACCTGCAGTGTTACCTCCCCAGAATACTTTGTTGTTTCCAATGGAGGGGGCCTAGATGCGCGCTCTTTCCTTAGTTTGCTTACGAGATCAATACAACACTGCGCGCGCTAATCTTCACCTAACGTGCTGCAATGACCGACTCAAACTTAAAGCCTCACTCGCAAAGCTCCGACAAAAGGAGGAAGAGAAAGTACCTCTCAGTTGGTCAACACATCTTCTTAGATGCTGAGTTTACTAACACGTCATGCACAAGGATGGAATATCGAGCAAAAGATATGTTGATGGGCCCGGAGTCTGGGTGAGCTGTAAGCTGAACAAGCTGGTTTTTAAACCCCTCTGTGTTTCTCACTCATTCGTAGGTGTCAGAGGGAAGGAGCGACAAACAGTGGGCGAGCTATACGATCTCTTTCACTCGGTAATGCCATTGTGCTATCATGCAACTTGAAGTTTCACTGTTAATCGCTAGACCTCAGGTTGCCGCCGATCTATGGCCGATAGAAGATACCCATTTGCTAAAAAACAGTCCTCAAGATACAGAAACTCGCGAGGAATCTGAAGTCTCCATCGAAGAACAAATTAATGCCGAAGTCATTGCCATTAAGCGTCCAAAGTCAGATCAGAAATTTGGTGAGTGGCAAGGTGGTTCCGTAAATCCTCTAGATCTTAAATCACAACAGCGAGTTGTCAGACCAATACTCCCTGCGGTAAGTAGTTTCCTCCTAATGACTTCCAAGTACATCTCACATGACTTTAGTGGTGTTCATATCGTGCAAATCTCCTGTTGATCCCGTCCAACTCGTCGAGACTCATATCCAGAATGTCAAGTCTACTGGCGCCGCACGAACACGGTAAAATATGGACAATATTGACATCGAGGCAATGCGTTTACCAGTGACTCAAACATACTAGGTATACCCACCGCTTCGTCCCTGTATCTGCGACGTGTTACGCCGATTTATCCGATATGCAGACACTTTGTAAATCGGTTCTTCAGTCCTATCTTGCCAAGTACGACGAAACCTTTTCGCACACTGTAAGTCCAATCATGATGAAAGATTGCAAGGTGCTGACGCTTTACCAGTACAAGATTGAGCTTCGAATGCGGAATCACACTAATTTGACGAGATCCGCAGTCATAGAAGCTATTGCGGAATGTGTTCCAGAAAGGTGTAAAGTTAACTTGACAAATCCAGAGTTGTTCCTCCTGGTCGAGATATTCAAAGTGAGTTTTGTTATCCAACAACATCGAGGGCACACCATAAGTCCATCCCTTTCAAGAGCGTTTGCGGCATGTCAATTACCACAAATTATTATGCTTTGCATAAATACAACGTCACGGAACTTGCCAATGACTACGCTCAAAAAGATGACGAAGGTAGTCGAGTTCCTGGGATGTGAAGGGACCGAAGCGGCTTCATAATGGCAGGCTTGGAGCATTCACTTCAAAATCAAACATTTTAAAGCAAAAATATTATCATTATGGTACACTAGATCGAACTTGCTATGGATATCGTTGTCCGTGTGCCCACAAGGCTGTCGAGCCCCTGTCATTTCTTGGCGTCGTAGATATATCGTACCGCGCGGTCGAGTCAGGATTAAACAATGCGGTCGAATAAGTATAAGACCCAGAGCTGCTTCCAATACGCTCGGAAATACCTAGATTCCAGTTGCGTCCTGGGGCGAAGCTTGACGAGTGCGTGTTCATCTGAAAATTTAATGAATGATGATGAGTTCAAAGCTTCAAGATGGGCTACAAGTAGCCTTAGTCCTCAAAGGACATAGATGAATATCATCTTGTAAACTTGTCAACAACTTACGAGGGAGAAATCCAAGGCATTGTCATATGCCGACATCGCAGGAAGTGAAAATTCAGTATTTACTGGATGCGTGAAGTTATAGATGATCGACACATTTGTGAGATCAATCGGCGACTTCGGGATAAGGCATAAATTCTGTACAATGGTGAAGCGAGTGGGTGCTATTCCACGAATTATATGCATGTAACATTACATGAACACAATGAACACACCTGTACTTTCGCAGAGTGACCTCCAAAATCCGGGAATCAGCCTTCCACTATACATTATTCCCGAGCTTTGGGTGTGTGAGTGCTCTGTCATGTATGCAGACTCACTGTGCATTGGAAGTCCAGAACCGTCCAAAAATAGGGAGAAAGAGCATTGGCGCTCCAGCTTGTAAGGTGAAGCAAGGGTGACTAATGGCTCTAGATGCGATAACAATCCCATGCCCATAGAGCCATAGCTCGAAGATGAAGCGTTCATGCTGATTTTAGGAGTAAGATGGATCACTTGAGGTATAACTTTTTCATTGTTTACAAGATCGATAATTGGGGATGGAGAAGACCATGAAAGTCGCTCCAAGACAACGCTAACCCAAACGGTCTTGGATGAACGTGAGGGGCTCTGACTTTGAATCAGATTATTTTCCGGTGAAGGCGAAGCGGGTTGGCTTTGAGCGAAGATGTGCTCCCCAGAGTCTGGGTCATCCTCAATGTTGCGACGAGATATTAGCTGCAAGACTGAATGACGTCTGTCTCTTAGCTGTATACGAGCAAGCAAAAATAGAGAAGAAACTGACTTTTTTCGCTTTTGCAGGTATCTCTTAATTGTTGAAGACGGCTGCCAACCTGTTTTGGAGTCCTTTGCTTCCCGGTACTTTCAAATATGTAGTCCGAAATAAAGCGATTTCTCATGCTGAATCTACCCGAACTCTTGCTTGACCGGGGGTCATCGGGCTTATATTTTTCCAACGCTATGTGCAATAAGTAACGACCACGTAAGGACCAAGATGCGACTTACCTTCTATCAAAGCCGCTTCTCTGTTCCAGGATACAAAATCAAGCCATGCGAGGCCGACGGATGGGAGGGACATACAAGTGAGGTGGCCAAACCGCTTCGCCTCTACCCTTCAAAGTTTTCCAACTTCGACGTCCTGTAGCCATGATTTGAGCAGCATCCCGTGTCCTCTCCTGTACAGACGGAGTATAGGACAAGTCTTCAACAGTTGACATGGAAATATAATCAGCATGCGGCTTCTGCGATTTTCCATGGCGAGAAGGCATAAGTGTCTAACAAAAAGTCCAGCGAGCGGGAATGGTGGGTGAAGGGTGCAGGATGGCTCCGGATTTTATAACGGTTAATCGATCTTGAACAAATCTAGATAGTCGACGTTGATACTTCTTTCTACTGAATCAAGTTTGTAATAAGGAACCAACTAACACAGATCCGCAACTTATCGAGGTCTTTTTTTGAAAGGGAAAGAAGAAAAGGAAAACATAGACTCCCAACATGATTGTCTGGGAGTCTGAGAAGCCAGAAGAACGTCATCCCTGCAAGTTTCAAGTCGAATTAAAGAGAGCTGTTAACCCCTTATAGATGATGAACATGGGGTGGCGCCTTTCGATTCCTATCCTTGTCCCAGGATGCAGCTTGAATTACTGAGTTTGTTCGTGGCCTTCGCAAACCACATTTAGCACCCCGAATCCATAAGCCATAAGGGATTCAATCCTATCGTGAAGCAGGGTCGTTCAAAAGTCAAAGACAGATTCGCTGATCGGTTTCTTCGTATTCATGGCATTCAATGATTGCAAGCACAAATTTTTAATCTGCCGCGTTCACCTCGGTGGCTATATTAGTGCCCTTATTCAGTTTCAACAAAATATCGTACGCCTGCTCACTTTAGGACATATTGGGCGCGTCGCCGCTTGCCTCTTCCTTGCCCTCGAGACAATATTTTAGTTCTCTTTGGAAAGATTCTTATACATCTCGTTATCGTGAAGGATGAGTATGACTGTGCAGGCTTCAAATGTGGCTGAGCCTTGGGAATTGAGCCGAGTTACTTGAAAGTTTAACGACGCGAACCAGACACGAACCAACCGTGCACGTGGGGGTTGATGTCATCCTGGGATGCTTTCAGGCGCCCGTTATGTTGTTTATATCCGTGTCCGTCAACCTCATACCAAGATGCAGATACAGGCCCTTTTCTGCTTCAGCCCGATGGCTAGATCACTACAAGACACTTGGAGTTAACACTCGGGCGAGCAAGGCTCAGATCAAAGTAGGGGAATCTGTTTTGTGGAAAGTACAAGTATTAACTACTTCCTAGTCTCAATTTTATCTGGTGCTTACTCGAGTATATTGTGCATTTCTTGCTCTTTCTGAACGTCCTCCACTTTGCAGTTAAGCAAGAAGCACCATCCTGATATTTCACAGGACCCCGAATCAAAGGAGATATACGCTGCCGTGAGCGCAGCTTACTCAGTACTAAGTAATGACCGTGAACGGTACATGCCCATACCGCATTATTTTTGAAACCACTGAAGGATCTTCTCTCATTTCAGACGGGCTTATGATAAGAAAATGCAACAGAACCATCGTTCGTTTTCGTCTCATTCCCCACATCTCCATCCAGCTGCGAACCATAACGGTGAATGGTCTAGAAGACATCCCGGTGCTACTCACGCCTGGGCGCGCAGGTCGTACCAACATCCCCATGAGCAAAAGTCAAACTCTGCAGGTCCATCTAATTCCAGCGCGTCTGGGTTCGCGCAACAAGGTTTTCGTGGTTTTACTCCTCATTCTGGTCGCAGCACTTTCATGGACTCGTCTTCAATTCATGCGAACGCTGCTACGGATGGAGACAAGAGTATGTTTCGGAGAAGAATGGAATCCGTTCACAGGGATAGGGAGAAGATAGAAAAAGTATCTGGATCTGTTAGGGCCTTCCAGGTATTATTGGTGCTTGTCCTCATTTCAGCTGTCGCTGCACCAAGTATGAGACCTAGTAACATGTCTACGACTCAGTAAGTGGTTTTTTTGAAACGAATCTACTTCATATTGATCTGTACAACATCAGAAGTCTGCCGGTCAATCGGTTGAGAGCTCGCAAAAGGCATTTATCAGACGAAGAATTGGATCTCAAGCACGGTTCGAATTCTACTATTTCATCTAGCTTGTCTGATGAAATTAAATAAATATCACAATTTTGCTTTCGGACTTCAAACCGAGCTAGGAGGAACGACTGACATTCTATCACCTTCGATTTTCCCCTACTTCTGTAAGTTTATGATGTCGATTTCCCCGCCTGCGGCAACTACATACAGAAGGGGTTCAAAGTTGCATAGGTACGGAATTATTGATCTACTATATGCGGGCAAACTGCTGTTGAATGTCAGCTTCATTAAAGTACAATTTGGATCGGCACCTGAGTAGTTTTCGGTCATTCACGAGTGAGTGCCAGAACATCGGGTGAAATTAAACTTCGAGTTTGAATTGTTCGACCACATCGCGTGAATTATGAGGCATATGTGTCGATAAATGACCGACCTGGGTTAGCATTGGGTGGTAAAGAAAAATGTGCGAAGGTCTCAAGATGATTCCCCTGCTACCTGAAGCGTAGATAACGGTAAATATAGGTGCTCCCATCCATCCCCGAAGTAGTGCCAATGAACCGTGAAATGAACCCGCTACGATATTTACACAGACAGCGGAACATCGTGCTCCTAGTAACACGAAAGAACGCAATTCATTACCTGAAAGTCCAAATTTGATCTCTACTGTCACTGTGGCAAACTTGGAAAAATCGGAAACCGGGTTATGGCAAAGAGATACAGCGATCGGCAGAAGCTGAATGCTGGATCCTCGACCAGCTCTAGAGCAGCCCTAGGCACAGTTGGAGATCATCCACTCCCTTCCGAATATTGATATTCCAGAAGAGGTTTCCCAAATGTCATATCTGGAGGGAAGTTTACCCAAACAGACAAACTCTACGAATATATAAACATACTATGATCATATGAGCGCCACTGGGAGAATCAAGCAACCATAGCCAACGATCGTAATCCTATCCTTTTGCTTTTTTGCGTGAAGGTCCATCGAGTGAAGTAGTGGCGGTGACAGAAACTACTAGCCTCAGTACAGGAGTGCTTTACAGTTGATATCTTCATAGCACAGGTGAAAGCGACGCGCAGAATACCTGAGAATTGGGGTTCAAGTGCGCGATGTATAACGTATCATAACGTATCGGGTCACGGGTGTACGCGTTATGTCACGCGCATGTGACAACCCCACCCTCTCCTTTTACCTACATTTTCCACACCGGCCAAGAACCAACCAGCAAGCCCTGCCTTACAATGTCTCTTTGGGTTGATCAAGTGAGCGCGCGCTCAATGCTCCGTATAGCTTGTATCTTGCTCAAAACCTCCATGTAGTATCGTCCTCGTCTTTTGGAGGATCTTCATTATCACCACGAACTTTCCGTTCGCTTGCGGTCGCTTGCAAGTCTGCTGGATGATGACTAGCTTAAACCCTCTAACAAGAATCTACCTAGGCGTCCTCTGGTGATTTTCCCCATATGTTATTCTATGGTCCTTCTGGAGCAGGCAAAAAGACGCGTATTACTTGTACATTGAAGCAATTGTTTGGGCCTGGTGTAGATAAGGTGCGTGGACTCTGTGACTACTCTGAACTCGAACTGAACACCGTCCTCTCTAGCTCAAGATTGATCAGCGAGTTTTTCTCTCTCCTTCAAAAAGAAAACTCGAGGTGAATATTGTGCAGAGCAATTTCCACATTGAAATCACTCCAAGGTACGGTTCACTTTGTCCTAATGCCGCTGCATGCTCTAACTACTCCTTAGCGAAGCCGGAAACTACGATCGTGTAGTGATACAAGAACTTTTGAAAGAGATTGCTCAGACGCAGCAGGTTGACCTGAATGCAAAACAAAGGTTCAAAGGTTTGTTTTACCCGCCCCCCTCTCTGCAGAACCTGGCTCAACGTAATCTTAGTGGTGATCATCAACGAAGCTGATTCTCTATCGAGAGACGCTCAGGCAGCTCTCCGTCGAACAATGGAAAAATACATGTCCAATATGCGTATCATTCTTTGCGCCAACAGCACGAGCCGGTTAATTGCTCCGATTAAAAGTCGGTGCCTTCTAATGCGTGTTGCCGCTCCAAGTGCAAAGGATGTGGGTTCCTCTTTTCTGCTTTCTCTTACTCTGACAACATGCATTGACAGATGCAAGCTGTGATGCAATATGTATCAAAGCGCGCCGGATTTGACCTACCACTTGACGTGGCGTCCAAAATTATCGACGATTCCAGCGGAAATCTCCGTAAAGCCATTTTATGCCTTGAAGCCCTCAAGATGCAATCGTACGTCTGCGTCTCCGATTTCATTTCGAAGTCACCAAGTTGACTTATTGTGTGAGGCCTGACCTATCTGGCGCATTGACGATCGCAAAGCCTGATTGGGAAACTTATTGCCATAAAGTCGCTGATTTAATAATCAGCGAACAGTCTCCTGCTCGCGTGATGGAAGTCAGACAAAAGTTCTACGAGTTGTTAAGCCATTGTATACCGCCAACAATCATCCTCAAGGTTTGACCCTCTCACGTAGTGCAATGAATGACTGCTGGTTGATGCGGAGATAGACTGTAGCAGATCGGGTAGTAGAGAGAGTCGACGACGCAATCAAAGCTGACGTTATGCACTGGGCAGCTGTATACGTGAGTATCATCACAAGCATCTTGTGCTGCCGCCTGGCGTTTACCGTGTACTCGTAGGAGGTACGCATGCGCATCGGCTCCAAGAAGATATACCACCTGGAAGCTTGGGTGGTCAAAGTAATGAGCCTATATAAGGTACTGTCGTTTCACTCGGTTGCTTATATATCACCATGTTGAGGATCTTGTATTTACAGCACTTTTTCTATGGAATGGATTTGACTGGGTTCGACTGACAAGGTATCCACATACATATTTGGGTATATCTTTGATCTCTTGTATTTGCGTATATTCCAAAGATTCGAGTCCTCGTTGCAGAAAATACATATTATGCACTACATGTACATTAAGCAACTTGACGTTGCTCGCTCACTACATGTTCTTTGGAGTGGATGCAACGTGCCATGCGTGAGGCGAGATAATTTGATTTTAAAAAACAGGTAAAAGTAGTTTACAGGAGGTGAGAATGCGGGAGTCTCGCTAGGTCGGGTCATGTCACTGAGTACTCTTCGTTCACAGACTGCATGAAATGAATCAACTGTAAAAAACTGTTCAGACCATGAACCAATCTGATTGACTTGACCCACGAGCTGGTGCCTTTTGACCGCGAGCTGCTTGCCAGGCTGCGTCTTCATTCCCTCACGGATGTGTATTAATTTATCAGAGAAGTGCTGCATAGCGGATAAACCTGCAGCGATATCATCTTGTGGGGTATGCAAAGGTCTGCACGAGTGTTCTCATGGAATAATTTGGACAGAAGTTCTAGACAAGGGGAACGTACTTGTTTTGGGAAGCACTAAAGGCAGCGCAACGTAATATACCTGACGAGGTGAAGTCATTGGAAAGGAAACAAACGGTTTGTCACTGTGCTGCGAAGGAAATGAGTGCGGAAAAGTACCAAATGCACCGATAGCATCTAGCCTATCTGCGTCTTGAACACAATGCAATTCCACACATTCGTCATGCCATACATTCCACTTTCCTGTAGCTCTCAATTTCTTCTCCGTCGACCAGGATACACTGTCAACAATTAAAGCGATCTGGCTAGCTCGGCCATCCTTAATTATATCTATGTTAGATTCCCTCGCTGCCGATTGGAATAACGGCAGAAAAAAGGCGTAGGGATCAGAAGCCTCTTCTAGGGAAACATATTTCTTGTCTAACACATCGTGAAGAAGCGCAGCTGCACATAAGTGACATTAAAACTCGGTATACGTCACCGAGAGGAAATCTCGCCACATACCCAGTTCCACAGTCAGAAGATCCGGTGTAAGCGGGAGCGCATTCGCGATGGCCAAAGCTGTTTTTCTAACGCGTCGCACTGTGACATGGTCAGCCAGAGATAACGAAAGTGGGGTTACGAAAAAGTATACCATGGAAGGCGTCGTGAGAGGGATCATAACGGGCCATTACTTTGACCATGAGACGCTCTGCGGCATCGATATACACTTTCTCATCGGTAGAAGGATACATCGAGTTGGGGAAGGAAGTTGGGGACCTGGCCGCGGCGGTGCTTTCGGGAAACGTGACCACGCTAGTAAGTCGATGAGCAATACACCAAAATACACCTGACCGCACGGTTCTCATTCTTCTCTCATGTCATTGTCACTCATTACCCAGCGTCGGTCTTTATTGCTCTTGGTTCTGATTTTTTGTACAACATGGGTCATCGCTTTCAGTCCTGCATCTACGCTAAGGGTCACTGTAGGCCTGGATATTCAATTCACGTATCAGGAATAATGTTCTAAACTTGAAACATAGGATGAAGACATCAAGCAATGCTTGCATGTACAGCAATTGGACGCTCTCAAGACTGACATAGAAGGGGGGGAATCTCCCATCATGAGGAAGGTGTTCACTTGGCTCTTCCCTTTCGGTCCAGCTTGGAACTCAATCTTGGGAACTTTCTACATCAGTTCGTACGTCTTTCGCTGTTTCGAACCGCCGGAAGCTCATGATCTTCTCGAATCACGGCGCCTTTTAATCTTGTGTTGGAATGATCCCGGACGTACGAAGGGTTCCTAATTTTATTCTTGCGTTCATCCCTGCAAAAATTAGCGGTGACACTCTGAACACAATGACAGCGTTTGCGGTGGGGTTTTCTACGCTTCGATTTGATCATGTCCTAAATCTCTATCCAGACAGGTGGCCTTTTGTCAGACGTGTTTTTGCACCTTGTTCCTCATAGTTTCCATGGCGAACACCAGGATTCAGGCGTTCATTTCATCATGGTCGAAGAGAAGAGAAACATCCTGACTGGGTATGTAACGTAATCTTTTTATTTCCTCGATTTGGACTTGAACCTATCATAGTCTTGGAATTTTCCTGGGATTTGCTGCTTTCTTCTTCATGGAGAAAACAGTTCGCGTTCTTGGAGGGGATGGAGATGGAACGACTGCTCACTCTCATTCTCACTCTCATTCTGTCGATGACGGAGCAATGACCACGGGCCGATCTATCGCAACTTCTGAAGGAACGCTCAAATCTAGAGCTAAAGTTGAATCAACATCTTCCCCAAGTTACCTTGAGAGTTCCAATACAGAGTCTACAAACTCTGTGACCAATGGGCCTTCGAAACTGTCAGCCTACCTCAATCTTTTTGGGGACTTTGTACACAACATGTCAGTTTGTCTCACTCCGTACACGCACTCGCTGCTTCTCAGGATCTAATAAGATACTTTCCACAGAACTGATGGGCTTGCGTATGTGGGATTTCTTATGCAATTGATATGTATTTTGCCTGAGACTAGTCATTTCTCTTCCTCCATGGGCATGCTTCCAATAATGCGTTTCGGTCACGCAGTATGGCCGCTTCGTTCTACGCGTCTCCTCTCATTGGAGCAACAACTACACTTGCTTGCTTTGCTCATGAGATTCCGCATGAAATAGCGGACTACTCCATTCTGATTCGAAGTGGATTCACGAAGAAACAAGCAATGCAGTCGCAGTTTATAACTGCTATCGGTGCATTCGTAAGACTCTCCTACATATATGCAGCTTTCGTGATGACTGATTGAGTTTTTGGTCATGAAAACCACTACACGTTGGCTTTTGCTCCAATCGGAATAGGTTGGGTATGTCTTTCCGCTTTTGACCCTGCATCTGACACTCACCCAACCTGTTACCACTACATCATCAACACCGGTGGACTTTGACCTTCCCGCCGCTCAAATAGCACTTTCATTGGTATCGCGGTTCGCAACGCTACGGCATCTTCAGTAGACACGTCGCGCACAGTAGATTTTGCAGGTGGCATACGCCAGGTGGGTGGGATTTCTTATTCTCTCTTCTCATCTCTTCTGATTTCATAATTCAGGATGCCAATGGTCTTTTGGGAACTACTTTGCAGATCGCGGACTTGGTCAGTTTACTTATCTGACCTTCCCTCTTTTTCAATCATTGATAATTTCTTCTAGGTAATACCATTTGTTGCGGGAGGGTTTCTATATATCGCATCAGTGGCCGTTTTGCCTACGTGGGCTTTTTGCATGTTCCATCTGATGTATTCCTCTTACTCCTCGCTTACAGGCTACTTGCGGACAGCAAGTCCGGGAAGCAGGCTTTGCGAGAGGTACGTTTGATCCAAGCCTTCTCTCATCGGCGGGGACGCTCAAATCTCTACAATTTTAGTTCGTGGCGATGTTCTTTGGTGTTGCGTGCATGTTTCTTGTTGCGTGAGTGATAGGCCTATCTCAGTCTGAATCCTGTACCTCTGCTCAATTTGGGTAATTTCGTTATAGCTGGAATGAATGATTTAGACCGACCAAGGGCCACTTCCATCTAGTGATATAGTGATATACATAGAAGTAGCACCCACTTATCTATAAAAATGTCGGGTCGTACGTATACATGCAGAGAATCCCTTTCGTTGCATGTGGCAGACACATTGCTGGAACCACAAGTTTCCGAGGAGCAGGGATTTTAATGACATCCATCCCTTTGCGCCATTTCAGTGAAAACAATTTGCAAAATTCGGATCGTATCCTGATCAACTTCGAAGCCTAATAGAGCCTAATATGACTAGGATGATGAAAAATGAATGGCTTACATACATGTTCGGGCGAGAATATCATCTTGTAAACAAGCTCGGCGCTAAGGCGAGCGCTCGCGCCACCACACACTCTTGCCGAGAACGAACGTGCGTGGACCTTGAGCAGGACGTAATTTATTTTCACACTTTTCATTGAAGACGGGCTACGGCCTATACGGCTTCCCTACATATAACCCTTGCAATCTTCTTCCTACCTAAGTTCAAATATCTTTTGGGAAAGAATCCACGTAGGATTTTTGCAGGTACCAAAACCTTCAAATCTTTCGAGGTACTTGATCAAAATCTTCTGCTTTTTTCAAGTATACTCATTCGTATCACCTCTCGAAACAGCGAGTCTTGTGCTTACTTACTGCACACTGCCTATCCCGGAAGGCTGAACATACTCAACGTTTATTCACTTGGACCCACATTCAATCACAGACGTAGATTTCACGCTGCCAGTAGTGATTTCGCCACCGAAAGCACTTTTCAAGACATTCGCACTCCTTTCAGTATATTGAGAGAAATCAAACACCCTTCCAGAAACGAAATTTTACTTCTTGATACTTAGTCATGGGCAATAAGGGCCGTACTTCGCCACGTATCGTGTGCTGCGCTATCCCTATCGCTAGGGCAGCCGGAAAGGTCCTAGTAATCACTAGTCGAAAGAGACCTGATAACTGGGTCTGTGAGTCCCCTTCTCTACCATCTAGTTGCTGCCCGACATATTTAATCGCTCTTGGAATCGCTCTAACTGAAATTTTTACTTTGCATAGTACCGAAAGGTGGTTGGGAATCTTCAGATGTCGTACTGGAGAATGCAGCGTCGCGGGAAGCCTTGGAAGAAGGTCTCACCCTTTGTCCCTCTGTCCGTCTCCTCACATCCTGATGTTCACCTTTTCGCGCACCTTTTAATCTTTAAAAACCGTCTGCACGCCTGAATTCGTGTTACCCTTCCCGTGATAGCTGGTGTCCGTGGTACAATAACACGATTTGTCATCACAATACCAACACCGGCAGCTACGTACCACTTTTACGAGCTTGACGTCGTGTCGCTTGAGCAAGACTGGCTGGAGAGGAATGAACGAAGAAGAGAATGGGTCGACTATGCAGAAGCCATGCGAAGATTGGAGTGGAAAAAGGAGCTTTCGCAGGGCCTACGCCTTTCGTCTCTAGCGCCCGCTAGATGACTGTAGCCAACAAGGCTACATAAATCACTCTTGGCTGTGTCAAGCCTCTTCAGAGGGACGGATCCAGAACACCTTCGCTTTCGCGATGAACTTCCCCATTTCTCTTAGATTGTCTTCATCAACCCAGTTCGTTCGTTCGATCTACTTAGTCATGGATTCTGCTCTTCCTATACTTTAGGTCCCATTTACTAACAATACCCTACACCATACGCGCTTCATCGAAATCATCATTAAACAGCTCCCATCTCTCTTTTGCGATTGCTCACCGTTCATCCTGCATCCATCTACAATTGCTCTGTGTACACTTATCAAGCCATCTCTATCCACTTCCACCCCCTACTTCAACCCATCAATTTGTACATCTTACTCTAATGTGGATCGCAGAAATTTCAATTCTCGTTCTCGTTTCCCCATTCTCCATTCCAACGTTCACTCACAATACTAGATGTAATTTTACAGCACTTGCGGTCGAATCCTGAAACGACCTCTTTTCTCTGTTGAGGGTAAACGGAAATGTCAACTTGCATACGATTTGAAATAACAAAGTATCATTCAGATAATGACATCTCGGACAAATACATTCTAGTTGGGTCTACGAAAAGTAAGCAAATGCATTTGAGATTCTATGGAATTAGGACCTAATGCTTTGTAAGTTTGACATCCTCCTGTAGTGAGGGTAGTCACGGATTCCTTGAACGAAGTATCATGGTCACTAAGGTCACTGTCGTGCATCTCGTGCTGCTTCGTACAGGACAACGGTCAGAGTATTACGGAATCTCATTTCATAACTTCAGTATGCCAAGACTAGAAGCGGCCGGTGGCTCCACTGTGCACTGGCAACCCCAAGATACAGAAGTAACAATAGCTATAGGTTACAACGGCTCGATGAATGCTGAATTGGACCGAGATATGGTTGTTGCACGCGTCATCCAGAATATTCTTAATACATGCCGCTGTGATTCAGGTTAAGTTCTTAAACGTGAAATTGAAGTCTATGAATATTGCTCTGCATGCTTCTGTCTGGTTAGGGTATGATATCGTACGCTTTGGCTTCATCACTCCCACGTTCTTACTAATTGAGGGGTTTTTGACCGACGATGAATAAATTTGAATAAGTAGTCTCCCAGATACGGCATTGGTACGGATTTCTTGGGGCCCGCGCCACTGGCATTATGCAATCCATGGAGCCAATTAAAAAGTGTTCAAAGTTGCTCCTTCCGAAGCGCCGCTGAGTGTTTCCACATTTTATGCAACGAATACATCCTAATACACCGCAGCAAGAGGTAACGAAGATCCGGATGTTACAGCTGATTCCGAAAGTCTAGGACAAAATCAGCCTCCTCACATCGTTAGAGCACTGCTTGTATTACCTCGCATGTCCCGACCCTGCTTCTTCCCCAAACAAGTTATGCTTATACACGTCTCGTCGAACTGAGCACTGGCCCTATCTGTACGCATCGGCGTAGTCTATAGACGCATGATTTTATTGTCCGTTGGTAGTGACCAAAGTCGCTCAACACTTTGCCCTAAGTCCTCCTTTGAAAATGACATTGGCAGTCTCTGGGGACATCGATTTCAAACCAAGGCCTCGACCGAAAATTTCTTTGACTCTCCGGCTCAAATAGGTTTACATATCGCATACAACAGTGAACGCATTAATAATCTGGGTTTTGCTCGACTTATGCCTACATACAACTTCCAGTTTTCGCCGTTTATCTCTTGCTCGGCCGTTGCGGGGTTGCGGAGTAAGAATGACGGTTAAGCGGAGCCGGATCACGGACCGATGCCATCGGAACGTTATTACCGGTGACGCTTTCTTGATCTCACCCTAGGGTTTTTCGGTACGAGCCCATCATGTAAGGTTGGTAAATATACGGGTTCTTTACGAACGTTCATCTTGAACCCTCATGCCAGCGGTCCTCTCTACCCTCCGCAACCGACTGCTCAGTCGTCGAGCCCTAATTTATGCTTCTTCTTCCCTTCTGGTCGGAACTGGAGCTACTGTTTACTATCTAAATTCAGGACCCTCGTTTCCTCCGAGCACGAAAGAATCTCGCAGGCCCCCTCCGCCGTGGACACCCCCTTCTCGATTCGACAATATACAAAGTCTCAAGACCTCATCACAGCAGGAACCTTTTGATCTGTTAATTGTTGGCGGAGGCGCTACAGGAGCTGGTGCTGCGCTCGATGCTGCCTCTCGTGGTCTCAGAGTTGCCCTAGTCGAGCGGGACGATTTCGCTGCCGGGACATCCAGCAAATCGACAAAGCTTGTTCACGGAGGTGTGCGGTATCTTCAGAAAGCTATAATGGAGCTCGACAGGGAACAGTGGGCCCTGGTCAAGGAAGCATTAAAAGAAAGGAAGGTATTTCTTCATACAGCACCCTACCTGAGTCATATGCTTCCTATCATGCTTCCTGTGTACAAGTGAGTGGGTCTGATGCTCTATTTTTCAAGTTTAACATTTGCACGTTAGTGTCATTCAATTGCCATATTATTTCGCTGGCTGCAAAATGTATGATATTCTGGCAGGATCTGAAAATATGTCCAGCTCTTATATGATGTCGAAGAGTAAAGCATTAGAAACTTTTCCGATGCTGAAGCAGGAAGGGTGAGTCGGTATACAGTCCACGTTTCATTTACAAACGCAACTTTTTTAGTCTGGTTGGAGCAGTTGTGTATTACGATGGACAGCACAATGATTCACGCATGAATACCGCTTTGATCATGTCTGCTGTAAAGCACAACGCTGTGGTGGCTAACTATACCGAAGTTTTGTCTTTTTACAAGTCGAATGAAAAGCTTAGTGGCGCACGGGTTCGTGACGAGCTTACAGGTGAAGAGTTTGTTGTGCATGCTAGGGTAACTTTATCACAATCTTTTTTTGAATACGGCACTATGTTAACGGTACCCTCCAGGGTATCATAAATGCCACTGGTCCCTTCTCCGATGCTTTGCTCCATCTTTCCTCACAGGCATCCACTGATCCCACCTGCCCCAAACCAGCAAGCTCTGCCGCTACTCCTGCGTCTAAACATAAAAATATCGTCGCGCCCTCTTCCGGAATACACATTACGCTCCCAAACTATTATGCACCGAAGACTATGGGTTTGTTAGACCCCGCAACTTCCGATGGACGAGTCATTTTCTTCTTACCGTGGCAGGGCGGTGTGATTGCTGGTACTACAGATGCGCCAGCACCCTTGGAGAAAGATCCTGTGGCTCCGGAAGAGGAGATTCGATGGGTTCTGGAAGAAGTGAGGCATTACCTGAGTCCGGATATCAAGGTTTGCCCCATCTCTTTCATTCTTGTTTTTCCGTTTCTCTTAAGTCACGGAATGCACAGGTCCGTAGGGGAGATGTTCTTTCTGCCTGGTCCGGCCTTCGACCGCTTGTGCGAGACCCAAAAAGTGCAGAAGCAAGCGGTATGTTTTCACTATTCTTTCCACCTGATAAAGTTATAATGTCTTGCGTAGGAACTGCGGGATTAGTTCGAAGTCATATGATATATGTCGACCCGCAAGGCATGCTTACTATTGCTGGAGGTAAATGGACTACCTACCGAGCGATGGCAGAAGAAGGCATCGATCGTGCTGTTCATGAATTCAAACTGCGGTTCGTTGAAAATTTTCCCATATAATTTGTTAATTATAACAGGTGTTTTGAATTTGTAGATACGATTCATCAGGGAATGACCGCGGCTCACACATTGAGAAAAGCATCACTGAGAATGTCAGGTTGATCGGTAGTGAACACTGGGGAAGAAACATGTTCATTGGACTCATCCAAAGGGTATAGACTCTCCTAATTCATAACCATTCGAATAATGACATTGCTTCTAGTATGGGTTTGATGCCGAGGTAGCCAAACACCTTTCCGAATCGTACGGCGACCGCGCTTGGACTGTCTGCGACCTTGCGGAACAGTATGATGAGACGGACGACGGTGGTTGGCCATTGCATGGCAAAAGACTTTCTGATTTGTATCCATGTAAGCTTCCTTGCTCTTGTTCGTTTTCCACATGCTGATAGCGCGCATGTACTTGTAGATATCGAGGCAGAAGTTCGTTACGCCGTCAAGCATGAGTACGCTGTGAAGGCGACGGATGTTCTTGCGAGGCGAACTCGTTTGACATTCTTGAACGCACAGGTGGCACTCATTTCACCGACCTGTTTATTGTTTATTCATTCTTATTTTCATAGGCCGCTCTCGATGCATTGCCTCGCGTCGTCGACATCATGGCATTCCATCTTGGTTGGGACCTCTCACGCAAAAAGCAAGAGATCCGAAGCACTGTCAAATTTTTGGAAAGCATGGGCTTGAAACGCGAAGTCGTCGAGGCACAGTACAAGGAAGTCGGCGGGCTGCCAGAGCCTATCGCTCGAGGATGGCGTGAAAGTTTCGTACTCCAGTCCGAGCGAAATCTTCGTCGCATCCGCTCCTCGATCTATACCGGATTTGGGTTTTTCAACTCTGGTGCCAAGTATGATGTCTCTTTACACACAGTCCCACCAGTATACTCTCGGGCCAAATTCGACAGGAGTGAGCTTGTAGCTTTGAGGACGGCGTTCGAGGTGTTTGCGTCCGATGTTTTCCCAGGCGTCGCCCCGTCCCATGTCGAATCTACGCATATCCCCAGTCCGACAATGTTGAAGCAGTCCAGCAAGTTATTGCCAGTTTCTCAGGTGTTACAGGTAATCAGACAAGTACCGGGATATCAAGAGATGTTAGCAAGTGATCTAGATAAGGACTTGAACTATGTCATAGAAGAGGCAGGATTCAAGGGCCGCAAGGAAATCGGCTTTGAGGAGTTTGTCGAGGTCAGGCATTATCCATCTATCCCCTTTCTTATACTCATATCAGTCATCCCCTGTCCAGATTTGTGGAGATCTCAAGGAAATCAGTTTCGCACCTGCTCTGGTTGCGCACGATCCTGGTAGGAAACAGAGGGAGGCAATACCTGTTGAGAAGAGTGGAGGAGGAGTGTAATTGAACCATTTATACTAATATAATATTAATATTAATGAAGTGGATCGTGAAATTATTCGGACAGTGTCTCTGTTGTGCCTTCGACTCAGATGGCGCCGACCTTAAACTTTAACTACAACCCGAGTTAACCCCACAAGTGATGACCCCGTATATTTGCCTTACCCTGTGCGAGGCTTAGCTGTCATTAAGATTTGTAGTAAATCCAGCGGTTGTTGCCCACGATAACTTCTACTTTCTTGAAATAGTGTTTGTGTATCTTGATTCCACGAGAAAACACTGTAGGATGTAAATCCGTCTACCAAGATACCTTCTCGCAGAGATGTCATTTTGACGCAATGAAATAAGAAATAAAAGATACACACATATTTCCTGAATGCCAGGAAGTTGTCTGGAAAGTAACCTTAACATTCCGTTAAGTGAATCGTTCAAGATGGTCATCGCGTTAAGACAGAAGCGAAGCCTAATCGTGAGCTTTCGTAGACGTGTCAGTATTGAAAGTTGCGGGAACGCCAACGAGAGCGAAGTTTCAGGCGATTGGGCATTGAGATCTGAACCAAGACCAGAACCGTGAATGACTAGTTCTACTTGGTTCGCGTTCTGGAATCTGCCTAACAAATAAGACTCGGAGGAAGTGACGTCTGAATGATGGGGTGGGAGTTATGAGTGTGCACCGATTAAGAACATAGATAATACAGACATTTGACATACCTTGCCACCCATGGATAAGCAACGTTTGGACAGAGAGGCAACACAGATCGATGACATTGGAAAAGTCAAACAAAGCTTGATTCGTCGAACGTGATATATGAAGCGTGAGCTTCTGGAGTAGAGAAATGTCGAAGAGCGACTTGGGATGTGTGAAAAATGCGTATGTAAATGTATCATTCGAAAGGACCGTGTTGAGACTCAGAGTTTGCAAAGAAGGCCGTTCTATGCGTCCACTCCGTGTTAATAGCAAGTCAGATACCGCGTCCCAGGTGAGTTCTTGAAGATGCTCTTCTTCGTCATCGCCGGTACTGATCCTGAGGTAGTTAAGGCGCAAGGTGCGCAGAACTCGCAATCTAGACTGCGACAGCAGTTCGAAGAGCGCACCCGCGTTGATCCTAGCAGAGCTAAGATCCAGCGTATGAAGGTCAGAGTTTTGACTTAGGAAATGCGCTAGTACCCTAGGAGAAGTAGCTGCAGGAGCTCTCGCGTTGTATCCCTGGATAAAGACGTGTTCCACTTCAACAAAGTGAATTTTTTGAAGGAAATGTGAAAGAATCCCTGGTGGATAGGGATTCAGATGTAGATATTTGACGAGAGCGGATAAGTTTTCAACTTCAGCCAAACCCTCCACAATCTCGGTGTAGTCCTTTCCCTGTTGTGCAAGCCAAGTAGCTCGTTTCGGAGGTAGAAAGACGTGCTCCCAAAGTCGTTTGCGCGCATGAGGACGCAGGCAAGGAGAAACCAAGGTAAGGGTTTTGAGAAGATCGACTGGTGTGTCGTCTTCAGCGCATATATCGACGATGGAATGAATGAGCTCCAAAGGTAGAAGTAGCTCGCTTGGCGAAGTGGACATCTTTCACTCGCGGGAAATCCTAGCCTAGCGCTAAAGTTATACTGGCATCGTCAAGTATCACCATCAAGCACCATCATTAACATCCATATTCTACCTACCTCAGACCTCCTCAGACCTACCTGGGTCTCGTTCTACTCGACAACTGATGATCAGCGTTAAACACTGGGCTGTCATATTGTCAAGGGTAAGTTGCCGCTACGTATTTTTTCTGTAAACATTAGATGGTTTTAGATGATCTTGCAATTGAATCGATCGTCACGCGTCGTCATTGACAATATTACTGAGAATTATGATTGTATGTAACTCCCGCATATTACGATCGTAGGACTTGTACATATACGCCGCAACGCGTTGAACAATACTCTGCGCAAAAATGTCTCGACTCAACCGATTAGGACAATGTATTGCCAGCTTCGGCATTTCCTACCACAACAGTACCTGTGCTTCACTCACAGGCTTATACATAGTACATTTCAATGTATACAGATTGAAAAAATCAAAGCTTGGACGACTTTGGGTGCCTGACATCGGTAATTTTCCACTGTAAACATATGCGGATACATAACATCAGTGAAGAGCAAAGGGATATCAAAGAAAAAACACCAGAAAGTCTCACCCAGGGATACCAAGGAGAAAGGCTCTTGGTCAGTGTGTCAGGAAAATTGGGCTTTCTTCGTTGCATGAAGGCTTTTGCCCCTTCTGCTGCATCGTTGCCTGATCCCAATATCTTCATGGCTCTAGAATCAAGTAAATGATGTTCTTCGATGCTTGCCCCAGGATGGTGCAACAGTCCCTTGCTGTAGGATATAGATGTCTGAGAAGAATTGGTAGAGATATTCCTTGCTAGAATGAGGGCTGCAGGTAGTACATCTGTTCTATTTGGGAGAACTTGGTAGTAAAGATTGGAAATAACAGGCGAATCAGGCTGCATCACAGCACCACTGAATAGGACGGCAGCAGCGCGAGCCTCTCCGATGAGCCGAGACAAGAGGTAAGTAGACGTCGCTGTGGATAACATATATATCATTACATCAACATATGAGAGGTGAGGAAGGACGTACATTCCGGAGCGATTCCGAGGCGTACAAATGGCATAGTTATCTTTGAACCTGACCAGATGAACCGAAAGTCAAACGGGAGCTGCAACGCTGTGAGGCCAGCTCCGGACTTAGAGGATTTAGTCCCGCGCTGTCATCGAAGAATCAAATCAAACTGCGCACAGCGTGGCCATTCACCGCTACGATGGTGATTTTGCGATTGTTATATATAGCCATGGCTACCTGTCCTCCTGGATCTCGATGTTCTACCTCAAGCTTGATTAACACAGCCAATCACCGAATGGTCTGACAGCTTACCAGTCTCAGAGTCCTCTTTACGTCCAAGTAGTGACGATCCTCTCGCCACCTCCTCCATGTCAACCTGTAATTCGCGTCATGAACAAAAGATCTGAAAACAGAACGCAATACTTACTCCCGCGCAAAACGCAGGGGCTGCAGGGTCTGCAGTCAGCACGATGACGCGCACACGATCATCTTGATCTCCAAATTGGAAGACGCGGACCAGGTCAACGCTCATTTTTTCCGAAAAACCGTTCAACCTGCGGGAGACTCAGGTGGGTCTTGCAAAGCACTTGAAACGCAGGCAACCTACTTGCGCGACCTGTTCAGCGTGACGATAAGAATGCTATCTTCGAGTTTGGCGGTAACATCGGTAAGACCCAGATGGTCGAAGGGAGATATAGCTGGAGTTACCGCTGTGGATACGTAGTTCATGATTGTAGCAGATTTAGCAAAGAGTGGTCGAGAGTGAAATGCAAGGATTGGAGTTGGTATCTTTATATCTGACAGGATCCTATGTACATAGTCAGTTTCATGAGAACCCTGCATAAATGTCAAGCAGATTATCCGTAGCATGATACCATCCCATCCAGATCTAAGTCTACAACTCCCCGGATAAAACGGGTCTAGATTCTGCGCGCAGAGCTCCATCTATATATGCATCTTCCTGCCGCTTTAAGTAGGGCCTGAGTACTGAGTAGTGAGCTGCCCGGAGTTTTTCGAATATCTGTGCTTGGATGCTATTCAACCGACTTCAGCCGTTGTGAAAAGGGGTTCAACCGCTGCACAATTTCTTGGGCCGTAATTACTATTTCGGTGCGAGAGCTTGAGGACCGAGCGCGGGTCCTGAGAGGACGACCTGACAGTGAACACCGAGAGCCCGTTTTTCAAAGTGAGGAGTAATCTAATAGTCGAAGTACAATTACTGTAAGTGGCAGTGTGACGTACTTTGTAGTTGTGAATCACGCGACAAGTACGGAAAAATGCAATCAGATCTACCGAGGAAAGTATTCTAAAATATTTCTAATCCACAGAATACCAGTGCACTACGAATTGTAAACGCATAAGGGGTCAAATAAAAGGCTTCGATTTGATACTTAAAGATACTACAAGGTACGAAGATAGAGAATCAATACGACTACATTATATGCAAAACGTAACCTACGGAACTCAGGCCAGTGAGTTCACAAAACAAGAATGCTTCTGAGGGTCGAAACCTCAGACTAGACCATTGATTCATACACGATGGGGCATATACCCTTTGGCTTGTGACTGGGCCTTGATGGCATAGTAATTGGCGTCATTGACAACAGCTACAGGAATCTCTTCTCTTGAAGGCTTGGAGTGGATGGAAAGAGAGATGGTGGGAGGTCGAGGAGGTCGCACTGGGACTGGAGGACGTGTTGGAGGAACCGGCACATGAGAGGCAGATGCTTTTGGCTCCTTTGGCCGCGAGTGTATAGGGCAATTTCGCGAGCAGAGATTTGGATCGTGCTGACGTGGACGGGGCGGAGGGTGGATGCGGGCCGAAGTAGCGGGGTCGGTAGTTCTGGCTGCTCTCCGGGCAATATGATCTGTTTCTGCAGCCCAGTTCGGATTGTAGGTATTTGGATTATAAACCCTCTCCGGTGTTTTCTTCGTCAGCGCAGCACACTTCATCAAAACATTTTTTGGCGAAATACAGCGTGGAGGAACGGATTTCGAAGAGTTCGGAGTAGAGAACGAGTAGACAATCGTGCTAGAAGGCTCCGGAGTCTTGGAGCCTTTTCTCTTTGTTGAAGTTGGCGTTGGAAGAGGAGTCAAAGCAGGAGCATGCCTGATAGCTAGTGTAGTCTGAAGAGGAGGACGGGCAACTGGAGATCCAGGTCTCTTCGTAGCCGGACGCCGTTCTAAAGGCGATCCAGGACGTTCAGTCCATTTCTCCCTCCTTACCTCCGTTCTGTTTTCTCCCTCGTATCGGGCAAAATCACGTTCTGCACTCCGGCGCTCATTCGACGCCTGGATAGCATGAAATTTCCGTCGATTCCGGTCTTGGAATTCGAAAGCTCGACGGCACTGTGCGTCGGCTTCTATGGCCATTTCCAGAGTCACTACGTAGTTGCCCTTACCACACCCGACACAGATATATGTGCCAGGAGCGGGCTGAGGAAGATTAGGATAACAGCAACTGCTTTTGCTGCACTTGTTGTGGAGGGGCGAGGGCCAGTCAAGAGGCAACTTGGACTTGCCAACTAAGGGTTAGATTGAGACGGTTTGCTCTGAGAGAACGAAACAGAAGTACACACATAACATCTCGTACACGGTGAGGAAGATGGTTAGTAGTTAGAAAGGATTGTTGGTGGCACCACGATGCGGAATAAATCAAAGAGGGTGAGGTTAATTCGAAGTTGGATGGGAGAGGTCTTTGACCCATTTAATTTATACACTGGACAAAGGTCACAAAGTGGAGCACAAACTCTCCTTTGACCGCGAGCCATGAACTGACTTGCCACTTTAGGGAGTGGACAATGGGCGCAACGCGTGATGTGGTGGTCTTTTTGGCACCGTAAGGCTAATCTTTTGTTCGCCATCCAGGACCGTTCTGACAGAATCGCGAGCAGTTGGCCATGAGGTCAAATACCCTGCGACCATGTCCATCAACGTTGAGACAAAGAAATATGGTCCAAGCAACGCGAATTGTGATTGTATGCTGTTCGCTTGATGAAGCGGTGGATGCATAGCCAAGCCGTGTCTAGTATTGCAAAAAGGAAGGACGTTCAGAACTTGGTTCACTCTTGGTTCCTAAGTTCATGATAGTCAACAAGCGGACTCACTAGATGCAAATCCAGATAATTTTGTGTCAACGACGAGACGCGTCTTCGTATACACGGTTCATTATCCGTGAATTTTCTAGATGGAAAGGATTGGGGCGCACCAACCCACGACCAATCCGACGAGTCAGCAGCTCCATAAGAGACTACTCAAACGACTTTCAACACATAGTAGCCAGGTTCAGGATACATATATGGAGTGCTAAACGGAAGGAAGTACTGCGGTTGCTGGGCTTCCCGCGACGCCTAAAGAATAGTACTAACGGTTGTAAAACTTGTAAACAAGCACACATGCACTTTGACTTTGGTTCGAGCGCTTATGTCTACTTTATCCCTGCTTTATCCTTCAAGTTTCAAGCACTACATAGACTTCAGATCATCAGGTATCATTAGCCTTTTTATGATGTTTCCAGGTTGGATAACTTCGTACGCTTCCTCAAAACTTCCAGTCGATTGAACCAAAGATCCCGTTTAAAACTATGTCAAAGCGGGAGACATCTGATGTTCTCAATGAAACAGAATTCGCCGAAGGAGCTCCTTCTAAGTCCAAACCTCGACTTAATTACAGAACTCTGGACTCAGCTACAGCATCGCCCATATCCGGAATCATGAAATCCGTTCAATTTCTTCCATACCCAAATGTCACCTTCCAGACTATGCCATCGAAATCAATTCCTTTCCAGCAACCCATGCCTTTAACTTCTTTCTCCTACGATTCCCAGCATACACAGGAATTCAATGACTCAGCACTACGGTACTACCGCTCTCCTCCCCCCAACGCGCAACTTGGGTATGGATATGAACATTGGATACGTAGGCCAGAGGAACGGTCTCGTGTTGACTCTCTGCTAAAAGCCGTGGACCGTGTCACCGAAGGTCAACATAAGAAGATGAACCTCGCAGAGGTGGGTGTTGTTGCGTGGAGAGGAGTTGTAACCAGGTGAAGTCAATTTGCAACTTGTGTCCTATGTTAAAAGTTAATATCGTCATTTTGATTGAGTGAGGTTGTTAACTGCGCCGTACGAGGATAGGGAAGGCTGGGAGATGAACGTTATGTTTATTAACGGGACTCTTTATCTGGAGGAACACCGTACTGAAACACAGATTATGGAGAAGTAGGTACACAGCACCCGAAATGCTTATCGCGTCAGGTCGCGTCCTTTTGTCATCAACTGAGCTATTTCCATTATAGGAACAATATAAAACCTCAGCACCGTAAGATGATGTACTATGGATACGCTTTCGAAAGCTATTGTACTACCGAACACTCAAGACCAGCCGCGTCCAATCAATCCGATAGGTCCTCTCATAATAGCGACGCCTCAGGCTGGGGAGGTCATGTTGACACCAACATACAGTGGTGTAGCGTTGTGAAAACAAAGTTGGGAGACACAAAATTCATTATTGGAGGAGAAGTGGACTGCTCTGACGGTACGTTCGAACCTGCTTATATGACATTCTCCTGATTTTTCAACTTCATAGGTCAGTACAAAGGCACTACTGATACGTTCGTAGAACTGAAGACATCTATGGCCATTCGTGGGGCTGCCGATGAGGAGAAATTTGAGAGGTGAGTTTTCGCTTCTCGGAGCAACTTTATTCCTTGCCCGCGCTTCGTCCGATGTGTCCTTCATGTTTCTTTGTGCCCCCGATTTAATGTTTATTCGGCATGATTGCGCTTCTCCATTTGCAGAAAACTGCTCAAATTTTACTTTCAATCTTTCCTTCTTGGGGTACCGGTGAGTAGTTCACACTTTAAACACTGATTTCCACGCCTGGAAGCGTATGGAGCAATCCCCTCTGATCAGAATCTACTGATTGGGGTTTCCTTATTGGACCCATCGTGCGTATGTACTGAGGTTTGTTCACAGAAGATCATCGTAGGATTCCGTACACCCTCTGGACAACTCACAACAACCCAGTCCTTTCAAACGATGCAAATACCGAGGATGCTGCGCGAGAAAAGTGGACATAAGGCTCATAAAAGCAACGCGACACCTTGGGATCCATCGATGTGTTTAGCCTGGTGCCACCAGTTTTTGACGTACTTGAAGCAAACGGTAGTTCAGGATTCCGATGATGATCCGAGTCATCAAAAGGATTCTGTTAAGGAGGAAGTGAATCGTGGCCATTCGCCTACCTCGACGACGGTATGGCGAGTGAGCTTCGTCCCTCGGGAAGGAGCCAGAGTGGTGAAATTGGACAAATCAGAGGTGGAGGAGGTAGTGAACGGAGAAGATCGCGTAGGATTTATACCGCGATGGTACTGGGATAAAGTGAATTCTGCCACGCATACAAGTCACCAAAGCTCTGTACGTAGTAGTTCAGCCGCAGTGCAGCCTGCTCAAGGTGCGGTGGGAGGCTGGCGAATATAATACCGGGAACGTCTAGTGTTCATTCCGCTTCCGCTCGGAACATTGGTCATACCGTGAGACAGACAACTTTCGCTAAAAATCATAGCAAAACCGATGGGCTTCAGATTGCTATTTTTGGGAGTAAGATAGTATATTTGCTCATTATCCTCCCAAATTTCCAATACAGTGAGAATAACGCGTCTCGCGTTCAAGTTGTCACAACCATCTGACCCTTTCACTTGTTTCCTCACTACCGTGGACATCGTCGTCTTGCTCGTTGCGTTCTATATCTCGCTCACTGTCAAATTTGGTGAATAATACATATTGATTACCCCTTGGCTTCCGCTTTTTTTCCTCGACACGCGTAAACATGGCGACACCGTCTTCGTCAGCCACGTCGCCATCACCACCAATGGCGTATCTACAACCTGTAGTCCCCATCGTTCCTTCCAGTCAAGGACCTTCTTCGTCCTCGCTATCCTCGCTATCGCCTTCGACGGACTCTGGAGAAGGGGAAAGGAGAAAAAAGGCGGTACAGAAGTTTCTTGCTAGAGCCGAGTTATCTAATGTGAGCCCTTGATCCATCTATCCATCAATTTATTCTCTTGTACGCGTCGAAGAATTCCAATTTACATGGAAGTTCTTGCTCCCGTCTTCCATGGATCGTGCATTCCCTGGCATTTATGTTGTGATGAACTCCATGCTCATCATTGCTCCTATTATTTCCTGCATTAGGTTACAAGAACGCTGCGCACGCGGTTGTCATACGCATCGTCCAAGACGAACCACAATATTACTTCGCCTTCTTTGGGAGATCTCGAAGCTCAATCCCAGAGCACAAGTTCCGCCGTACCCCGCTCCTACGCCGCGAAACGTAAGGCACCTTCACAGCCTGTCGGGAATGCTATGCCCAGTCCACTCAGACGAGGTAGTCTTGGTCCCAGGCCCCGGACTCCAGCCAACACCGGCAATGTCGGTGCCTCAACAAGCACCGCTACAACCGAGTCCAACACACAGACACTGTTCACATCCATCTTGGCACCGCCGCCCTCAAATCAGGCTCGTACCATTCTGAATGCAAACGACCCGCCAGTTGCTGCTCCAGTTAGACCTGCTATGTCTCCAAAAGTGCGCAACGTGAATAATGACAAGGCTGTCAAGAGCATCGCAGAGTCGACGCGCGCACATGCTAAAAGTCGTCGTCAACCCGATAAGCGAAAGGACAAGCGCAAGAGTAGAAAAGCAGTCGACGCTGATGGTGATGTCGACATGGAGGCTGCAGCGACTCTCACTTCCCTCTTACTTCATCATCGGCCATCGATTGCCGGTAGCGCGTCGTCACCGCGGTCTAGTATCGACGGCTCCGAGGCGGGAACGCCATATTCACAGCAGCCTATTTCGGCGCGTTCGTCATTTTCCTCTATTCCTCCTTCTAATACCGCGTCGAACGCATCAATATCATACAGGAGTAACACTCCCCCTAGAAGCTCGAACACTAATGTTCAGCAGCAACAGGGACAAAGTACTCCTCGTCCTGCCCCAACAGATAATGAAGCTGCGGATCTCATGTTGTTCCTTGCTACTTCACCTTCACCAGCTCGCCCGACAACGAGCAAAGATGCCAGAGACGCCGCCGCGTTTCACGCGCTTACCCATTCCGACAACGGGAATATGATGCGTGCGAAACCGCGTGTTTTGTTCCCCACGCAAGGTGACTTTGCGGATGAATCCGGTATCACGCATCCGTCCTCTGCTGTAGGAACTAGACTGCTGAACAGCGACGGCTTTACCAATTCGAATATATCGAGAACTGGGACCGACGTGGAGCCTCCAGTTCATCATTCTACGACTGACAGGAGCAGTTCAGCTTCACAGCAGCATACGGCCGTCCAGTTACAACAACAACCAGCGTCTTCCACTGTGCACGGAACTTACTTACTCCCCCCTCCTTCTCTACCCTCGTCCCAACGTCCTACTCCCTCGAGTTTTCCGTCCAGTCCATCATCTCTTCGAAACGAATCGAGTCCTCGGCCTGAACATCCTATAGCCGGAGGCCAGACTGACTTCAATTTCAGTGAATATATACACGCATCGCCTACACGGCCTGGTTCTGGAAGTGGTCATCCCGCCAACTCCCAAAAAGCGAATCTGGGACTTAGAGCGGATGTTGGAAGGAAGCTTTTTGAGGAAGAGCAAATCAGGTTGCAACAGAAACGAAGACCGGAAGACAGGGGTCTTGAGGCTGGGATCGACCTGGTGAGGACCTAACATTTCGAGATTGCCGAAGTGCGGTATCGAATATGAAGAATTCACCGGAGGGTGAACACAGACTAGCAGGGAGAGCATTATCTTCCAATGGAGAACTATTCACGGGAGGCAGAAGGCCAGAGAATCTAAATGCGGTGTACTTGGTTATCGGTCATTTTATTCAAATCCTAATATGACCTGCGTCGACCATGCGAGTGTACCGGAATCCAACTTTCACCACAGGGTCTTCATGAAATTTGTCAAGGTGTATCTTCGGTCGGGGTTAAATTGCAGGCGGGTTCAATCAACCAATGAATCATATCCTGTAGGTACACTTCCGCTGCGATATAGAAAAAGGTACGAAGTCCTTCATACAAACCTTGAATTACATCGTTTTCGTCACTATTATTCTTATTTGACGTCGTATCCGGAACGCATTGTCCCCCTAGTATTAGTAACGCCTTCCTACATGTTGTATCATCAGTTAATTCACAGTCTACACACAAAGCATTTCGTTTCTGTTTCTTCTGTAATCCCTCAAACTTTTATTCTTATCCATCTCTCAACTATTTTTGAGCGATTCAGGCGCTCTGTCCCTTCCTTATAATGTTGCCTTGACTCCTCTACTATCCTGCCATTGGTTATCTCGTCTCACAACAACAATACGTCCTTTGTCGCCGTTCATTACTCGGCACGATGCGCTTTTCGTATGTATAGTCGACCTTTTGTCTAATATTGTCGATGTCAAAAGCTGACATATTTCGTTTCGCCTTTCCTCTTCTATCACTTGCACATTTCGACCTCCCTGCTTTCCTGCTGCTTTTTGTTCTCATCTTGTATATCTGAATTCTCGTGTGCAGTCAGACCTTGGTTACATACAACGCCAAGTTGGTTTATGAATATCTTGATTTCTCTTCTTTCTCCTATATGTATTATATGTAGAAGGTCCCCAAATTGGCAATTGTTCGCCTTTGTCCGTGCCATATATGAATGTGCGGAAGTGGTATATCCGAGATCGAATTCATATAGCTCTAAAATAGAGTCAGCTGAATAAAATTTAGTAAGTAAATGGGGCGCCAACGAGACGGAAAAGCAGATGAGAGGAAGAAGAACAGGAATCTGTCACAGTCCATAAAAGACAGATTGCACTCCTAGAAAGGATGTTTGTCGCACTTTCCCACATTCTTGTGAGCTGAATCCTACATTTCATTTCGGACGTAAAAGGGGCCTTGCCCCAGGCCCCAACAGGCCCCCAACGCATCAAATCTGGCCGCCGGTTGTGAGGGTCACTGGATGACTTCCTCGTTCCTAAGTACGGGGAACCCAAAAAAAACAGATGCAGTCGATTTTCATGATACTTTTCGTTCTCTTCCTTCACCAGACACGAATTAATGGATGACTTCCCGTAAGCCTTAGCCATAATCTCCAATAATATAAGCCAGTCTAAGGCGACAGACGGACAGTTAGAACTATCTGGGGAGGGGTCCGGATGCCTCCCGACTCCCGAGTCCCTAGACGGTTCTGCTCAGGTGCAACTTTTGCTCAGAATCCGTTGATCGGACGAGCCCACTTAGGATGTTAGAAGAAACGTACCAATAATCTCCAATAATCCTTACGGGTTTAACTCGAACCCATCGACTATCGACAAACTGCGTAGAGCCCCTCTTGTCTGAGAAGCGACCCCGGACCGAGCCCCGCACTTGCGCTAGTCGGACCCTGTTCCCGGTCGGACCGTTAACGATTCCCCGCTCTATAAAGGGGATATGTCTGGGGTATGTATCGCCTAACAGTCCCTTCCCCGCGTCTTTTTGGTCAACGAGAGCTATGACATTCAGAAGTGAAGTAAGGGAGTTCGTTCATTATCGAAATGCCTATCTACTTGCCCTCTCAGCGGCTATGGGTAGCATTTTTTACGGTTGGGATATGTGCGTTCATTTGTTTTTCTCCTAATTGTTCTTTTCATACTCATCACGCCCTTAAAAAGCGGTCTTATAGGAGGGATCATTGCCATGTCCTCGTTCCAAAGTTCCTTTGGTGTCAACAAATTGAGCACATCCGCGAAAGCCGACTTCAATGGCAATATCGTCTCTATCCTTCAGGGGGGTTGCTTGTACGTGCACTTTCACTACCTGTGATCACTTTTTGAAGTGTTGTATAGTTTTGGGGCATTATCTATGGGATATTTCTCAGGGAAATTCGGAAGGAAACCTTGCCTGATTGCGTCTGGTGTGATATACATCATCGGAAGCACCATTCAGTCCATAGCGGGCTTAGGTTCTAGCGCTGCGACAGGCCTCAGTGTGTTGTATTTCAGTCGTTTTTTAGGCGGAATTGGTGTGGGTATGGTATCGGCATTGGTTCCATCTTATGTATCCGAATGCACACCGAGGAAGATTAGGGGAAGATGTACGGGTATGATCCAGTTAGCGAACAACGTCGGGATCATGCTGAGCTGTAAGTAGAGTTTACCCGGCGACCGATATCATCAAACTGATCTCTTTCGACCTTCATAGTTTGGGTGAATTACAGTGCAGTGTTAAATCTGGCGCCAACTGATATGCAATGGCGTATTCCGTTCATCGTCCAGTATGTCCACTAACCTTGATCACTCATTTGTCTCACATTGATTATCTTCTCGCAGAATCATCCCTGGTGCTCTTTTCATTATTGGTATGCTGTTTCAACCCGAGTCTCCAAGGTGGCTTGTCGAAAAAGGCAGATACGCACAGGCAGCACAGACATTGGCATACGTCGCTCGTGTCACTCCTGAAGACCCTGCTGTCCTCGTTACGCTCGACGAAATTAAGGAGGAGTTTGAGGGCAGAGATAAGCTCACTCTATGGCAGCAATTTAAGGGCATGGGAGCGTCGCGTGCTATTGCCATCCGATGCTTTATTCCTTCACTCGTTATGTTCTTCCAGCAGTGGACTGGCACAAACGCCATCAATTACTTCAGTCCGGAAATCTTCACCGGCCTTGGTATCACTGGAACCTCATCAACACTGTTTGCTACTGGAATCTACGGCGTTGTGAAGGTAATATGTGTGTTCCTCATGTTAGCTTTCATTCACCCGTTTATACCTACAGGTCATCTCCGTTGGACTTGTCCTTATGTTTGCCGTCGAGAGTTTCGGACGAAAGAGATGCCTAATTGTCGGTGGCATCGGTCAGGGCCTGATGATGCTTTGGATCGCAGGTTACAGTGCCATTCATCCTTCAGGTGGGGTCGTACCAGCAAGTTATGTTTCGCTTGTTGCAGTGTATCTGTACGCTGTATTCTACTGCGTAGGATGGGGTCCTGTTCCCTGGGTCGTTCGTAACCGTTTCTCTTGATCTACCTCTCTTCGTCACTGATTCGTCTTCCTACCAGATCTCCGCTGAAGTAGCACCAAACCATCTTCGTACCGTTTCGCTCTCGGTAGCAATAGGCATTAATTGGCTCTTCTCGTTCACCATATCCAAGATCACCCCCATCATGCTCAACAACATCACGTATGGCACTTTCCTCATATTCGGACTCATGTGCATTATCATGGCTGGATGGGCCTACGTATTCTTTCCTGAAACTGCGGGTTTCGCCTTGGAAGATATACATTTCTTATTCGAAAACGATGTCATCGTTCGTGCATTGCAGGACGCGCCTCTGGGCCGGCTTTTTATTGGCAAGAAAAGTGCCTTGCCCGTGGAGGAGCTTCGAAAGAGGGAAACTGAAATCGACCAAAGGAGTATCAAAGAGGACGATGCGAAAGCTTCCGATGACGGTGTAGCCAATGTCGCCCCAATCTAACCAGTATCTTTTCATGACACGATGTACTTATATTGTAATCTATATCTACGATCCACATACATAGCGGCATAATCCAAAATTTAGTTTTGAGCAGTGCTGCACAATCATCAGAACCGTCAGCTCTATGCGGAACATGCCCGGATCTGCCGGCGGTTGAATCGACTCATCGTGGCTGTGAACTCCCTGGACTCGAATTATCATGGCCTCCTACCTACGCAGTTGGCTTACATTGCCCACCGTAGCTTCTACATCTTCAGAAGCTATATCTACTTTCCAATCTTCTCTTGAGGATGAAGACGAAGGATCCGATACTGAAAGGGAAGATAACGATGCTCCGCCTGCATTTCCTAGCTTAAATAGTGCCCAACGAATGCAATCAATCCCCACAATTCTTACAGATTCTCAATTAATGCCTCCACCTCCCAACCCAAATTTCAGGAATCGTACAATAGGCGTCTCAACTCCAGGTGGTCTCGCTGTTCCTCCTACAACGACAAAGCCCCCAGTAAAACCCTCAAAAAAGCGCGAGAAGGTCGCTCTAGCACCAGGGCATAGTCCCTTGGATTGGGCAGCACTGAAGTCTTCTGGGAAGGATCTTCGGGTGCGCTATGGCCTTTACCTCGTTATACCTATCGAATCATCACTAATCACTTTATACAGGGAGTAGATTCTCTGATGCGTATACCCCCTTCGGTCCTCAAAGTGCATAACACCCGAGAAGATGCTTGGTCTGCATTCAACGGCAAGGTCTATAACATTACCGCATATCTATCGTTTCACCCTGGAGGTGAAAAAGAGCTAATGCGTGTGGCGGGAAGAGATGGGACGAAACTTTTTGGTGAGGCTTTCAACTTATCTCATTTGCAGGTCCGAATAGCATACTTACTTTATCAGCGTTGACTCATGCATGGGTTAATGTCGATTTCATGTTAGATTCATGTATGGTTGGTTTCCTGGTTTCTGAACCTTCATCATAACATAGATATCACTTGAGTCACCAATTAATGTACGTGGCACAGTGACGATAATGCAAGGTTAATCATAGTCATCCATAATCTACTACAATTTCTACTTCAAATTGAGTGGAATCAGAAGAGTCTTCGGTATGTATCGGGGCGGGTTCTGGTGGTATACTTGCATGTACGGCAAAAATATGCTGCAGTGGGGATAGTTGAATGCATCGAATTTTATTTTGGCCTTGTTGGATTGCATTTGTAATGTCTAATGGAATATTCTCAGAGCCCTGTTTTGGTAAATGGTTCAGTAATTCACAGCCAAGTAGTAGTTGAAATTTTCACTGACAAGATAGTGTGGAAGCCATATCTGCCCTTCTGATTTGCCATGGTTAATGTCAACTAGGAGTGAACCTTGGGCAGGCCATGTATGCAGCGGTATCCATCCTTCAAACGAGTCTGTGCAAGACAATGTAGACATAACAAGGCCTAAAGGAAGACATAGCAAATGTAGTAGAGGTTTGCTATGCTTACTTTTACTTGGATCTTGTGAGTCAGGGCTATGAATCACTCTTATGAGCTACACAAAGGAATAAGATTTACAAGCTCACCTTAAACACCATGCATGAGCAGTTTTAATATCAACATCCACTATGAACTCCAGAATGCCAGGATTAGCCAAGCTTTTTCCTATACCCCATATTCCTGGGACCTTGAGGGGCACAGATGTATCCTCATTGTTGATTGGTAGTGTTTGCAACTTGTCCACATTGTCAGGGCGTTCAACCTCAAGACTTTGCCTTGGCAATGAGGGTGATGTTTCCACCTGGTCACTACTGGAAAAATCATGTAAATGTATCTTGCAGGCAGATGATAAAAGAACAGGGGCATACAAAGCACTAGCATGAGCAAGTTGGGAGTGCAAGGAAAGAGAAGAAGGAGCCTCTGAGGTTGTTTCCTTGTAAGGAGGTTGAAACAGATTTGTGGATGGAAGTTTTTTGGGTGAACACATGGAGTGATCATGCACAGAATCAGGGAAGGCAGAAGGAGAACGGTTTATGGGTGTCTTGGGTGAGCAAGACACGGAAAGTTGTTGGTGTTGTTTTCCTGCATTAGGGCTAGTTTGGCCACTGAGAGAATATGTCGGCAGGTGGGATCTCTTTACTGAGCTCTGTCTTGGTGATATGGGGCTCGGAGATACAGAGATGGTATCTATCCGTCTGCGTTTCGAAGGCCGCCAGTCTAAATAGTCACCATCACCATCCTGAATTATAGTATTGCTACTACTCAGCCTCCCATTCAGATGTGGAGGAGATGTGCGCTCTGGTACTGATAGCTGCAGAGCATCTGGAAGACTGCCATCTGTGGTTTCATGAGGAACTTCAAGTCTCGGGTGAGACTCGGGGACACGAGCTTCACGGAGCTGCTTCTGGGCTTCCACCATCTGCATCTCAATGGAATGGCAAACTTCATCTGTAAGGACGCACTGGGCTGCCCCAAGAACGTCCTTCGAGAGATGATTTCCCCCAGCCCCACCCCGAAGGTTAAAGTTCTCCAATACTAAAGGGAGGACTACGTCCCGGATCCGATTCGCCGATTCGTATGCAGTAGCTCCATTTCCAAGTGGCGAGTGAGATGAACGATATGAACCATCTCTGAAATCTCGTTTCAAACCTTTGTTCGCGTTGGACGCTGGCGACATTTCGAGTCTATTGATGGGGCTCTGAGAATTATAGTCAGAGTGAAATATTTCGCGAGTAGCGTTCGAAACGTCGTCGGTAGCAGAAATTAGGGTAGTGAAGGATCGTTCGTGCTTCACGAGAGGAGTGCCAGCGACTGAAAGCTCGTTAGCTGGCCATGGAGAAATCTAATCACAGTTTAAAGGCCTGGAAAACGAATATTACTATTAATACTCACCTCGGGGATTCTATCAAGATTTTTCTGTCCTTCTGATGCCGAGTTCAAGGTGGTATTAGCGTTAGACTCCGGTAAGAGTTGAGCGTCGGTATTCCACAACTGTGAGCTGGTGCCTTGTTCCATAGCAGGAACTGTTGCCATTCTGTAGACGTCCAAAAGAGATTAAGAGCGTCGAGAGCATGAAGCTTCGAAGGATCAGAAAGAGTTTGTTGAATTTAGCTACCGCGCCAAATGCGATGAATTGAAGTTGGGGCGGAAGGCAAATCTCGTTCACGTTTGTCATCTTCCTTATCCCAGATTAAAATCATTCCGATCCAGAGATTAGCCATATATGGCTAATCTTTGCATAAGAGAAGAAGATTTCAAATTATGGCGCCCTCAAACTCATCCCCATCGTCGTCACACCCTAAATGGTGGTATTATCATTATATTACACTTACTGTAACATAGCGAAACAGTGGGTTTTGAACTGATTCAATATCCAATGCTCAACGCAGACGACTATGGGGGTACTCTTCCAACTATTACTAATTTTCAGGTTCGCAGACAGAGATGACCAGGTCTGAGTTATCGTGATGGAGCCTAATGCGCCTGCATATTGTTTTGGCGTACGCTGTCACTTCCATTCCGTAGCCTCCAATTCTCATATCTGGCGCAGGCACATACATCAAAGGGACAGTGCAATCTTTTCGTCCGTTGTCATCGACCTTTGACGATTCATTCACGGTCATTGACGGTCAACTGCAACCTATAGAAACACAGGTGGACAAGTCACAATGGCGATATACAAATGCTAAAAATCACCATCGCCTTGGCCCATGGTCATGCTGTTCGTCAAAGTTTATTTCGTCTGTGACAGCTTGTCTCATCAGGCTGATGTCGGGATAGCCACGGCCCACCATGCAACTTTCTTTCGACCTCATATTCTTCTGGGAATGTGCTAAACCGACCTTTCCATTTGTGCGGCGCGGTATCAATCCGGAGGGTACGTGGTATTTTCTCGTTAAGACGCAACGCTCAATCTACAACAGCGACATCAAACTATCTTCTTCCTTGCTTACCCAGACACTATCGTGTCAAGACATTGCTGGCAACGTTTTCTCTCGTGCCAACTCATTGCTGTTAACACCAGTGCAACACCTGACTCATTGCTGTCAACAGTAGGCTAATACCCGCATTGTTGTTATCGTATTCCAGGAATTTCCGTCATAAATTGGAAAACTCTCGCAGTGGACGATTGTGGACATCATGCATCGAAAAAACAAACCTTTCATTCATATACTTTCCAGTATGAGTTCTCCGTTTTGAACTCGAGCCAAATGAGCAAAAAAAGCTGGGCTTTCCGGTTTTAGATGAACAAAAGCTCAAGCGGCGTCGCTTGAACCTGCCATATGTCCTCGAATCATTGTTACTCGCTTTAGTGTGGCCATTGCACCCACGATTCAAGATTTGATTTGGTCGCCTAATTCGGTCACTCGAACTTTCTTTTTCAGATTTGGAAATATAGCCGTTCATTGTGGTTATGCCCAGCTATAAAATGCCTGCATCCCAAATAGGTTTTTCACTACCATCGCCAACTATCACTTTCCTTAAGGTTCGAAAGCGCTAGCGCTTCGTTGCTCCAGACTCTCTTTTTAACTTTTCTTTTTTCAATAAATTTCGACCGAAATGTTCAACTGTATGTCTTTATATCTCCATTTCGTATGACTTGTGACTAATAATCACTCCTTGCCTTAAGTTGGCAAGGCCAAACTTCCTGCTAACTGGCCTCCGTTGCACCACAAGTGCAACCGAAGCAAGTGTACCTTCCCCAACTACCCACAACCCGCTCCCGGCACATACAAGTGTCGCGGCTGCGAGAAAGGCAATTACTCCGTTTCACCTGCGCAGGCCAAAGAAGTCGACGCACAGAACCGAAAAGTTTTTTATATTCCTGGTCGTTCGCCCCCGTTGAATGCTCGACGACAACCACAATCTTGGGACTTGAACCAGGAGTTTCCTACTTCCGCGCGGGTCGGAGGACCCAAACAAGCGTCTCATACCGACGTGCCTGCTATAGCACGCAAAGTCGTTCAAGCCCCGACAGGTCGTAATGGTCCTCATCGTGCCGTCATGGGGGATACTGCAATCCGTAACGCTCATACGGTATATCCTCTAGGCTTAAAGACGAATACTAGGCAGATCTACGCTTCCTCCGATCACACACTAGTGTCCAATAAGGATCCTCAATCTGATCGTGTGGGTTATATACTGGCCAGAGCTGAGCGTAGACCAGGCAGGCCCTACCGTGTCGTGAATATCTGAGTACCTGTTGAGGTTCAGTACATAACACATGTATGAATTCTTTCTAGCGATATAGCGTTGCTGTAATGATATTGTGAATTCTAAGTATCACAACGTTGTGACCAAGTCTCTTATTTTCTTCCATTGATGACCTTGCCAGAGCTCATTCGCACTCCCAGCTGCATCCCATCCTTTTCCCTCTCCTGCCAGCGCAAAATTCCACCCAGTGCTTGCCGCTCCAGATTCGAAGATTCTGGAAAACATAGACAAAATTTCCGAGCGGGGACCAGGAATAGCTTCAACGTATGCGACTTCCTTGTGATACCATTTGGCGATATCCTGTAAAGAAGCGCGATCACCTTCAAGACGAAATATCTTGTTAGATATCGAGCTGTTTGGCAGAGAGGTGAGCACGTATGCGATAAAACCTGTAAACCCAATGTTATCTGTGTAAATCCGATTTGCAGGCGTTTATGATCTACCTCCTGCGTCTTCTTCCGACGTGAACGTCACAGGAGTTTGACCTCTGCCAATGATGTTGATTTTTCCATTCACTCGAACACCAGTGACAGTGAATAATGCAGTATTTATAAAGGCCCCAGTCTAATAAAATTCATTTTACGAATGCGATTTCATACAAACGCTCACGTAGAATCTCGCCCAAGGAAGTCCAATTGCATTGATGTACTCTGAAGCTCGCTATCAGCAACACCATTTGTTCAATAAAGGGAGGAATTCGCCTGCAACTTCGTCCCTTTCCTGTAAAGGCCGGTACTCGCTCGGCGCGCCATCAGTCGGAGAACCGAACTCTGAAGGGGCAAACAGCTTTACACCAGCCAACTTTCCTGCGTCCGCCATTTTCTTTTGGGCACTTATACCACCAAAACCTACAGTCGATATCACTGCATCGATCTTGTACGCAGTTAGTATTCTTGCAACAGCATTGATGTCTCCGTAATCATCCACTCTTATGACCTGTACTTCTGGAGGAAAATTCTTGGACTCTGGATTACGAGAAAGAACTATCAATGTCGACGGAGGAGCGGCTTGGCCAAGGAAAGCCGATATGACGAAGGAACCAATGTTTCCAGAACCGATAATCGCAAAGGAGGTGAGTTTGGACATCAATATAGAGTGACGGAGCTTTCTGATTGGTTTCCACCAGAAAGAGAGAAAGAGGTTGCCCGGAAAGCTACGCCTTTTTATAGTTTTTCATACCGTACTCCCAGAATGGTTATCCTTACTTTGGACGTGGTTTAATACTATATCGCAATCCAAATCCTAGCTTGTGTTGACTCTGATAGCTACTACATTAGACTACTACTACAAGAAGAGAAGGAACCGGTGAGTTTTGGCCTTTACTATAGAGTCTCGGAGTATTCCAGGTCCCGTAAAGGCTAGAAAGAGTGAAAATGTTGCTTGGAAAGCCACACCTCTATATCAAACTTCTTATGACTCATGAGAGTGAATATCTTATTTTGGACGTGGTTCAATAACTATATCACCTGATAAGTACTCTTCGCAATCCCGATCCTAGGTTGCGTCAACTCTCATAGCGACATCTGACCAAAACATGGAACCATTGGTGAGATTTGTGTACGCAAAAAGCACGAATCGATAATTCCACAGTTTTATAAAGATCCCAGTGCGTTGTCGCAATCCATTCCCAGCTCTGTTCCATAATGGCACCCGTTGCTACAAACGAAAAGTCAACTACGAGTCCCAATGTACAATCTCTAAAGGATGATGCTTCAAAAGTATTCAATCCCTTCTATTCTCCTGCAATCGCAGATGACGGGGATGAGAGCTACATCCACTCTCAATACAAGGTCGGTGTCTCTTCAAGATCATTGATCGTTCAGATTTGGAACATTGAAACCTTTCAGCCATTCTTTCCCAACCTGTCGTGGCCTCCTTTAGAAGAGGTTGAGGTCACTGAACGGGCTCTATTTGCTGACCCAGAAAAGAAGAGTCTCTTTCGTGCCGCCAAGAAAGTCAGGCATTACACGCCTGTGATTGGTACTGAGATATCAGGGATTGACCTTCGCCAATTGTCTGATTCTCAGAAGGATGAACTGTATGTTCCGAAATACTGATATTGACCTATCATAACCCAAAAATTAGGGCCCTACTTGTCGCAGAAAGAGGAGTTGTTTGTGCGTTGTAGTCAAGAACCTGTATGCTCAACCTCTGACCCGAACCGTACTAGTCTTCCGTGATCAGGAAATCAACATACAAGAGCAGCTTGACCTTGCACGCCACTTTGGACCACTACATAAACACGCGACTACGCCGATTCCCAAAGCTGGGATCGAGGAAGTTCACGGTGAATTTCATGATTAATGAAAATGAGAACACGTTCTCAATTAATTGTCAAAGTTGTCTACAACGATCATTCCCGCCGACCTGACCCTGCCTCGTTCTCAAAGCTTGAGCTTTGGCATTCTGACGTTAGTCCTTTGTTTTTCAATTTCGACATTTACTGAACTTACCTTTACAGGTTACATATGAGGTGCAGCCTCCTAGCGTAACTTCCCTAAAGGTGATTGCTGGTCCAGAATACGGTTCGTGACACAATCACTGTTCAAGAGAGTATGAATTCGATCAAATAATATCAGGCGGTGATACCCTGTGGGCTTCAGGGTGTGCATCTCTTATTCTTGCTTGGGTGCCGTAACCTGACACTCGAAATCGTTTGCAGTTATGCACTTTACTCTGGATTGAGTCCCGGTTTTCAGAAGTATCTCGAAGGATTGAAGGCAGTACACAGTGCTGTTGCTCAAGCGGACGGTGCTCGAGCTGCGGGGCTTCCCGTACGAAGGGAAGCGATCGAAACGGTTCACCCCGTTGTTCGTGTAAATCCAGCCACTGGCTGGAAGAGCGTCTACGTCAACCCAGGCATGTTTGCGACCGATTCTCGACGTGCTTGTGTCCCCTGAATTGAGTCAAAATTTTAGGCTTTACACGCCGCATCGTTGGCGTTCCGAAAGCTGAATCGGATGCCATTCTGAGCTTTTTATTCCATCAGATTGCTGAAAACGTTGACAATCAAGTTCGCTTTCAATGGGAACCCAACTCGATCGCGTTCTGGGACAATAGAGTAAGTTGGGCCTATCTTGAGGCAGATCACATTCTCACATTTGTACTTACAGGCTGTCGTACATTCTGCTACTTTTGACTTTTGGCCCGCAACCCGACACGCCTTGCGCGCTACTCCGCATGGAGAGAAACCTACTTCCGTTGAGGATTACGAAAGACAAACGGGAAAGGTTGCGAAGGACAGACAACTGGAAATATGGAAACAACAAGGACTGGACACGCAGACCAATGGAAAGAACTATAGCACAAAAGCAAGGGGATACAATGATTGAATTTGAGGTTCAAATCTATGTTGGGTCCATAAAATACACGTTTACACGATTGGAAATCTGTATCTGATCCAGTTTGGATCCAGTCTTAATAACGCTTAACGTGAGATTCGATCACCTAGATGAATGATGTTTCCGTGACAAAGCTTTTGTGATGCGCCCTTTGAGAGGACTAGAGAGGACTCTGGTAGTAGATACAGGTTCGGTCAATTTTGGGCAGACTTCTGGTACCAGAAAAGTTCTACGGAAAGTAAAAGAAGATTTAAAAAAGCTCGGTCGAAACAATGGTCACTCAAGGATCTAGTTTTCTGCTAATATCAGCCTTTGCCTTCCTTCGGTGTTCGAAAGGTTCTGAATTATTATTATTTAGAACCTTCCCGCGAAGGTAGGTTGTGGTAGTTGGTGGTCGAACGATGTCGATCATCGACATCCGACTGCTTTCAGGATATGTATTCAAAGCCACGTACACGTATTTACAGCGCATGATGACATTGTTATAGACTGATATAGCTTGCAGATGCAAAACCGAAATTACCGGTTCCTGCGAGCTTTCGCCAGCCAGGTCACAGTCTCAAGCATATGTATGTAGATAAAACGCTTCCATGGCCAGGAAGTACTGTAAGTGAAACCGGTTATACTAAGAGGATCCGCAAACCGGATTGCGAAGAACGAAAAGGGTATGGGATATTGAAATATACGCAAAATCTTGTCATAACTAAGATAGAGTATGGTGTATAATAAGCACGATTTAGAATCGAGGATGGAAAGGATACTGTTATACTTAGCGGCGGAGATAGATATAGAGAGCAATATAGAGATATCACCATATGTTATCATTCATTCTTACCGGGGCGAGACTTGATTAGTCCGAATGAAAGATTGGCTTTGGAACTGGTCGGAAGGGGTAAACGCCCGTGGAATATTTGCTGCGGCCCAAGGCGGAGGTGGAGGATGCATCGAACCAGAGCCTGTCGGAGGAGGAAGAATCGTCTGATGATGGGCTGGCAACCGATTAGGATCGGACGATGTAGTGGGAGAATTCTGAGCCTCAACAGGTGACATCACAGACATAACCTGGAACGAGCCTTGATGGTGTTGAGGAGTCGAGCCGGGTGCAGTGTTCTCGTCCGCCTTGGCGTTTCTCTCCGCTTCGGCTGCCTTCGTAGAGGCTTTCAAGGTATCCAAGTCGATCTTGGGAGGCGGTTCGCCATTTTGAAGTTTAGCCTGTTTTCGCATGAGCTTTGCGTAATCTAAATTCATGCATATGCGGCGATCGGTCAAGAAGGCAGAATGTGAAGGGGTGGGTGAAAAGACTTACGGAGACCGCATGCATTGCATAACGTTCGTGCTCCGTCAGGGCCTCGCCTCCATTCGGGGGTCTCTCTGATATTACAGGAATGACATTTACCCGGTGGTGTCGCCCGCTGTCCAGACCAAACATTGCGAACATGGATCAGCATCGAGAGTTCGTAGAATCAACAGAATGGAGCTCACACTTCTCTTCCGGTATTTGCTCTTGAGCTGACCTGAAGATGCAGATGATCCAGCGGTAGTTGTGGCCCGCTTTGAACGAATCAGCTCCATATCTTGTTCAGCCGTGGTTTGTCCTGAGGTAATAGATGCTGAAGGCAACTGTAATTGAATCAAAGATTAGTACAAGCCACACCGAGCTAAACTTTAAAATGACATACCTCTGAAAAGATACCTGCCGTATCATCACCAGAAGCTTGTCCATCTCGAGCCATGTCCTCCCAAGGTCTTTTAGGCGGACGATGATCGTCGGGACTAGTAGGTATAGAACTCGGAACTTCCTCATTTTTGGAACTGCTATCCTCCGATCCGTCCATTTGGCGAAGAACCTCCAGAAGGCGTACCACTTCACTGGCGCGACGTGCCATCTCAGTAACCTCAGTCTGAGAAGGCTGGACGTGAGGTAAAGCACTACTCAGGGTCGCTTTGAGAGATAGAGCATGTCAATTAAACCTGACGACTCTGGCATATTTCCAACTTACAATAACGACTGGCAAAATCATAAAGGATAGAACACAACTTGACTATCTATCAATGACGAGAGAAGTGTCAGAAAAGGTGACATTAGACACGCTAAAGTAATACCTCAGACATTGTATTTTCGCGCGCCGATGGTTTTGCATTCATAGGATATGGTGTTCTAATATCGACTTCGGGGGCAGCAATCGAGTTGGTTACAATCGGTGGTGCAGCACGGGCAAGTGAAGTTTGAGAAGACGTGGATGAAGGAGGGTTCATGGGCTGCATATAGATCGTATGTTGTGGTTGATGCTGGGGTTGCGGTTGCTGATGATGGTGTACTACAGGAGGGGGTGGGGGAGGTGGGTGCGAGTATTGATTGTGCTGAATTGAGAGTGACGAAGGTGTAGCAGTGGGCGGCGGCGGAAGAGGTGCATGGTGCACATTATGATGCTGAACAGGATGCACAGGCTGGGGATGTTGAGGTTGAGATTGATGATGTGGTTCCCAGTGATGTTCCTGAGAGACTGAAGGAGAAGGCGAAGGATACGGCATATGTGGGTGCGGTTGGGATAAAGTTGAATGAGATGGTGGAGGAGCCTGGATTTGTTGTGGAGCTTGAGATTGGGGATGCTGCGGCGGAGCGGGATGATAGTTATGAGACGGGTGAGAGGAAGGCGGATGCGAGGCTATATGCTGGGTGTTGGAGCGAGGCATATAAGACTGCTGTTGCTGTTGCTGATACGAGTATGCAGGGTGTGTTGGAGGTGCACTAGGTTGATGCTGCATTTGAGTATGTGGTGAGGGTGGAAGGGATGTATGAGGCATGGATGATGGTGGAGCAGCAATTGGACTCATTTGGTGATAAGGACTGGGAGGTGGCATCGGTGGTTGGTAAGATTGATACTGAGGCGCATAAGCGACCTACATCAACTTGAGCACATTTTTCAAGATAAATGAGGTGAAGATAAATCATACATGGGGAGGGCGTGAATCCCGAGGTAGTGCCGCGATGGGCGTCAAGCTCGACGGACGTGATCTTTTGTTTTGCATTTGAGAATGGTCGTCGCTGCGGATAACCGAACCTGTGCTGACAGAGCCGGGCAGAGGCATCATTTGAGCTGACAATGGCATACCAGGCGTGAGATAGCCGCCATTATCGTGTCGGGGTGAATATTCGCTGGATTTTGCTGAAGACGGCTCATGGCCTGCAGACAACGGAGGTGTATGCTGTTGCTGTAAGTGATGAGTAGATATGGGTGTCGGTGCTGGCGGTGTTGGATGTGATGAACGTCCCCACGACTGAGAATGCCCTCGAGAACGATCCTGATTAGAAGACACGGAAAACTCTGACATTGCTTGAGGAGCACCACCAACACTCTGCAAACCCTCCTGGCGTGGTCGTTCATACTTGAATGCGAGATCCTTAATGGATGGTAAGCGCAAATCATCATTCAGCGCACTACTCGGCGGTGGCGGAAGTGGAATAGAATACTGATGTTGGCGCTGAGCTGCATGGTGAGCAGACATAACCAAAAAGATTCGATGGTGACGCGGGTGAATGTTCAAAGGCAAGTTCTACTAATTCAGGCTTATAATTGAATCTGTAGGAAGCCGATGTTGGCGGATCTACAGATATATCTCCACATGAGGCACGCACCCAAAAAAATCTGATGAGATTGGGTGGAGATGTAAAAGGTTAGTCTTTGCAGAATATTTGAAAGCTTCTGATAGTTTACCGAAAATGGCTCCAAGTAGTGGCTTGCAAGTTGCAAGAGATGGAACACAGAAGTGTAAGTTGTGGAATAAGCAAGTCGTGGTAGGAAGGAGAAAGATGAGAAAAAAAAAGTATTAACACCGGGTGTAATAAGGTAACGTCACAGCCGCTTGTAAGGATCTCGTTTAACGATCGGAGTTTTAAATGAGATTTGATTACCATATCATATGGTGACTTCCATGGCTTTTTTGAGTTTTCCTCTATAGGTTGACTAGCTTCAGTGGACAACAACCAGCAAGCTTTTATATAATCAGAGCGGACATGATATGTTGCCTACTCCTCGAGGCTTGCTCATTTTTCAGTGTCAAAAAATCTATTGTTATCAAATCTAATATGCAATCGGCTGAAATCGGCGATCCAATATTAATATATTGTTGATGAGATCGATTGTCTCAAAATTTTACCGTTACGTGACCTTCTTCCTGTTCAGAAAGAGAGATTTCAACCAAATCGGATCCGAAAACATGAACATCTTCCCCTCTTTCTGATTACCACCATAAGGCTTTACCTGGCGATTTATCTGGCGGTATGTACCCTTATGTACCTGATCAAATCTTGGGATACCACGACGACTGGTCAACAAATCTTTCATCGCCAGGAACTTGCCGGCTCTTGCCTCCCACTGTTGCCACACCATCCCCATTTGAGTCATCCATATGACGAAGTCTCCATTCAGAACAGAGAACACACGGGAGAGGTAAGGGAACCCGCAGACTGGCTCGTAGATAGGCTACTCACACGGCTAAAGATTCAGTAGCTTCTGTACCGCAATCTCACGAATCACGATAACATCAACGCCCAATCTTCTGGCACTGATTCAGTCGGGATCCAGTCTCCTTTGCTTCACTGCCAGCAAGGTTCTCGGAAGAGTAGTTCAGAGTTCTTGATGCCCCAAAAAATATGGCTGTAGGATGGTTCTGATTTTTGGCCATAAGATGAACACCTTCGAATCCAGAACTTGAAGAATGCTCAATGATTAATCATTTAAATATCCTTGCTAACCCGTTTTGTGAAAGTTGTTGTCGACTCCAATTGTGTTTCCGGAAAAAACGGGAAGCAGTTTAAATGGAGCTATGTAAGTAAGGTTGAGTTGCTAGTGGACAGCCGGGGGGGACCAGGCTGGGCCAGGTCAAAAAATGAATGACGTTTGCAGTTATGAGGCGCATTCTGAACCACGGCGCCTTGCGAATTTGCGATTTGACATTGACACCGAGCGGTCAGGAACGATAATGACAATAGCTCCCATTCATTTCTCGGAGGAAGCCAATCTGCAAGAAGATAAAGGATGCACTTTTGAGGATAACAGGATGCGCAAACATCGAACTCCCTAGAAACTTGTGTCAGAGGTCGGACCGAAGAGAGAAATAATCGGGGGGTGTACAAATTCCCGTGCGCCATCGGGCCTGCGCTTGTTTTGAGAACCGGAAATTTTGCATGTAGTATTTAAAAGCCGGACCACGAGATATTCGCCACAGTGCTGTCCATCCGAGAGTGGACATCCGTGGAAGCTTGCGCACTTATAATAAACAACAGGTGAAGTATCATGAGTCATCGTGACCAGTAACCTTCGGGCCCCAAAGGATAATCTTGGAGAAATACGTCGCATGACTCCCTATTGGAGTTCCAGGTGAGAATGCAACGGGTGTTTTGAAGAGCGCATGCGGACAGAGCATGATGAAAAGCCATTCCAGACTCCAGACCTTCAACAAGCTCGGAAGCAGGTCCGAAGCGGTGAGAAATGAGCCGCATATGTCGGAGACTGTAGGCGTCAACGCGGGGACAACACTGCAATCCAAACCTTGCTCAAACCACCTTGAAAATGAACACTAAGCGTCATCAAGCATTTCAATTCAAAGATTCGAGGCCTAAGCAAGGTTTAGAGCGGGAAGATTCAGAAAATTTGGCAAGGAATTCGTACACAAGAGCAATGGTTGATGAGTAGATTGGCAGCTTTCAGAGTTTAGACGCTGTTCAGTGGCCCAGTCATATTGGTAGTAGATTTTAAGCTGGAGTTCAAGCACGTGATTACTGTCCTACTCCGCCCAAATCTGCCCAAATTCATGAAGCAAGCTCCCAGCCAATCAAATTCTCCGAAGTATCTTTCCGCTGGCGATGAATTATGAGAGGTTATGAGCTGCTGTGAGTATGAGCGTTGATATGCTGACATTACAGTTCACATTCGGTTTTTTTGAGCCATTATTATCCGCACTGAAATCCATGCAGTAACATGCATGCCTATGTACAACCGGCTTATACAACCAACTTACAACCCCACAATGCTGCCTTGCAAGGATCATGGTAGGTAACGCGCCAAGCTTAAAACAGACAGTCGAGATGGATTCTTGAACGGGTCTTCACTCTTGAACGGGTCTTCAACACAGGTCTTCACAGGTCTTCACAGGTCCTCACTCCATTCGTACGAGCCATCTACCAAGTCTCTGGTTCCGCCACAACTCGTCCGATGCCTCTTTAGGGTTTCCTGTATCTTTTTAACGTTCGGAGGAAATGCTACGCACAGAACTTTCACGATCGACAGACATCCCACCGATTCCGCTCAAGATTTGTGTTTATTCTCACTGGTGGGTTGTAATGCGGTTATCCTGAAATACAGCTGACGCATTTTTTCAACAAAGAGGGTTCACACACACTTCTATCGGATACAGCCCGTTACTAGTACTGGTGTATGAGTTTGAGGGTCCGGTCCTTCAAGAGGGATTTGTATTAAGTGGCCCTCGATCCTCACCCGATTTCTATCCCATCTACAGATGCCTTATTCCGATTGCAAATCATCCTTGATTAAAAATCGGTGATCGTTCAGAGTTTCACGCAAGTTCCAACTGCATATTAGCATTTGAGGCGACCGCCGACTATGTAAGTACCTAGGGCAAGACATCTGATTTTTCTACTCCGCCTTGCTCCCATGAAGCAACATGTAATTAACCCTGTGCAATCCTGCTTGCTCGGACCTTTTCCAGGTGATTTTCCTGTTCCTCGATCTTGCTTCTCCTTATGTCCACATCAACTACTGGTTGACACCGTGCTCATTTTACACAGGTAAAATCGGGACGCCCCGAAAATCGCATTCAAAGCACTTTCGCGGGAGAAGTCCTATTCATTCTTCCATTCAATCCTTGCACATGGCGCTAGATGTTACTTGATAGTGCTTGGACATACTTAGTATGCGGAAATGACAGTGTGTATATCTAAATATATCCGCGAGATTATCCGAACTCCAGCGTTAGGAGTGTTGGAAGCTTCTCGTATGTTATCGCGCCCAAATCGCACCTTAAGAACCCAACAAAATGGCAAGGGCTTGAGATGATTGATTCATTGTGATTCCATCGAATAACGCAACGATCGTCGACCTCAATGAGCCTGGCAATGGTAGGTCTGGACGTCCGATCCGTGATTGGAAGTTCTGCTTACTCCCATGTTCAACATTAGTGTATTGGTCGAATGTTCGCGGGAGAAGCTCAATCTGAGATGAAGAATCTCAGTTAATCGTCTGTACATACCTAAGTATTCCCTGCTCTTCATTTGATAATGAGCAAAGGAGAGTTAACGAATTAACATGTAACGATACTGAAATGGTAGGTACTACTGCATAGCTGAGGTAGAGATTCAAGGTTACATCTGATATGTATGTAGACACTGAACATTTCTTCCATCCTCAAAACTCGCAATCTAAAAATATTATTCTTTAAATACTATAGGAAGCCTCAAAGTGATTAACTGAGCTGTGGTATCACCCTATTTGTCATCTGCAAAACCTGGCTGTTCGCCAGAGCAAGGATACTGGCTGGAGAGTGCTGTCAGCTGCTTTCCAGTTACTAGCCGAAAATCCAGGTTTGTGGATGCCCGCCTGTGCCCGCAACTGTTGGCATAACCGTCATGACGGTCACCCTCGACACACCCAAGGGTCGACGCTTTCCAAGTCAATTCCCTCAATTCCATGTGTGAAATAGATGCATTGAACAATCAAAAAATTGGAGTGGGAAGCAAAAGATTCTTCTGTCACCATGATTCACGCTAGGTTTAGTCGGAGAAGTGAGAAGTCAGCCCGAATCACACCAACGTGCTTCAAAAACGCAAAGGAACAGAACTTTCACTGGAGCCTTGACCTTTCCTAAAGGTGCGCCGAACCCTAGGTTCACAGATACCTGAGGTTATACTGCTAGATTTAGTCGTAGAAGTGATCATGAGCAGTAAGCTGAGATTACATCAACATGCTTGAACTTGCCGCAAAACGCAAAGAAACAAGAACTTTCACTGGCGGGGAAGGGTCTTGGGGTCTTGGATTTTCCTAAGGTGCGCCAAACCCTGGGTTCACAGACACTGGAGGTTATAGTGTGAGCGAGCCTTATCGATTCTACCATGAATTGACAAACATACACGCCTACACGCTGAGTTTTTGCGCTTCTTTGCAGAATGTTGAGTCTTGATCTTGTTTTGGGCTTTTGAAAGTAAAATATGGCGCAATTCATATATCGTACGTCTAGATCGTCTCCGCTGAGGGTTCGAGCATTTGAGTAGCGTATGACCGGCTCTCGTCAATAACTTTTCAAACAAAGTGATTGGCAGAAAATGAGTGTAGGCGGACTTTGATTACCATGGCATTGCAAAATGACAATCAAATAGCAAAGAGCGACTACACACAGGAGTAGGAATGGCAGCGAACGCAACGAGGGAGGTTCTTTCTACATGTAAGAGCAGTGCCTAAGAGGAATTCTCTGGTTCCGGGTGAAGGAAGCAGCCACTTTCCGGCACGTATCCACCTTGCTGATGATTAGGAACGCGTTTTCCTTCATCAGTCTGATACACCCAGGCGCAGCTTGTTGAAAGTAATCATTGCAGGGAATGTATTACTAGAATTGTTTGACTTCTCGTTATCGGCGGCGGAACAGCAAAAGTCAGTACCGTAGCAATTGACTGCTACGTTTTCCAAAAAGCAAAGGTTTAAATAAGGGAAGATTCCATGGTCAGTCAAAATATACGTAACGTACCAGACAAAGGGAACTGGAACCCCGAGATTCCATTACTTGTGTTTTGAACCAACCCGCCTGAGATAACTACTTCGATGAACCTTGGAGCATTTCATCTAGTAGCACAGCAACTTGTTCTTTGGCCTTTTCCTTTTCCTCTTGCACGACCCTCAACTCCGCGTCTCGCCGGTGTGCGATCTGAGCCTCATCCGAAAGTAATAACAATAGCTTCATCGAATGGGTGATAGAGAGAAGCGTATTAGCAGCTCGGACCTGATATAGAAGATAATGATAAATAAAGGCGTCAGATGCTGCTGTTGCTGCTGCTGAGAAGACCGGCACATAGTCAATACATGGCCAACCTTACCATCGATTCTGCACGAGTCTGTGCTTGAAAGGATTCCTGCGCAATTCGAAACTTGTCTTTGTCATTAATCTGTATGCAGACATTCAATTCAAGCCTCAAGGTTTCGAGTAGCAATCGATGATAACCTACAGATGCCAAACCAACTAAATCAACCATACCGTCGACTAGCGTTTCGACTTCCAAGTCGACTTTCTTGTTCCATTCCTCTTCGATGCTATCGAGATATTCATCAGAGTTTTGGTCGATAATGGCTTGAGGGATTGCCCTTTGAAGAAGAGTAGCGGATGGAAGAGCAGAAGGACGAGAAACATCTGTTTGAGGTTCGGACATAGTGGCGGACAAGAGCAAAAGTGCCTAAGAGTGTCTTGTTTTTGCCGCCGGCTATTCTAGAAAAATATAGTCGCGAAAGCTACTACATAGATACTACATAGTACTATAGGCTCCACTGTCATGCATGTGATGCACCATAGCTTGCTTGGTGGTGTCTGATGTGCTTGGATTGTGGATTAGAAATGCGCCGTGACTAGTTGTATGGCCTCCATATGTTGAATGAGGGATGGATGAGAACAAAACAGGCCACGTTCAAAGTATGCCTGCACATTAAAAAACTATCCAATTCCGGGGGAGAATATATACATAAACCTTGCAAGCAAGGCGATACATGCACGAGATACATAGTACACCGCAAAACGATCCGAAAGACTTGAATTAATGTAAGCACCCCGAGTCATCTCAACCTTCCAAAGCAGCAAAATGCTCCTCACCCAAGACCTTCTTTATCGCTTCCTCCTCCCTTTCCCTAGCCTTGACTCTGGAGTGCTTCAACCTCTGCAGACCGGTCCGTATGCTATTCATATGAACTTCCACAGGAATATGCGAGCTTGCCAATTCAGGCTCAGACACACGTTCCCTTATATCCTCCATATCATCACTCAGAGCCCGTAAAGTTTGAAGAGAAGACACAACATGAACCAGTGCCTGCTTTCGATACTCTCCGAGTCCATTCAGCAATTTCAGATGATCATCGTAGCCGCTAAGCGTCCGCTTGTTCCCTCCTAATTGAGTCCAAAGTTCAGAGAGTAGTTCTGATTTAGCTGAAGATATGGTAGAATCTTCTCTGGAAACGAGCTCATGAAGTGCTGAAAGACGCTCTTCAAGTCTTTCGAGATTTGCGAGTTGGACTTCTGCCTCAATGACGAGTCGTTCGATCGTTGTTGAGAGGACACCCATTGCTTCCACGAAGGTTCGAAGAACAGTTTCTTGTGTCGATGGGACAGAGTAGAATGGAATGATGGAGTATAATATGGATGGAGAGGATGCTTGTGCGGCGGCGATCGAGTTGACCGCGTAGTCGTTGACGGCCATGATTCTATGGGTTGACGAGCACAAGCGTTAGTAAGGCACACACGGAAGGGAAGAGAGACATACTGATCTACGGCACCTCCGACTTTCGAACCTAACCTTTGTAAACCACGTCCGGTCCTACGGGCATCCTCAACAAAGCCTCTGAGAGATTCCGCTAACAATGATACACTATCAGAGTCATTTCACGGAAGTAAAAGAAGCACACACCTAATAACTCCTTGCTTGTCAGTTTGCTAAACTTGACAAGGGTAACAAGATCTGAAGTAGCCATCTCTGCCTTCTTGATATCCAGCGATAGTCCCGATCCTCCCACCGAATCATCAAGCAACTGCTCGAACGTCAGACTCTGAGCATTTATCAGACCAGGGTAATCAGCCCATTGTGGAGATGTATGGCTTCCTTTCGATTTGGGAAGCTTGATGTTGGTAGAATCTGTGCGACATAGGGCTGAACTGCCAATCCCGGGGATGATGCAGAGAGGTTTAAAGGCTGTTTTGAGCGTCGAGGAAATGCGACTCATGATGATCGCAAGCAACCATAGGAAAAGGAGGAATGACAGAGGTCTACGAAGCAATTGCACTCCTCCACCGAGCACGTCCACTAAATAACGAAGTGTGAATCTAACAACATCTGACATTCCTGCGATCCATTCTTCTGTAGGAAATTCTCTGGGTCTTTGTTGATTGCGTGGAGCGGCTCGCGCAGGGTTAGACGTGTTTCGGGTTGTTTGGGAACTTTGATAGCCAAGCTTCCGTTTTCGAGGGGAAATTTGTCGAGAAGACCTGGAAGTTGTAGGAAGAGAAGATGATCTCCGCTCTTTTGAAGACGAAAGGTCGTCCTGTCCGTCCGACAAATCTTCCCATTCTTCATTTTCCTATAATGGTTGAGCAGATTGTGACAATTGTAGTGAGCTTATATGAACTGAAGCCTACCTTTTCAAAGATAGTCATGGTGGATGAAACGAACAGACCGAAGCGTGTTGTATGCTAGTGTCGGCGTGAGTGAACGGTAAGAGATGCGGATTGAGAGTACGGGGAATTATCGTTAACAGACGAAACTTACGTAGCCTATATATACTATGTACGTATGCTACTATAAAGGGAATATGAAGGGGGAGGGGAGACAAAGTAGGTTCCAAACATGAGGATTACATGATGTGATGATAAGGAAAATGTGAAAGTGGGTGATTATAGCAAGTTATCTTGCATGCGAGGAAGAAATTGTGAATATAGAAAATTATACATAGAATGGAGGCAGGTGTGCGGATGTGGTAACGACGCAGCCGCATTACCGTGTTGTATCCGGACGTTATTCAGGGAATTACAAGCTTCCAAATTGAATGCGATTGACATGGTATTAGACCAATACTGTACTACCAATAGTAACCTAAGCACCCACTCTTGCCCGCGAAGTAGGTATCAGAGCGGTAGGCGAGACAGTTTTTACACTAGTAGAACTAAGACCAACCGACGGCGCACCCACTGGTAACGGCAATCTGGTCCAATCTGGAAGAATATTGCGCGGTGGAGGAATCTGCAAGGCGCGAGTTTGCTGCTGCGTTTGACGACTTCTCGCTGGGGTTTCCGATATCGACGTATCCGTATCTTCCATTTCAGGATCAGCTTCATCCCATTTCTCGCGACTGACCTCCGTTCCCCCAGTTTTGAGGGCTCTATGGCAACGGTTAGAATACAGATGTTCGAAGTGGTAACTTTGATATACATACCCGGCTAGTGATCCCCCGACCCAGGCCATAGTGGCGGGAGAAAATGCAGGAGCTTTGCCACCGTTATTTTTCGCTCGGTCTGAAAGAGGTGCAGGAGGCGAAGGGTTATTCAAAATGGAGAGATAAGGAATAAGAGGACGGAGAGTAGCATAGCGGTCATAATGAGGTGGTGGGGCCTTGTCATGTTTTGTTGGCTGCCGTGATGGTGGAAGTGGTGGTGGGGAAATGGCACGTAGGAGTTCCACGTGAAGGCGAGGTATAAATCCTGGGAGCATCGATGTTCCCCCCACGATAAGAATTGAGGAGGCAAGTGTTTTACGTAGGTCGACCGGGACCTGAAAAGGTGCCGAATTAGTTCAGAATCTGAAAGTAATTATTTGTAGCATACCTTCAATAAAGCATCAAGTATGATTTCCGCAAGACTACCCTCATCAACGTCTCCACCTTCAAATAAAACCTCCGCTGTGCGCTCTCGTATCCACCCAGGTATAATGATGGTCCCGTAACCCAGAATACTACTGCTCGCCATCGATACCGGAGGTTCAACACGCAACTGCAAATCCGTTGCAGTGGAGTGTCGCATGTACATATCCGCAAGGACCTGTAAACGATTTTCGCTACCGGGAGGTCTGTCCTGGGGTTTCCCACCCATACGCGGCGTCGAGATAACGCTATACTCTGAAGAGTCATGTTGAGACGACACGCCGCTTTCCCTGCCCGCAAATGAAAATTCGGATTCGGATTGAGCAGGGTCACTAGTTGGAGGCACATCCATATCAGAAGACACGACGGAGTCGTCTGGGGTGGGCCCATTATCCACTGGCTCTGACGCATTTGGAGCAAGGCTTTCACCAACAAAACAACACCGAGTTTTAATCTCCTCCAAAACTTCGTTTGTCAAAATCTCTTGAGGTACACGCATAGATCGACTCGCTTGTGGCAGATTTGCGATACCTGGTGATGTCGGTGCGACATAAGTACCGAAGAGAAGTAATAGCGAGCGGAGGTGAGAAAGGAAACGTTGACCTGCTAGAGGTGTAGTGCGAAGTTGTGAGAACAGCGGTCTAGCAGCGAAAATCTGCAACGACAAAGGGTCAACCCTCTCCAGTCTTTGAGTTCAGGTTACTTTCTTGGATCTCACCGGAAGAGCCACAGATTCCAAGTTGCCGCAATCGAGAACTAAGCCTGTGATTCGTCCAACTGCAAGTAGGGATAACAAATGGCTCGAAGCAAAAGATACGGAGGGAACCTGCAAGTTTCCAAAAAGTATCCGCGCCAAAGCTTCCTTGATGTGTAGCGGCAACAATGGATTTTCGACGATGATGACCTTCCTTGCTTTAGGATCTGTTAGTAACGAACTTTGAAAAAAAAAAGAACTGATAAGGATTATACCTGTACAAAGATCGTGATCAAAGACTCACTCGTGAAAGACGGCTCTCAGGCTCTGCTCAAGCCTGATATCGAGGAGCTTATCTTCTTCCTGACGCTCTGCACCATCCGTTGCTCTTGTTAAGTCCCATAGTCCCTTTGCGGCCTTTCCACCAGCGTAAAAAACCTCTCTCGGCCGACCTTCGCCACTGAACCCAACTTTCCATATCAAAGAACCAGGATCGATGATTATACGGTCCTCGACACCGTAAAGGGAGTGCCTTCGAGTGGTGGTGTAGTGAGGCGAAGACTGGACATGAGAGCCTGTGATACGAGATGTTGTGGGTGTAGATGGATTAAAAGAAGTTTTACTACGAGGCGTCTCGGGTACTGTCGACATTTTGTAGTGCTTCTGCTTTTTATGATTGCAGGCTGATTACAAGGTTGCAGTCGGGGTGCAGTGGCCTAAATACCGACGTCACCGCAGTGTGAAGCCAACCATTTGATTAAAATTTGTTTCACATTCCAGGCTAAGCGCTACAGGCTTATAAGCCGGCATTGTCAAATGTCATTGAATGTCATTACTATCGTAGAAAACAGGATCTTGTCAAACTCTTTCCCTGCTGCAGTGGAAAGAGGACGAAGTGTTGGTAAAGAAAGAAAGAAAGGATAGAGAAGGATGGAGATGTAATGATATAGAAAAAGATCGAAAGTCAAAAATCAAGAATGAAGGTGGTGAAATCAAAAAATACCACTGGAAAATATTCATACATACATAGTCAAAAAAGAAAGTGGGATATAGTACGCAGATTTGTAGATCATCCATTGTTAAACTTCTATCCTCTGTCATTCCTGGAAGGTATCAAGAACCCGGACAGTAATCTTTGAGCTCTCGGTGGTGGCCAAAGCACGGTCCCAGTCATTTTGATTTGTAACAAGAATCATCTGAGAGCTGCCCCCGCCTAATGAATTCGACCTCGCTCTGCCCTTGCCCTTGGACGACCGGGGTTCCCCAGGGTCCTGTAGAACAAAAGCGATAGCAAAAGCTTCCGTAAGTGTGATTTTTTCCTGCGCGAGGAACTTGTCGTAAATCCGTTGTCGTACTTCGGCAAATTCAGTCTCGCGGGATGTGCGTAACAGGATGATGGACTGGTTGTGAGCGGCTTTGATAGTCAAGTTCCCGGAAAGAACAGAGGTCACAGCTGTTGACGTAGAGAGCGTGGTGGAGGCACTAATTCCGCTCGCAGCAGTGAAAGAGGAGAACTCGGTAGAGGTTGTGGAAGTAGTGGGAGACGGGGGAACCGGGGTGAAACAGGTTTCTGAGAGAGAAGATAATCTCGACGTAACGGATTGAACGTCCTCGGGGATAGATTGTAGTCGCTCATCAGAGATTTCAACGTGCAAAGGCGAGGTCGGAATAATGGGCAGATGTCCCAATGGTGTTTCCGGTCTACTCCCACTGGAAGCCGATCTGCTCTCGTGGAACTCAGTCTTGTTATTTTCCTGGAAAGGGAATAGATGCGCAGGCATAGGAAAGGCATCTAAATCGAAGCCACATGGAGAACTAAGTCAGTTTGCTCAGACAAGAAACGGTCCTAACTCACCGAATATGCAAGAATCCAAGAGGTCCTCATCACCATCTGACCACGGACCATCGTCTGTGACGGTATATATGGATAGAGGCCTAGATTTCCGCATAAATGATGATCTCCGTGTGGATATGCTGGGCGTTCGATTGCGAGGTATTATAGCATCTGCAGAGCTATCGGTCATGAAAGTGGCTATACTACCTATGGAGAGGCGGGAGGAATGATAAATGTGCGCTGGAGAATCGGGAATAGCAATGTTAAGGCCCTCGAGATATGTTGTAGCAGAACCAGTCGTTTGCCACGAATCCCGAATTCCACGCGTCCCAGACCCTAGCTCTGAGAATTAGCAGGGAACAATGAGTAGAGCACATAAAGTATACGTACATTGAGCTGCGGTGGGTGTTCGTAATCCATCGACTATATCATTGATATTAGGGGGAGCGGTAAATATACGCGCGCTTCGACGATACAGCGTGTCTTTCGATGACCTCTTTTTTGGCCTTCGGACACTTGGAGGAATGCTTTCAGAGTCAGAATGAATTGGCAATTCCGCATCTTCTGGTAATGATTGAAGAAACCGATCCCTCTGCGATTCCACTTGCGGATTGTGATCGAAAGTGAGCGGTACATCTTCACGTATGCCCGGTATGGTCGACGCAATAGAATCCATTGAGTGACGGGAATTGGAGGAAGAACCGGATGATGAGGTAGAGGACGAAGTCGTGTGCCTACGTGTAGGGAGCTCCTCTTTCTTCATCTTTTCTTTTGATTTAGCAGCTCGTGCATACTGATAAGCCTCAGTAGATACTGATATTCTTGACGCGCGAAATGATGGCGATGAAGGCGATGTTGACAAGGAGCTCCTAGACTGTACTGATTCCGTATCCGTGTTGTTGTCACCATTAGAAAAATAAGAAGATAGCACACTACTTGTGATTGATGACCGCGGCTTTGATTGTTTGTTGCCCGAACGCTGGTCGTTTTTCATCGCAAGGTCATAGTCCCGGCGCCAATATCCGAAGAAGTCAGTGACCATCCGATCGGCGCGCAGCTCTGCCAAAAGTGTGGGGACATCTTCTGCGAACAACGCCTCCACAAAAGCTGTCAGTTCGGAATGGCGTTGCTCGATAGTAGCCTGACTGGCACGGAATAGAGTCCCCTTTTTCGTTAGCTTGGGTATGATATCGTGAATATCTCGAGCGACTGAGTTTGGTTCCGGTCCTGGAGGTAGCGATTCCCATGAAGAAGCCCTATCTTGAAGGTAAAACCCATCTTTCTTCACACCCTTCCCAGCAAGTAGTCGCTGACGTTTCATTCTTGCTAAACGCGAATACTCCAATTCTAACGTATCCTGGAACCAGAGACAGTCTTCCCAGCGTCTCCACGCCTCGTATCCAACGTTCGACTTGGTTGACAATTTGGATTCACTGGAAGAGACAGAAGATCGATCTCCACGAAGAATGGGGGTTATTCGCATTCCGAAGCTATACTGGCTTCCTGAGTTATATGCCATATTTCAGCGAAGTTCCAGAATTGACTTAAGCACGACACGTACCTTGCTTAGTAGGGGGAAGCATGTCGACCATGAATCTAGCAGGTGGTGGACGATAGACTGCCCGTTTGTAGTTCTATGGCAAGGATTAGCCAAACGGACTTCAGGAAAGGTCAGATTGCGTACATCTACTGCCAAAGGGCCGTCGAGAGCTCCAGCACCCTGCATAAAATTTGAGTCAAAGATTTGAGCGAATTGCATAAGATACCTACCGCTTGAGGTGTTCCAAAAGGCGCTAGCATAGCGTTCTACTGCCACACGATCTTTGAGCTCGTTGCGAAACACAAGTGCGGGTCTCCAAACGTGGAGTATTCTTCACTTCTTTATCTTTGGTGTCGTGTAAAGAAGAATTGAAACCGTGAAACTAGTGGCGTGTGGAGAACAAATATACGCACAAGGTGCTATTATTGTGGTTTGGGTGACCTTATCTCTGGTTCAATAACCAATATTCTCTTGAACTTGGAAGAAAAGCGTCCAGTTCGTCGTAGAAAAAAACCACAAATACAGGAACGGCCGTCGTTTTCGATGGAAGAAAGAAAAGAGTATTTCAGGTCTGAACCCTCCGCCCATCGTTATTGTCTTTCGCATATGCGCATCGGATGGGTGTGATCTTCATTGTCCAATGAAGGCGCCGCTCAAAAGGTTGGATCTTTTTGTCTTTCGGCCCGGCATTCCTCCGAGTTGCCTCCGGCTTTTTATTTTATTTTTTCTTGCCGCTTGAAGCTGAAGCGCTGAAGAGTCGCGACATCAATTGACGCATTACTTACAATGCACTGTCATCAAATAAGTATGAAGTGACAGGAGGAGAGGGAGTCTTTCCCCTGCTGTGTATTGATTTTCCTTTCCCTTTTCCCTCCTTTTCCGGACTCCTTGTTCAACGGACTCTATGTAGATTGAAAGCATATGCTTGCTTGCATGTGCTTCCTTCAATAAGCTTCAATAAGCTTTCTTTACGATAAGACTTTTTCGGTTTACTTTCCCCGCCCGCTGAAAGCTTCGCTTCCTCTACAGCTGCAGGACCATGGCATATAGATGGAATGAAGTACCGTCTAACGGGCATGCTGCTGCATAAATATTGATCATACTCTCGTTGTTGAACTTGAATACAGACTTTGCTTTCAGCGAGTTTCAACAGTTCGTCTCTAGCCTCTTCGAATAAAAATGGGATCCTGAATTCCAACAACCTGCTTGTCATGGCTATCGGGTTGAATCCTCGGCTGCCCAACAAAACGGCATGCTGTCGGAGAGTCGGAGGTGTCTCTATCGCGAGGATCCGTAATGCATTGTAGAAGGTCGTCATGCACTAAATTTAACTTGGAAGAAGACTAGGCAGCTAATATTGGTCCCACACCTTAAAAGACCAAGGGATGAGCACTTGACCCCTCTAAATCTTTGCTACTCCCCGGATGTCTTACCAGGACGCAAAGTCGAGCTCTGTGGAAACTAACACCCTCAAGAAGACGAGCCAAAGTTACAATGAGAAAATAGCTGAAACACAACTGGGCATCGATATGGAGTCTTTCTCCAAAGGCGAAGACAATGGATTGGGGGAACTAGTTCTCGAAGATGCTAGAGATATCACGACACATGTCATCACCATCGAAGACGATCCATCGCTCAATCCTTGGACATTTCGTGCATTTTTCTTGGGAATCGGACTCAGCGCCTTTGGAGGTGTTTTGGGTAAGTGTGCCAGTCGTCATCTTTTCCCTCTGCAATGACAGTGGCAATTGTAGCCGAAATATACTATTTTAAACCTGTGAGGACACAATATCTATATTCCATACACATGGCTTGCCTTGACGAACGGTCAAACAGCAAACAGTTTTAGTTTCCACCATGTTTTTGGCCATCATTTCATACCTCCTTGGTATGGGAATGGACGCCTTCACTCCCAGTGTCGGACCTTTCAAATGGTTGAATCCTGTGAGTATTTCCGCCATCGAGCATCAAATACAAAAGTACCTCAATGCAGACTACATCTTGTAGCACCCATTCAACAAAAAAGAGAATGCATTCATTGTCATCATGTCTAGCGCTGCTGCAACGTCCGCGTTGGGAACCGAGGTCCTTGCGGTTCAGAGATTGTTCTACAACACAACACCCAACGGCGTTGCCTCCGTCTTCTTACTTTTCTCAAGCCAGCTCTTAGGGTACGGTCTGGGGGGTCTTTTTAGAGGTCAGGGGTTCCATAATGTTCTTAGGTGCTGGAAGTGGACTAATAGATGACAATGCAGGATCATTGCTCTACCCTTCGAAGATGCTTTATCCAGCCGCTGTACCTTTGGTTTCCATGTTTGATACACTGTACAAAGATCACCATACCGGTGCCAATTACAAAAAGTTCAGAATGTTCTGGATTGCCTTCTTTGCGTAAGTTTATCTAGTGCCATGCACGATCTTTTATGTTCTAATACTCATTCAGGATTTTTATCTGGGAAATGTTTCCTGAATATATTTTCCCTTTGTGTAAGTCGGATCCTTACCGCCTGTACTCACTATTGATCTTAGCTCCGAACTAGTGACAGGATTTTCTGTTTTCTGTCTGGCCGATCAAAACAACTCCGTTTTTACGAACATCTTTGGGGGTTCGAACGGAAATGAGGGCCTCGGTTTATTGAGGTATGTATGTCCTTATTTATGGAATTACAATGTCATCCCGGGCCCTACACAGTATTTGTTTTGACTGGCAATATATCTCCGGTGAGTGAACGATATCTTGATTCTTCTCCTTACATCAAGAAATCCCACCATGGGAAATAGGCAGGAAAAAAAGTACCGATATCTAATAGCTCATAATCACACAATTGACTTAGGTGGCATCAATCCAATGACTATCCCGCTGAAGGCGCAAGTCTCCAATTTTCTTGGATACATTCTTTGCATGTAGGTCACTGTTTCATAGTTATAATGAAGTATAGGAACCTTCGTTTCCAGACTGGTTTTCTCTGCCGTTTACTACCGCAATATCTGGGATGCTCTAGCACTTCCATTTGTAAGTCGCCTTCAATCTCAGTTGATTTGACGTATAACCTCAATTTTGTCTTGCTTGCAGCTGTCTCAAGAGTTATTCTATGCCAACGGCACGCTTTACAACCAGACCCTTATCTTGAATGAAAATTTCGAGGTTGACCAGACCCTGCTCCAAGAACAAGGCTTAGTGAGCTGCCCATTTTCCTTCCGCTGATTCTTTGAACTTCCGGTTTGCTGCAGCCTTTCTATGCTGCTACTTGGGTTGTCCAACTTCTTACCACCAATCTCGGAATGGCGGCAACGTTCACTCATTTACTACTGTGGAATCGTGAGGACTTGCGATTAGCCTGGTCTTGGGCGTCACCGTCAAAAATCAAAAGAAGTTTCACCAGTCCCAACTGGAAGTTTTGGGAAGACCCTGGACTCAGAAACGCAGCTGAGGAGGAAGAAACCGATCCTCATTACCTTGAAATGCTGAAGGTGACTTTGACTTAGAGAATATGAATATTCACCTCATCACTCACCCGAAATACCCTCAGTATCCCGACGCACCGAATAGTTGGTACTTCGTTGTTTTAGTAATATCTATTGTCATGGCGCTCGTTTTAATCTACGAGACCAACTCTACTCTACCATGGTCAGATCATATATTTCCTATGGCCTCGGCATACTGACGCTCGACATCTCAGGTGGGGTTTTTTTATTGCACTTCTACTATCTGCCATCTCCATCGTGTTCTTCGGCGCTTTATACGCCATGACCGGCTTACAGTTCATCATTCAACCCTTTGTACAGGTATGGTGTTGCGGTTTATTTCATGTTACTTAAACTCTGACAATCCATTCCACAAAGATGATTGGTGGTTTTCTACATCCTGGAAAGCCAATGGCGAATATGTATTTCGTCCTTTTTAGTTACAGTAAGTGTCACTTGTGGCCTTATCACCACACACACCCATACTACTAGCTTATCTCGAGCGACTGATAACTTCTGCAGATTCAGTCAACCAGGCACAACTTCTCCTCCGCGATCTCAAAATTGCTCAGTGTGCGTGTCTCCAAATAAAACTTGAGTGTAGGGTCAGGTTCACTAGGTCTAATGATTGTTTCCAGACACAAAATTACCTCCTCGAGCAGCATTCACTGCGCAGATCATCGGGACTCTGTTCGGAGCGATCTTAAACTATGGTACGTTTTTGTATGACCGTGAGATGGCGGCTCAACACACTCTCAACACACTCTTCCAGTTTTAATGAACTCCATCATCGACAATCAGAGAGAAATTTTGCTTTCTATCGAGGGTACTAACATCTGGTTAGTGGCCGTTTACATTGTATCTTACTACATAGAGTGCTTTGACTGACCTCCAACTTACTGCCACTCCTACCCGTCTCGGAAAAATCCCGGAATGCGAAAAGGAGTGGTCAACAGCCTCAGCAATACAATTCCCAAGCTATTGCTTGGGGAGGTCTAGCTCACGAACTATTCGCAAACGGGAAACGATATCAATGGGTAGCATGGGCCTACGTTGTCGGTCTTGTCGTTCCGGTCCCCTTTTGGCTCGTTCACCGCTATTATCCAAAATTGCGCGCTGACTATTTGTATACGCCTGTCATATGGTGATTCTTCCGCTTTCTCTTCTCAGCAGCTTATAATACTTATGTCCCAAGTTATTACATCGGATGGCTTTGTGTGGGGATCAATTCCTCAATATTGGCATACTTCTCTGTAGCATTTCTGTCACAATGGTGGTTGAGAACTCGATATCCTAATTGGTTCGCCAAATACAACTATATTCTTGCTGCTGGTACGACACTTAAATTGTCTTGAATCGCATGTCGGTTGTACTGAGTTTGACCTCGTGCCTTAGCATTGGACGGAGGAACCCAAGTTATGGTCTTTGTGTTATCTTTCGCTGGTAAACTTCATGACCCATTATTTGATCTATCTGAAAGTTCAACACTGATTTTCATTTTAAATAGTTCAAGGAGCGGCAGGGACCTCTCATCTATTCCCGCAGTGGTGGGGGGCAAACCAGAATGGTAAGTGCGCGGAAGCGAGTCTAAAAATGTTTTTTCCTGATTCGCATATTTGCTAGGCAATTACGATAGATGCCTCCAAATTTGAGACGACCCCTTGATTACCGATTAGTTCCTGCAGCCACCAGGTAGTCACTACTTAGTCTTGTACATAAGCTCTGTAGGGTGTGCATGTTGAGCACAAGAAGCTGTTGAATAGCTTCAACTATGAAGTAACATGGTTCACAAATCCGCGCGGGCCAAATCCTCTGTTTGGTCCCAGAATATCATCCACGATTGTCATCATAGCCACCACCTTTTCGTCCTCCCATTTCTTTCCTACAATCTGCACAGAAACTGGCATGCGGTCCATCTCAATAGGGTTGTACATCGGGTTTGCAGCCGTATACAACCTCTGCTCCATCAAGACTGAACGCTTACTGGAGTTGGGAGATGTCCATGCCTCAGTGATCTGGTCCTTATGCGCATCCACATGCGTTACTGGCAGAATTCCTACTGGACTGTCAACTAAGTTGTATAAAGCCGTACTGACGACAAGAGAATTGACGGTAGTAGAGCCACTACGGAATTTTATCAAGCTTTCGCAATGCGCTGATAAAGATGGACGTACCCATGTGGGATTTGCGGCATCGCTTGAACTGGGCATATAATTCCATCCAGACCATATTGATTCCAAACCTGTGGTGTTTCATGACCCAAAGTTCAACGAGGTTAAAAAGGAAGGGACCTTTTCATAGAACATAGTATTCCATTTGTTCCTCTGCTCTGCCCAATAGTTTGTTTCCGAGACAGTTTTGATTCTAGATGCGCGTATAAACTTAGCAAACAATTTGTCACCGAGTATTCTCTCAACGACCCATGCTCCAAACTTGCGGATCAAAGCTTCGCGTATTGTCAGCGAAATGCCACTCCGAATGGGTAAACTCACCAGGAATTCGGGAACCGTAAACTGGTAAGAACAAACTAGGTTCCTAGAAGTCAAGGCCTACTTGAGTACGCGGTTGTCTAAATCGAATAAAGCCTGAAACAACCATGGGGTCTGGTCCAATCGGACTAGTCATGCGCTTGTATCCATCTGCGGAGACTAATGCAAGGTAAATCTCTAGAGAATCGGAGACTGAAGGAGTTCAATTCCAGATACGCGAACAAAAACTATGTTTTTTACCATCTGGGATTTCAATCTCGATGCATTCATGATCTTGTGCCTTCAATGCTTCAACAGTCTCCATCACGGCACGAGCTGCTGCCGGTGAAGCCTTTGCAAATCCATCTGCAATGCAAAATGACATCCAAACTATATCTTTGCATTAGTTATGTTCACCCACCTGCAGTATAATATCCAAATTTTAGCCGTTTGGGTAGATCAGGCCGGCGATAGGGCATTGGAACAAATGTATAGTCCGAATGTGTTTCGTCTTGGAGCCCAAAGATTGCTTGGCAGAACAACTCCAAATCGTTCACATTTCTTGGTAGCAAGGTGGGTTGATTTGGACTTGATCAGCTTATTTGTTAACCCATTATAACGCTTCGCTCACCGTGCCATGGGTCCAGTAACAGATTTGATACCTTCGAAAGCTGGATTGGCGCCTGGAGAGAATCGTCAGCCATATGCTCATTTAACAGCATCACACCTACTTTGAGCTCCGGCCTTAGATACGCGGCCAAAACTTGGCTTCAAACCGTAAACACCACAATAAGCTGCAGGGATACGCAGACTCCCTCCAACGTCGCTCCCAATACCAAAGGCAGACCCGTCCATTGCCAAAAGTGCCGCTTCACCGCCGGAGCTACCTCCACACGTATATTTGGAGTTGTAAGGGTTGGTAGTTCGACCCCAGAGAGGATTGTTGCATTCAAAGGAAAACATGGTTTGAGGAACATTAGTTTTTGCAATTGGTATTGCGCCGAGGGATATGAGTTGGCTAACAAGCTGGAAAGAAACACTTTCAGAGATCATAACACTAATGTAACCGCAAGTTCGACAATGAAATGGCGATAGCTCACCACTGCATCCGTCGTTGCAGGTCTATTAGCCCATGTGGTAAAACCGATGGACGTATCGAATCCAGCAATGTTAACTGAACGGAATTGGTTTGGGAATCGTCGGGACAAAAGGACGCTCACATTGGTCCTGTGAAACAACGTCAGTTGGTTAAATAACATATTTCAGCTGATGACACACCTTGGCACTAAATGGTACCCCATGAAGCGGGCCCCGCAACTTCTTTGTCACCGCAAACTCTGCGTCAAGTTCCTCAGCGAGCTTCAAAGCTTGCTGAAATAAAACTACAGCTTAAGCGTAAGTTCATCATCGTCTCTCTACAGAGAACGACTCACCTTCCGTCAAGCAATTTGTCGCTATGTGGGCCTTTGCAGCCTGGGAAATGTACGCTTCTACGACCTCTCTCGCTGTCCAGTCCCCTTTCTCGATACGCGAAACAATCTCATGAGCTAGACAACGGTTTTCAGCTCAGCACACCGCACGCACTGAATTTCACCTACCTCCAGCTTTCAGAAACTGATTATGACGAACAGAAAGCTCGGGGGCGGAGGCAATAAGGCGATCCCGTTCAGCCCGTTTGGCTTCTATCACAGCTCTGGCTTTGGTCCTGTCAGTGCTCCATAGCAATGAGAAAGGCCACATTGGCAGCCCAGTGATTTGATAGGTGGGATCAGAGTTATCAACGCGTTGTTGATGTGACTTGCTTACTTGCTAATAAAGCTTATTTAATGAAGAGTTTACAAGATGTGACAAAGTTCGATTTCTATAATGTCACCATCACTGCGGGGATGAAGGCCTTATCTTGCCGCGAATAGGGCGCGAATAAGGTAAGATTAGGTACAAAATTCTCCCTCTAAGCAGGAACAGAATATATTATTTAATCACATTGTAATCGAACGGACATTATGTAGAGAATAACATGAGATTATACAGAAAATTCTACCACTAAACCACCCAGGAATAGTTCAATAAAGCCCGACGTCAGTTTACAACGTTTTCGCGTGCTGAATATGCAGGGATTTTTTAGTCTAATCTACCATAAATTAGTGTGCGAATACATTGAGATTATTTTGACTAATTGCAGCAAAATCTTACCGGGATTGTTGGAAAATTTCGCGGACTATTCGCCGCGTGAAGAGCATGAGATTCTTCAAAATAATCTCACTGAGAATAAGGGTACGCGATGTCGGGACGTCGAGACGTCGAGACGTAGGGACATCAAGACGTCATCGACATCGGGACCTCGGGACATGGAGACGTCGTCGATATCGATATATCAAGACATAGCAGGGTCGTGAATGTCAGGACTCGACGATCATCTAGTTATTTTGTCAGTAGAATCTTCAAAACGTTAGGTAGGGACTTATCTATGTGCTCATTTATTCATAATCAGTATCACCTCTGCCCTAGATAGCACCATTATATGTATATACACTGTGTACAAGAAATTCATAGGTAAAAGATTGAGTTCTCTGAATCTATCAGCTTATCAGTCACATACCACTTCAAAGAAGGCTGAAAGTTACATACCATTATGCAGCTGCTGCTCTTGCAAGGACTGGTAGAATGATAGTTCCCCAGATATACCACCAATGACCAGGGATGATAAATATTTCAATGTGTGCCTTGGAACCTTTGCAACACAACATGAATTAGTGTTTGGATAAAGACATGGACCACACGGACAGTTAGCACAGTAGTTGCGAGGTCGGCTGAGGCATCTATGTTCCAATAAAATGTGCGCCAACGATTCTGAAAGCGAATGAATATGTATTTATTTGGAAAAATCAGTGAAGAAACGCACCAGCTTTCCTTCGCCATACAACCTGCATAGGGGGGAGCCAGACTCTGCTGGGACACGGACACTGTCTGTCCCACTCTGCCTTCCGGCGGTCGTAGTTGCCTGTCATGCCTACTTTCCAGTAGACATCGGAATCGACGAAAGCGTACAAGTAACCGGGCCCATCCGCTGGCGACGGGAGGCGGGAGCGTCTGGACGTGTATAGAGCGTCAAGTGAGCGGCTGGAGCGTCTTGCCATTGTACGCGAATCCAATATCGTGACTCGGATCGGGGGGAGCGCGCGGTACGAGGGGATTTAGAAGGTAGGGATGAAGCGCCTGGGGAGCGGGTGTAGTGGCGATCCGGATTAGTGTTTAAAAGGTAAACTGTCGTGAAGTATACAGGGTACGCTTGTAGCTTGGATTGTGTGCTATATGTTTGTGGGTGATTTGGATGTGGACAAGAGCCTCAGCAATGCTAACCATGCTGTGATGGGTATTATGTCGCTGTCGATGGCATTAGATAATGACTCTCGGGCCTCTTATACATAGTTGAGCTCAACCCAAGCACACATTTCATGAGCAGGGATGGAAACAAAGATGAGGAAACTTGAGGGTATAATTTATAACATAACACCAGTATGGGCAGTGAGAATAAAAACAGATCAATATGGAATTAGAAGAAACCAACAGTTGCCCCCTCAACTGTATAATTCCAGACCCAGATTGCGCCTGAACTCTCAACAGCATAGTCATCTCGCCCTCCTCCTAAGAAAGAAGTCATAAAGTAGAGTCAAGCGATTCTAGGGGTCCCTCGTAATCGCCGAAGGAAACCTTGAGTCAACCAATATTTGAACGCGCAATGGTGAACTGGTGCTCGAATTCAGTATCCCCCATCTGTTCGTATGATAGAGCGATAGCCCGGGTCCTCTTTTGTGGTGACCGTCTTCCATATCACCGTCCGGGACCCAGTTGCTATACCTTGAAGAGAACGTCGTATTAATTCTACAAGGGCACGTCCAGTCCTTGCTACAAATCGATCCGAAGGTTTGGCACGTCCAAAATCGAGGTGAGTTTGGGCCGAAGCAGTGAGTGCGCTCAATTCAGTGGACTTCGAGGAAAGCACCATTTCAAGTTGATCAGTCGCATGCTCGTACTGTCCAGTATGACGACTTCAGTGGGTCTTATTCTGAGTTCCAGATTGAAACAGTTAATTTTGTATGTGACCAGTGTAATCGTATACAGAAACTCACCCCTTCGACGACATCCCACAAACAATGATAACCATCCACCCACTGAATGGCTGAAGAAATCTTCGTCGATGAGATTGACCATGCCCTAGGATATCGACGAGATTGGTCGGGTTGGATTTACCAGTTGCTGGTGAATGGATGAGGGACATTGTTGAGGATTTTGTGCATACGTCGCGTTCTCGAGATGGTATATATCGGGTTCCAGGGTGTTCATGAGCTGACTGTATTTTCATGGGGCCAAGTCTTCTCTTTGGCGGAGAGTGTAACTCATCAGTCTATGCACGAGTTGCACTCGGATACAAGACGCGGACGGTGGAGGACGAAAGTGACGGTTTGAGAGACAAGTGATATCGGTACATAATCGTGATCAGTTTGCTTTTATAATTTTAGGCGCTCATGATCATTCCGAATGCATGCAATGCTCTTGTACGTACTTAAACATCCTCATTTGGCAGCCTTATGATCATCGCTCTCTAGTATTCTGTCATTCACTTACTTTTAGCTTAAAAATCTGGATATTGACGAGGGCGCTGTTCGAATTCCGGACCTTCCTTGTCAAGATTCCAGCACAGCCAAAGCTCGCATTGCAGACACATTCTGTTGCAAAGTAACCATCCAAATTTTTATTTGTCTTGAGAGCCTCCGCCAGATCATATTCCCAAAGTTCCTTACAGACTTTAAGCTGATCTCGAGGGATATCGTACTCAATGACAAGGGCGATCTCTTTCTACCCTCCTTCAAATCTTCGTGAAATATTCTGAAAAGGCTGGGTGATCGTCCCTCCAAATTACATTACGGAAGTACCGATAATCCCGTTGACAAATAGACCTTCTATCTACCCAACTCAAAAACTATCTTTGAGAATCTCCCTTACTACACCTCCCGCTAGCATCATCGTGGCCCTCATCCCTGTAGGATCAATAGTCGCCAAACCAACTTCTTCTTCGGCTTCAGCAGTCTTGGAGAGGAAACCTTTCCAATATGGATCATATTTGAGTAGATTGCCATTGCCGATTATGACGAGGAGTTCTTTAGCACGGATAATAGCTACATTCATTCTACGATCGCCATTCAGCATCGGTACAAGACCTGAAGAAAATGAGCAAACCTTTTCTTTTCAAATACCAGACCAATCCCCTTCTGTCCGTCTTCTGTCAGAAACCTGGCACTAGACCTCACACAAGAGATGATCACAACTCGTTTCTCTCTGCCTTGATAGTCCTCCACAGTTCCACATCCACTCGAGATAGCCCCGCGTGCCTTAATCTTTCTCGGATTTTCCAAACTTGTTCTCGCCAAGGTGCCATGACCCCGATTTTGTCAGCTTGGAGCGGTGAAATGCTTTGGGCGGCCTCCGACATCAATGAGCTGATCACTCCTACAATTCCATCTATTTCGCCAATGTTGAACCAGGTAGCATGCTGAGACAAAGTTAGGCTGCGTAGATACGGACCTCGTCGACGCTTTCATCCTTAGTGTCACAGCCAAGGAACATTAGAGAGTATTTATCGTTGGATAGTCCCGCCCAGGAGATCATACCATTGCTCGCGCAAGGCTCTAACGAGTCATTGTAGAACATAGCCGAAGGTGGCATGAGGATTGCTGGGTGAGAACGGTAGTTCTGAGATATGACATAAGAAAGCGAAACGGACAGGTCATTATGAACAAACCCACCTTAATGAGATTCATGAATGGCTTGAACATTGATTGCACTGAATTTTGGTGCAGCGGCAAACCAGTGAGGGGTGGACGTCGAGGATGACGTGTCTCGGCGTGTTCCGCGTACAGAGGTCTATCGAAGAGACGCTCGAGTAAGGAGACATCGAGTTCATAGGTGCGCGCTTGTTGAGATGTGATGATGGGTCCCACTATGTGAGCAAATTGAGTCAGAATAGTAGTCTAGTGCTATGGAAAGCCAGAACGTACGCTGATTGATATCCCCGCACAGAATTAACTGTGGGACAATGGAAAGCTAGTGGTAATCGAACGAAGTTGTACGATTGGGAGCGGAAAGCTCATGCCTGGGTAAAGCGACTGAGATCGGAACTAGAAGTTCCGGCCCTAAACCTTGCGCGGCCTGACAAAGGGTTTAAGCAGTGATAATGAAATCAAACAGAATTGATTCCCACCTCGTCAATCAGCAGATGCGTCCAATGAGGAACAATCCAATACTTGATCTTCCTGTGAGGGTGCAGCGATGACACTACGTGTTCTTCTAGCGCACAAAGAACGGTATTAGTACAGGCAGCGTCGACGAGAATATTTGCGTCCAGACACGACGTCACCACTACCTTGTAGCTCATGAGCATCTTCCAAGTAGGAATGGCGAAGCTATCGTTGTCAACATCTGAGCTTTTTGTCAGTAAGAAATGGACTTGGTGAACTTGCAGCAAAATTGATGAATTGAATCACCTCCGCAAAGGTTCTGTTCTGGTCATTTAGTCGGAGCATATCTCCTAGTTTGAGAGATGATCCAAGTCGTAGTGCCAAAGTATCAGTAGCGGAATTGGAAGGAGCACAAAGTAAGCTATGTGCTTCTGGCTGAGTATGTAAGATTTGGTGGACGGTTTCCACGACGGTTCTGTGATATAGGGCTAGTCAATGTGTTCAACTTCTGATATTTGGAAGTACCGTTACCGTGTTTTTCCTGTACCCGGAGGACCACTGATAAGAAACGGGACAGGCGATTGATATTTTGATATACAAGAAGCGGCGAACTAGAGTGAAATAGAAGGAAGATAAGCACTGATGATCGACTTGCATGGCAAAAATTGACCCGTTGCTCCGCATTCAAGCCATTGTCGACCCAAACCTCTCCTGTTATATTAGGCGGTGTGGAAGGGACGGGAAGATTGAGATGCAAATCGTCCATCTCGGGAAATAACCACCGATGAGCTACATCGCGCTTTCCATTGGGATCCAACGCACTAGCCAAGGTCGAGACGGCGACGTCCATTACAACTGAGGGACGTGCGTTTGTTATAAAAGACAGGTTGAGGACAGGAGGTACTTCTTCATCAGCCTGAAACGGGGGTTCTTGTATAGCAAACGTCTCATGTGCGTCTTGAGCGTAAGACAGGAAAAATCTGGAACGAATTGAGCAGGATTTTATAGTGATATAAACACACATACGAATGGAGCCTTCTCGTTTCTTGAGTCTAATCACCCTTCCTTCGAAAGCGAACCCACTGCCTGTTTTTCAGTCAACCAGGACTTCCCTTAGATGAATGACGTCCCCGATGTCTAGCCTGGGATAGTTTTTGAAAAGCGTAAGTCCCCTACTGATGGAAAGGAAATCACACATTATTTACCTTCAAAGGAACACAGACTTTCCCCACCGCCGCGTCCATGAGCTCCCTTTTCTTCTTCCTCGTTCATCTTGCCTTTCTCAGCAAACTCTCTCGCACTACCAATCAAACGGCCGTCTTCCTTGATACTAAACAAGGCCTCGAGGAGCTCCCGTTCAGCGGCAATAGCTTGATGAACCCATGCAAGCATGTCGCCGATATACCTCAGAGGATCGTGAGCATGGAGCTCAATAGGTCGAGGGAGACCAGAAGGTCCGCCACGCGTAAGGGTAGTGAGGAAGGAAGATGTCAGTGTTGTTTGACGGGTGAGTGAAAGCGCAGCCAGTGATTCACTGGACGAAGACTGTCAGACAAAGAACAGAAGTCCGTGACAAGGACATACTTTAGGAGCTCGGGCCTCTTTCGTAGACGACGGACGCCCTCCCGCATGATCGTGTTCACTTCAAGCTGAGAATCGCGTCCAACCTGACGAAACTCGTAGGAATACCAGCGAAATATTTTCTCGTAGCCTTGTTCAAGTTGAGAGGCGGTAGATGCCATGATGTCTTTCCTAGCCGTAGATACTAGGTATCATGATCAGTTATCTCAATTGAGATTGTTTGTCGAACTTACCCAGCTCTCGCACCGGCCATTATAACACGACCAATCTTGTCGAATCTGTTCTGTCTTGTCCATAGGTTGGAGAAGTCGCTTGCCCACTGGTACATCTCTAGATGTCAACGTCTCGGTTTCCTCCTCCGTGAGTGTAGATCGTGAAAGGAACAAGGAGACAATTGATTTTCGGTCTTCAACTTCTTGGCTTTCTTGCGCTCAGTATATAGAGGACTTCGCAGGTGCCAAAAAACACGCACCTCTCTTCACGTAGATTACCTGCTCGTGAGATTTGCTCGCCTCGTTTGAAAGTTGGAGTTGCTTCTCGGCTTCGTCACAGCTCGTATGCATTGCCGAGACGTGTTTTTGAAGGGCAACCAGTCTCTGAATAGGACATTGGGTAGATGAATAACGAGACTGCGATCGGGAAGTGAGTACACACCTCATCAACTTCACTCAAGACTTTCAGAAAATGTCGACTGCCCTCAGCCAGCTTGACATATCCCGCTTCAAATTTCTCCTTGCCCTTGCAGCTGCTTCCCCTGGCGTGTTTTCCACAAATTTCGAGGGTCCGATTGATGATTGAGCGCTTTTCTTCATTGTCGTTTTCGTCTTCTTCATCTTCGAGCAACGCGCCATCAATGTGCATTGGTCTTGGGAGTCTCCGTGACTTGAGCTGGCATCTACGGTGGAGCCAGATGAGCTGCTATTGACATAGAGTTCTGAAAGTGTTTGCAACGCTTCAGGTGGCTTCATCGTCAAAGTTGGTACCAAGAACTTTGTACAGTCGTAAAGAGACGGGGTTTCGAGCTTGCGAGGTCCACGAGCTAAAACTCAGACGTACAACGCTGTTTATAGGAACATAAATCACTCCGAAGGAAAGACGAGATCTCAATATTGAATACCATTGACGATTCGTGTCGTTCTTTGGCAACTTGTTTCATCAATAGGTATGTCAACAGCGCATAACCAAAAACAAGCGATGCGGAATTCGACCTACCGCCCTCCAATGCAGGAGTTGCCTGCCGTACATCAAATGTACACACGGACCAACTCTCGAGTAATTTCGTATTCGACGACAACGGTGCTGTTGGTTTTTTTTGGCTGACAGATGACCCTTTGCAACGCAAAAAAGACACCAGGCATAGTAATTAATAGATCGTATGAATACGACAAATGAAAGACGATAAGGACTAGTAGATTTGAACTGGGCAAGAAGTGCCTTTGTTCCATTACTCAAGGCTTCGTGAAATGAGCTGGAAACAAGAACACCAGCTGTTGTATCTAGGTGCCACTGAATGGTTTCGGAGCGAAACGAAGAATGATGTTCGTATACTCGATCTAACAAGAGGTTGAGTGGGGCCTCTATAACAATTCAGTTTGAACTTACTTCCTTCTTCAACGTTCGCAGAATCTCTGTTATTTTTGCAATCTGGGTAAGCAGGGGCGCGAACATGAGGGAGTGAGCCTCCATCTTGATATACAAGTCAGTAAGTTATAAGCACGAATCAGATACCACACACCTCCATGGACGAGGTCATATTCGGACCACGAATAAGTGCCATGTATATCTCCAGTTTGGTTCGTTGGGCCACTGGCGACAAGTTGGTATAAAGATCACACAGTGCGCTGAAGAGTAGCCGACAGGTTGAGTCCATGGATGGAAGGACGATGGCGAGATCAACTAGAGGTTTTTCAAGCGTGGCAAGGAAAATCTTGGGAGAAATGGAAGTTTAGACCAATTTATTATCATTGATGAACGTTCTACCTTGCATTTGAGAATCTGAGTCAAACGTTGAAGAGAAAGAACTTCGGAGTAACAAGGGGAGAAAAATTCTACCTAATACAGAAACATCAGATAGACACAGATGCAAGATTTTGGGAACTTACAGAATCATCGATCCTTCCAGAGCAAATAATATTAGCATATCCCCGTTTTATGCTTTCGATCGATGAACGCATGGCTTCTTGGAGGGTCTCGAAGTTTTCTACCAACGAGTTTAAGGTAGCGGTCGCTATGTCCATTGACTGGCGGCAAGTATCTATGTCGAAAGTATGGGCATACGAGGGACTGTATGAGCAAGAGCTGTCATTTATATAGTGGTTCTTTCTCGCAATTTCATCAAAGGGACATGAGATCGAACTAGAACAAAGGGGTTGCATTATGAGGGTTTCTTTGAGCTTTCCATGCAATCGATTCGGATTTAGCGGTCAGTGCATAGTCACTGCCCGAATATTGAGCCATAGAGCAATGAGACGACCTTAGGTCTGGTTTGAAACCGAGACCAAGTTTTGGTGAGGTTGGTTAAGAGGAAGAAAGGGCGCTTCAAGAAGAAAAGACGCTTCAGCGCTTACAGCTCCGATATATTACGTACCTCTCTATCTCTTTCTCAACGATCATTCAGTCCCACCGAGTACAACTCCGTGGGCTGTTCCTCCAAGGGGCCGTCGCTTCTCCTACATTTCCGTAGTCCCCTTTGAGCTCAAGGCTCGTGTACATCCATTCTCAAAACACATTTTCTGGGTACATATGGTTCTCTCCGAACCTTTGAACGCGCCCTATGCTCGGCTAGGCGCCATAGATGCCCCTAACGATACTGTGAATGCATTGGCATTCTCAGTGGATGGTCATTTCTTGGCGAGTGCAGGAGATGATAGGCGGGTACGTGTATACGACATGGACCATGGTTTTTCGACATCCTGGGAGCACGAAGGCTCGTGTGCTTTTACTGCTGTTGCATGGAGAGACAGTGTTCTATTCGTGGGTAACATGGACGGCGAAATAATAACCTTTCATCCAACCAAGGTGAGTTGTACATACTTTAGTGGGCCTGTTCTGATAGAAGGAACAGAAATGGATTTACCGACGAAAAAGTGAAGTCCTCTACAAGACCAATACACCTATCGAATGTCTGGAATTCGATAACCACGGGAACTGCCTTCTTGTTTGCTCTGGTGCCGACGTACTTCTTTTTAAAAATAGTATGGATGTACCTTGTCGGAAATCCACATTGTCATAACGTTCATTGGTGTCATCGCAGGTTCTAGAAAATGGCATTATCAGGATCATCTGCCTCGCCCCGGTCCATTCGGAGAAACCGAGAATTACAGCCGCCCGCCAATCCTGGCAACGGGTGCTTATTTTTTGGGAGATGATGATTGTCTCTTGGCATATCTTCACGACGGATTCTGGTGAGAAGAACAAGACCATGCTGTATTCTCTGATGACCGAAGATTTGATGAACAGGAAGTTTAAATTTGATGCCTGGGAGAATCGTAGGAGTTGGGGGCCAGAGGAAAAAATGTATGTGATATGCATTGTATCGCGCTGGTGTTCCCGCTCATGGATATGTCAGAGCGGCTATGGCGAAATCTCCGGACTCGACAGCCGTAGTGACGACAAACATATTCAACGGCCTTAGTTGGTTCAGGAGTACACCTGAAAACGTCAAGAAAATGGGTACCTCTGTCGACGTTCAACCACGCCCACAGAACATTCCACTTCCAGTCTTATTTATCAATAAAGGACAAGCGACGATAATGGGGACGACCAAAGGTTACGTGGCAATATTCGAAGCGAAACGTGGTAAAAAGATACAAGCTTTGAAGCATGGGGAAGGTACATTTTCACAAGATGTTTCGAATGTCTTCTCTGATATTCCCTTATTCAGACGAAATATGGGTAACCGCTCTTGTGAGTGTTTCCATACCTTATGCTGACCTTAACTGCTGTCTTACAATTATAAGGCCTATATCGAGCTGGCGGGTCGTCGTAGAATAATCGCTTCGGGTGAAGGAAATTGCGGAGAACGTACAAAGATCGTTATATGGACTCAAGATGAAGCTGAGGGACCTAGTAAACAACAAAAAATATCAAAGTTCTGGGGTGTTCTAACGAGATTTGTATGTTGTATCATTCCTCTAGCATACCTCTTTCTCAAGACAATCGTTCACAGATCAAATTTACAACGACTGTGGGGCATATGGTTCTCGTACTGATGGGTGTGGTTTTTACGATGTCGTGGTTAATCTCTGCCCAGTGGAGAGAAGGAGAATCAGCGAACTTTTTACAATATTTCGGAAGGTCGTTTGTTCCTCCTCCTCCGCCTCCCGTGGTTCCTTCTGCTACACCAACCGGTCAATCGCCATCATTGACAAAGCTCAAAGAATTATTGATCAGTTTAGAGGATCTTTTGGTACGTGTTGGTCTCCCAATTGGCATATAGACAAACTGAAAAACGGACGTTGACACCAGTAGACTTAGATTATCTGAGAATACCTGTTTGAATTTTTTGCGCATCAATCCTATGAAATCGAACGTATATACATTATGGTTACTCGAATATGACCTGAGAATTTTGCCCAGTTATTCTGCCTTCGATGTCACAGTGGAATAATTTGGACGCGTAGCTCTTATATCAGACCGGAGCTCTTTTCATCGTGATCGGCTTTTATAACGAATTTTGGCAGTGCAGTGTTCAACGATTCTGTGAGCGCTGCTCATGTGTACCCAGTAGCGAGTGTCTACTTAGTACAAATCCTGCTCGTTGTTCGTCGTAGCGCTACGAATGAGCTCTTGCTCCTCCAAAGCCAGATGTTCTTCCCTCTCCTCAATCAACTGCTTACCAAAGTTTAACTCTTCTAATTTTTTCTCGGCAGATAACATGGCCTCCCGATGAATTTGAACAAGTCGCGCAGAAGCTTCAATCTCAACATCCATCTTGACCCGACGTGCCTTCTTTTCAACCAATGTTTCCTTCAGTGTGACTGCTCGCTCCCTCCTTTGGAGCTCCTCAGCTTTTGCCCACGGTGTGAACTCGCAGATGTATAGATACGCGAGATAGACCTTCATTCAGACAGAATATTTAATTCTCTATCTTCAAGATGAGATAAAACTTGCTTACCATTTTCAATGCAGCGTCAATGAGCATCAAGAAGCCCAAAATTGAACAGACAAGGAAGCCAATAAGCATTCCTATCAAGGCCAAATTATCCGAGACGACATCTTCCATAATGGATTCAGTCATAGCTTCAGAGGCAAAAGACAGGTTAAACTTGATGAACGAAAGGATGTTGCGGAAGATGACAGCAGCGTCTGGAGTTCTAACCACAGAAGACATGGAATCGATGGGAGGCGAAGACATGTTCAGCTGAATTTAGGGCTTTCGTACAAGGCAGTAATGCGTCCCCGATTTACCTCAAATACAAGCATAATCAGACAACGTGTTCATATGCATAGATTAATAGATCATCGATAGGTGCACCGGTTCCGATTATAAGGTACCGGTGTCACATCCAGGGCTACTAAACGCGTTATATGTATGCACCGAACCGAATGTCAGAAACAAACCGTGTTTGTGCGTCTTCCGCGTGTTATACATGAAGGTTAAATCCACTGGTACTAGCTGGGTACTAGTACTAGGACTTTTGTGGACCACGATGCTTCAGCGGCGATGCAGACATAGATCACATGTGTAAAAGGAAGACTACGTATATGGCTTTAACAAACTCAAAAACCAAAGTTGAGTCCTATTGAGGAACAATCGAGCAAAAATCGGGAAATTTAAGAACCATAAATCGCCATTGAAGGCTATAGTAATTTGGTATGGGATACCTAATGGTTACTTCGACTTTTTCGTGCATGCTTAAAAGGGATATGATTGGACAGGACGAATTGTTGCGATCGCAGACAGGGTTGTTATTATCCGTGTTGACTACTGTAAGGTACGCGCTATATCACATAGCCGCCTGCATTGACCGGGAAGGCCTGTAGAGCTTGGAAGCTTTTCTGCCTTTTCATAGAGGTCCATACACTGTCTCACGAGTAGCGCTGTCAATTCCGATGCAGTGATATCATCTGGCTCAGGTGGATGGGATGGGATGGATGGCATTGACTAGCCTTTGATTAGCGGATGATATGAGGAACGAACACAAAAGGCACCTTCGAATCTTCTGTGCACGCGCGAGAGACAGCAGCAGTACTCGGAGGGGAAGATTTAACTCTTTCCAAGTAGGACCAGAATTCCTCCGTCTAGAAAGTAAGGAAAGGTCAGTCGACCTCATGGTAGGGATATTGTGTGCATACCTTCTCCGCTGTAATAGCCTCTATACATCCTTGATCCGCCAAGCCACAACCAAGAGACGCTAGAAGCTGCGTCCGTAGCTTGATGATAGATATTGACGCGTCGTCCACACCGGAAAGATGATGCGAGTGTTCAGCTTTCAGGTGAGCCAGGTCAGATTGTGCCGCCTGGAAACAGAGGGTCAGAACGAGTTTACACGATGAGAAGTGAAAAGTTATACATCGGTGTTGCGCTTCCTACTAGAATGTCTTTGACGCAAACTATCAGCTTCGTTACGCAGTTGAAGGACTTCTTCATGCTTGCTCTCGACTGCCTGCTCGAGTAATCGCAAGCGTGGTGTATTCGACGATAGAATGCGAACTTTCTGGAACAAAATGATATCAAAAAAGTGGTTATATACCGCGACATTGATCGGTCTGCACTCACGGAGCTCATGAACCAGATCGACAGAGTTAAGTTCCTAATGGGTGGGGAGTGGCGTGTAGTTCACGGGCTAAAAATGTCGCCAGGTTATGTATATTGGTTGGTGGATACCTTTGTGTATTGATGCGAAGTTATAAGACAAAGGGCATCCGTATCTGATATAGTCGTCATATCGATATCGCCAAAAGTTTCATCTATAAAGATCTATGCGTACGTCCCGTGAGGAGTGCAGAGCAGATATGAACTTGCACGCGTACGAGGGTATACTTGGGAGTTGTGAGCCATCACTAGCTATCTAGGTATAGAGTGGCTATGGGGTATTACACGCGTACCTGAGAATATCTTTAGATGTCCCATTCTTCACCAAGCCGTAGAGTTGCATCCCTGACTGTCCGAGAGTTTCATTCTCTCGTGTTCGAAAGCACGATAGCACAGAGATCCAGCAGGCATTGTCGGTCTCATAGCTACAAGCTGAGGCACTGGCATCCAGCGAGTTCGACTCTGTGGGATTGCCATGGAAGGATCGGGAATGAAACTTCGGATGCGACATTGCGAGACCCGGTCCCAAACACTGTCACGTGAGCTGGTGATTAATTGCGTCATGATCACTGCTTTTCCGAATTTGGACAGAGCCCGACAGTCTACAAAACTCTTTGCGTGAACATTGTAACGCAGTGATTTACTTCGGGCTTCAATTTGCAGCCCTCCCTTGAGAAAGACTTACGTTGATGTGACCTATGTAGATAGTGGCATCGTTTAGTGGCATCGTTTAATGGATCATTGGCTGGAGCTGGTGTATACTGTTACTTTTTTGTCTCGACGACACGTTGGTATGATCTTTTGAATGACTCAAGTATCTGCGCATGCATCAATAATTATATTAACGACAATATCGTCTATTCTAGTTTCTGGTACCGGAATGTATCCTTGTCGAATTCATACCAAGAAATAGCTTATTACATCGCACCCTACACTGTGCTACCCTATAGGGTATTTCCTTTCCTGCAGCATTCTATGATAACGTTTGAGATAGACTTCGAAATATCAATAGACGATACGTACTTGGCGAGGTCGGGAGGAAAGACCAATTTCATGGGTTTTCGAGGACGTATAATCTCATTGACAAAGCCATGCCCTCCTTTGGACCATCCAGGTTCCATCCCTTCAAGCCATTCGGCATCATAAAAGTTGGAAGGTAAACCCACAACGTATTTGCTGTTTGAGCTTCGGTCATTGTTATCAACACGAAGACGCGGAGGAGAACCTCGCGTGAAACTGAATTTCTCTCCGTCGGCGGAGCATCGTCCTTCGAGGTGAACATAGTCTATTGGCCGAACGAAATTCTTGACCAAGGCCGCTTGCCATCTTGTGCCCTTCACAAGATATTGTACTCGAGGTTTGCTCATGCCAGGGTCTTCTTCGTCCGACGACATTCCCGCGACGCCTAACTCCTCGAACACCTTGAGGTAGGGCTGGAGTGATTCAAAGGTAAGAATAACCTCTCTTCGTTGATGAAATAACTTGTTCAAAGTCCATATCAGTTTCCGCATCAAAATACGATGCTGTGACAACTGACTGTGCTTTTTCTCTGCCACCTGCCTGAGGGTAAGCGCGAGTCATTGCTATCTTCCGCCATTTTCTTGTCTTCTAACCAGTATTTATGAAGCGATTTTAACCGCACAAGAAATGCTTCACGGAGACCATCACGATCTTCGACAGTGGGTTTAGTGATCAGCTTCTGCGCCTCAAGTATCTCAACAAAGACGTATGAGGCGCCCTTGTTCCATGCTGATTTAGGACCACCCGCAATCCAATATCGAAAGTTTTCCGTCGTACATGGACGTGAAAGCGGATTCTTCTTGAATGCTTTGGCAAATTCGTCTGCTTCCTGTTGAGTTACCGTGTTTTTTAATTGATCTTGACCTTTCATTATTTTATCGAGCCACATGCGGATCATTTCCTACATTAAGAAGTGAATATGGATTGTCGCAAGAGATGGTCGTACGAACCTTGCTCCTCAGCTCTTCAATGGGTCGGCGCTTGATCTCACCAGAGCGCGGAACTCGCTTCTTCTTGGCATAGTTGAACGCATAAGCTACATCGGCCTCATCGTCACCTTCAATATCTTGTTCTTCCGCCGGGTCACTAGGATTTCTTTCTGTTTTGGCAGCATCACCCTGGGAGTTAGCTCCTCGTTCGTCGCCCATATTTCCACGTTGTTGTGCGGGCTTGCCCGTGAAGTGCTTCTCCAGTGTCTCCCCGATGCGTGCCAAGATTCTCGAATTCTGGTTTGTGTGTTCAGCCAACTTATCGATCTTATCGTCTTGTTTCTGCAAAATTGCAGCGGTTTTCTCGTCTTGTTTCTGTAACATTTCTGTGGTCGATCCTTGCAATTGTGTGCAGACGCTCTTTAGTAGTGTTGCTTGTGCCTCAAACAAAGTTTTTAACTATAAGGTTTTTTTTTAGGTTCGACGCAATGATAACGAGCACAGAATGCCTACCGCATCTACACTGGAGCTGGAGCCCTGATCACGTTGAGAATTTGACTGCCCACCATCGTTGGGAGCCCGGGGTTCCTGTTGGACTTTTCTTCTTTTGCCACTTCGAGGTAGTTGTATGGTCGGCGACGATGGTTCCTGATTATCATGCATAAGTAAGCACTCCTTCTCAAATGGATTCCTCGTGACAGACCTGCATTGGTTGTTGATCTCTAAAGGATGAAGAAACTCTGGGAGTATCGTTGGGATCAGGAGCTCTGGGAGTATCATTGAGATCATCCATATGATGGTCGTCTCTGGGAGGGGGGGTCTGAGGTAAGTCCTGCCGCGACGTGTGCGAGTGCTGTGGCATCGAATGCTGAATATTTTCCGATGAATCCTGATAGGAATGAGTTGCTGGATCGGCCTGTGGCTCATCCACCTCATCTGCGGTACCATAGTCCATTTCAGAATCTACATCGCTGGAATCTTGTCCAGGAGACATCATCGCTGGAAATGAACAAGAATTTCTTGCATGTTCTGCTTTGGAACGGGCCTCATAACCGAAACGACTAGCTCATCACTTCAACATCCAATCAATCAACTCACTTGGAGCCTAAACCATTTCTAAGTCTGTATACGATACATATGCCTAAACTTCACTAAGTGCTAGTTATTACACTCCCTTCTTTCCTTCCTAGTTGCCTGTAATAGCCTTGATACAAGTCAGCGCACGGAAAAGTCTAGTCTAAGGGGTTCCTCACCCTCGTTTCGAAGAACCTGGTTACGACGCCACATCAGCCAGCATCCATTATCATGACCAACGGGATCCGGAGGGACATAAGGTGTAGTGAGCGAAATTCCGTGTCTTTGCGCATGCGTCCGGTTTAAAACCAGGACCAAGCGTTCGAGGTTGTCGTCGACGTCGTACTAGTACTGGTAGTTGCTTGATTTCGGAAGTCAAGTGATCAAATTTTCAAAAGTCACATCTTGTAGTTACGTAATATAAACTACCCTTTGTTGTCGTACGCCCAAAGTCTCGCGGTCGGCTTAGACATTCCTCATGAGTCCAACTCCGAGGATGTCTTCTCCTATTGTCTTTCACCTGAAAGGAAAACCTTCCTCTTATACCGTTTCGGCTGTCATAGCGTCAAAGGCACTCGAATGGGCCATCCGACCATGAGCCTTATGATGAATGGCCCACAATGCAACGGAATTTGTATAAAAGTGCGTGGGGGTTTTCTCTAGTGGTCATACAATGTCGACTCCATCACAAGTGCGCTGCATAACATGCGAGGACGCTGAAATCAATCAGTACGAACGGAGATTGTCTGCCAGTTCAGACGAAGCCGAACAACTTCGCACCGAGATAGCTGCTCTGTTAGGAAGCCTCGAACACCTTGATATCGACGTGAGTATCCTACGAAAACATAGTTACCTGTATTCATCGGTCTGTTTCCCAGGATGTGCAAACCTCTCTACGTCTTGCTGACCTGAGGTCTCTCAATTCTGAACTTATCGTTTCACTGGTCGAAAAGACAAACGAAATCCGAGGTCTCGAAAAGGAGATCCAGAATTTGCAAACTTCCCGTTCATGATAAGTAAGTTACGTTGTCTCTCATCCATGCTTTCCTAACCTAGTCTTGATCAGTTCAGCGAATCGCGACAAAAATCTTGCAACCCGCAGGGGACCCTCGGTTCTTCCTCTCGTCCTGATTATTCCAAGACGGCATCGTAAACTACAATCTAATGAATTTGTGACTCATATTTTGACCGTAATGCTCTCGATTGAGCACTGACTGATCTTCAATCAATGATGAGGATGGATCAGCAACATCCTCGCGACCCAGTCCAGAAGGCTGGGTATTCTTCTCATGGTGTTCACTTCATCCCAGACATGATATGACGCTTCTAGCTTTGTGAAACCGTCTGTACAAGTTCCTCAAGCAAAGTGTGTGACTTTCGCTACTCCTACTCTCAGCGGTCTGTGTTCAGACGACTACGTAGTCAATTGATCATTTTGAACCATATGATTTCAAAGGAAAAGCGCTGATTCTCCGTGTACATTTATCTTAGGAATGCCTTGCTGTCAGAAAAGCCATAATCGTCCCAGTCACACGTCTTTCTCAACTGCGCTATACTGGTAGTCCATGTAAATTATCATGTACTTATCTAATTGTGGAACACCGGGTCTGGATTCAAAGTGAATCCCAGAAATGGGGTGCATTCAACACCTTCCAATTACTTGTTGGAGCCGCGCGCGCAAGCACCTGCGTGAAGCTATCTCTTCGGCTGATATCGATTGTTGAAGCGTGCAGTGGCACAGGCATCGGACATGGCCTGTAAGGTTTCATGTTTGCTTCAAGGGTTTCAATTTTAATCAAATGACCCTTCTATGTCAAGTACATGAGGTCGAACATTCGTACCGCGTAATTATGTCGTTCGAATGATAAGAGCAACTTTTGCAAACTTAAATTAATATCTTCAATATCTAAAACAGGAAGTCTGTAATCGACTTCCATTGTTGAAGTTTTTGGATCCCTTTGCAAGCTATGTAATAGGCCTCACAAAATTTGATAGGAAAGTGCTAGTCCTTTTGATTCATGTATCATTTAACAGTTCTTGCATGTACGAGATGAATGATGAAATCATAGATGATAATCTAGATCTAGCGATATCGATCAGATCTTAAGATGTGAAATATGTTCCTGATATTGAGTGGCTATGATTATGAATAAGGCTGGGATTGTTCTCTAGATCAGCGGAAAGAGTTTAAAAGTATTGTTGGTTCTAGACGCTTTGACTTACTTTTATCGATTGGGTTGAAATGTGAATCAGAGGAATAGAGCTACAAGTGCGAGGGGAAATATTGTTCAGGGTCAAGCGTCGGGGGGTGAGTAGACCTTCGAGGTTCTGCACACATGTATTCAGGATTGAGAATTTTTCGTATAACATGCTTTTTGATCCCTTTCATCCTTCGCTAATTACCTCCGGATTGCCAAAGAAACCAACTCCAAACAATTATTAAAATTTTTAAACCAGATTCTATGCTAGAAGGACGACACAGTCTGAGATGACTGACCGTTAAAACCTACGTACTGCTAGCGCTAGCACTAATATAAGTCACCCGTGCTTAAAATCTGGTTTCGTGAATTTAGCGAGTGTTTACGGTGTCACTGAATTTGGAAGGAGAATCGGTAAAGTCAATATGTGGACTGAATAATGACAATGTATTCGTATTTCGCGCTGAGTGATCAGAAGTCGGATGCAATGGAAATCTCCCGGTATCTGAAGCTGTAACAGGGAGGTTAGGAATCCTAGGGCTTGCAAGACTCATGTTAACAGCGTGTTGCCTCTCATAAAATCAGAGACAAAATAATCACTTTTTCCCCGTCGATACTCCATCGCCTTTTCAAATTTGTCCATACAACTTGAACAATCCGCATAATGCCTGTTTTACGATCTGCTCTGAATGGCGCAAGTCTCTCCCCTACTCCCGCTAGCGCAGGGCCGTCCCGTCAAAGACAGTCCCCAGATCACACCATTCTCTGCCCCACATTGAATGGTAACATTATGCCAGAGCTAGATGAGACGGTGAGCTTGGTGTTCGGCTGTTGCTATAGCATGTCTAACTGACACCAATCCCGCAGACTTATGGAAAGACACTTGGACTTTACTTCGGCCTCGGTAATGCATTGGCTGAACATAAACACTTCGATTCGGCGTTGAAGCAATATAGCCACAAACGCTTCATCGATGTCCGGTTTGGCTTCGGGTCCGATACGGATGCCGACGATCTGTACAGGGCTAAAGTTATCGTCAATCAACGAAAGTACTATGTCGTGGGCACCTACAATCAAGGCAGCCCGGATATCAACACGGCCTTTGACGCGTACGACTGTACAGAAATTTTCAAAGGCGATGTCGTGATTTTCTTCTACTCGGTGTACGAACCGGAGAGGTTTTTGGAATCCATACCACGTTATCCAACTGGCGAGGAGAAGGAAGCGATTCGACGGGTCCTAACCGCGTTAGTAGAGTGATCTGTCTTCGTTGATACGAGCCGCACTGAATACTTTATTCACAACCCAGATTTTCGAAGAACGTGCGAGGGCACGTAGAGAACGGAAAACGTCTGAGACATATTTTCCGAGGCTGAGTCCTGTATTTTCGTGACTGTTCTTCGATCGTTCCATCTTCATTAATCGTCTAAGCCCCAGAGGCATCCATTCTATTCTCATCTCATCCCTATTCTTTTCACCTCCCCCTCTATTTTCTTCCTCTTGGTTCATCTGGTTCAATCGTCTAAGCCCCAGAGGCATTCGTTCTATGCTCATATCATCTCTATTCTTTTTGCCTTCCCCTTTCTCTCTTGGTTCATCTGATTCAGTCGTCTAAGCCCCAGAGGCATCCGTTCTATACTCATATCATCTCAATTCTTTTCGCCTTCCCCTTTCTTTTTTTCCTCTTGGTTCATCTGATTCAATTGTCTAAGCCCAAGAGGCATCGGTCCCTGTTCTTTTCGCCTTCCCTTTTCTTTTTTCCTCTTGGTTCATCTAAGTTCTGTGCGTTTTTTTCATCTTCTCTTTGTTCCATCTTCATCAATCGTCTGTGCCCTGGTTTCCGTTCTATACATATCTGTCCTGTTTTTTTCTTCTTTTTTTTACGAGCGTCTGGTTCTACACTCACCTCTTTGATGTTCTCTTTTCTTCTGTTCCTCGTCGTTCCAGGAATCGTTTATGTTCCGAAGGCATCTTGTTCCGTTTCTTAGCTTTCTCATTTCTCTTTCCTTTTCTCATTCCGAGTATTACTATGTTCTCACCCATAGTTCATCCAAACGATCCCTTTATGTTCCTGGTTAACATTCTTCGAATCACGATTCGGACACATAGATAACAATATTTGTTGCCTTCACGCTCATTTACATTGCATCTTATGTTGATCATATACAGATAATCCTTTCCTTTTTATCATTCCTTGGACAAGTATTAGCATTCATTCACATTCCTTATCGTGGAATGGTTACTTACCTTGATTATGCGCACATACATTCCGTATCACATTCTTTTGGAAGAAGTAGCCCTCCTTCATTCACCCTCGTTAACTCTTTCGTTTTCTCATTCTGATACTGTAGATCTTACCTTAAGTACAGGCTCTTCACACACACTCCTTCATACTCAAGCCTTACGCTCCATTCATTCCACCGTCGTCATTCCTTATTTTTTCTTGTAATAGTAGGTACTCTGGATCCACCACGATAGTCTATGAATAGACCACTCTTGAGATCTGGAACAAAGAGACTCTTCTCCGGTTTGAAACCTGGAGTGCGTCGTACGAACCGGTATAGATCAGTTTAGGAGCGACTAAGAGCAAAAAATGTTCACGTGATTTTAACTGACGTGAGATTCATACTCGCGTGGTTGAACGTTGACACGGTACCTAGTAGAAAACTCCTCCTCGCGCCTGTTGTATATTCTATCTATACACCTCTTTCTGGTATAACTGGATCTGAGGTTCTCCTCTCTAACTCTTCTCGAAACTCTTACTTTTTCACGCCTGTACTCTAGACCAGAGGTTCGGGATTTTCAGCGTTTTGAACTGATGAATGTTTCTCATAACGTCTCGCTCCTGTACAAAATCAGACCATAGCCTCCTACTTTGTGGAATCTAGAACAATCGCCGCATAAATAAAGAAGAACCCGCTCGACTCTATGACTTGTGAGCATTCGTTCATGGTTTAGTTTAGAGATTTTTTGCACTCACGTAGCATTCTTCAAGGCATACCTTGCCGTCTTGCAACGTCTAAAGAGACGGATGGTTTCAGTTTCCACGCGGTGATCGACAACGATGTTTATACATGTCTCAGTCGCAGACCGCACGATTTCCCCAATGTCCCTTCTCGCAATCAATCCTTAAATCTTAAACCAAACGCCACCGTGCTGCCCAACTTCTATGTGAAGCACTGGACTACCTCGCAGATTCCGTTCTTGGGCTTTGCACCCAGTAGTAACCCTTTCAAATTCCATTTTCTAAAATGTTTAGATCACCATTTTGCTTCTATACCGATTGAGAAAACTCTCGACGGCTTCACTCTTAAGCCTTCAGTGAAAGACGACTGGGACTCCTTAGAAAGGAATATGCGTGCATTTCTTCGTGCGTGCATGAAGTTGAACTGGCTCGGAATACCGGAAGATTTTAAACTCTGGCCTTACCCAAATAATTACGGCTATCGACATTGCTGGAAGACAGATGCAGATGCCCGCTATGCAGTGATGCGGTCTCGCCAAGCCTTTATTCCCTTGATCGCCTGTATCTCTTTCTTCCTTCACATCCTCTATCATCTCGACAATAAATGGGTCAAGCTTATCGCTTCAAATTATAAATCCGTACTACCCAGCCCTAATCCTTTCTGGAGTAGGAGGCAGAAGGAATATGAAGAGCTTCGTCGAGGACCCGTTCCTTCGAAATGGCAATGGAAGGAGCGGCTTCAGCAAGAGACATCAATCAGTTCAGAGTGGCTTGCGTATTTCCATCAACTTATGGATATTCCAATGGTTGGCATGTTTCTGGATGTGCATAATTCAAACTGTCTTCCTTGGATTCCTGTTTACCTCGAGGCCAAAATGCCTTTGATGTTGTGTTGGGGCTCTAAGGATAATTGGTCCATCCATCCCATGTTAGAAAATGTAATTCCAACCCCCACTGCTACTATCATCAGAACCTTGATCTCAGAACAGACACCGTACCCGCCACCTCCATGCGCAGAGGAAAGCTTTCCCGTTGATATGGACGTTTCTCAATATAAACCTCGGCTGCGTTTACCCCGCATTGATGGTGGAACCTTACCCCGTCCAAACGAGGACCTTTTGTCGTTCATCAAGCGTCGCGACGTTCAAAGGCTCCGAGCCATTTCTTCTGAGACTGTTGTTGAACGCCAATCTCGTCTACAGCGTGAAAAAAATGCAGAGAAGGATAGAGCACCGGGCAGGAAAGGGGCTCGTGTGTACTACTGGGATCTGGTCGAAGGAGTGAGGGTATGGACAGCAGTAGGAAGGAACAATTATGAAGACATCTGGGAGAGATATGGTTCGCGCCAGCGACGTTATGATTCAGTTGCAGACGAATGGGAAGTTTGCACGGACTTGGATCCTGAAGACGGTCCTGACTACAGCCTTTACGATGATGACGACGACGACTCGGACTGTTTCATTTCAGTGCAGACTCACATGAATGAGGAAACAAATCATAACGTGGGTACTGCTTCCTCGGGTTCCTACCTTGCTCGTCTGTATCCGAATAAGCGCACAGAGGCCGACTCATTGAACTCTGGGTTCCGTGAAGGCATTGAAGATGTCGCCTATTATAGATTTGGGTTTCTCAAACAACCTCGACCCGATAATCGCGACGTTGTGCTTAAACCACAGGTCTGGAGCAAGGTATTGGGCCTAATAGGATGTGGACGTTCACCACCATCTCCTGGACCAGATGATTATGTCAAACTGCAAATGTGTAACTTCGTAACCCAACTGATGGATGCAGTCAATCTACGGACTGCACCCCAAGTGTATGATCTGGCTGTTAGGAATAGTCTCATGAGGCCTCCGGTTCCGTTTGAAGTTGACGTATTATGCTCATTCGATGGTCATTATTTTTTGATACAAGCTCAAGGTGCCACAGATCATGAGCCATACTTGATTGCTTTACGCAGTGCTGCCACCGTTATGGAGATAGCACGACGGGAGTGGGGTCCCAAGACCGAAAATATTCTCACACGCCTGATTGAACATGGGATGCCCTTCAACACACTTTTGGCTAGCTACCCTCCTCGCAAAACCCGGGCCATTCCCTGTCGTCGACCTGCCATGTTGGGCCTGCGTCCTGCCTCCTTCAAACCAACATTACAAGACTACTGTGCTTATGAGATTCTTCGTGATAATTTCCTGCGCTCAGCTAGAGGTCGTGCGGCACTCCTTGCTGGGGGTATTATCTCCCGATTAGCTCGAGAAGTGGTTGATGTGAATGATGTTTGCGATGGGCCTACTGGACATGCTCTGCAAGAAGGAGAGTATTCACTCTGTGTTTGGGAGGCGGGTCAAAATCGAGCATTTTGGGATGATCAACTCACTAATGAAGAAATGGATCTCATATGTGGGGCATACGAGGTTGTTACAGGTATGTGTTCACCTTCTCTCAAGGACTTTTTGTATAAGGTCTCCTCCAGGTGTAATTTCGAAAGACGGCGTAGAGCAGACCGCAATCCGATCATGGTGGCCCCGTTCGGGTCCCTGGAGATCATGTGGTCTTAATTGTGGATATTGGTCCAGAGATGCTGAAGATTGGTTTCAGGCACGGCTGCGCAAGATTCGTGACCTTCATGAGACGGTGAAATTGATGACTAGTCAAGAATGGCATAGTCAACTGAAGTTTAAAAAAGCTCACTTTCTTTCGCACAAAAATGACCAGTTTGCCAGAGAGTATCTCCAGAAGAAGTGTAACTTATCATTTTGATGTACGGACAATCTGCGATACATTTTGTTTTACTGTCGTTGTCAATGTATATATATATGTATTGTTCTGGGACTAATATATATCCCGTTCTAAGTTCAGTCGCGTGTATATACATGTCTGCGATGTGTAACTGAAATGAATAGTCGAGATTCACGGCGCCATGAGGAGGTTAGCCAAATAACTGCAACTAAGGCAGAGATAGTTGAATCGTGCCTGCGGTGTGTTTAGAAGGACATAATCTTTCATGGCTGAAATTCCTTGAGGACTCCTAACTCATATACGAATAAAATTGAGAGCCGTAGTGAAAAATTATATGTATCAAAAGTACATCCTGTGTATCATGACTACTGATCCTCCAATAACAGATACTATCTGCCAGATAACGGAAGTGCAGATGAAAGCACCTGCTAGGACAGTGGTATCGACGATTATTCGTGAAAACCTCGATCTCTGTCAACAGGATGGTCAATATCGCACCATGGTTGTAAAGAAGTCGTGGAAAATATAATCTTACTTGGCCAACGGCTTGTATTTCTACTGGTATTGTGCCCCAATATCGAACCAGGATGAACAAACCCACACTGACAACCAGATGTCCAACAGCAACGGCAAACTGATTCTGAAACATTGTCCAGATCTTTCGAAGCATTTTGATGACGAATAGCAAGTAACTTAGGGTACCTGCCCTGAATAGAAACTCAGAAAGCTAGTTATCCATATCAATGAATATAGAACAAAGACATGCTTTTCCCGAGCGTGCTCACAGCAAAGTTTTTTAAGGCGATTAAACGCGGAGACTTAGAGTCGATCTATAGATAGAGTTTGAGTCATAAGTCTTAGGTACCTACTCAGTGAACTGACGTCTTCGAATGCGCGTTTTGCGTCCTACGGAATTTGAGCAAGGAATAAGAACGAAAGTCACCACCGACCTGAAGTGGCTGCATAGGTTTGCCCATTGTGGTCCCAATGGAGTCCTAGATATGAAATTAAAAAGGTTATAGGTGCTTGATACCACGACATACAATTGCAACGCACATGTAAGAATTCACTTTGTCCCCGAATAGTGCTCTCGGCAGTTTCATCTTTAAGATTAGCTACGGGTTTCTATTCATTGATTAGAAACAGCTACGAACATGATGAATTATACTTACTGCTTTTGCTACACCGATGTTCTCCTTTGGCGCATGAACAAGACAGACATGGAGATCCGAATGAAGATATATCTTACCTTTGTGTCATTCTGAAGATCAAGTGCATCGGACGGGCGGTCTACGCATTCAGGTTTTGATTCAAGGTATGGCCCTTCATCACCGTCGATCTGAGCCTCTGGAGGTGCATTTTGAGGAAGAAAACTGGAGACCTGTGTATTACTTGTAGCTTTGTTGATACGCAAAAATTGAATTTGCACTCACTGCTGTTGCACTCGAGGGTTGTATATGGCAATTACCGTCCTCCAGATCTACCTCAGCCGTCTCCAATCCGACTTCTACTTCTATCGTCTTGTTTCTGCTCCAAGGAGTGTCCGGTACATCAGTGCTCGCTTCGAAATGCTGAAGTCGAGTTAGATGGTAATTATCGAACGTTATCAGCTCTGGTATGCAGGATAACTAACCGCTTTATACCATCCTTCTTGGTCACGGAGAGGAACTTGAAAATGTGGGCTATGAGGACTTCCACTCATCACAATTGAACGAGCGAACAGATAACTGAGAAGGCCGCATGTCAACCACACACTTAACGCCAAGATAAACAGTTGCGAGAGCTCACTGTGTTGGTATGATACGAGAGAAGCCCAAGAAGCACAGAGTTATACTCGTGTGTTCCACTAGTACGAATAAGAGGCTAAGAGCGAGTTACGGGCGCTTTTAAGCTCGTGTTATTTTGTCGGGTTACGAGCGCTTATTAGTTTTCTACTCTCTATCACGATCACTATATATTGACGTCCTGGTCTCCAGACTCTTTCGATTTGGTTTGTATCTTGACCTGTCACGAGGATACTGATTAAAGATACGTCGAACTTATTAGTCTTTCAATCGGAGGATAATCAATATCGACATGAGTATCGCGATCTCCCGCCTCGCAGAGGCAAAGCAAATCTGTATGTCTTTTCCTACCGAGGTTTGTTTTTCACACAAGCTGACGCTGCTTGTAGCTTGCTCTCGCTTCGTTGTACTGCAATCTTTTGATAACGTGAAGTTTATCGTAGACAAGGAGGAACTCGAAGTCGATACCAGTGGATTTCCACCTGCTACTACTCCATCCTACATCGGGGAGGTGTCTTCTCTTCCCGAACGCTCTCACGTCCTGAACATCCTTTTCCAATATGTCGGCACTCAGAGTCATCAACCTGTGCTGGATCAAATCGAATTTGCGCTGATATTAAAGGTCGCCGAAGCCGCGGAAAAGTATGAGGTGCATAAAGCAATTGCCGCCGTTCAATTCGAACTTAGGTGAGTCGGACTCGGTTTAAATTACACTCGATACTCAGGCTTCCCTGCGATTGATAGGAAGTTCCTCAAAAGCAACTCACGAGAACTTCTATGCTTTGCTTTGACTTATTGGAATCCACAACTTGTTGAAGAAGTTGCTCCTTTCATGATTGATATACCATTGCAAGATATAGAAACCCTTATGAAGCGGTGTCCTCGTCTATTTATGAAATGGGTGCATCTTGATCCTTTGAAGATTACATTTGTCATGCTAATAATTAGCTCCAACAGTGTTTGTGGAGGCATTGTCTCGTTGCGACATTTTTCAAAACACCAACCATGGTACAGGCATCTGGACAGAATAATGAAGATCGCTGGAGGGTGTTATTCTCATATGGCACATTCGTGCCCGACATAGTACATGTGGATCCGTTTAATGGCCTCCACATGTCAATGCCGAGGAAATTCTTGGAGTTATTACAATAACTTGTTTATTCAGTTCCGAATCTTCGAGTCTTAACCAACACTATCCAATAATACTTATATACACGATGTGTACATACTACAGATACATGTACAAGGAAAATGAATGGCCTTTGTTCTACTGAGCACGATGGAGTTGCTTCACTCAAGTATATAGCGTGAGAAACATTTAGGCGCTCACGCGATTTGATAACGCGTTCTGTTTAGGCTCCCTCCCTCACCTCTCTACGCTTCTACATCTTTCTCTTCACACGAAACACTTCTATAGAGTCCAACTCGATAGAAGATCTTCTGGATACAATACGGAGCACACCCTTGCAAACTCGATCCGGAACGTACGCAACGACACAGACATTTATCGAATATTGGACTTCACCGTACCTCAGTTCCTGTACTAATGGAACCACTGTTCATCGAGCCTGCTGCAACCGAACGCGATCTAGACCTCCTGGGCTTTCGTGACCAATAGGTAGTCAAGGTACTAGTGAGCACCCAACTAGGCCTTCCCGACGTAGTCAACTTCAAAGCCCGCTCCGCAATCTTGGGATGAGCTACTCGCTCATTCTCCAGGTCTACTGGTTTCCACGCAAGCCCTCCGCCATCCCGCTCACACCACAACCATAACTGATAGGCTCCATCCTTCATGTTCCTGTGGATGTAGATCGTTGCTAACATCCTCGGGTTCGGTGTTTCGGGAGGGGGTGCGTCCAGGTCAAATGGTGACTGGCTGAAGTACCAAGCAGTCTCTCCTTCGCTATCATGCGACCTGAAACGTGCGGTTTCCAGCTTTGTCGGCCCCAACGCATCGCTCGAAAAGGAATTGGTACGTTTTTCCCCTTCCAAAAAGTATTTTGGCGGACGTGTAGAAGATTTGAAGCTTACGGGTGTAGCTCCTCTAGCTTCCGCATCTTTGACAGAACCTATATCAAGAGACGGACGTCAGCACAAGTCTATGGCGATACAGATGACAACACCAACCAGGACTTGAGGTGGCGGAGCCGTGTTTAAGAGCTCCCTTTGGAGGGGGTGTTTTCGTTCGTCCCCTCGTTTTCCTGTGCTCATGCTCGGAGTTTCGAAGAGGAAATTCAAAGCACTAGTTGACGTACGATTCTTCTGGATTGGGACTGTCAAAGACCTTTTGAATGATCCCATCGTCGTCACTACAGTAACGGTAATACTCGTACGCCTGCTTTCTCCACCAAGTTGATTGGCTAGGCTACGAATAGTCAAGGCAAATATCAGAGGCTTTCCAAATGACATGACACACCATCGAAGTCTGTGTCTCTTCATCCGACGTCTCATAGGGCTCCATCGTTGATTGCGATTCTGAAGATAAGGACCTCAAAACCTTTTTATAAAAACAACTGTCTACTTGAAACTCGCTAAAACATCACGTCCGTCATGGTCATGCTCCTACTAGGATGTCTACGATAGGAACTGTATCTTCACGCTATACCCTTTTAGGTTGATCAGATAATCAACCAATCGTGGTTGTCTACCATATTTCGACTTACATCAGTTCACAAATCACGACTACTGGGTGTCTTCAAACTCCATCTCGTCTCATTTTTTCCGGGTCAAACTCGGTTGTGAAATGGCTCGCCGCCGTAGAGTTGATGGCTCAGGAGATCAGCCATGTCGATGCCACGAATGTTTGAAGCAGGATCCAGAGGGAGTGCTAGCTCCACAGTCGGTTCTAATAGCGCATCGGCATCGAGAACGTCTCAGAGCCGCCTTTGCTTCAGCAACACAAACCGCCGAGACTGAGGCCGCACCGGAGTCCTTCACGACTTCACGTGGCGGGACTGATTCACACCTAGAAAACCAACCTAGTGAAAGCTCCCGCCCAGCTTCTAATTCTTTCGACGAAACCCACGGTTGCAACAATACAGAAACAGTGGCGGATTTCGAAGCCTGGTTGCGTTCTGTAGTCACGGAGATAGGTGTACGAATGGAGGCTCTTCATGATTGCGACCTTGGCTTGGAGTTCATTACCCCTCCTTCTCAAACAATAGCCTTCGAGTTCCCGGATCCCGAAAGTCTATTACTGGTGAATTCTGGACTCTCTGCCCTCAATCCCGGAAGTGCCTCCAATCGTCGTCTATTGGATGCGGAGGCTAGATTTTGTCACTTACTCAGAACAATTCAGGCCCTGCCTCCCGGAGAGCGTTCTATGGGTGTTATAGATGCAGAGGACGAGCTTTTCCAGGCATTGAATGTCATAAAGTACGCAGCCCCTATCATTTTCCTTTTCTCACCGTCTCGATGCCTTTACTTGTACGATACATCATCCCATCACTGTCAAACCCCCATCGATTACTGATCCACCTGACCCATCTTCTCCTTCTATTGGCTTCCGCCACCTTCCTTGTTCCTAAACTGTACAGTATTACATCGTTGTTTCTCGCAGACCGGATTATGTATATATAGCCAACCCTCCACAGCCTGGTCCCTTATCTTGACCTCTCTGTCATTATCTGGGACCAGGTATGTGCTTACTTATTATTACCTATGACTACGATACTCAATATATCTCTGTCATTATCTGGGACCAGCCTGCCGCCGTTCTGCTTAGTCGCTCCGCCTTGTTGCCTTGTCCAGCTGCTCCGCCTCACCGTTCTGCTTAGTCGCTCCGCTTTCCCGCTCCGTTAGTCACTCCGCCTCTGCCGCTTCGTGACATTAGGTCAAGATCCATTACTGCACTGACAGCCTACCGATAAGGTTGTCCTTGCAGGGTCTATAGACACCACGTCTTCCCCAGTTCCGCCCGACTCTGAAACACCTGTTGCCAGTATAGACTGCTCCGCACTCCCGCACGCACTTGACCCCAGAGACCAAGCTCACGCCCATAACAACGACGATACTTGGCGCGATTGCCAGTCTCAACCTTGCCCCAACGCCCTTTCGAACTCAATCCGAGAGCCACTCACTGTGAGCAATATAACCTTCCTGCCGATTCCCCAGCCCCGATTGCCTACTCCCATCATGTCGACTCCTATCCCGCCTGCCCCAAACACCTCTGCGGAGGATCTCATGGCTCAGCTCATCAGACAAGTAGCTAACCTTGCTACAGCTATGGAGGAACGCTCATCCTCTAAGTCAAGCATGAACAAACCCGAGGTTTTCAAGGGTAAAGATGGCGCTGAAGCCCGTCGCTTCATGGCTCAGTTCCAGAATTGGGCGTCAGAACAACCGGATCTCGCCAAAAGCCAAGTAAAACTCATCAAGTCCGCCTTGGGCTTCTTCACAGAAAGTGCCGGAGATTGGGCAACTCCCCATCTGCTACATTTCAATGCGGAAAATCCCCCTTTCGGAGGAAATTGGGAGGCGTTCCTGAAGGAATTTAGCCAACGGTTTGAACCAATGGACCCAGGTATGGAAGCCCGTAGCGAGATCAAGAATCTCAGGCAAAGTAAAGGACAGACAGTTGCGGAATTCGCTCAGAAGTTCAAGGATATCGGAGATCGGACTGAAATGTCTGATATTGACTTGCGGGAACGTTTCTTCACTGCATTACTCCCAGAGATCCGACAACACCTCATCACCGTAAACATTGCCCAAGGAATTGCTCCGACTCTGAAGGAGGCAATCAAACGGGCCATATCAGTGGATGTCTACCTGCACGATCCCACCATGACTGGCCGGAACTCTGGATACCCTCCCACGCATACCGCTCACACTACCCCTGCTGACCCCCATGCTATGGACATTGATGCAACCCACACCAGTAATGGGAATACTAGGGAAGCATTCCTAGCTCGCATGCGAGGACGATGCTTCGGCTGCGGTGCCCAAGGACATGTCAAGCAAAACTGCCCACACCGAGAAACCACCTGCCGCTACTGTGGACGTCGAGGACATCTGGAAGCAGTCTGCCAAGACAAATTCATGGGACTCGGACGAGACCGAGGCCGACGCCAGCAACCTCGACGCCAACAGATATCCGCTACGGGACCCGCGCCATTCTCCCTATTCCCAAACGAATCCGTCCAAATCGCGTCCTCGACCCCAACATCTGCTCCTGCACCCGTAGCTGCTACTCTGAGCCCCCCTAACCAGGACTTTTCCAATCAGATTGGTCAAATAAGGGAATTACTTGATCGTGCTAACGCTATGTCCTCCTCGTCCTCTGGCTTTCAACAGGGTTTTTAAAGAGGGTACCCGCTTCGGCTGCACCGAGAGTACCCCGTAATCAGTTTGTTATGTTCGCTACTTCCTCGTATGACTCGCACCCATCATGTACAATATCGTCGATCCGGGAATTAAACTCTACTTCCCCACATTTCCGAATTCATGCGAGACTAAGAGGAAGGAATCACAGTATAACAACTGCAGCCATGGTAGACTGTGGAGCTACCGCCCTGTTTTTAAACCAAGACTTTGTCACCCGGAACCATGTAAGATGTGCACCCCTCCATAAACCAATCGACGTTTTTAATATCGATGGAACACCTAACCGAGCTGGACGGATAACCCATTTTGCACGTCTAGCACTCACAGTGGATAATCAAGAGCGATGGATGGACTTTCTGATCACCAACCTAGGAGGTGAAGACATCATCCTTGGACTCCCCTGGCTACGGAAGGTAAATCCGGAGATTGATTGGGAGAAAGGACGACTTTCAGTAAAGCCTCCTCGAGTAACGATAGAAGAAGTCCCAGACGAGGAGATCTTGTACTCTCATCTAGCCGCCACTCACACAGAAACCCCGATCCTCGAACTCCCGGAACTGGAACCTCCCGCAGAAAACCCCCACATTGAGGTGCCACTAGAAGCGACCCTTGAACCGAGTGAATCAGCAGCGGTGGAAGAACCACCAATACACCGAATTCGAGCCAATCATAAAACTCGCTGGGCATGGGTAAAAGCAGGAATTCTAGAGGAACAGACGGAGGAAGTCTGGTGCGCCGCAGGATTCACTTACTCCCAGCAGCTAGCAGAGGAAGCCAACCGAGACAAACCCGTTAAAACCTTCGAAGAAATGGTCCCTGAGCAGTATCGTGATTTCAAGAAGGTTTTCTCAGAATCCGCCTCCGAACGATTACCTGCCCACCAACCTTGGGACCATGCGATTGATCTCGTACCTGGAGCACCGGCAACCATGCGTACCAAGATTTATCCCATGTCCCTAAACGAGCAGGAGGAGTTGGATCGTTTCCTAGAAGAAAACCTACGGAAAGGCTATATCGTCCCCTCAAAATCACCAATCTCATCACCGGTCTTCTTCGTAAAGAAGAAGGATGGGAAACTCCGTTTCGTACAAGACTACCGGAAACTGAACGAGTACACTGTGAAGAACCGATACCCTCTCCCGTTAGTTGCTGACATCATTAGTCGACTTCAGGGAGCCAGATACTTCACGAAGTTTGATGTCCGCTGGGGTTACAATAACATACGGATTAAGAAGGGGCATGAATGGAAAGGCGCGTTTGCAACAACCCGAGGCTTGTTCGAGCCTAAGGTCATGTTCTTTGGTCTCACAAATTCCCCTGCCACGTTCCAAGCACTTATGAATGCTATATTTGCTGATCTCATTGCAGCCGGCAAGGTGGCAGTCTACCTAGATGACATCCTTATCTTCAGTAACGATCTCGAGGAACACCGACGAATGGTACGGGAAGTATTAACCCGGTTAGAAAAGCACGACCTCTACCTACGACCAGAAAAATGCGAATTTGAACAACAACAGATTGAATACCTCGGACTCATCATCTCAGAAGGGGAGGTGAGAATGGATCCGGTAAAAGTAGCGGCTGTTCGCGACTGGCCAGTCCCTACTAATCTTCGGGAACTACGAGGGTTCTTGGGATTTGCAAACTTCTACCGACGCTTTATCCGGAATTTTGCCAAAATAGCACGACCTCTGAACGACCTGACGAAGAAAGACACCAGCTTTACCTGGACCGACACTCAACAGAAAGCATTTGATACCCTTCGAGAAGCCTTCATCTCCGCACCGATCCTTGCTCTATGGACACCAGACAGGCCTACTCGAATCGAGGTAGACGCATCAGGCTTTGCCACGGGAGGCGCCCTTATGCAGAAGCAAGACGATGGCCAATGGCATCCGGTAGCCTTCAGATCGGCATCCATGCAGCCAGCGGAACGGAACTACGAAATCTACGATCGAGAAATGCTTGCTATCATTGAAGCACTGAAGGATTGGAGGAACTTTCTAGAAGGACTCCCTCAACCATTCGACATCATTACGGACCATTCGAACCTCGAATTCTGGCGCACTGCACAAGATCTCACCCGTCGACAAGCCCGATGGGCCCTCTATCTGTCACGGTTTGACTTTCATATGATCCACCGCCCTGGCAGAGTAAACACCCAAGCTGATGCTCTCTCCCGCATGGCAGTTCATCATGTATCGGACAGCAATGATAACCGGCAACAGACAGTCCTTAAACCTGGCCACTTCGTAAAAATTGCAGCTTCGATCCTACAGAACCCCTTAGAGGATCGTATCCGGAAAGCCTCAGAACGGGAGGCACAGGTATTGGAGGGTCTCAAAACAGTCAAAGAGCACGGACTACAGCGCTTGGCCAATGGGATAGCCGAATGGGAAGAAGACAATGGGTTGGTCTACTACCGAGGTCGAGTATACGTACCAGCAAACGACGACCTACGCACTGAGGTACTCCGTCAATGCCACGACAATCCAACTGCAGGACACCCCGGACTACACGGGACACTCAACTTGGTCAGTACCCATTTCTGGTGGCCTACGTTGCGCTCTTTTGTGGAAAAATACGTTGAGGGATGCGAGGTTTGTGCCCGTAAGAAGATCCAGCGACACCCACGGGCCGTAACTCAACCATTAGATGTACCATCCGGTCTATGGGAAGAGGTAGGGGTTGACCTGATAACACAGCTACCTAACTCCCAAGGCTACGATGCTGTCTTGGTTTGCACAGACCTGTATGGAAAACAAATTCACGCCATTCCTTGCACCAGCTCCATCACAGCCGAAGGCGTTGCCGATATTTACTACCGAGAGATCTTCCGTCTCCATGGTCTTCCTCTTCACTTTAAATCCGACCGCGGACCCCAGTTTGCAGCTAAACTCATGCGATCCCTTCTCGCTAGGCTAGGAATTAAATCAGATCTAACCTCCGGATACCGTCCTCAGTCTAATGGCCAAACCGAACGAGCAAATCAGGAAGTAGAGAAATACATCCGCCTCTATGTAGGACGACGACAAGATGACTGGGCAGAGCACCTTCCCATGGCGGAGTTTGTGATTAACTCACGGACTCATTCTGCGCTAGGCATGTCCCCGTTCGAGCTAACCTACGGCTATCTTCCCCTGTTCAATATCCCAGTGGGCCAACAAAGCGGTATTCCAGCTGTGGATGACCGTATACGGATTCTCCGAGAAGCGCGACAAGATGCCGGAGCTGCCTTACACCTAGGAAAGAAACAACAGAAGGAGGGATACGAACGCGGGAAGCGGAAAGCTCATCAATTTAAAGTTGGAGACCTAGTCTGGCTCAGTGCGGAGGACATTAACCTTCAACTTTCCAGTGAAAAGTTAGGAGATCGACAGCTTGGCCCTTATCGCATTCTGGAGAAAATTGGCCCTTTAGACTACCGCCTTGACCTTCCCCTATCCCTAGATCGCCTCCATCCCGTCTTCCATGTTGATAAACTATACCCCTGGAAAGGTAACTCCATTAATGGCGAAATACCAACACCACCAGAGCCGGTATACTTAGAGGATGAAGACGAACCGGAATACGAAGTAGAGGAGATCTTAGACAGCCGGGTTCGATGGAAGAAGTTGGAATATTTGGTTAAGTGGAAAGGTTACGACGCAGGGCACAACTCTTGGGAACCCGCAGCCAACCTCACTCGAGCACCAAAAATTGTTCGGGCCTTTCATAAAAAACACCCAACAGCGGCGAAGCCTTGACCATCGAGGGCAATGGTCATAAGGAGGGGGGTAATGTCATAAAGTACGCAGCCCCTATCATTTTCCTTTTCTCACCGTCTCGACGCCTTTACTTGTACGATACATCATCCCATCACTGTCAAACCCCCATCGATTACTGATCCATCGATTACTGATCCACCTGACCCATCTTCTCCTTCTATTGGCTTCCGCCACCTTCCTTGTTCCTAAACTGTACAGTATTACATCGTTGTTTCTCGCAGACCGGATTATGTATATATAGCCAACCCTCCACAGCCTGGTCCCTTATCTTGACCTCTCTGTCATTATCTGGGACCAGGTATGTGCTTACTTATTATTACCTATGACTACGATACTCAATATATCTCTGTCATTATCTGGGACCAGCCTGCCGCCGTTCTGCTTAGTCGCTCCGCCTTGTTGCCTTGTCCAGCTGCTCCGCCTCACCGTTCTGCTTAGTCGCTCCGCTTTCCCGCTCCGTTAGTCACTCCGCCTCTGCCGCTTTGTGACATTGAATAAGGTCCATCGGATCAAAGAGAGGCATTGGCAAGCAAAGGCCTATCGTAACAGAGACGGGGGACTGAATGTTGACAACAGTAAGTATTCTCTTCTCCCTCAGGGATATTTCCAGTGTCTTAACCGTCTTTAGGTCGTCGCTTTACTCGGAAACAGATGACCGAGGAAGCACCCACTCTCATAGCTGCATTGATAATATATGTCAAATTTCAGACTCCAGTTCGTAAAATGCGAGTAATACTGGCACTTTTTCGCTGTATCATCAAAGGATTAGTGCGAAGACAGAAGATAGATTCGCAGGTCGCATCTCGGATTCCTGAAGATATTCACACCATTGTCGACCATTATGATCTTGATCCGACATTACACATTTCCATTGCGTGCCCAAACTGTTATGCGCTCTTTCCTTTTACGAATGAGGCAATCAGTATTTCCGAAAATGCACTCAGAGCCAATCAACCTCTACCTGTGTGTAACGAGAGATCTCACCCAGACTTGCCACCGTGTGGTGCGACATTATGGCGCACTCGCCGCATTGGAACGCGTAATTTTGTCACTCCTATCAGGAAACAGGTTTTCCAAGATCTGCAAGAGTGGATTGGGAGAATCTTAGCTATCCCGGGCCTCGAAGATATAATTGATCAACATCAACGACGCCCGCTACCATCGATGGAATCTCCAGAAAGAGATTTCGTTGATTCATCTACATTTCGATGCTTCAAGGGCGCAGATGGTCAGCCGTATGCGACACCTCAGATGGGTCCTTCGGGATCACCAGACCTGCGACTCGTCATGAGTCTCGGATTTGATGCTTTCAACCCCTTCTTCTTGAAAGAACAACACGCCTCCTTCAGCTCTACCGCGTTATACATGGTAATCTTGTCCCTACCCGAACATCTTCGATATCAGCCGAAGTACATGTATCTAGTAACAATCATTCCCGGAAAACCTTCCCGACATAACATCAATCATACCTTGCGCAGGCTAGTCCAACAGTTGCTCCCTTTTTGGGAAGGAGTGTATTACATGTGTACTGCACGATATACTCTTGGTCGAACAATCTTCGCGGTGCTAATCCCTGCCGTATGTGATACGGAGGGTGCTCATCAACTTTCGGGATTCGCTTCACACAGCCATACATACTTTTGCAGACGATGTTTACTTCCAATTCAAGATATCCATAACCTCGATCCGGAGAAATGGGTGATGAGGGACTGGAATAAGCATCGACAGTTGGCTTTCGAATGGAAAGAAGCCCCCATGGCGCGACGTAATACGATCTACCAGGAGAACGGACTCCGGTGGTCAGAGCTATTAGATCTGCCATACTGGGATCCCATTCGGTTTACGGTCATTGACGATATGCACCTTGGATATCTTGGCCTTTTTGAGACACATCTTCGTGAAATATGGAAGATCGATGACAAGAAAAATGGTGGCAATGGACTTCACCCGGACACTAAGGACCAAAAGAAGATATCTAACGCGAGTCTTCGGAAATTTTTAAATGAAATTCGACAAAATGATCCATCCTTGGGATCTATCCTGAGTGAAGAAAACAAAGGAGTCCTTTGGTATCTCACCTTTGTGCTCGGACTACGTACTGGACTTCGCACCAAGAAAGCAATGGTGGACCAGATTCTGCAATGGGTAAGCTCACTGACTGAAGAATTTCCATTAGTCTGAAGTTACACAGCGTATGTCATCGCAGCGGGAAGAGGTACCCGAGATTCCACCACTGAACTATGACAATGTTCCAGATGGCTGGAACACTTACGATATTTCACATCCAAGAGATGCCGTTCGTTCATCTCTGCCTCCTGTGACAATGTTCTTTCACTCATGCGTTATTCAAAATAGCCTGTCCCTCTCAATGAAGTTACAGATACCAACCTTTCTGAGACAGATCAAGCTTCAAGTCTCAGCCTTTCTGAGGCAGATGAAGTTTCAGATTCCGGTTTTTCCAAAGCAGTATGTCTTCGTTTCTTTTTAGAATAGCCCTTTTAGATTGAATCAATTCCTGTAGTCAGTTGATTCGAAGGTCTCATCGGTCATTGATCCTTCAGAAATGCCACCGGTGTTACGTCCTGCTCCACCACTCGTCTTCGATGGAGATCAGGCTTTCGAAAACCTGAAGTCTAGAATACTTAATCTGACCACCAGGCCTCCCTCACTCCACAACAGGACAAAATCAGTCCTTCGAGCTTTATGCCAAGATTTTGGGATTCGCTACAATACAACCGATAACAAAAAAATCCTTGTTGCCCGAATCATGCTTTATGTACGTGCATTCTTTCGAGATAATTTGTTTCCTCACAATCCGAAAATATCTATCTATCTATCAGCGTCAAGAATATGGATCGGACGATGATTATGTCTCAAAGATACGATATGATAAACTCAAACGAACCTTCGAAGCGGACGAGCCCTCCAGATCAAGCCTGATGAAATTCGAGCATGAATATCTACAGAAATTATGCGTAGAATACAAAATTCCACCTTTTGATTCTAGTCAACCTGGTATCACCTCTTTGACGAAAGATGTCATGGTACAAAGGATATTAATCTGGGTGAGTAAAGATCTTCAGTTATGCAATGAGCGAGTCTTGACTATAATGCAATTAGCGTCAAGAATATCGTGATAGCAGCCTCAGGCCGAAATCAGGATCCAGTCCTCGCCATGTCATTGGCAAAGATCTTTTGGAGGAAATCTGGGCCGACATGAAATGGACTGTTCTTCCGAACTGGATTCAGCCGCCGCCCTCAGAATGGGGCACATCTGCTTCAGGCAAGCTCAGTGCTGATGAATATAAAGTCATCTGTTCGATCTCACTAGTCATCACTCTCATTCGGGTTTGGGGTTATGAAAATGACAAGGGAGTCGACTCTCGTCGTTTCAAGATGTTAGAGAACTTCTTGGACCTTGTTCACTCTATGCGTGTCCTGTTTTTTCGTGAAACATCACAAAAGTCGCGCGCCTACTACAAATCTCATATCCTCAAATACCTGCGTGGTGTCCTTGAGCTATACCCTGATTTTACCCTGAAGCCTAATCACCATCATGCTGTTCACATCGTTACTGATCTGGAAACCATGGGTCCGGGTCATGCTCACAGTACACCAGTGTTCGAGCGCATCAACCATTCCTTACAACAACTCAATACCAATCGACGTCTGGGTAAGCTAATGTACTCCTAATGTTCTCATTCGGACAATAATTGTGTCTTTTAGGGGAAGTTGAAGCTACAATGTTAACTTCTTATTGCCGGCAAGCCAACCTCCAAGTCATCTTAGATCATAACACGGATTTACAAGGAGAAATCAACGAGGCATTGACCGCCTTAACAGATATCGATCGTGAAGATCATCGTGGTATATTTGCCGGGACTGATTTAGTGGCTTGGGCAAGCACTGAATTCAAAACAAACCCCGCTTGCATTGAAAAACCCACTCTGGATCGTATCATCTATCATTTATGTGACGTATACGGTGTTTTGAGTTCACACTGGGATGGTAAAGTTTCTCGACAAATACATACTGTGGGAGGAGTTGCGGCTGGGCGGGTAATCTACTCCCCCTCCATCCGTCAGAATTCTGTTGTTTTCCGCGACAATGGAAGAGTATGTGCTGGCACGATTGAACAGGTCATACGTCACTCTCATCCCCACCCTGTCACTCAAAAGACAGTTTCTATCACATACTTCGAAGTCATTGTTATGGAGCCAATCGATGCAGATGATGATCTCTATCGGAGACTGAACTGTGGATGGTTATGCCTTCAAAAGCCTGCAGTCCCAAAAATTCTAACTGTACCGTTGTCACACATTGTTTCGCATTTCGTCCGCACAGACCTGTCATTCAAAATCAAAGGAAAACCTATTACACATGTATACCCTGTCCCGAAGGTGATCCTATGGCTTCCTTCAGTGATATACTGATTCGTGACATTCTTCCCTATAGTTCTACCATGGCAATGATTCAGGAATGCCAGCACCGGTTCGTGCTTGAGGGTCGGAGGAAGGGTTGTCCATCTGCTTTAGTTTGGGTATTATGCACATTGCAAAAAGCATGTTATAGTTAGATCCGAGAATGAACTCATTATATTGGATATATGTTAGCTGACTAGATACTGAGTTAACATACGAGGAAGTGAAGCTATTCAACTGGCCTGACAATTCACGCACTGCAACGTCATGCATGCTTGGGACCAGTTATGTAGGTTCCTTAGCAACACCTTTGCTCGTTTATTGCTGAATAGTGAGGATCATGTCCGCATGACAGATATATAACGCGGGTTTCACAAGAATCATTCCACATTATGTTAAAACATGTATGGCACCCTAAAGTTGATGATAATACATAGTACTGCAGCCCAATCTCCCAGTGTAGATATTACCAACCAGAAGATGAGAGTACAGATGAAGATGCCTACAAGAGATGTCATATCCAAGGCGGTTTGGAGAATAGGATTTGTCTGTCAAATGATGAGCCCACTAAACATCAGTGTAATTCGAGCAGTCCTACTATCTCTGTGATGTTCTCTCGACCTGGGACTTGATCGCCAGCATATCGCTCAAGTTGAGCAAAGGTAAAAACTGCAGCACTTGGAACCAGAAATCCAACACCAACGGCATGCGGTTGACTCTGGAACATGACCGAAAGTTTCCAGAGTAACTTGACAGAGAACGACAAGTAGCTAATGATCCCCACATTGAAGAGAACTTTGGGGAGCTGGAGATCAATCAGCAAGGTATTGGAAAGGTAAGCATGAAGAAGCAGAATGATGAACACGGTCACTCACGAGAAAGTCTCTGGGGATAAACGAGCGAATCAGGGGTATTGCAGCAATTCGGCGACATATATCCTTAGTTGAGGAGCTTTCTTTCTGTGCAATTGTGAGACAAGCTGGTGATTACGATTCATAAAGTTCGGACCTTGAGTTGAGTAAAATCGTCTTCTATAATGGTGTCTTGCAAAGAATCGCTTCGACGGTGATTGGCTGTATGGTGAATCTGCTTGAGAGTATCGAATTAAGCGGCAACCGCGAAGACCAGATAGCATGTTTACTGGAGCATTCATTGCATGAGGTCCGACTTGTTCTGCATCGTTTACTTCCATGGTTTCCACTATCAAGTATGAAGCGATCTGAGTCAGATGTTCCTGCCCGAAGAGCAGATTGCTCACAAAGGTGCCCAACTTCGTTGGATCTCGGGGTGTAAAGAGTGTAATTTCGATTGGCCCCCTACTGAGTTGGACTCTGTAGGAATCGCCGACAAAGGACAAGGAGTCGGACAAATCAGGAGCGTTTGTAAGCGCCCAAAGAATTGATTTCATTAGATAATCAAATTATCGGTCACTTCTGTCTTAACCTGACACTTTGATTTATCCCTTACCATCGTCTTGTATTCGAGTCAAACTCGTTACAAGCTATCTTACTCTTCAATCAACATGATCTGGAACACGATCTGAAGAAGCATTACCTCGAGTCGGCTCAAGAGATTGCTAGAGTCGACTAGTGTCGACTCTTGCGCATCATTCTCAACCAGCCAGAACTTCCGCATTCAACCTCCTTGGCTCACACATACGATACGCTCTACCCTAGTCGGTCAATCTGTCAGTCTTTCTCACTCATACCTTTGTTGTTTACCACCGCCGACCTAAACGTCTCTTTTTGTAGCCTTCGGAACTTGAGATCTTACAAATGAAGAACCTCCTTCACAAAACTGGAGTTGGGACGAGTTACCCCAGCTACTTAGACATCCTCCATTACTCTCCTGATACCCATGTATACTATTTAGGCCAAACTTTCAATCAATATATTCTGCCCAGCTCCCCAATCCTATGGAATGAAGGCCTTGGACTGACATCTTATGGAGTGGCTCAAGCAAATACTATCTTGCTTCGGAGTTGACCAATTCAGGGTGGGCTTTCTTTGCAAAATCATTTCAGAATGAGTGAACATGAAGGTATTGTGGTTCCAAGAGGCCTGATAGTCATTATCTAATCTCATCGACAGCGATATAATACCCATCACAACATGGCTAGCCATTCCTCAGGTCCCTGAGCACAACAATTTTGACCACAAACGTCTAGCGCACTATTCCATGCTAAGCATGCTCATTGGTGTCCATCTACCTCCACCCCCGATCCCGGACCACAACAGCTCATATACTGACGATCCACCACGCCCACCTGCTCCACCCTCTCAGTATACATGCAACTGCAAACTCACCAGCAGCTGGTTGATACACAAGACGCTAAATACGCTTTATCCGTCTAAATGTTCATCCAGTTTGTTGAGTTTGTTGCCATCTCTGCTCAGAAAATGTGTTTCACTGGGTTCAAGATTCTATGGTTGCAGGAGGCCCGATAGTCATTATCTAATCCCATCGACAGCGACATAATACCCATCACAGCATGGTTAGCATTCCTGAGGCTCTTCTTGTCCACATCCAAATCACCCACAAACGTATAGCACACAGTCCAAGCTACAAGCGTACCCGATATACTTCACCAAACACATATTGTCTGTTTAAACACTAATCTGGATCGCTACTACACCCGCTCCCCAGGCGCTTCATCCCAGCCTTCTAAATCTCCTCGTACCGCGCGCTCCCCCCGATCCGAGTCGCGATATTCGAGTCGCGATATTGGAGTCGCGCACAATGGCAAGACGCTCCAGCCGCTCACTTCACGCTCTATACACGTCCAGACGCTCCCGCCCCCCGTCGCCAGCGGATGGGCCCGGTTTTTTGTACGCTTTCGTCGATTCCGATGTCTACTGGAAAGTAGGCATGACCAGCGACTACGACCGGCGGAAGGCAGAGTGGGACAGACAGTGTCCGTGTCCCAGCAGAGTTTGGCTCCCCCCTATACAGGTTGTATGGCGAAGGAAAGCTGGTGCGTTCCTGGCTGATTTTTCCAATTCAATACATATTTATTTGCTTTCAGAATCGTTGGCGCACATTTTATTGGAACATAGGTGCCTCAGCCGACCTCGCAATTACTGTGCTAACTGTCCGTGCGGTTCACGTCTCTATCCTTACGCTAATTCATGCTGTGTTGCAAAGGTTCCATGGCACACATCGAAATATTTATCATCCCTGGTCATTGGTGGTATATCTGGAGAACCATCATTCTACCAGTCCTTGTAAGAGCAGCAGCAGCATAATGGTATGTAACTTTCAGCTTTCTTTGATGTGGTATGTGACTGACAAGCTAATAGATTCAGAGAGGTCAATGGTTTACCTATGAATTTCTTGTACACAATGTATATACATATAATGGTGCTATCTAGGGCAGAGTTGTAAGGCAAGCTTGCTGGAATATACTGATTATGAATGAATGAGCACATAGATAAGTCCCTACCTACCATTCTGAAGATTCTACTGACACAAATAACTAGATGATCGTCGACGTCCCGACATTCGCGACCCTGCTATGTTTCGATGTATCGATATCGAGACGTCTCGACGTCTTGACGTCTCGATATCGACGACGTCTCGATGTCAAGGCGTCTCGATATCGACGACGTCACGACGTCACGACGTCCCGACATCGCGTACCCCTATTCTCGGTGAGATTATTCTGAAGAACCTCATGCTCTCCACGCGGCGAATATTCCGCGAAAATTTCAAACTATCCCAGTAAGATTACGCTGCAATTATTCAAAATAATCCCAGTAAATTCGCACATTAATTTATAGTAGATTATACTAAAAAATTCTTGCATATTCAGCACGCGAAAACATTGAAAAATGACGTTGGGTTTTATTTAACTATTCCCGGGTGGTTTAGCGGTGGAATTTTCTGTATAATCACAATGTATTCTCTACATAATATCCGTCCGATTATAATGTGATTAAATCAAATATTCTGTTCGCGCTTAATGGTAGAATTTTGTACCTAATCTCACCTTATTCGCGGCCTATTCGCGGCAAGATAAGGCTCTCATCCCCGCAGTGCATTGGCCGCAAATGAGTATGTACACAGACGCGTCAAACTGCCCAATACTTACATCGGTACGTCTCGGTGCGCGTAACATGATCATGCTTCGCTTTCAGTTACTGCTTTTCGTCCCTAAACGCTCGTACAATAGTAAGTATTGCAGCAGATGGACCTGTATGTGTTGCAACAACTTGCAAGAGCACTCTCAGAGACTAAGATACAATCTTTCTATCATGATCTACGTAGGCCTACTTGGAACGCATTTGAGCTAACAGTACAATGAAAGCCAGCGTCCACTTTTCGAATTGTTCTTTGGACATGAATAGTAGAGCTTGAGAAAGAACGGCCTTGACTATTTGTGCCTCCATACCCTGGTGAGCAGTTGCAGATGGATCAACAAAAAAGGTTTCTAAGAAAGATCTACGAATCGCACCTGATACCAGCCAAAAAAGCCTTCTCGCTTGAACACCTTGCCAAGAACGTCAAGGGCTCCTGGGTGTTTTGATCCTGAATGGTGATACGTGTGAGGTGGGGGGATGTCTTTGGGATCATCATCATGGATGTCTGCGCTCCGCGCCTGAATGCGGACTTTTGCCATAATATATGGGTAAGTTACCTGAGGTAGGCTATGCGTGAGATTCTAGTGGGGGGGGAGGATAGATGACGGTCGTACAATTGTAGCTAAAGTCTTGCTGAGGGATCCTACAACGAATGACTGCCAAGCTGTCATTTTGTCACTTGAACCTCCTTTAGCTTTGGCTAGTAGGAGAAGGCTCTTGACCCGCTCATACATGCCATATGTGATAGCTGGGTTCACGGTAAGAACTAAGCCGGGTTTGATACCCAACCACAAGCCTGCTACTCCTTCTTCTTCGACAATTTCCCGGGCAACTGCCATGAAGGAGTCATCCGCATTAAGCTCAGAAACTTCGGACGCATTTGAAGGAAGTGTAATGGAAGATGGTTTCGTTACACGACCGACCTGCTGCCGGGTAGCAATGACTGATACGGGTATCGTGAATATCTGGGCGAGCGCGCCGGCCGCGGCACCGAGTAAAAGCTCAGCAGCTGTGGACAATGCTGGAGCCTTGGATCCCTTTGGTAACTTGCGAGTTATTCGAGATATATAGGAATTTCTGACAAAGGAATAGAAGAAAAAGTAAGCGTATTCTGCAAAGATACAATGAGTTGCATGGAAAGCTACTGCGTCAGACAGACGCACGCATGGAAAAAGTATTCAGCATTGTTGCTCCAAATCCACTGTATAACGCAAGAAGACCTTCCTTCCTAAATATCCGAATAATCAAGGCGAACATCGACGAATCATCTTTTCCTTTGCTCTTCGGAAGGGCTTGTATACGCGTCTTGGCGCTGTAGCTCTATAAGATAAATAATGATCAAGCAGCTTGTGGAACGTACACGTCTAGCGGATAGACAACACTGACATCAATCGTCAATTCCGGACGAGAATCTGAACAAGTTGTTGCAAGAGACTCACGCAGTACTAAAACAAGCGCCTAAAGCTCCTGCCAGAGCAGCGGCCAAAGGGGTCAACGTTTGGGGTTTTGCCTTTGAAGACATGGAGGAAAGATACAAGCAAAAGCGTTACCCCCGGTACTCTTTTGGATGTTCATCCATTGCCGGATGCGCCGCAGAACAGACTATAGTAGGATTTCACATGCAAAGAAAGAGCACAGCCACAACATCATGTTAGACTCAAACCCAAATTTCAATTTCCCAAAATATCTCGATATCCAGCCTTCTACCTTTTCTGTCGCGAAAGATTCGAGCACATTATCCGGTATATACGGACATGAATCGCAAAGACAGGCTATTGAGACGTACGGAATCGCAGGAAGAGTCTGGTGAGTCAGTCACTGCTCTAATTTGAAGATGATAACCCTTCGAGGCGTTATAGGGAGGCGGCATATATTCTTAACATATACCTCAATCCACCTTCAAATCTCATCTTTAATCCCGCCTTCCCATGCGAGGAGAAGCGCAAAAGCATCCGGATAATTGAGCTTGGCTCTGGTTCGGGCATGGTTGGTATCAATGTTGCGCTTTCTCTCAAATTACAGCTCGGCGACCGGCTGGTTTTAACTGATCTCTCAGAAGTACCTGTTTATCTATATCTTTTTTGCGTCGTCTCAAAATTCTTGCCCTGTAGGTTTGTCCTTTACTTGAGAGTAACTTGGAAGCTGGATGCAAGGACCCCAAACTACGCGATCTGATCTACGTTCGCCCATTGGCTTGGGGAAACAGTGAACATGCCAATCGCATCAGATCTGAGCTGGTGGCTGATCAACGCTCGCATTGTCCCCCGCTCACTCATATCTTGTGCAGCGATTTGGTGAGCCTTCACTTCTAATCTAATCTTAATTTCAAGATGCCAAGGTGAATTTTTTGTAGGTCTATTTTCCCGAATTGCTGGCACCATTACTCCGTACACTCATTGATCTTACATCGCGCCCATTCGCAAGTCCCCAGCTCGAGGTCCTAATATCGTACAAAATTCGCAGTTTATCAAAAGAAACCCCATTTTGGGCTGCATTTGGTTTGTGGTTCACATATGAACCTGTCCTCGTTCGCGAGCAACTTCCGGATAGCTCTCTCTCCTCTTGGCAACGATTTGGCTCTGCTTTTGAAGGGCCGATGTTCATCTTTATTGCTCGACGTCGCCCGGAATCTTTGGATTGGATCATTCCTTCAGAAGATAACGATCTATTGGCAGGTTTCGGTGCATATGGAACTATGCATCCGAAAGTTGATGATACCTTTGAAAACATATTGTTCATGTCGTTGGGCGACACAACAGAGTGACTCATTTGTTCGAACTGGTACAGCTTGTTTACAAGTACACGCACAATACCGTCATCTAATGTGGTGATAAAACCTTTGATTTCCATTCTCTAACAGTCCCATCGATTTATTGTAATCTCCACCACCTTGGGGATGCTCATACCCTGGCGGAGTGTATGATCGTGGTACGATGCCAGGAGCATGCGTCGTACATATTGTCACTGTTTCAGAAAGAAGGACAGAATCTCCATTCGCCGTTGTGTCCAACTGGAATCCTGGGGCGGCGAAAGGCAGCAGATCCAGCGAATACTGTGTTTTTTTGCGTCAGTCCCTCCAGTCGCAGCATTACCGGGGAACCTTACTCTGATCGCAAATCGCGGAAATACGAAGCTAGGTTTAACGCCATGTCTCACCTCCAACTCCCCCTGCAACGTTCTCGAGTTCTTATCCCGACTAGCAGACCAGAAAACAGCTTGGCCTGCTGATTCAACGAAGAAGTTGTTGCTCCTTCTGACTACATCATCGTCCACTGCATCGGATCCATTAGCCAACGACCTCACTGAGATTATTATATGTCATTATCATCCACGGCATTTATGCTATTGGTAAGGGGAACAAACCTAAAAATACTCGAATCGCCGATGGACTCGAAAGAATATCCAGTGCCTGTTCGTCGTTGCTTCTCAGAGTGAGGAACAACGGAATGGGCGAGCGCACAGGGAAAGCGAGCTTATGTAGCCACATCAGCCAGGCATGCTAGTTTGACTCGGAAGTTCTCACCGGTGTGGCAATAGCTAGCTATATTGGAACTCATCAAGATATACAGGTTATCAGGTCCCCGGCAACACGCACCTCACATTCCAATCCTGTTTTCCGAACGTTGAATAGTGTGCCTGCCAGTTTTGCCGGTCCAACTACCTTCCAACCATATCTATCTCTATCTGGACCTATCAGTCCCGTTCCACTCCTGTATGACATCTGCCTCAGTGTCGATGGCAATGGTGGTGTTGTTAATGGTACATAGGCGAAGTAATGGGATAATCTGTGGTCTATGAGTTGAATGTCGGTCGAAAGGTATCAGACTCACGTCATGTTTGCCAGGAACAGTCCTCGCCTCACAGTCACGATAAGTTTATAGTCAATGTAGGAAGGACTAGCGCGTTCGGAGAAATTGGGTGGCAGCTTGAATTCCGCTTTGTTATTCTTCGACAACGTCATTGTGACCTCCTTCGGTAGAACGAACTTGAAAGGCAATGCATACTTCCCTTGCAATCTTTCTCCTGACTTGCCTTGCTTGGGATCTGGAGACCAAATTTCTTGTGTCGCGTCAAGAAAAATGATCTCCTCCTGTCCGACCGCCGTTGTCCCTCCTTGCATCTGGGGTGTCGTCACTGTCGTATCTCTCGTATAATTTACGGTGAAACGTACCGCTATATTTATTCCCTTGATCTTTTCCGGCTTATCGAAGTGTAGCTCTACACGTCCGGAGACGACATCGCCCTCCGTGTAGATAGGTGGTGAAGCAGCGCTCTTGGCACGGCTCCGAACATGAAGACTCAACCATATCTTACCATTCCGCTCCATTGTAAAACAGTGCTCAAAATTCTCAACGGAACTCGCTGTAGCGAGTGTTCCCATTGACCATCTCGATGATGTTCCTGGTCCGGGTCTTTGCGAATAAGCAGGAAGTTCGTGGTTCTGCATCTCATCTGTGAAGGAGTCAGAGTAGAGATTGTTGATGGATATGCATACCTTCACTGCCTACATATATGTATCCGCCGCCTGAGCATTCGATTGCTTATATGTATGTAGTAGTTTCCTGAAAACTCCGCGTTGACTTCGCTTTATTGCACATGTAGCCATCAGGATACCCACATGCTTTACTTGAAGTGAGAACTGTTACTGTAAAAAGAGACCTCATGCGTTGCCAGTCACAAGGTCACACTTCACCGCGACCGTGGGCGGAGGACTCTAAGTATAATATGCAGCAGCAGAAGATGACCGACGCGTGAATGATGTTTGACGTCCATAGTGTGTAGTAGTGAGACCCGGTCGAAATTTAGACATAAGTGGCGTATTATTAGAGTGTAAGAGGATGAGGCAGTCGGGTATCGATACAGTCAATAATGACGAATGCAGATATAAACGATAGTGCTACAAGACAAAATGTTTTGCCGCATGTCCAAGCATAACAGCTATAGAAAGAAAGACGTGATTCGTCATGAATAGGGCGTATAGGATTGACTACCGGGACGAGACATAAACGCATGTTTGGCTATCGAAGCACAATACATCAGTAGTCTTGGTCGTTTTCGCGTGAATAAGGATCGTAAGCTGGAGGTGCATACGCAATAGGCCGAGGGCCCTTGGCATACGCGGCGACAATATTGACCGGTTCAGACAGTAAAATCTCCGAGTGAGCGGATTTGAGTGCGGAGATGTTGAATGATCGCAACACAACAGAATACTATGAAAGGGGTGAGTAGGCCGAAGAAAGTAAAGCGCTTGCTACGCACTGAAATACTAAAATGGTCCATGAGAGATGTCGGCCTGAGATCTTTTGCTAATCTAATTTCACCCTCGAGATGACGGTTGTGGCGGTCGCCCTGAACCGAGGCTGAAGGCCACCAAACTGCTTTCCCGAACTCTCGAGAGGATTCTTGATAAGCAACTCGTTTCTTTTCGATTCCGGGTGCAGATGTGTATCCCACTGTCCTTCGAAGGCCAACGTTGACACAGTCTGAAGCTGTTATCATGTCTAAAGCTTGTGGATCACTGCTGGACAATGTAAGAGAACATGGAATAACGGAACCCCGGGTATAGCATAACTGAGAGTAATTAAATGAGGGACCGCAAGACGTTACGATCGTCAAACAACTTACTGGCTTTGCTAGCGATAACTACGTTGTCGTAATGTAAATAAGTAACTTGATGAATCTGAAAGAGACTTACACTACATCGAACATCTGCGGGGCAGTTCTGCAAGGTTGTACCTTTGGCTTTACATGTCTTGAGCGTTTCCCATCCCCGAGGGTCCGCCGAAGGACCAGGTACTGGCATGCTTTGTTGGTAGGCGAGCTGCCGGAGTACACTTGGAGGTTCGGGCTTCGAGCTTGGGACGTAACCGAAAGGAGTGCGGATTCTATGGTGGTCAGCATGATCATCAGTGAAGTTCATAACATGACTTATAATCATACTTACTGACTATCTGCTCGAAGTTTTGCACGAGATATGTGTATCGTTAGATCGTATTGTACACTGGCTGCTAAATCACGTTCGGAAAACGTCTCAGGAAGACGAAATTGAACGTCCGACTTCCCAACAGCGACGGTCTTTGGTAAGGGGATTGAAAAAGACCACACACAATCTCCAAAGAGCTTAGACCCGCTAGCACCCTCGGAGGGAGAAGGTGTCCTCGGAGTATCAACCGATCGCGCCCAGATGGGGTGATAGATGGTCAGGAACGTGACAGTCTCATCTGACCGTGGTCCTGTTATGACTCTTCCTCGAACCTTTTCGTTTCTTTAAGCTCATAGTAAACGAGGAGGTTTCGATAAAGGCGTACCATCGCCATCACAGACTGTATGGATGAATCGCCCTTTTCTGCATGAAGTTCGAGCGTAGCATTGATATTCTCCTTCTCGTAAAAGATGGGAAGAGTTTTCGTGGATTTCGCGCTACTTGCTACTCTGAGAACGAGCCATGGCCTTGCCCGGCCATCTGAGAGAGAAAAAACATGTTGAGTAGGATCTCGGGGAGCGACAGGATGCACAAGCGTATTGCGCCGGGTATAACGCGGAAGCTCAGAGCCAGAATGGGATGCCTGCCCTTGCCTGGATAGCTGCCGGTATGGAGGAGGGGACAAAGCGTCCATGGGGTATAAAGTAGAAGGCCCTCAATGATCCAGCACTTAAAAGAAAGCACTAGCCGAAGGTCCGGTTCTTTTGGTATAAAGGGAAGCCCATATCCAGTATAAATAGCCATTATTGTCTTTGAGAGCTTGGAGCGCCAGAGTCAAGAACAAGGAAGCCCATAAACAAGTCAACACGTGTGCACGCGTCCCGCACACGGCACACTACGGCACCACAATAAGTTGAATAACGTGGGAGAACACCATCACGTTCTGCTGTAAACTGCTGTAGTGCTCACCGCGAACTCATACATGATCAACGTACTCAACTTCGAATGATCTATCAGTGCGAAGACAATAAGAATAACATATTATGAGGTAAAATTATAGGAGGGGTATACTTAGTGAACAATTGGAAGTATAGGATACGACGGGACTACTATCGATACTAAATTACTCTATTCTGTGAGCTAGACTTTGTGAGATCTGTGGTTATTTGGATCGTTTGGGACAGTAATAACGCTGACTTATTGTCTTTGGGCTGGAATGCGGGCGATGAGAAAGGATGGACAGATAGAAAATACTGAGTTCCAAATTACAACTCGTCAGGTTACGACACCAAAGGTATTCGATTTCGTATCTCACCTCTATAGCCAAGTTCGCGATGATAGCAGAGGGAACTAGACCGCTTTTCAGCTCTAGTTTTCCAATTAGAGTGGAATGGTAGTAATCTGAAAGAGCAGGCCCCGAGGAGATTTCTTCATGATTCATCCATGTAGCCACACCTACACTCTCTACCACAGTTGACCAACGGGATGATTTGCCCCCGCACATTTGCACATCCTTGTAGTTGATGCGTCGGTTGAGTTGAACAACTACAGCATCTGGGGAGGCAACTGATTCAAGGGCTTGTTTATCTTGACATCTTATCTTGAGGAGCAGAGGTATGGAGGATCCCCGAGTGTAACATAACTGTGAATATCTGATCTAAGTTATTTCTGTTCTTGAATGAACATTTTCAGACTTACTGAATCTTTCAAGGATAAAGTACAAAGTAGTTCCACTGTTCGTGGCTGAAATTGGGATACAGTCCCGGTGAAATTGAACTCCAAGGCTTTCCAGCAAGTTACTCTATCTGCCGCAGCATCAAAACTTGTAACTGCTGAAATGTATCCACTTCGGGGCCGAGTTCGTTTGATTTGGAAACAGACAATTTCAGTGGTAATCCTGAACAATTAGACGAAACCATTGTAAGTTTGACTTTGCGACGGCAAAGACACTAACCTTCTGTTCATTTTCCATCTACTTTGTTTTAGGGAGACCGCCATTTCGTAATGGACTCGAGCCGGAACACCTGCTTCCGAAAAGGTATGAGGGAGCGCAAACACTTGTCCTTTTTCGCCGTCGTTCTGTGAGATCACCACTTTCTTCGGCAAAAGCAGGGAATAAGGCCAAATATAGTCGGACTCATTTGTTAGATCTCTATGAGCTTCGATATCTCCGGATTCTGCTGTCCACAGGGTTTCCCGAAGGTCTAGGAAAGTGCAAACCGCGTCCGAGTTCCGACCTGTCAGGATCCGGCCTTTCAACTATGCAGCCACATACACGTTAGAAAGATGCATATAATGATAGAATCGGACGTATTGCTCACCGATACATGAACAGCTCTAATATCCTCGCCGTTGTTCGCGGATATTCGTACTGCTCCAGTGACTTTGTCACCCTCCAGGAACGAAGGGAGTTCGTTCGATATCCTGGAGTCACCAGAGACAGTCAAAGAGATTCCAGGACCAGCAATACTTTTTGCCACCGAATACTCGAAATTTCTTCTTCGATGGTCCATTTGAATAGTGGAGCAGTATGGAGAGGGACGATGGGTAAATGAAGGGAGCTTGGGTTCGATCTCGACAACTTCAAAATCAAGCAGATAAGTGGACGAGGGGGAATCAAACATGGTCGATACAAGTAGAAAACGCGATGGTCATTTTATATACGTTCTGATTCCCAAGTATGGCGGCACAGAATGACTACTAAACTGAAACTTGGGACCCTGGACATCAAAGCTGAGTCTAGTCAATAACATTAGATGGTCACTGCGGTTTATACTTCCTTGCAGAGCGGTAACGTGAAGGTGTACATAGCCTAGGACGGGAAATGTTTTGTATCTGTTGATCTGTACTTGGTTGGAGTCAAATCAGGTATTTAGTTGAATGGATACCCACCATACATCATGTTGAAGATCCGCCGCACTGAAGCACATTGCATAGACAGTGATTTTATTGCACACGTTAATTGACATACAGCCTCTCACCTAGTAGCCTAGACTGAGTCACTACAGCATATCGGATCCGGAGCTACTTATACAACTCTAATTTTGGTTCACAATTTTTTGAAAAAGATGCATTCAAGGTGGAAAACACAATTCCAAGATCGCTGGACCTGAAGATTCGACGCAAAGCGCTGACATTGCCTAGTAGTGAACGAGGTCAACTTGGCTAATACAAAAGTTTCCTTGAAAGTCGTACCAACCGCGCTTTATGCCCTTGCCTTCGGAGGAAACATTGATGAGAACTTATGAGAACCCGACCAGGTGGCAAGTGAATTCTGAGCTGGCGGAAGATAATTTGAATAGATATATCGTTGTAGAAGAGGTCAGAAAGACGGATATCGCCAGGATATCGCCGATCGAAGAACTTGAGTGAAGAAGACCGGTTTCGAGGGCATACCTGTCGAAGCTCAATGAAAGTCATGATTAGAGGAAGCGTTTGTATGGAGTACACTTGAACATAAGAGACTCGTTTACTATAATTGCTTTTGGAATGGTTCTCAAAGGTTTTTTCAAGTGCTTGTCAATGTCACAAAAGAAGCTTGTGACCCATGTTTGATTCCGGATTACCACCGGGCTACGACGCCAATGACCAAGACGTTGATTTACCTGCATACTCTTCATTGTCCGGCGTAGGACGTGAGGTACCTTCGAATTTGACCGATTTATCTGACGGAGCATCGAAGGAGTTCACATACAACATTCCATTGAAAGGGAACAAATCCAGCGCGTCGTTAGTGTTGTATGGCAATGCGTTGATCTCGAAGCATTTGCCAACGTTTTTGGAAGACTCTAAGGTCGATGGTTTGGTGAAGGTAGATGTTGAAAGTGGCGAATCCATAAATGCAGTAGTAATTTCGGTAAGAGTTGTTACTTGTACACTGCTTGTACACGAGGAAGGTCTACACATGTAACATCCCGTAGATTCAGGGAAAAATCCTTTCGGGCGCGAAGCAACATATCTTCCTTGATTATAACCAGACATTATGGTCACTGTCTGACGGGCATACCAGTGCAAACGGCAAACTTCAAGGAATACATGATTGGCCTTTCTCTGTGCATCTCCCGAAAGAAGTTAGCCTCACTATAGGGTCGAAAGATGCGCCTCGGGTCGAGGTCTTTCGTCTTCCACAAACTTTCATGGAACGGCATGCCAGGGCGAGCATACAATATGAAGTAATTGCCCGCTTTTCTCGTGGTTTACTGAAGACGGACCATCGGTATGCATCCTCATCTCCCCACAGAGATTCATTGAACAAATTGCATTCAGAATCATAACACCGTTCATCTACGTACCTATCATTCATCCAGGGCTTCCTTCACGGCTCAGACAAGTTGCGTATGAGGGGAACACAACCATACCGGGACCCATCGCAGACCCGCAAGGCTGGCATACACTAGCCCCAGTTCAGATCCAAGGTAAACTGTTTAATCGACAAACAGTTAACTTCTCGTGTACTGTGAGTATGAAACTCTGCTGAGTACACTCTGCCTCACAAATCACACCAGCTATCTCTGGCATTACCTGTATGTCCTTTTTGTTGCCTCTACCCAGAACACGTACACTGACGTTCTTCTTAGCTTTCTTACGCAAGGGGATCTGTCATTCCACTTCATCTAGTCATTCAATCAGACGACGTTCAAACTCTCGAATCTCTCTTCCCGCCTCGTGCTATCATCTGTCGCCTTCGTCGAACTCTTCGGTTTGTCCTTCAATTGTAAGGGGACAACTTCAATAACCTATCGTTCTATTTGCAGTTATCATCCCGAAGAGAACAAGGCTGTTGATCCTAAGCTCAGAAAAGACGAGTTCGAGCACTCAGAACTCGCAACGTGGTGGCCTTTGGTCGAATCTTCAAGGTCAGAGAAAGGAACATTCAAACGAACATTGAGTGGCGAGATCGTCCTTTCACCGGACTTGATGCCTACCACATTCATTGGTCGCTTTCAGCTTGAGGTGAGTGCGTTTCCCAAAAGTATATCACAATATATTAATGTTTCGAAATCCTACGTGCAGTACTCGGTAGTCTTGTTCCCCTTTGACGCAAACAATTTCCAGCCAGGAAGTAACAACATGCTGGTGGATTGTGCCGTCGAAATTGCAACTAATTTACCACCTGGTCCTCGTCCAAGGATTTACAGACCAGAATACCAATCCGTCTAGGTCCAGGCGTTACTGACAGACAGTGTTCGCAAACACTTGCAATCATTTACCGTGCCGTGATATCCTAATCCATTGCAGGTGTAATATAGATTATGTACCCATTGATTATCGAACTCCTTAAACAGAAGAGACAAGATGCTCGGGACGTCGTTACACATACAGTATGTATGCTGTTTGTCATTGCACACTATAGTTCGTCGAGCTTCTCAGGATACGAGCCATATTCCCAACTGTAGCATTCCTACAAGAGAAACTGTTAACGCAGCCCTCGAGCGTACAGGTTCGAGTCAACTTACGATACAATCCTCCTCAGAAATCGCTTCAGGGACTTCCCGGCCTATCTCAACGCTCGGAAGCCAAGGGTCGGAGAGAACCTTCTCGATGACAGCAACTATGCCGTGTGTACGAACATCGACTGCCCAGGAGGAGTTCGATACCGTGTCGTAAATGACAGACTTGCCCAAATGGCAACTAGTGAGTACATCAAGACAAGGAAAACGTAAAACTAGTGCATAGGAGTATTGAGATGTGGCACGTACCGCGATTCCATCGCATATCCACCAAGAGCACAGGACGATAACACACCATTACATGTGCCCATAGCTATAGGATCAGCAGTATGATAGACGTGGGTGATATGTTGGGTGCTCGGTGGAGAAGGGAGATGCAATCGACTAGCAGCCATCTTCTCTCCAGGAGCTTCGAATGCAACAACAGGTGCACCAAAAGTGACACCGATAAGAGATGCCAGAGAACCACCCAGGGAGTGTCCAATGATCCATATGTTGGATTCCGGATAGATGTAAGTCAAATTATTGTACAGATTCTGAGTGAGTATTAGTTTGAACTCGGACCGTACACACAAGACGGGACCGCGCACAATTCCAATAGAGTAGAACAGAGATTCCTCGATGAGGGCAGTTTCGACACATTCTGAATCATGGTAACTCTGAATTTACTCTCTCTCTCGAAGTTACAGCGGTAGTCGCACCTTGGTCGCATTTCCAACCACCACGGTAGCATCCACAGACGGTAGTCCACGTCCAGTCTACTCTTGCACAACAACAGCTGAACAAGAGGTTGTCATTCAGTTTGTCCTTCTTTACCGTGGGACCACCACCTCCTAAAAGTCCTGCAGACGTTCCTTTGACAGATACAATAACGGTCGAATTATCTGGAGTCGCAAAAACTTGTCCGCGAAATCCATCGGCATCGGGTTCCCATCCAAATGGATACGTCTGAAGGACTGGAGTTGAGGGATGGATATCAGCTGATTGTAAGCTTAGCACCCACAGTGTTCCACTCTTCGCCCAACTCGTACCACGCTGGATCTCCGACTTCGACATAGGCATTGTTAGACATCTTGGCTAGCTCTAACAAAGTCTCCCTGCTCTCTACGTTTGGGCCAGGGACTATCTCTTGTTCCCAATTTAAGGACTGACTTTGACCAAACTTCATTGACTGCACCCGCGCCACCCGTTGATCTTCATAATTAGGTCCTCTGTAAGAGGAAACAGGCCGAGCTTCAATGGCAAATGAACGGTTCTGTTGCAGATAGGCGGAAGATTCTTTCCAAACTGGAGGAACATCCTGGAAGACGACGTGAGCAGACGAAGAGACGGCATGTAGATGTCTGAGCTCGAAGCTTAGACGGGGGGAAGGAGCAGGCGTATTGATGGATACGAAGTTAAGCCAATGGACGAGGATATCCTTCCAGAAGATCGGTAACATCAAGCATAACGTTGAAGGAAACAGTTTAAAGCGATTAGAGCGGGCCGCGGATTAGCCGGTGTTACTCCAAGTAGCTCCAAGTCCAACCATCCCAATATGTACATATGTACAAGACTACTTAGCTAACATCATGGGTTGACAATCGTCAGTGGCGTTCAAGCATTTCTAATCTTACTCTGAACCATCGATGTCTTCTTACAAAATCGACATTCCACCCACTGCTTTATCCACCTTGAAGTCTCGGCTCGAAAACGCAGTTTTTCCCGATGAGTTGGAAGACTCTGGGTGGGCATACGGTGCGCCTCTCGCTGACATAAAGAGACTCGTCGCTCGATGGCGTGATGGTTTTGATTGGAGGCACGAAGAGCAAAAGCTCAACGCCGAGTTGCCTCAGTTTACACGGGATATCGAGGTGGATGGATTCGGTACATTGAACATACACTATGTCCACAAGAAAAGCGAGAGAGGCCTGGGTATCCCTCTACTTTTTGTGCACGGATGTGAGCATCGTGACTGCACTTGAGAACCTCGGTTCACCTATTGCCTACAGGGCCAGGAAGCTTTCTGGAATCTCGAAAAATTGTACCTTTGTTGACAGCCGGGTCTGGGGATGCTCGACTTCCTGTATTCGATGTAGTAGCGTTGAGCCTGCCCGGTTTTGGGTTCTCTGAGGGACCTAAGAAAACGGGATTTTCGTTCACGCAATATGCAGAGGTGAAAATCATATTACTCATGAATTTATCAATGACTCTAATTGTTCCACGAAATAGGTCTCGCATAAATTGATGCTTGCACTTGGTTACACAGAGTATGGTGCGTATATATTTGAACCAGAAAATAGTGACAGATCTCTCAAGGTGTTGGGGTCTGATATAGTTACTCAAGGCGGAGATTGGGGCGCCAGCGTAAGTGGAAGGATGGTTTGTCATTGTCTTTTGAATGTCGATTCACATCAACTTGAAGATTACTAAAGAGATTGCCCGTCGTTATGGCGGAGAACATTCCAAAGCGTGGCATATCAATCTTATCTTGTACATGTCGTTTCGACTCGTCCTCTTTCATTGCAACTTAAATGTATGATACACTCACAGGGCTGGACCTCCGGCAACCCAAGATCCTAGTTCTTACACTGCTATTGAGAAGGATGGGCTCGCGCGCTTCCAAGAATACAAACGCTCTGGAAATGGGTACTACCGAATACAGGCAACAAAACCGCAAACTCTGGGATACAGTTTAGCAGACTCGCCTGTTGGACTGCTTGCTTGGATTTATGAAAAACTCGTCATTTGGACTGATGCTTATCCTTGGACTGATGATGAAGGTACACATTATATTTTCAAGCGATCGATTTCTTAAAACCATAAAAATCATGGGGTCACAGTCCTAACCTGGGTATCAATCTATTGGTTCTCTCGCGCTGGGCCCGCAGCATCACTCAGGATCTACTACGAAGTTGAACATGCTGGTCAAGAAGTCGGTAGTACCAATTTCCATATCCCAACGATCCCGCTGGGATTTTCACATTTCCCAAAAGAGCTCGGGCGTATTCCGAAGAGGTATGTAACTTCTGAATCTTGTTAGTCTCAAATTGTAACTTGTGCCGTGTACAGTTGGTATCACCTTGTCGGAAATGTTGTGTTTGAAGTAGAACATGACTCCGGAGGGCACTTTGCAGCACATGAGAAGCCCGAACTGCTTGTTGGGGACTTACAAAAAATGTTTGGGAAGAGTGGGCCAGCATTTGGCGTAGTCCTTGGACGCAATGGATACGACGGTTGAACATTGAACGTTGATGGTCCAACTCAGATAATTATGCAAGAAAAGAGAAAATGGAATAATGCTACTGAATGAAGTAAAGGAAATGTATGTACAAATATGTTCTCATCAGCTGTACCAGCATACATTAGAATATATAAAATCTTCTCAATGAATGTGTTGATTCTTGAGATGCATTCTACATAGTGAGCGTTCCAATATAGTCCAATATACAATGCTTTCTTAGGCGTCTCTTACAATCCTGACGTCCCATTTCTACATACAGTGACGGCAATTTCCCACGAACACCCCCCAACTCAGTAATAAATTCCCAACTGAATTGGCGAAGAATTGGGGGGGGGTGTTCGTGGGAAATGGCCGTCTGCGTCACAAGAAAAGCCAAGAGGTGAGGGAGATTCAGATCGGGGAAACGATTCTCACGACCCCCATCTCCAATGAATAGAGAGTCCAGGCAGGGCTAGGCAGGGTCTATTGGCTGGAGGTTGCAGAACTGTCTCAAACGCCCTTCAAGCTCACATATACCTTCCAGATTGTACCTAAGTAGTTGGATATCATCAATAAGTGACACGAACACAGGTATTCGAAGATTTCAACATCTGCAAAACCTGTATGTTCGCCAGAGCAAGGGTACTGGCTGGAGAGCGCTCTCCAGCCTCACCCAAAGCACCGAGAGCAAAATTTCAACCTTGCTCTGGGTGCTTTGGCTGCTGGGAAGTGCTCTCAGCTGCTTTCGGAGAATTAGCCGAAAAAACAGGTTTTGCAGATGAACCAAGTTGTATGGCCTCTCGAGTCATAAGATGCCGTGCAGCTCGGCTTGGGCTTGGTTAGGGCCTTTCGCGTGGCAACATAAGTACCCTCGATCTGAATCTCCCTCACCTTTTGAGAAAAGCAATGACTGCGGAGATGCCTTAGGCGGAGCCGCGTATCTATCTATCTATCTACTGACTGAGGTTGCAGCCCCCGCTTTTCCTCTTTGCAACATGATGTCAATTATAAATGGCGATTTCAGGATTCATCTCTATATGCTAGCAGAATGCGGTAGACTACGATGCTAATATACAAATGGGTGTCTACGTGATGGAAGGAACGTCAAGAATGATTAATACATTATTAGGGTATAACGCAGAACGATCAATGGAGCTGTAGAGTATTTCATAGCACACGAAGATCAAAAGATAGTGATCAAAAAATGGTTAGCGCTCAGTCTTGTGTGACGATCTCAAGAGAATCCATGGCAAGCCCGAGAGGATCAGAAGTCATATCTTGTAGAACCTGTTCAGTGCCGTTATTAGCTGCTGAGAAAAAGACCTCGGGGCTGGTGCAGGCAGCTACTGCGCGACGCATGTGGCTGTTGAGGAAGGAAAGTCCAACTTGATAGGCGGCTGAATGCGGAGGTGAGTGAATTTAAGCATTTTGAAGAACGCTGGCCATACCATTCATCCATCCAAAACCTTCACGAGGGACCATTTTAAAATCGATTCCCTGGTTTCCATATTCAGCATCCACGAGATGAGACAACTTCACCGCATCGAACTTGAAAGGGATCAGACTATACACACATAGGCCAAAGTTTGTGACCTACCTTTTCAGGAACTACTCCGTTAAAGTCGACGAAGGCGGTCGTCATCCTGAATTTTTGGTCAGAATTGAAGCAACAGAAAAAGGAATGCTATAATGTGCACGTACATATATAGAAACCTATAGGCAAGTCGTTGTGCATCTTCAAGATAGCCATACCGTTCTAATCCTACCCATGCCATGGTTTGATGTGGCGGCCTATTGTGAATGGTTAGGATTATGGTCAATCAAATGAGAGGATTAACGTGCCATGCGTATCTATATCGTACTCAGTCAACTAGCTGAACGAATATCAAATGCTGGAAAACGTACGGGTAATCCCATTGTCGATTTGGCCTATCTAAGGAAATCTTGCCCCTAGACTCTTCCGTGCCGGAAACAAGTCCGCCGAGAACCTCAAACTTTTTCAAAGACTGGGTACTATCATAAACAGATATATGAGAACTGCGATGGAAAATGATTAAACCAGAAAGGGACATACACCAGCTTCCATGCCTGCTCCTCGCTGGCACAACCAGCCCACAGCGCCCACAATGCAGTGACGCTCTCGTACAATATCTGCTGTTCTTTCGCAGTGTCATAATCAAAGTAAAGACTCTTGTTGTCATTCCACAGATACTTGTCGATCATTTGCTTCCTAAATTCTGCACGCTTAAACCACTCATCACTGCTCTGCGACCTGCCCTTTGAGCTTTCTCGAGTGGTCTTGGCATATGCCGCAGGTGTGATGGGGAAAGGCGCGAGGGGAAATTCCTCTTCCAATTCAAGCTCGTCATCGAATACCTCCCGAATAGCGGTACCAATGTCTATCTCATACTTGTACAACAAAGCCTGTAAGTCAATAGTTGCAAGGTTTGCACATCGCTTCTCAAACCGATACGTCGTGTCGTGACCAGACTCCCGGACCGCACGGTCATGGAGGAAGTACTCGTCAAGTTCAGGCTCCTTCAACACGCCATCATTATATTTCTCACTGAATTCGAGGATAGAGAGACCATGCTTGTGAGCAAAGGGTTCGAGGATATGCGTGAAATGCGTAGCTTCAGTTTCTGGAGGAATTCCAAGACCTGCAGGACGGTAGCGAGAAAGACCAGTTTTTGGATCTATACGAGGTTCCGCAACCCAAATGGTATGGTATTCTTTGATGGCGGCTTGAATTGCACGCTTGAGCCATGCGCGGTTAGCGTCGACGTCTGAACGGTCAAGTTGATTGAAGATTTGGAGTGCCATGTCGGTAAGAAAAGGTGGCTGCGTTCGGCAGAGGTAATAGCTCCGACTGCCATTTAAGATCTTGCCATAGTGCTTTATCTCGAAGATGAAATGATCAACCATTCCCTGAGCCATGGTGACCTTGCCATCAACCAGAAGACCGAGGGAGATGAAGTATGAATCCCAATTGTAGAGCTGCCGAAGAGTAGATCAGTTAAAACGACCTACACGAACAAGGTGAGGTACGTACCTCATTGAAGCGAGCGCCGGGGACAATGAAAGGGATACCCTTCAGGATCTTTCCTCCCCTCCCGTCATCTGACTCGTTCATTGCCAGTGCTAGAATACCTGGTTTGTTGTTCAGGCTTTTCACAAAGGATGGGTCGTCAGGCTTCACGGGTAATACTTGGACATCAAGGTTGAGATGAGGTTTTTCCCTAGCCACTTTGCGATAATAATCAGCCATGGCAGGCTCGCCGTGCGGAACATAAATTCGGGGATTTACGCGACCAGTACGGTTCTTGGGATCGGCACAAATTATTTCGAGGCCTTCGCCATCAATACGACGTGTCAAAGAATGCCAAAATGAGTTTTTGATCATACGAGACAGTCGGTCAACGGGATTCTCAGTGAGACGGGCTTCGTCCAGGACGATCCTCTTTCGACCATGGTCACGGGCAAGGGCTAACTCTTGCAAAAGGTTGGAAAGCATGTACGTTCCCTGAGTGGATTCGAGTCAAAATATAGTGAAAACAATATAGAGCAACTACTTACCCGTATATCAAACGTCTTGAAACCATTGCTCGTCGCGGTGCCTAACGCCATCACCTTGGGCCCAGCGTCAGTCACACTGATTTGGAAGTCACCATCTGTATCCTCTTGCTCAAGCACAAGACGAATGGTTTCTTCAACGTCTATTAGAAAACGTCGAGGTTGGGAAGCCTTCTCATCATGAGATAAACGGCGAGCTCTTGCATGAGTACTTTCGTCAAATGCTGGGATCCGTCTAGGGTTGTAGCCGTGAATATGCGACTGCGACAAAGTTGAGGTTAGCTGAAGCGGAAGCCACAGAATCCGCTCACCGCACTGTATGTCCGAGAGCGAGTAAACGTCTCGCTTTTGCCATAATAATCCGCTGCCTCCTTCATTGGCAAGGAGGGCGTAGACAAGTCATGTTCCTCGATGAAGTTGACAGTAGTTGGGTGCGTCAAAGAGGGGGCCATTATAGATGTTACGAAGAAGAAAGGGCGAAGAGCGAATGCCGCTCTTATGCGGCCAAATACATCCTGGGAATTACAGTGTTATGATGTTCGCCGTCGTTCCCGGCTGACTGAATCTGAAGCTACATACATATCTCAATCTGGAGGTGCAAATTTCTTCTGTATGTAGACAAGTTGGCTTATCAGTAAATATATAAGTAATTCTAAAAATTCTCATCCCTACCCTCCTGAGTCCAAATCAGACTTGGATAGTCGACGTCATGCCTATCTGAGTTTTTTTCATCTTCATCTCATAATTGACGTGCACACGTACAGTACTACAGCTACGACGTAAAAAAAGACGACCATACACGCCATACAATGTTATCGAATTCTGTACTTCTCCCGAATCCGGGATGAGGACATCTACTCGCCTTGAGGCTTTGCATGTTATGGAGAGCTACAGTAGGTAACGGCAGAGATACTCTCTTGTTTTTTTTTTCACGCATTGCCTATGGGGTCACCCGTATACGCACTTGCACTAGTCTCGAAGGCCCTTCTTTCACTTTCTGCCTTGACGAAGTTTTCGCATTCGATGCGGCTTCGGGGCACGTCCACAAACCAGAGGAAGATCATACTAAAAACACCACTGACAGGGACTGTGTCAGAGCTAGACCGGATCTTGAACAGAAAGGTACAAACAGTGCAAACAGAAATGCAAAGGGCATGTTGTTATTCGAAGAGTCGTCAATGATCGCTGAAGAGACAAATGGTCCTATGAAGGCGGATGTCTTCCCAACCTGCAAAGTTTGGTTAGCTTGGAATAAGTACATCGACACATCACTTACCACAGAGAACAACGCGAAAAAAAGAAACCTTCAAGTCACTTATCAATCTTCAAACTACGTATACAATCGGGAGCATCTCTGGCTCACATTTGTGGTAGCGGCGAAACCTCGCTAATCATAGTCTGACTGTATGCATACCTAACGGGTCGCCAAATTTTCCATGAGCCGAGACAATTAACAGCAATTCCGAGCAACAACACACCAGGGACAAACCATAACACCATAGAAGACCTGATATACCCTAAATTGTAGGTAGTTCATGTCAAGGTCGTACAGAAATATGTGAAAATGCGCACCAAACCTCCCAAACATGTTTGAATCCGAATTTGTCCGTGTGGACTCCAATGAGGCCCCATATCGTCAAGACCTGGATGACAAGGTAATATTACACAAGGACATCACAAGGACATTCTGAGTTAGAAGGCTCACAATGATCCAGCACGCATTGAAAGTGAGCATCTGAAAGCACATTAAAACTACGTTCAACTTTGATTGACGAGAGAACAAACCGTCTTTGTGCTGATTCCAAAGCGCTTTTGAACAAGCCAGAAGGTACTGGGACAGCATGAGACATTACACAGAAAATTATTGAGATGAATGGAAGCTCACTAGATACCGATCGCCTGAGCAACGATACCGACAATTAGTAGCAGCGTCAGCTGAAGGGTCGAGTACGAAACAAGACTGGGATAGATCGATATAAACTCGTGAGACCAAGACCCTAAGGACTTCAACGCACCTATTCTGAAGGGTACCAACAACGGTTCTGAAGTAGAGATGAGATGTTCAATCAAGAGCGAAGGGCTAATATAGAATCTACACTGTGGTATTCAATACGTCTCCCCTGCAACTATTCGATAAGTAAAATGAATTCATCGTGAAATAATCTCCACGTACATGAGGAAATAGAAAATGAGATAAAGGAACGTCTGCTTCAGCCTCAAACATTCCCTGAAGGCAACATAAAATTGCTTGAATCCAACGGCAAAGATAGTTGACCCAGAAGGTACTTGAAGACCAGGTCTACGTTTTTCTAGGAAGAACCAGGGTAAAGCAACGAGGACTGAGGGAAAGAGGTATTAAAACAAGTTCTGATGCCTAGACCACGGCTCACCCCAGACTCCCCCGGAGAAAGCTATCAACACGCTGAAGGCCTTGGTGTTGGCTTCTGTGCTCGAGTCCGATTTGAGCCCTTTTAGGATCCCCACCATCACAGCGAGGATGAGAACTTCGCCCACGGATTGAATAGTAAATGAGATGTTCGAAACTCGATTTCGAGATATAGAGGTGAATTTTGCGTGCGAGTCTAAACTATATGAAGTTTCCTGAGGACATTTTAACATGCACATGAGAGGCTGAGACACACTCTTTCTTTCCAGTTTTCACTTCGGCTAATGACTCTTTCACCTCTGGAAGATCACGAACCAATCCTGGGAACGCAGCAGTCCAGAAAGTTAGCGTGCACTACATGGGCGATTCAGATAAGATGTTGATACAGGCAATTATGCATTTCATCTCACCTGGTATGTGATTACTGCTCGTAGAAAGGATGTCAGCGAAATTTGGAAACACCAGTGCTATTAGAGCTTGAAGAGGCTTGAAGACTCACAGCCTAATATATAAAGTGCGGTTCCTGCCCGCCACTGCGACGGATCGTCAACGCCCAGCCAGGCAAAAGACACGGCTACCGCTAGTATTGTAAAGAAAATGGTGATGTTTGGTCTGGAAAATTTTCAACAAATGCAAATCAAGGTCTGAAAGAAGTGGGGATCACCTCCAGCGTCCATAATCAGCCCACGCTCCAATGAGAAGCAGCAATGCGGCTTGTATTGCAAAACTAATACCGTTCGTCAGAAGGACAATTGCGTTTACTGTCACCGTATATTTAGCGCATCAGTGAACAGATACCGTCGCGCACTTACTGTCCCGCACTTTCCCGAGATACGGGAGCACACAATCACCGTCACCACAGGCCAACGTAAAGGGTGGTTGACTGGGGTCGTATCCCGCAATAAACAGGAGATTTTGAAACTGCGATGGCCCAAAATTGAACCCGGACAGGCCATTATTGCCAACATAGAATAAATAAAAACTCCTATACATAGCCGCCGCTTCAGTACCAGTCGCAAATGGGTAAACTATACTGAGCAGGACTACCAGAGTTCCACGCGTGTCGTGGTCCATTCTGATTGAGAGCTTTGAGCGTCGTTCAGGTCTTTGAAAGCCAGAGCATCAACAGAAATTTCGTTGTGCTTCTCTTCACTATCTTGTGACGCCATGATAGAGTCTTAGTAGGAGCGAAGATAAGAGCTTGATGCTTTAACATCATGACAGTCGGTTTAAAGGGTGTACCGCGTGGTACTGGAAGCACATTCAAGAGTATCAAAACTTGTAGGCGCCTTAGCGCTTAGAAAAAGAAAAGGGCTCCAAGTTAGTTATGAACGGTATAGCTAGTATATGTAGACAGTGATAGGTTCGTCTAAGTACATGTAAAAAATTCGGAGACACAATAAATCCATACATCCTACATTGTGACGATAAGGATGCAAAGCGTTTGTAACACGTTTCATAATTCTTTTGAGTCAATCACAAATGTCATCCTCTAGATGGAGAGAGGGAGGCTCGAGAGGGAGGCAAAGAGGTCCGATTAGGGTGGGCGATCTGTTCTCGATATTGTGGTGGAGAATGAGAGATAGGCCGTGGACCCTTGGGAAACATTGTTACGATCTCCACGCGCTGTTCGAGAATTGGACCATTGTGGAATTTCTGCGCAGGTGTAGAAGGAACGAAACCAGTAGTATCGAAGGGAAGCATCACGACAGAATACTAATGTTGTTGTCAAATTTATTGAGCACTGCCGCGATAAGTTGGTATTTACCTCAATACCGAAATGGGATATGTGAAATGTCGGTTTCAAACTTTTTGGAAGTAATATTTCTCCTTCCAGTTCTCTGTAGAGTCTCGTTTTGACCGGCAAGGGGCCAGTTTCGTTCAAATTCAAAGTTCCTGGTCGTTGCCACCATACTGCGTCAGCAAAGTCGACGGTTGGCTCTGTTGGGATTACACTAGTCCATGGAGCGTTGATTTCAGCAAGATTTTGTGCACGTTTATAAGAGACCTTGCGGCGCAGCCTCACTGTCAGAGCTTGGCGGGTAGATAGCAAATCTAGGGCTTGAGAGTCGATAGAACTGAGCATTAGTGAAAGAGGGATTACGGTGCCCCGCGTGTAGCTAAGCTGAAATAGAAAACAGGTTAGAGTAATGATAGGAAGGAGGATATTATGAGGGCAGCACCGGTTGCGCAAGTGAGAGCTTCAGTGTCACTTCCACAATTCTATTCTTGAATAAAGTTCCGTAAACCTTTGCCGAAGGCAGAGTATACCATCCCTTTGGATCGACTTGGGGCCCCAAGAGAGGACTATTCTCCTGATAAGCCAATTGACGCAATGGAGAGGGAGGCTCTGGTTTCGTGGTGGGGGTATAAATCCAGGTCAACTGCAAATTACCATCCTCCCTGAATTTACTCCGGGAAATATGCACAATAAGATTGTACCGGATACATGCACGGGTCTTTCTTTCCATAAACGTAGGAGGAAGAGGATATGCCCGAACATCGTTCATCCTACCAGACGGTGCCATAATTTCACCAGGCAGGTGGATAGAGAATGGCCAATACATTCCGTTCCGTCTCGTCGCATCCGCATCTTTCGTCCAGAGCGTCGTTGAAGTCTCGAGAAATGTGATGCGGTCGACCTCAAGAACCCCGGAAGACAATTCTCCTCTGACCTAAAGGTTTTGTCACTGTCAGAGAAATCGGGCCGCCGACGATTAGACCAAGAACCGTCGGGCACAGAGGCCGAAAGCCCTCCGTCAGGTCCGACGTCGCCGAAACCTCTTCTTGTCCTTTTTCTTCCACAAGCGAAAAACTCACTATAACCTTCACACATGATACATGTCGACTGTTATTCATGTCTGAATTCAAGGTTACGGAACCTGTGATTGTCTCTCCTTCCAGAAAAGTCGGCAATGACCCCGCTGGAGCTTTGCTGTATACTCGCAGAGTTGCCCAAGGTTTAGCGCGTTTATTGGTGTTATCGGAAGATAATTCTACGACATGCTCTGTCAACTGGCGGTGAGCTCTAGACGGTGGCGATAGACGGCGGGTGTACGCTGGTAAGGACGTTACAGATTGCGGCAAGCTGCTGTTTCCATAGACGAAATTATCGAACGACGATTCCATAAGCTGGGGACCAGGAAGAACAGACATTCTTAATACTGAGGCCCGTCGTTCTGTTTTATAATATGTCCATCTTGATCTTTTTCTGAAACTGAATACACTTCCAGTAGTACATATGCCTACTTATTTAACATAACAATCTACATCTGCACCCGATGAGTAAAGCTTTGATTTGAGATCACCATCAAGACTTCAGATCCAGGCTCTTACTTGAAGTTCATCGCGATCCGTCCATCAATTCTTGCAGCACTCAGTCATCCTACAAGTTGTCAAGGCTGTGACAAATTGGCTACCCGCCTGCAGAATGCCAATGTATCTATGCTTGACCTAGAGCCACAAGAAAAGCTTCTATGTGATCTGCTGCGAATGTAATCTGGATCTCAAGAGAAGGCTCATACAACGGACATATTTCATCACCTCAAGTTGGCTGCTAGTCAGCGTTATTCATGGATCTTCAGCACCTGAGCTGGTCACGCGCTGTTGAAGTTACTTTTTTCGATGCACATTTTTCTCGAAGGATGGAGGAAAATGCGCGCGAAGATCTATTTTCTTCCCCCAAGTTTTAACCCTTCGTCCATTGGGTACGCTGAAGGAGAATCTTTGATTTGGCATCGCAAGAATTCGAAAGACACAGAAGGATGCATACTGGACAAAGATGGTTGACCGGAGCTTTCGACATCGTTCTATTTTAACCACTTCCTTGGCTGTCAATTCCCGGACATTTGTGGCCTTTGAGTTCCCGTCAGTTCCGGTCGAACTTCAAAATAGCACCATGAAACTATAGATTCGGGCCTCGACTATCTCGGGATTCAATCTACTCTTCCTTTCAATGTTTTGGGAAGTGATGGTCGGTCCTCAGTTTTTGCCGTTTTGACTGCAATTTGATCACGACTATTGGCAAGATGACTACATACACAGCTATATTCGAGGAAAGCAAAGACTCGAACGATATGATACCGCGGGCCATGTCATATCGATACTGCTATGTACTAAGTAACATTGCTGAGGACAAGTCAAAAGTTCCGTACAGTAAGATGTTACACCAGCGCGTAAAGGCGCCTACTTTTGCACAAAATAAGCGCCTTTGGTTGTAACTGTCATGTACCTCTGTCACAATAGTATCAGAGCTGAGACTGGCAGTTAAAACTGGCCTGTTTTTCAATCTCTATCTATATCCATGGCCTACCAACAGAGTATAAACTCATTACAAATGCAACAAGATGTCGTATCTGGCGAGCAGTATCGATATGCATTGACAAATTTCGTGAGCCCAGATCTGAACAAATAGTCAAATGTTGACCGATCTACCAGCGCATAGCACACGAAAAGGTTGAGGAGCAAAGGGCCCAACTTGAGGAACAAGAAAGACAAGTTGCTCAGCTGCGCGCACGAATCGCACTGCTTGAAGGGGGTTCTGCAGGAGTCGTAGGCAAGTCGGGTAATTCAGTGGATGATTTCTCTATCAAAGTGCGCGTCTATCTTGCTCCTGTTGAACTTGAGTTATACTATTAAATTGTCAATCCTCCAGAATGCTGCTGCTCAATTGGAAAAGATGATCAATAGATGGGCCTCTGATATTGTTCGTAGTTCTCCTGTGTCGCTCATTGACCTATGTGGTGCAATCTTGAACGATCTGGCATCTACGATCACGGAGACCGCGCCTCGTTACGATGGTTCTTCCATACAAGTGCAATCATTATTGAGACACATTATATCGGAAACTGTATGTGCACATGCTCAGTCCTCGACACTAAGAATGCTCACAATTTGAATGAAGATCTCAGAAGGAATCATTAATTGTCTGGTCGTGACAAATTCACCTGAGGCGAACGATCAGCTCACTCGGATTCACGAACACATCTTTGTCAGTAAGTAATTCATACTCCCTCACCCGCCGAGGACCTCCTACCGATAAAAACGCAGGAGATCCAACTATAGCATCTGTTTGGAGAAGACAAACATACTCTGCTGCTGTTGATAGCTGTTCTCCAGACATGACGGCTAGTGTCTTGGTGGAACATATGCCAGCTCTGTTGAAGTGCATGGACGGTGCTCTCCCGACTACAGGAGGCAAATCCATCATTGATGCAGCGTATGATTTTTCTCGTATGATTCACGGCTCCCATGCACCGTCAGGAGATGCATTTTATCGTGCGTTTGTTCCTGAGTTAGGCAGCACGCTCTCCCCGCGCCAGAATGAGTTGGTGAAGCGCTGTATGAGAAGTGAGGCAGGAAACATCGACCGTGTAGGAGCCACTGTATTTCCGGGACTCGTGAAGGTGTCGAGAGGTCCTGCTATACCCGGGCAGGAGCCAGAGATGATTCAGGTATGTATGATATACTATTCGCACTGTATATCTCTCATGACCATACCCAGACTGTGGTAAGGCGAGCCCAGGTTATATGCGAATGTGCTTTGACGGGGAGTTCTATCCCTCCATCTGCTTCAATGCTTGCCTGAAGCTTGACGGAACTGACTATCATGTAATCTATCTACTCTACGGTTGTTTTATGATCAACGGACTAGCTGTATGATTGCGAACATGAAAAACGTTACACGATGAGCAATGAGGCGAGAGTTGCTTGAGCATGCACCACCTGGTCCTGCGTCAATGGGGTCCAACGGCATGCACGATGGAGACGACTCACTTCAAGGGCTTGTTCAACTTCTAGACGCTTCCTAGCAGCCTCTAACCAATCATTCAACATGACCTTAGCAGTTCCACTCAACTGATTCAGCTCCCTTGTAGCAGAATCGAGATCCTTTTCATTCAAATAGTACTCCGCCCGTGACAATACGCTCAACACATCATTACCCTCCACTAGACCATGTCTCTTGAACCGGAAGGAACTCAAGAGATGACTTGCGAGGTGTGAGAGCAAACCGGCATCTTGATCTGGCACCAATGCTACAGTGCTCACTTTGGGAGCAACGGACGTTGTGTACCATGATGCAAGGTCGGCGAAGGGCTCTACACCGATATCAGGGATCTCTGAAGTTTCTAGAGTTTCTAATGCAGCTGACACGACAGGATCTTCACGGGCAGCAGAAATGTGGCGCACTACCCGAAGCTCTTCTCGGAAAGGTTTCCGAACATGAGAGGAGAGGGCGGATGAAGAGAGTGCACGGATGGCGGACCAGAGCGCGTGAATACGAATGTTTTCATCCAGATAAGCAGAATTATCGAGCGCAACTCTTTCAATACGCTTGAGTTGAGTGGATAATTCATCAATTTTGGCAAGACGTCCACCACGCTCCTCCTCTACGCGCATTTTAATCTCGCGGATCCAGCGACGTTGGAGTTCGATGCCCTGGGCAATAACTTCGTTTTTGAGTCTCAAAGTATATTCATCAGTCTGACCAAGATTCGTTCAAAGCGTAGCAACATACCTCTCGTTGATAAGATCAGTCTGAGTTTTCAATTCCTCCTCTAATTTCTGGCGGTAAGTTTGGACGAGTTGGCTCTGACGGAGATCAAATAGTTTTCTGAATTCTTCCTCCTGGTTATCCAGTCTGTCTTGTGCTTCCATCTCGACTTCAAGAAGTTTTAGGGTGTACTCTCTGGTTTGCTCGTCCAGCATTGTCTCGAGACCTTTTCTCTCTTCTTCCTTCGCACCTTCGATTCGCTGAGCAAGTGATGACAGATCCGCCTTCGCAAGATCAAGGACGTCAGTCACACGACTTGCCGCTTCGGGGTTGCTTTTCAGGAAAGAGGCGAGGTTATCGATTGTCCCGGCTAAATGAGATATTATGGGCTCAGAAGAGGCAAGATCTGAAACAGCAGGTGCAACAAGAGGAAGGTCAACGTATTTGGGAGGAGGAGGCTCTTTTTTGGGGGTAGGAGGTCGAGAGAAGCCTGGTGGGGGCTCAAATCCAACCGGAAGGGGGGCCTCGTATACATCCGTTGTTTTGAATTCGGGTGTCGACTCGTTCTCGGTAGGAGCACCGGGAGGATTAGAACTGCTGCCAGGTTTCAAGGCAAGAGCTTCTTCCGCCTTTTTGACGAGATCACTAAGGCCCTCAATCAACTCCTCACTTTGGTGTTTGGCAATCGCCGCAGCTTTTCCAGTAACTTTATCTTCCCCCTTCTGCACATCAGTTTTAACGTGTGCTGCCACATCCTTTACTCGCTCTTTCGAAGCCGCAATGGTCCTGATGGTCGCGGCTTTAGCGTCGTGTGCGGTTTTCTCTGCCATTGTCTTGACCTCTTTGACCGTTGTTGGCGCCCCATTGACTTTCTCCGTTACGAAATCCTTCAATGAGGTTGCTGTTCGTACAGTATAGTCGATCGCAGAATGCAGTGTCATGGTATCCCAATGGTTAGCTTCACCGTATTCGAGCATAGTTTGACCAAGTGGTACATGTTCCGAGAAGAAATCATAGTAGTCAGGGTTGTTGAATGCGAGGAAAGCACTGCCAACGTAGAAGGATCCAGTAAGGGTAGCGGTAGCGAAGAATATTCTGCGCACAATCCGGGGTTTCTTTTTAGGTGTAGCTGTTGATTCTGTGGCCAGATGCTAGAACGGAAATGGTATCAGACCGTTCAAACTGGGATAAAAATGACTCGTAGAACTGACTCTTCTGGCTACTCTTCTGAATACTCCAAAACCATTTCGCCTAATGGCTGACGCGACCTGCTTCGAAGCAGAGCTGTTAGCATAGCGCATGTGTGCTGGGGTATCAATAGACCCTCTAAGTGAAGTGAGAAAACCGAGAGAGTGACTTGATATTGTGCTCAACGTCGACAACGAGCGGCAACATTCCGAATTCGTCCGTATTAGGCCCGGAATCTCACCGGGCCGGTGAACGCACCGGGTGCCTAGGTTTACAGACGTATGTGCACCAACTTTACAAGATGCAAGATGCTTAAGTTAGTGATAAATAAAGGATGCTCATAGTAATACAACATTCATTAGGGTCAATATCAGTCTCCTTCGCAAGTCTTTAACCTCTTCGCATGTGGTATATCGACGATGGGCACTGAAAACCATTCCGGAAACGCGATTTTGTCTTGTAATGTTGCTAGAACGGACGGACGGGACTCGGAGTCTCTCTCGCCCTCACCATCCTCGAGGGAGCGACGCCGCTTCATTCTGGTAACAGGAGGGGATGGGTTGAGTTTATCCACGTTTTCAGGTCCTCGAAAGTCTGCTTCATCATCCGCATTCACGTCCATATCCATATCTAACTCATCGGCATTATCTGAATCAGATTCCTCTCTCTTGGCCTTTCTTCTTTTGCGTTGTTCTAGCTTCGTCCCCTTTGCTGTCTTTTCTTGTTTTATACGTGCCTTCTCTTCTCTTGCGATACGTTGGTCACGTTTCTCCTTTTCTGCGTTGACATTCTTTGTGTTCTCCTCCAACACTCGGCAAAGGTCAACATCCAACCCTGCACCAAGAAGTGTATCGAACCAGAGCTGGAGAATATTTAGTAGGATTGAGAATAGATCAACGATTGTTGCTTACCGTTTGATTGTCTCGTGCTCTGTCACCCGGCCCTTTGACCTCTACGAACTTGCATTTGCGTTCTTCATGTTTCCATAAAATGAGATCGGGAACACCACTTGCGCGAGCAGGATAGTCATGGCAAAAAAGTTCGCAAATGACCTCCAAAGTTTCTCCACCTATGCACTGGTGGTGTTTTTACATTCAAAATGATAATCGAGGTAGAGGAAGAGAAAGATCGATATTTACCTCAACAATTTCCGCTAACTCGTCCTTTCCGCACACATCCCATCTTACACCAACACACCATGTCTTGCTTTCTCGGTAAAGTTTATCATGCCTATCCAGGATTTTGAGAGCATCTCCGTCCTTGAGTTCCTTCAATCGACTTTTGATCAACTCCTTACGAGCGTAATAGAATGAATCCTCTACAAGATCCAGAGGGGCAATTTGATATGGAGTTTCGAAGGCACCAGGAATATCTGCGAAGATAATATCCCAAAACAGTAGACCAAAAATAGTGGTGAGAATGCAGGTTTCTGAATGAAAACTGTCGGAGCAAAGCGACGGTCCAATCAACACATACTAGGACAGAAAAAAAGACGAACCCTTGAAATCCTCCATATTGCTCCTGTGCATAATGTTGAAGGGCGCGCGTCTCAACATTGCAAGTAGACGACCCATCAAGTGTCTTCCAAACGGATTTTCCAGAGGGCTGATACCTGATCAGTTCTGAGTTGCGAAAGTTTTATACACAGCGACTTACGGGCTTTAAAACGGGCTCTTCAACTTCCTCGGACTCATCAGATGCATACGCGAAGCCATCTCGTACCAGCCAATTTGTGATGATACCCTCTTTTGCTCTGGCCTTCCACCTTGGTGCCGATCTCTCGCCAGTCCATGTGGCATTTTGCGCCCTATGCGCAAAGACACAAATGTCATTTGCGTCCTGCAGCTGGACGTCATAGGTATGTCGGTCGTCGACAGAGACCTTCATTCTTGATTCGACTTTCGTGAGGCGTTTCACTAGGGACTTGTGATATACTATTGGAGGAATGCCATTAAACAATAACTCTGGACACAAGGATAGTACAAACCACGATGAGTGTCCGTATCCTCCATGGCCTCATACAAGCCTTCTCTCAACTCAATTGACAGATTGTATGTTTTATCGAGCAGATGTTGTTTGCTCCATCCGTTCCGCTCTGCCCTTGACCTATACAACTTCGGAAGGTGATGATCTTGAACCAGTGCACGCCTCTCATACCACTTCCCTCGTTTGGCTTGACGCCAGAACTTTTGTGCCAACAGTGATTGAAGGACTTCGAGCTCTTTTTCGTATTTGTGGAGTAGAGCATAGGCTTCCGTCACCTTCCAAATAAGGCGAGCGAGGACATAGCCTACAAGGAGAAGGAATCAATAACATGTCACAAAAAAAACAGAATCTGCTCACCTTGTTCGAATCGCTGTAAAGATGGTTCCCTGCTTTCTTCAAACTTGTCATTTGTAACAGAAATGCAGAAGTCCCACTTAGATTTGAGAACTGCGTCGTAGATTGCAACAACCCTTGCCGCTGCCGTACATTTTTCTAGGCTTGCCTTCGGCTGACTGTCCTGATCGTCTTCGTCGAATTCGAGCCGGAATTCGGGACCAAGGATCGTCGACAGATCTACCATCTCAAAATCGTATTCCGGTTTTACCGTAACCTCGTTCCCCTGTCGATCTTGTTCCATTTTGACTGCGCCATTGATCGACTCTTTGACCAACTTTGTCTGTGAAGAAGTAGGCATCCGGAACTGAGTATTTGAACCAACGGGAATAATTGATCCTTTAGGTTTAACGATAGTATCCTCCAAAATCGAATCAAAGATCGCTTGAAGTTTGAGACCTTCTTCGTAATCGAGGTATGCATCCCGTGTGGGCCAGATTGTGCTGCGTGCCGAAGTGACCGCAGGGTACACACGTTTTTTAAAAACTGTGAGGAAGGAATTGAGGAAGACCGTTTCGGGAATCGAAGTACTGTAGAAGATGAAAGATGAAGGCCCCGTGGGAAATCGAGGATTGAAGACGTTGTAAACGCACCTGCGGTAAAAGATTATGTCAAGCCGTTGAAGCAGATTGTGGAATTCGGGATTCACTCGAAGACACGATCCTGTATTAGAATTCAGCACACAGACGTTCATGAATGTTATAATGCCACAGATACCAAGTTTCTGCACCGCCATGTGCTGTAATCTCGCTTCCTGGGTGATCGAGGACGAAGCACCTGGACAGAAACTCAGCTGTGTTTGACGAGGTGAACGTTGCTTGGCATGAGGTCGCATCATTGTGGATAGATTGCCTTGGGAGTGAGCATGCCTTTTCAGAGCTTGGATCAATCCATCCTTCTAATTGACGGATTGGCTATTAGGGATTGGCAGTCAGGATAAACAAAACTCACCGTGCTCAATCTTGCCTTCACTTTGCAGTCCTTGACTAGACTTTTTACTTCGTCGACTGAGAGCCTAGCAAGGGCTTCATCGAGGGTCATGTGAGCCTCGTCTTCGCAGAGATATGAAAGACTTCGGAGTTCTGACGGCGACGAGGAAGGGATGTGCAAGCTGGGACAAGTCTTGGGTTCATCATCCAAGTCCTCTGTCAAGTCAATTACTTCACGCTCCACCTTTACCCCTTGAATATCCACTTCTGTCTTCATTTCCGCCTTCACTTCCATCTTCACTTCCACCTTCACTTCCTCTTTCACACTCACTCCGTCGCTATGTTTGATTATTTCCGACACAGGCATACACAGTTCCTTAACGGCAATGTTGATGCCACATTCGCCAACCTCTGACACATATTTGCTCAGAGATCTCCGGGTATGCCATCCGGGTTTTCGACATCCAAGTCGAATAAGAATATACCTTGAAGGGTCTGAAGCTTCCTTGAATTTCGTTCAGAAGCAGAGGGTATGTTGAACGTACATTCGAGTCTTCGGAAAGCAACGAGCGCGTTCTCCTCCTCTTTGCTCAAAAGATTTGATTCAAAGTCGTAAATCTGGTTCGCAATATCTACATAAAAGTACATTTCAATATGAGACTACGGGAAGCTTAGCCATAGTACGAACCTTCAAACACTGATACATAGGGCGACTGCTCATTCCGAGATTGAAACCGGGGTACCTCAGGCTTCCTGCCTGCCTTGATAGGCGGTCCGTCTATAAGATTCGCTAGTTCATCTGCGGTTTCAACTATTCTTTGAGTACCGAACACGAATTGGGTGGAAGCATTGTTCATTGAATGATGATTATGGTGTCGCAGACAGGCGTCGAAGCCTGTTTGAACGTCTTGTTGAAGCGATCAAGAAGATAGTTTTAGGAAAGCGTTGATTCTTGAGTCACGGTGTGCAACGGGTACCGTGACACCAACGAATCGTGACCGCAATACTTGCACATCAGTTCAGATCAGTTCTCTATTCGGTGTTCCAGTCACTTGATGCTCTGAACTCCTCTACTGACAACGCTTTGGCTAATTGGGACGACTCTATTCGCGTGACTCGCCCACAGATACTTCAGACTGAGCAGGGGAAACCAAAGAGACATATTTTCCCCTGCCTTCTCGCTAGCAAGGTATGTAAGGTAGTAAACTCCGCGCAACGCAAACGCAAATGTGTTCGAAGTCAAACTGACGTCGGCTCCATACGATTTGCAGTTCTGCATTGCCGACGTACGATCTGTAACGATAGGTAACGATGTTTGTGCAGAAATTTGACGCTCATCCCCAACATCCCTCTGCTTCACTTCATATCACGTAGTATCACGTATCAAAAAGAAACTCAAATTACACTTGACACATAGCTCTCAATGGCGTCCGTCCGAACATCTCTAACGCGCAGCACTAATCGATCGAGTGCCGAGTGCCATTCGTAAACTCCAAGGATCTCTTAGACCCCTTTCCACCCTCCTCGATTACTATCTTCAAAAATTGTATTTCTCCAATATCCATCGTATCCGAATCACTATCAAATGAAGCTACGTTTCGAGCTAATATGCTATGGGATTTCCATGCTATGGTGGAACATTGGATTTGGAGAATGCAAGCTTCTGGATGGTCTCGTTGTGTCTCGCAGCACCATGGCACATCAAGGCTAGTTTTTCAACGAGTCTGACACGAATTAAAATGTGAACGTTATTCATTTTCATACTGATTTCTGTTTTCCGGGGAGGATTTTGATATGTAGGTGTGGACTCAAGTTCAAGAGCAGGAGGGAACAGAGTGTCCGCCAGTCTTTATATGGTCGGTTTTGTTCGAAATCAAAGACCCTTCAATGGGCGTTCCGCTGGATCTTTCAGAGGACATCATGATTTTTACCATGCGTGACCGAGCTTACCAAGTTTACCAAAATTTACCGTCATAAGATCATCGAGGCTGTCCATTTTTCCACCAGGTTCAGATCTATCTATCGATTTTCACTTCACGAATGTATGCGGTGTTCTCTGCAATTGATTGACTGCCCATCGACTTGAAGTGACATTTTTGCGTTTGTCTGATTGTAACAGCTGATTCCCGTCGCTACTCACAAGGATAATGGCGAGGGAAAGTTTAAAAACTAGATAAAGCAAAAAACGCTATGCTACAATGTGTTTGAGCGAGCGATCGGCAAGGCTGCTGACCTCGTGTGTTTCGTGTCCAAAAGGGAACGAAAGCCCTTCTGCTTCCGGGCGTTTCAAGTTCTTGTTGACAAGTGCACTTGTGCCTCCATCAAATGATCCTAAGTGTCACAACCTCGAGCTATAGCTGCCCAAATTCTTCTCTTCCTTGATGTCTTACTATCACCATTAGCTTGTGATGAAAGTGTAAATCTGGTTGCTCTCTGTTTACCTACCTTTTTTTGAAAGAGGTGCGTTTGTCCTGCTGTTGTGCGTTCAAGTTATATGAACTTTGTTCTTGTCAGTTTAAACCAAACTTGACTGTTCGTAAGCAGGCAAAGGCTACTTGATCTCAACTCTGTTCATAGCGGTTAACATTTGATGTAGAATTGAGGCTTTGAGATGGCCGTAATGACCAGTCAGATGCCTCCACCATTAGACGGCTCATCTGATTCAATATCTCATTCCTCTGTACGAAACCGACGCAATCTGAGGAGCTTGATTGCCAATTCGGCTTCACGAACCAAGTCCCTTCCCCCTGGCGTACAGAGGAATACTCTTCCTACCGGTGCTGTAGCACGACCGCCTGTACTGCCTCTATCATCAGCCCAGGCAGATTCTTCTCAATCGCAAACATTTTCAGCGTCTCAGACTCGACCAAAATCAACTTCTGTCTCTGTCACATCATCTGCTCGGCCAAGTCCGCGATTCCACGTTACCAATCCAACAGAACTACCTCCATCAACAAATCCCAACAAAGTCTCAGCAGCGAAGTCGCATGAATTGAACAGGCCATTACCTGCACCCGTATTCAGCACAGGTTCGGGTTCGGAGGGCAACGTTGCCCGAAAACAATCCGGTCCCCCTTCGCCTCCGCGTATCAATACAACAGGCCTACACCTACAATCACCACCTTTATCTGCTGCCAGTAACTGCAGTCCATTTCCGTCAGAGTCTAACTCCACGGCGTCTTCAACATCTTCCTCCACTTCTTTCACTCCGAAACGCATGTCAAAAGTGATCCTTCCAATTGGGCCTACGCATGTACCTGCACCCCTTCCATTACACGACGCCTCGTTTCACAACGAAAGAACAACCCCAGTATCTGCCTTATCTTCACCATCGGGTGGTACGAGATCAGTTGTTCGACCTCTCCCTCCCCCTCCTTCATTGCCCAAACTTGTGGGGGCCTCATTAGCAGGACCACGACCTCGTTCTTCTTCTCGTGGAGCTTCGTCGAAAGTTCGTTCACGCACTAATTCAGCCGTCGGTCGAGGAGATGTTATTTCTCGACCTCAGCTTTCTTTTGACCCTACATCAAGCTCGTACGTCATCAAAACGGCTAACGAGGTTAATGGTCAATTTTCCACTATAGCCAGCGGTGTGGAGTCGATTAAGAGTGGTAGTCGAAGTCGAAGTGCTCGCATGCATACACACAATAGATCACACAGTGCGCAGACCAAAAACTTTTCTTCCATGATTCTGCACGATGTCAGAGACATTCGGGATACATCCTCGTCGGTATCTAGTTCAAACGACCATTCTGTTGTGACTAGGAAAAGCAAACAAGTCGTACGGTCTGCCCCTTGCTCAGATACGGAAGAAGGCTCCTCTTTGTCCAAATCGGTTAGGACACGACAAAAGCTTGTGCTGCACAATCCAAGCTCCTCCATGACTGTTCGTTCAGCTCCAACCTCGGATACAGAAGACTCCCCTACCTACGAATTGACTTCTTCTCCTCTACTCTTGCCTCCCACAGGCTCTATCAAGGATATGCTGCCGAAGCCTCTCACAATCCGGACTGACAATATACTTCAACCACTGTCCACCAGACCCGCTTTCCTTTCAACCCAAAGTAATCCTATTGAGCCACTTACGATTGCTCGGCGTATTTCACCTCCCAATCTAGCGCAAGGATCTACCTTTAAATTGACCTCACCACCTCTTCCATCTTTGACTGAAGATATTGGTTACGCTGATGCAGGTTTTGTTGACGATTCCCGGGTCTACGCTGATGATGGGTTTGATGGACCAGGTGGTCTCGGTGCATTCAGCACCTCTGTAGATCCAGATGTCGATCTGGACATTGGGGAAATGGTATTCAACTCACGTCCACCATCAGGCGAGTTCATGGGTCCTTCCGTCATGGATTTGGACATGGATGCTCGTGGCAGACACGCTTCGAGACCAACCCCAGTCCCTCGCTGGAAATCTGCAGATTCTCATGCGACGAACGCTGATTTGCAGAGGGACGAACATGGGAAACATGCGGATACAAAGAGCAGACACAATGCTTCTCGTGGGAGTCGTAGCGCCAGTCAAGCGGTGATAATGTCGAGCTTCAAGGCACATGTTCATGTGCACCCTGTTCATGAGTTAGAGCTTGGTCCCAGTCCTATCAATATGGATTTGGAGCCTGAGATGGTTTTTTCGAAGAATCCAAGGTCATTTACACCGTTAGGGTCTGTTCCCGGGGTATTGGACATGGGCGAGCGCAGGTATATTCGCGGAAAATGGAGATCACCGAGCCCTGTTACACCGACTGGGGCCGTCCCCCCGCGAAATCCAGCAGCTGGACAATTTGCACCCGTGAGGGCGAGAGGGTTTTATGAAGACTGGTAGCACTAGCATTCTGTAGCGATTATCTCATCGTTTTTTGATTTTGTATCTGTACATATATGTATATATCCATATTTCTTGTTTTGCATTTTGCTGGGAAGGTGACTAGCGCTCTAGTGAACATATACTTACATACTTTGTAAAAAAAAAACTTACGAAGTACATAGACAATTGTTCTCTCTATAGGTATGGTCTGAGTCTATCGGACACTCAAACCACTCAGACCAAAATCTGGCTTAGCACCTGAATCATTCACCCCGACACTGTTGAAAGGATCCCGAACACTGCCCGTACGTGCACGCCACAGTTGAGTATAAAGGGTCTTGATCTTTTGTAGCTCAGTATCAAGCGCGGCTGTCTTCGAAGCAAGGGCGAGGAAAGTTGAATGTTGTGCTTGCAACGTGGTCGTTATACCTACGAAGAGACGAACGCTCGTCAAACTCAAGACTTGGATGTAAAAAGAGTAGTAAACGTACCTTGTGGAGTGATATGTGTCTGGTTTGACATGGATGATAGTTTACGCTCAATTTGCTATGGGGGGAGAATGAACACGCAATGATTCTGAGTTAGATGTCATCGTACCTCGATCGTTGCTCTATACCAGACAAGCCGTTCACGTATTTGATTCGTAACTCGAGTGAAGAACCTGCAAACTATTAAGCATTTCATGTTTGTGAAAGAAGCAAAGCTCACTCAAGGGGAAATGAGGCGTGGTCTTTCAGATAGGCACCGTTCATTTGAGAATTCTTGAATCCATCTACTATTCGTGTGGATATAATAGTATCATGTACAGCCTGATCTGCTTTCGCTTTCAAGTCCCTGACGACATGGAGGTCGTTTCGAATCGTTGATGCAGTCTGGTTGAGATCCTACACTCATGTTATTCAGAGAAATGAATACTGGAAAACGATGCACGCACTTTTTGCACCACTCGAATTAGCTCTTGGCCTGTCGTTGCCTCCTCACCAAGTTTCTTCTGCCGAAGATCCTTGCTTATCTGAATTCGCCCTTGAATATGGGAGCTAGGGATGAAATTCGCTGAGAAATTCTTGTTTTTTCTAAATTAACATACTCGATCTCCTCGAAGGTCTTCTTGAGCCCTTCCGATAAGTCGTTGAATTTAGTGGTCCTCGAAAATGGAGGGGGACCTGAAGGCTGCTGGACAGCAGGCGCACCGAAGTTAGACCTAGTAAATGTTCAGAAGATTGATGTACTTTCGTATGTGAAACTTACTGTTGTAGAGGCTGACCAAGTTTTTGACCAAACAATGTCGAACCTCCTCCACCTCCAAATCCTCCTGGGAATTCAATCGGATATCAGGACGATTATTTTGAGCATGAAAACGCACCACCTCCGCCAAAAGTACTAGTCCCTTGTTGCTGCTGTTGTGCAGGTTGTCCAAATAAGCTTGTACCTCCAGCCGATTGTGTTGCTTGGGCTGGTTGACCGAATATGCTCGCTCCAGGGGCCGGCTGCTGGGTCGATTGTCCGAATATACTCGTATTAGCGGCAGGTTGTTGCGTAGATTGTCCAAAGAGGTTACCACCAACACCCGTCGAAGGTTGCTGCGTCGATTGCCCAAAAATGTTCGTACTCCCAGCGGCTGGTTGTTGAGCAGGTTGCCCGAACAGATTACCAGTTGGCTGAACAGCGGGCTGACCGAACAGACTTGTCCCTGTTGCTGCTGGCTGCTGTTGAGTCGATTGTCCGAATAGACTGGATCCTGCCGCAGGTTTTTGAGCGGGTTGCCCAAAGATGCTTCCTCCTGCAGCGGGTTGCCCAAATATACTTCCTCCGGTAGCTGGCTGCTGCTGAGTCTGGCCGAATAGACTACCGGCAGGTTGCTGCTGCTGCTGATTTTGTTGGCCAAACGCATTACTGCCACCAAATGAACTATTTGCGGTTGAAGTGTTAGTTTGTGGCTGGGATGACCCAAAGATAGAGTTTCCAGTAGTATTAGGTTGACCAAATAATGAGCTCCCTGTGGCTGGTGGATTGTTTGGCTTTGCGCCAAAAATTGAAGCACTACTGGAACAAATTAATTGAGCTGATTAGGTTCAAATATAGGGCAGTACTTGTTGGTAAAAGCCATCCTGACAGCAACTTTAAGATGTACTGCTTCAGTGCTTGGGTTAAATTTGGAGAGTACCCGTGAGAAATCGCGTCAACGCTCCTCAACTGCCGCCGTTCAATACATGCAGGTCCAATATCGCGTTGTTGTTTTTTCTACTTGATTAACTACCATGCTCATACCCGTGACATTCGATCGACATCCATCGACATCCTCTTTGCAAAAGCTACCACCATCACTCCTAAAGATATCTCATGATGAAGTGGTCTTGCTAGACCTCCAAGGGGCACTCGAAGTTGACTCCTCACATCCTAATGAACGTGATGGCAAATTCATTGGAACTCTGACTATCGATGATGACATGGTGAGCGCAAGCTGTTTGGTATATCTATGAGGTTCGCTGATTGCTGCATGGCAGAAACGGTCAACTCTTCGAATTGGGCATCATCTCATTGAAGGAAAGCTCGTCAATTTACCAAAACCATTGGCTGTGCTTCATCGATCACCAGCACCAGTGCGCATATCTGATTCCCGGTGGACTGGCGAGGACAGTGGAGGGGATGAGGATGTGGTAATGGACGATCGTGAGGAAAGAATAGTTGATTTTGAATCAAGCTCGACTTCCCCCCCAGTACAATGGAACACATTGGCGATCGTTAAACGTAAAATTATATTTGCGAAACGACCAACGCCACTCGCAGGAAGACTAAATTGAAATTGGGCCAGGTTGCTGGAGAGACGAAGTCTTCTCAAACTCATATCAATCAAGCTCAATCGAGATACGAAAGACCATTTATTTTCATGTATTGTAGAATACGTGGAGAGTATGAGTAACAGAGGCGAAGAACATACGAATTCAAGGCAGCGAGAGAAGAATGCAAACTATGGGTAACTGGTACAATGGGACGACGATATCCGATCACGAAGATATTTGGGCTTTTTCCATGATTTGGTCTATAGGTATACTGAATGAATCAGAATGATATCAGAGAAAGTAAATAGAAAGGGCAATGTCGGTGACTCACCATGTATGGAATTTCAGCCAGTCGCGTTGTTATGCGAATACAAGACGAACAAGATCGTTGACGGTGCAACACTGAGTAGGTTTTTATGATACAAGTACGCAGCGGGTGCATACATTCTGTACGATGATGATACACCCAAGAGAAGAGACAATACAGGAAATGATAGTTGGTGCAAATGAAAGTGGAGAGATCCTGCAAGCTTTGCGGAAGCTCAAGAAAGCACATCAGTTGAAGCCATCAAAATGGCCCTTTAGGATTCTTTCGCCCATTGGAGAAGGAGCACGGTGTGGACGGGCTGAAGAGGTAGTAGTTGCGCGTCTATGTTTTGTGTCGCGAGGGTATGGAAGGTTTGGAGCTGTTGGGCTCACAGCAGTGTTGGGAGGTGCTTCAGGAATAAATTGAGGTGTACCAGCGAGATGCTACGAAACAATTGTTTTTTAGAAAAGCTTTAGTGACAGAATCGAGCGTTTAGCCAACCTTGCCAAAAGCAGGAGCGCCGGTGCTGAGGGAAAGACGCCTCAAAAGACCAGCACCTCGCTCCACGTGAGATTCAGGTAGTCCAGAAGTGTTGTTAGGCTGGCTGAAACGATCGGCAACGGTCATACTGGCTCTACGAGCATGGTGCGCAGCAGGAGGCATTGATTGTTGATTGCTTTCATCTTCTACAAAAGAGGTTGAATATAGTTGCTGAGAAATAACACGATACTGGACATACCTTCGAACACGGGCGCGGGACCGAATTTACGGAAAGGTAAAGTAGCACTGGTCTGTGTTTTTGTGGGTGATTGGGCAAGAAAGTACGAGAGAATCGGCGAGCTTCCGGGAGAAGGAACTGTGATGCGAGGACTAAGCCCGGATAGTGGCGTTGTCAGTTCTGAGGTGGGACTCATAGAGCTCGATGACCCAGATGACACGGAGGCAGAACGACCTCTGCGATTGAAGGCGGGGTTGACGATTGGAATTGGGCTAGACCGCCTGATGCTACCATCAGTTGAAGAAGATTTATTGGACATGATTTCTGAAGGAAAGAGATATATTCGTTAAGTATTCAGGTGCAGTGGTGGAAGAGATAGAGAAGGAGCAATCTGGGGGTCAGACGACTTTATATATCAGGATTGTGGGGCGCTGACTCGCCGCTGAATATTTAAATTTGGATCTAGATCTTTGATCTGTAAACGTCTAGTTGTATTACGTAATCCTTGACCTCTTCTATGACTCTCCCAGGCCCAAAGTCGCAGTTCGAGTTCCTGGTGCTGGACCTCTAATTCCATACGTCTAATGATACATTTTCTGTGGCTTCAACAAGGTGATTTCAAAACCTTCTAGTCTTAGGCCAAGTATCGATAATTCATCTTCTCAGACGCGCTCTACTAGCCAAATTTCTTTGACCTCTCCTCATTCACGCAATTATCAAGCCTTCATGTCCAATGCTACAAAATCACAACACTGGAATCCAACTTCTGAACATAACAACGCCAAAAATTAATCTCGCCGTTGATTTCTACCAAATCACGAGGAAGATTTTAGAATCTTTTGATGGTTTACCCCAGAAAAAGTAAGCAAGTACACACAAGTCTAAATGCTTCTCCGATCTATCATCTGCTGGTCTCCACTGGCCTTCCTCTTTGCGCCAAGTCCCGTGCGAGTATTCACTTGTATGGGAACTCACAATGAGACCTCTACAGTGCCGCGGCGATCCCTCCCTTGTAGATTTCATGGCAAACTAGAGGTACCTCAGGCTACAGCCTTCGAAGCTACATAGACGACCCGAGACAATCCAAGACTCTTTTAGAACTAGCCACAATACTGGTCATGCGTGATCACATCATCACTCATCATCAGCCTTGTAAGTTACGTCTGAGTGTACTGGTCACGGTCGAATGCACCCCATTGCTGACTGGAATTTGATCCTTAGTAGTCACGACGGATATCGGGATGGTAACATGCTTGCCAAAAAATGATGACATGTTTTTGATACGTTCTGGAAAAGCAGCTTTTCGGTGGCAGAGAAGATGCGCCGTTGAATTGGACACTATTGGCGCTACCAAACTCTCTCACATCGTAAGAATGCGAGAGATTCTAGATTCGTAATGCGCCGTCTGGAAGGCAGGATTGGACAAGAAATTTCGACTGGTGTGTTGTAGACGTGTACCTTGTTTTCTCAGTGAATTCCTTCGCCGCCGGTATTGCTTCTTCAGCAGCCATGAGGAAATAGAATTAGCTGAGAAATCAAGCCTTTGATTAGCTGTAAGCGGTAGGCAGTCTTGTCAATGTTCAAACTTTCAAGGCAGGCTCTTAGTCCTAACTCTCTCAAATTTATGCAGTCCTCCGTCAGCATCGTCCTCGTGAAACTGCTTCTATCTCTCTATCTCAGCGCCTCCTAAACATATACCGTAACGCATACAAGTGTTGTATCTGATCAGTTCCACAGTTGGGTACTTAGCATAGAACCTTTGGTCAGATCTATCAATAACCCACCGCCAAGCTTTGATGTAAATGGATATAGCCGCAGTGCTGCTCGCTGGTGCAACGATACTCAGAAGTATTTGTGTACAGGGTATGTATGGTAGGAGGCAAGGTATGTAGTGGGAATTCTTCAGCGGATTAGTATTCCAGATCATAGTGATTATGCACTTTCCATCCGACATCATTGGAATAACTGCCACTGAAAATGTCTAGCTAGCACTAAAAGTGAAAAGTGGTAAGATGAGATTGGGCAAGAAAGTATTGTATTCCGACTTAGCCCCCCGCAACAGCCCCCAACTGTTATAGAATATATCGTAGTACCAATCACTGTGGGGATGAGCCGATTTCCTCGAGGCGAAAATGTGGGTTTTATCTCGAGGTTATGTACAAAAATATGGCAGCAGATATTTTGAAGGAATTGAGCTGAGGTTATGGTAAAATTATGAAAAGATAATTTAAAATAAGCACGGCCCCCCGCCAAATTCACGATAGCTTCACAATAATCGCCACACGAAAAGTTTTAAAATTCGTGCCCAGGATTTTTGATGAATTTTGGTAAAAATCCTTGCATTTTCTCTAGATTTTCACCGCGAAGACATTGGCTCATCCCCACAGTGAATGCTTATTCAAATCATCTTCCGAACTCGACCATAGGCTATCGGATACTTCGAGTGATACACTTATACAGATGATCGCATCTTCTTGGATGCATATGTACATACTGAAAAAAAAAATAATACATGCTAGAATGTAGAACTCAGCGACAGCGTCATTATACCAAGGGTAGAGTTTTTATTATGGACCAATTGAAGGGTCCTTCGAGCATTATCACTTTCTGTGCAATAAGAGACTTGGCATGCTCCTCAATCTTGAGCAACTTGACGTAAACATCCTCTCTAAATTTCTTCGTATGAGAAGGATTCTGGCACCAGATCTTCTGCATAGTTGGAACTGATATCCGAATTTTTTCCAAGACATCCATCACAAGCGAGGTAGGTGCATCTGCGGTCTCCATGAAATTGTATGCGCAATTGAGATACCCTTGGTAGGAGTTATAGACTGTATTAGTAGATATGCAAGACAAAGAATGAATTACTACAACTTACAGGGATGATTCTCATCGTCTTCGGGTAAACAAGCTGCAGCTAGAATGTAGAGTTCCATGGCAGATGTATAGTGTTTCCTAACAGTCTCGACCTTTTGATCTTTACCGAAGTTGCCCAACATATTGTGATACAATGCCTTGGAACTACGAAGGTTTTGGTGTGCGATAGGAAATAAATTTTCAATTGAATAACATACGCAAATGCATTTCCTTTGATATTTCCGAAAAATGACAGGTTGAATCCTGGGTCAGAATGGTCGAAATCGTTGGGGTCATACGGATTCTTCTCCAGATCTTGCAGTAATGCGTCGGCTTCTTCAAATATGGTTTCGAGAAGTTCCAAATTCTCTATGCCAACACGGGCAGAGGCCTAGAAAGAATTTATTAATACTTAGTATGAAATCAAACATTGGATAATACTTACCCCCATGAGTGTGTCTAGATACATATTCCAAACACCTCGACGAAAGCTCAAATCAAATATCACACCTCGTTCAGCCTTAGGAACATCTTTCCAAACTTTTCGCCCCCAGTTTATCATGTTCAACGCATTTCTGTGAAATTCGACTCCGAGCTGAAAATTATTACCCACTCGAGATATGACAAAGCCGGCTATAATCCAATGTCTGCAAAACGAGAAATAAGTAAAGGGATTTATCAGCTACATTTGGCGCACAACGATGTACCTGACGATGTGAGTTAGAGCCGGGCGAACACTATCCCATCCCTCTTTTCTCAAACGCTTCATGACTTCCCCTTGAAGAATTTCCGGACCAATGTCTGGCGACCACGCTTTGAAATGATTTGCCTCAAACCTAACTTGATGATAACGTGAGCAAACTGGAACAATACGGTAACAATCAGGCTACCTTGGTCGTTCAGTTTCATTAAAAAATCACTTTCTTGAACACGGAACACCCTCGAGTCTCTCAAAAGTGCATTACTCATGTCCTGAAGAACCTATCTTCCTCGTTAATCGTTGAACAATATATCAATAAATGAGCCACACCCCCAATCTGGCTTTGACGGTTTGTAAATTCTCGGAGGTGCCTACTCGCGTCATTTCTTTCAGTTTTCCGGAGGCTTCCATAAAGTCCTTATACAGGATGCATAACCTTGAAGCAATCGCCCAATGTTGAATGACAATATACACACCTTATTAGCAAAGAAAATTGACCAAGCACTCTTTAAAAATGAATCAACATCATATAGAGAGACTGTGAGGCAAAGAACATACGCTCCGGGAGACAACACTCGATTTAGACAGGATGTTCTCAGCAGCTTGCCAGGGCAAAAGGCCAGAATCTATTTTAACCTCGATTCCGTTCTCTGGCCTGCCAGTCCATGGTACCACGGCTTTGCGCGCACGCGCCAAGTTAACCTCACATTCTTTTTTCAGCTCGATTGGAGGCGTAGGAAGTTCAGATAACACTTTGATTGTTTTCTCATACATTGTGACGCTCTGAGCGTACTGACCTATGCCCTACACGATTCAACGCAAGCGATGAGGGGTTTACCGCTGGTTATAAAAACTGAAGGATCTACCTCCAAAGCAGATGCAAGTCTGAACCACCCTTTCGTCGATAAGTTGGATCGATTTCCGTCGCCTGCCAACATATTCATTGAATAAAAAGTAGTGGCGAGGGAGAATTAGAGTCGATCACCTTCCGTGCGTCTTCCAGAGCATCCATATACCTCAAAGAGATATTATTCGATCATTTGTCACGATTAGCAAAGAGATCCAAACGTACTGGCTCATTGCTATTCGACAAGCTGCTCGATTTGCGTACAGAATTGGGTTATCATCAACACCCAGAAGAATACCCTCTGAATATTTAGCGCAAGCTTCAAAATACTTTTTCTGCACAAAGAAGGCATTTCCCTCCGTTTTGAGCTTTTGAATCTCGTCTGTCATTGTTGTCTGTATTGGATGAGAGTTGACACGATAGAAATTTTGAAGGAAGCCACGAGGTGGAACATATTGATGGCCAATCAACTGAGTGACCATGTCGAACGTATACACTTCGACGATCGAAGGTACTGAAGCACCGAACGTTAAGACAACGAAACATTGCAAGAACAAGATTTCGGAGAGGTTTATTCCAGTTTTTTTTCTTTATGTTGTATAGCGTAAGCAATGAGTGTGAAGTCTGGACAGTAAGATATTGCCTTAAAATGAAAGAATAGTTCTGATGCTCGAATGTAAATATACTATGGAAAAAGGAATGAGGATGGTATAAGTAGAATCCATATGAATATCAGTTTTGTGAAGCTAATGATACAGGGAGCAGAAGAGAGTACAGGCACACTGATCACCGAGGAATAACAAAATGGAAATATCCGTTCACCCCATGAACGCCATTTCCGTCATTCTTCTGGTCTCCTCGTCTTCAATATGACTAGCCTCGAGCAGAATACTACCCCGACTGTGGATCTTAGGACTGAGTGCCTGCCGGGGTACCGGTACTGGCACTGTATGTGAAAGAGAATCCTTCGACTTCACACTCTGGGTGGACATCGAAGAGTTGATACTTTGACCGGCCAGAGAAGCGGGTACTGTCGGAGAGGGGGGAAGATTCATTCCGTCGAATTTGAACGAGGTCGGTTTTTTGAAAGAGCTAGGCTTCCGAGATAAAGTGCTAACAACCGATTGTCGAAAATTGGCTAAAGAGTTCGACCTGCTCATCTTGCCACCTGCTTGTTTGTCCGAGGAAATCTTGGGAGACAGTGTACTCCCTTTATCCGAAGGGGGCTTGCGCTTCTCATTCGGTGAGTGCAGGTCCACTCGAAGCAAAGGAGCACCCGTATGATTTGTTTCCTCCTCCGGTATATCATTGATTGGATTATCATCCATTGAATTTACTAGTGTGTGTCCCTCTATAGGGCTTTCGACAATGACCGGCACGCTTGGTTCGTTTGCCCAAGTTTTCACCAGCGGAACGGGTTTAGACTTGTGTACAGCATGACTGAGAGATGATTCTGAGGTTAGCTGTGAGGACGTGTCGAGTGAGGGTGTGGCGATTGATCCAGATTCGTCCGAATCAGAACAGCTGTTGATGACAACAGAGGGACGAGTCGGACGACTATCGCTCTGCGATTTCGGAGAGGCTTGCGCACCTTCTTCGGAATGTTTGTCTGTAGATGACGGGGGTGGCGAAAGGGCACGAGGTGGCGTTGGGGATAGACCTGACGGGGCCGAACTAAGATGCAGATCGACTTCATCCGGTGATGTATGCGAGATATTTGCAGGGCTTAAAGAAAGCGGAGATGTCTCTCGAGACAAAATTTCTACCGAGTCAAATATATCTTCAAGAGGCGAAGGAGGCAAGGGAATAGATTCTGGGTCTACGGGGGTGGGAGGCAGCTCGCGAGTCGGAGGTGCTTTTGGTTGAGCAAGATGAGCACGAGACGAAGATTTTCTAATTGATGGAGGTGGTTTCGGAGAAGATGGCGGAGTTGAGCCCTCCCGAACAGCTATCAAATCTAGGGATCCATTGGCAGGATCCGACTTAAGCGGTTGGTCAACATTTTTCGAAGCAGAGCTAGGCGACCACTTAGAGTCTGCTGGGTCATTTGACTGAATCTTAACCTCCCAAGCTTGCTTGATCCGTTCCGCTTCACTTGGACCATCAGCGTATGCCGCTTGTGGGATTGGAGACAGCGGTAATAGATTATCCTGCTCACGTTCCAGGGCACTCATATCTTTGGGTGGAAGGAGACCTCTCTCACGGAGAGCGGCTTCGCGAAGCTGTCTAGAGTGAGCTGAAGGGACAGGAACCCGAGAGCTATGTTGTAGACTTTGCGAAGAAGGTTTCCTGAAGGTAGTAGAGAGCCGCTTTGCAATTTTGGTCGAGCGAGGTAAACGACTAGGGTGCATATGAGCAGAAGTAAATAGTGCGGACGTAATGAAATCTTACTCAGTGTTTAATTGCGCAACGTTCTTCCGTTCGACAGGTGTTGCAGGCTCGAGTTGCACACTCCTACAATATAAAGATTTGAGATGAGAGTCTTGGGCAGAATAGGCGTAAGAGACTTACTTAGAAACTAGATTTTCTGAATCGACTTTTTCGTTCACCTCCGGAACATCAGACGAAGTTCCCAAGGCACTTTCACGAATGTCGATTTTCGAGCTGGATCTTGACAAGAGCCCAGTGATAAATGAGATTTTTCCCTTCATCGAAAAGGACTTGAGAGAGGATGGATTAGATTTCGTCGAATTGATGCCCTTCCCTTCGTTGAAAAAAGCAGGCCGAGGAGGACTCGTATCATGAGCGAGCATTGCAGTCGTCGTGAGTGAGCAGAGGGTTTCTGCGGATGAATGCGCAACCGGTGGGGATGTCAACACAAGCTGAAAATGTGCGAATTATAGAGTTCGACAGTAGATGCTAGCTAGGGTATAGGATGTATATCAGGCGCGACGTGAACAGCGAACAACTCGCTGTTGAGAACAGCGTTGAAAGGAAGAGAAGAAAGAAGGGAAACCTCTATGCATCTTCTGGAGCTTTTATACACACACATATTCATTCGCTACACGGTCGGGTTTCGGCGGAAAGCACTGAAATTCTGTTCCAGAGTGATCTGGGGAAATTGGGAGTTGCCGCGTGACCTTTTTGATGCGAAGCAGTTGAAATTTCAGATCGAGATCTCTGTTTATTTCCCCATTCATCGAAATCCACCATATGTGTATAACTCTGCCAGGTTGACATACTCTATGGCATATACCAGGCAGGGCCCAGGGCCTACCACTACAATCATGAGACCATTGAGCTTCAGAGCTTCAAGCTTCATCGCTCAAAGGAATGACCGTTCTCATACTTTCGCTCTCCCTTTTGAGCATCTTAAGAGTCAACTTCGACCGCAGCGATCCGCAGTAACTAGGGGAAACGGAGCTAAATTCTCAAAACTACTTCCGGTCTCTTTGAAACGTCTGCTTTTCATCTCATAGCTTTTCCCTTGTCATTTACAAACTCTGGGAGACCACGAAGTCAGTAAACTTCTTTGGGAGTTTATATACGTGATATCTTCTGAATCTTTCTTTGATCCGCGGCTGCACTGCGTACAGTCGCTCAAGAAAGCTCCATAGACAAGTGAGTCCAAGACAGAGACATAGAGAAACGCCTCCTCTTCCACGGCCAATTATTTTCTCCAGAGGCACCCAGAGTAGCCCTGAGTGCATTGCCGTATTTCCAGGTCTTCGCTGGGTGAGAAAGTAAGAGTAAGTCGGTTTCAATTCTTCAGTCTCAATCCTTGGAAGACCGTTTCATCTTCCAGCTGAACCACATCTTGGACCCATTAAATCACTGCAGCGAAAATATGTCCAGGTGATCAGATCATCGCCTTCTCTTACACTCTCGCACCGAAAGATTGGATGTAATCATTTGCAGTACCGAGGCTCAAGTCGCCGCCGGAAAGGTGAAGGTGGCGAGGAGGCGTCGGTCGAAACGGATGGACGGATAATTCGGTTTGAACATAGGCAACATCCTGTATTTGATATGAAGTGGATTTGTAGGATCGTAGGCAGGGAGAGTCAGGGAGAGTGCACACCTGAACCCATCGACCTCAAGGCTATGCCGCACACACAAAGAAGATCATATCATACATTCAAGGTGTTCAAAGTATATAAATGCTAGCGCTTTGAGTATTCGCTAGTTGGTTTGCAGTGTGTTTGTTTTTTTTGAATTTTTGAGTCTACGTTTGGGAATATATTTTTAAGAGCCAGTCACTTGGCTCCGTGCAATTGAAAGCGGTTTGGGTATATAATGTGCTATCGGTGGCAAAGATGGGGACAAAGAGGGACAAAGATGGAGATCATGATGAGAGAAGGTTCAAGGGCCAAGGGGTACATAGGAACTAGGGGAAGACATACAACACTTCACCTCAAGTTGATGCCAGACGGGTACCTGCAACGATATATGACTTGAATGTGAAGAGCGATAGGAATGCGAGCAGTCATGCACATGGCGCGCCTCCGAACAGAGAAGGAATCGAGGAGTGTTACAAACCATTTGAGCCGTCTCGGTTGAAGTTGAATGCCGAGAACTGGAGAAGTTTATTATCGATATGCGAATTCAGTATACATACTGACCGATCTATCGTGCGGAGTTAGAGCTAGATGAAAGTTGTGTAGTGAGCTTAGTATACTAGGTTTTACTTAATGTCACTGGAGCACCTTTTTCGAGCTTCTTGTAGGGTTGTGAGCTTGTGCCTTGGATTCCAAAGCTTTCCACTCACGATGCCCCGACAGTTGCGGGACCGGGGAACATGACAGTGCACGGCAGTGGTACCGAGCAAGAACGTACTCCGGTAGATAATTAATTCGCATATGAAGCGGCGTACGCCAATGCATACGAGGGTTGCGCTTGGAGGATTCTGGTTTGCGGTTACGTGTCGTTTCTCCGGGGATGGTTCTGATTGACCCTCGACTCGAAAGCCTGTCGAGATCTGATTTCATTGCAATTTTTCTGACAACTACATGTGCTGATCATTGTATCATTATTCCTGTAAACGGACTGCGGACCATGAGCTTCAATAAACCGAAGAGCACAAAAATCACTGAACACCTCGGGCGCTGTCATCAATATTCAATGGCCATGACTTGATTACTGCCGCAGATCGTCATATTCATATTCCCAGACATGTAAGTAGATAGCAGGACAAAGATGCGGACACTCCGACTCAATCTTGCACAAAGCGCAACACGCCAGCTAACAATCGTCTCCAAGATTCTTCGGAATATGAGTACGATTTTTCCGGGTTTCTGTATATGTACCAATGCCAACGACCTGGAACCTGAGAGTCCAAGACCAAATTCGAAATCGCCGTATACACCCGCATCGAAACTATAATCGGCCGCGATTGAAGACTTGAGATTGTGGCGTACAGTTTCCAACAATCATACTCTGAGATATCAAGTGAAAATTCGAAAGGTATACATAACCACTGTCCAGGAAAGCCGAAAGTGCATGGGTTTTGAATGCCTGCCGGTCTATGTACGAGGTCATTGAACTTGGACAAGTTGCCAAAGTTGCTCCGCCACACGATACTATTGTCAGTCGATCCGTATTACATTGTTCATCTGCACTTGAAGAAGCCGATTTCAACTTTCATGAAAGCCTGTGACGATTGAGAGGTGCTGCGTTCAGGAAAACGAAGGAACCTACTGTAAGGAGGAAAGGAACTTGAAAGAAATAAAGAAGCCGGTTGCCCGAAAGAGCCACTACATGAATGAGCGCTGAAACGTGACCCACCATGAACGCCTTCACTGTACATGGCACTCTACCCATATGGAAGCTCTTCGAAGGGCCACACAATGCCCCAAGGGAAGACGGAATTCGAAATCCTTAGAGACTCACACAAGTATGTGTCCAATGATTCCTGCTTTCTTTTTCACAAACATATCTGTCACTACTAAGATTCCTGCGCGAGGATGAGGATGACAATAGCCATCTCTCTTGGGAAGAGAAATTGGCCTCCAAATATTACTCAAGTCTATACCGGGAATTCGCTATGTGCGACCTCAAGCACTACAAGTCTGGAAACGTAAGCTGTAGAATTGTGATAGGAATAACATTGACTGATTGCCCATGTATTGCGTACATCATTGTCGCCCATAGTTTGCGCTGAGGTGGAGGACGGAAGACGAGGTACTTGCTGGACTTGGAGAATCCTCATGCGGAAACACGCGATGTAAACACTACACTCGTACATCGACCAAATACGACAATCGCTCTGAAGTCAAGAAACCCGCTTTGTCGACGCTAGAACTGCCGTTTGCGTACTCGGAGCATGGGGAGAACAGGTCCGCGTTAGTCAAAGTGGTATTATGCGCGAGGTGTGTGGACAAGCTGATGTGGAAACGAAGGCAGAGCAAGGACAAAGAGACAGAACCAGATCGAGAGTCAGGACGAACAACAGTCAAAAAAGAGGAGTTGGAACTCGACGTGTTTAGCCCTGATAGCAAGAACGACGAGGATAGAGGGCACGGTGTGAGCCCTCATGTAGATGAATCGAGTAGAAATAGGAACACAAGGACGGATCGTTGGGATAAAGAGGATAGAGAGAAACGACCCCAGATTATTTCGAAGCGAAGACATTCCCGTTCCCGATCACCCCAATCTCACATAGAGCGAAAGCGATCCAAACACAGATAACGACCTGTGTAATTTCCTATGTAATTTCCCGTGGCCCACACTGACGGTGAGGTTCGTTTATGTACCGAGTTGATATGAATTCAATAAGCACTTAAAGTTATACATATCAAGCAAAAGGAGGGTATCGATATAGCGGATATATACGAATACACTGTGAGTATGAATACAATTTGTGAGTGGATTCTCATGCCCAATTGTCGATCAACGAGTCTCGCATCTCTCCAATAACAGCGGTAGAATCTTGACCTTGTAATTCTGTGAGAATGTTAGAAACAGATACAAGGATGAGAACAAGTTTCTACTCACTAAAGGTAGCCTCAATCACGCTGATTTCTGTCGCTGTAGTCTCGAGACCAGTGAAAGCGCACCAATCGTTAACCACCAAACCTGCACCGATGACATCTGATCCACGATTTACTGTTCCTGCCTGATGTGGGATGTCAAGGATAAATCGAACAGGTCACAGTTTCTAATCTTACCACCAATGGAACTTGCAGCAGACTGCTTAGCTCGTCTTGATCCTGGATGCTCGTTTTGGGGTGCACAAGGCCTCCTTGATTAGTGATAGCACAATAACTGCCAACTAATACGTTATCTGCTATCGTTTGCCGGAATACCTCAACTTTGAGGACATCGGCGATGATTTCTTCTGTTTCTCGATCGACATCAGGATGCACGAGGGCGACGTAGTCATTACATGCAATAACGTTTCCAAGAGCAGACAATCGCTCTTCAACTCTTTGAATTGCTACAGCATCGGGTAGAGAGTTACGCAGATGTTGTAACTCTTGATCGGTTGTTGTTGAGGGAACAAGTAGACCATGTCGATTACCTGAGCAAAAATTTTGGAAATGGTCCAAAGTAGTGAAAGTTAGGAAGCGTACCAGCAGTCAATCGCCCTATTATCCGTGTTCCGCCGATACTTGTGTGTACGATGGGAATGACATCGCCAAGCTCACTCTCAAAAGCGGAGTAGAAATTTGTACTGCCTTGGATAGCGGCCAGACAGTAGCTGTTTGTTAATTTTGAGAAAACACCGATGTCACTGCTGTTTTCAAACTGGATGCCTGGAGAGGATAAAATTTTTAGAGATTGTACAACTTTTGACCGTCAAATGTATGCGTACGAGTAGCCATGATTCGTGAGATGCCTTTGAGATGTGCTTATATTTCCGATTGCTTTCGATAGACGCGGTCGCGAAAGGCTTGAAAGGGAGGTATTGGCCTTATAAAATTTGTAGATGGAAGAGTGGTTTTATTCTCTCAAATCAGTCATCTGCATCAGGCCGGTCCCGCCGGCTCCGAGAAAAATTCTCGACTTGACTCTGGCAATGTTTCGTTTACTACTCAAACCACCAAAAAGGCTGGGTCTAACACCAAAACCTGTCTATAATTCGGCGACGAATCAATGGAGGTCAATCACCGCGTCCGCAATCAGGCTCTCAGATGCTGTTCCGCCTGTTACTTCCATAGAGAAATTGATACTTGAACACGTCAAGGCAAGGCTTCGTATGAACCTATGTCATGTCAAGCTGAAAGAAAGTAAATAGGCTGTAGGGCCCATGTCATACGCGACCTACATGCAGTTCTGTCTCTCGCATCCCACGGAAGGCTATTACATGAAGTCTGCGAACAATATTTTCGGAGCCCAGGGCGACTTTATCACTAGTCCCGACATCAGTCAAATCTTTGGAGAAGTACGTCGTTGATGGGTAGTAACAAAGTAATATTGAGGGAGTATAGATGATTGCTGTTTGGTTGCTCTCGCAATGGGAAGCAGCTGGTTGTCCTCCGAGTATACGATTGGTCGAACTTGGTCCTGGCCGAGGAACATTGATCACAGACATACTGCGTGTAAGTGCCGTTTCATTGTTTTCTACTGATATGTGATTAAAAATGCACTCAGGTCATCACCACTATATCAAAGAAGTTGTCTCAACCATTGGCTGTCCAGGTTCATCTAGTGGAAACCAGTCTTTTTCTGAGAGAAATACAGAGTAGACGTCTAAGCGTGGCACCTACTTCCGTTCAATGGCATGAATCTATTGACCATATAACTCCTTCCGACGACTCATTTACCATGCTGGTGGCTCATGAATTCTTCGATGCTCTTCCTGTCCACGTATTCCGAGTGAGTTGCTTTTATTTTGCGACAGAGACCTTTTCGACCGATGGCAACAGAAAACCGAAGAAGGATGGAAGGAGATGATGGTATCCTCCCGAATAAATAAGTCCGAAGATGCAAATTCAGAACAATATCCTCGTTTGCAGCATGTCCTTTCCCCAGAAACGACTGCCATTTCGAATATTTTCGGCAACTCCTCATCACGGTTCCAGTCTCTTCCCGTTGGGTCTGATCTAGAGGTTTCGCCCACGTCGTTTAGACTCGCACGCAAAGTCGGCGAATTATTGGCTAAGAGGGAAACACCCACTAGCTCGTCGCCCGGTGGTTGCGGTCTAATTATTGACTATGGTCGTGACCATGCGTTCGGAAGCTCTCGTAGAGTAAGCTTGATCCTTGATTGGAGAATGCTGCAGATTCTGACTACTGGATAGGGATTCAAAGACCACGACGTCGTCGATATATTCTATCGTCCAGGAGAATGCGATCTTACTGCCAATGTTGATTTTGCGTATCTGAAGGAAGCCATGCAAGATCTAATTCCAGTCTACGGACCCATGTCGCAAAACACGTTCTTGTCCCAGATGGGTTTCACGATACGACTGGAACGGCTGTTGCAAAGCAACCAAGGTGATCAGGCGAAGACGGATCGTATTTTCGAGGGTGCAAAACGTTTGATTGACCCTGTCCATATGGGAGAGGAGTATTCGGTCATGGGTATCAGCACTAATGAGGGTCCAATCCACCCTTTTAGCGTGTATCATCCGCAGTGATGAGAGTTCTTGCTGGCGGTAGAACGGACCTACGTATGCTTCTCACCTGTCAAAAAACGTGTTTACATAGTATGTAGGTAGGACTCAGATGAGATGAAGACCGCGAGGTTGTCGACTCGACAAATGTAAATGATACTTTGACCTGCTCAGTACCCGGACAAGTGGAAGAAATTATCATACGTCCAAACGGTATGTAACATTGTAGATGCAAAGTACGTTCGGGCGGGTATGTAAGTTATTTAAAAAATAAATGGGTGGCACCGTCAAAACAAGTAGGAAAAGAACACTGGTCGACTGCCTGAATGCTGAGAATGACAATGAAGTTCTTGTGTAGCAAAAAATACGGAAACAAGCAGACAGTCCAATCGAAAGCTTTTCTAGACATTGCGAGGAATATACAGCTACCGCGCGCCGTAGTTATCGTACGCCGCCTGCGGTCCGGGGGAAGCTCTCCCCATCGGAGGCGCGGGTGATGGGCCTCGCATATCATACCCTGGTGCGGGACTCATCCTCCCCATCATACTTGGGCCTGGGCTTGCTCTGCCTGAGGCACCCATTGCACCCATCTGCGTCATCGGATACACTTCGCCGGGTTGGGGACCCCACCCTGTGTTCGAACCAGGCTCATTGAATGTTCCTGGGACTGGTCCTCGGTAAGGATCGTAATAGGCGGCGCCTGCGGAGGGATCATCTCGGTAAGGAATGGGTTGATTAGGATTGAGATGAGGAAGGGGAGGCACGGCGTAGGGGTCATTTCCAAGGTCGGGGGTAGAGTAATTCGTGTGGGTATTGGTGGAGGGTGCACGCGAAAGGGAAACCTCGGAACCAGTATCGAAGCCGGATCGACCGGTGTTATGCACAGGAAGAGGGTGAGAATCTCCGATATCAGATGAATGGGCGTTCAACTCAGGCCACTTGATGGCTTCATCTATAGAGTATGGGTTCAGAAAATCTAGCTCGCGCCTATATGATTTCGTACGACTCACTATCATCATAGTCACTGAAACGTTTTCTCGTGAATTTCCAAACGAAGAAGGATATGATACCCAGTAAAGCAACGCCGCCAGCGACTGACAGACCAATGATAGATCCGGTACTCAGCCCACTGCTGTCATCGTCACTGCTATTGTCGGCACCCGAAGTAGCCGACGAGGAAGCTGATGCACTAGTGGCCGAGCTGGCTGGTATAGTTTGGGTCACAATCACGGTTTCACCGTTCGCGGCCGTCGATGTTACAACGGACCGCGTTGGAGCTGCAGTGGCAGAAGTTTGCGTGTTACCTGCCGTGGATTGAGCGCTCGTCTGAGAGGTTTCACCTGTGGAAGTAGGAGTTGTTGCAGATGTAGGAGTGGCAGATGTAGCTGTAGTTGATGAGGTAGTCGACGTTGGAGGAGCAGTGGATGATGCTGTATTGCTGGTCGCTGTTGCCGAGGTCGCTGATGATGATGATGAACTTGTGGAAGTATCCGAAGTGGTAGCAGCGGCAGAGGTTGTTGCGTCTGTACCAGTACCAAGGATGTCAATACGAGCTACAAGCTTCGCCTCATGCGCAGCTCTTGTGGATTGAACAAGAGCAAAAGCGAGAAAACATGAGAGGATTAATGATCTGGATCCCTTCATTAGTATGCAAAATGACTTCAAAGCCACAGATAAATTCTTGATATGGTAAAAAGAAAGAGTTTTGAGTTCAACGTCCTGGCGTGAAAAGGGAAAGGACAGGTGAATTTG